AAGAGCAAGAAATCCTGCTTGGGTAGCTTTTACGGTTTTAACAACGAAGTTTATCCAATCTGCGAGCAAACCTAGGCATGCTTCCCTGCCCCATCTCATGACCTAGAAGGAAAAATAGTGCCCCATTTCTTCCTGTAATAAGGTTGGCATTAATTTACAACTTTTGAAAGCCAAGTCTGTTGTCCCACCAATAGAGTTCATTTGTAGGAAGAGTTGCAAAAAAGAGATCTGCATCAGAATGCCTTTTTGTCCAGAAATATCTGTGAAGAAAGGTGCTTGAATCCCTGCAGACTTGGGCCCAACAGTCTTCTTTGAAAATCCACTAGCTCAGAAGTAAGACCTTTAGTAATTGGTCCCCTAGTCTGGGAGCCCAAGTGACTCTGCCATTATCTTCATCTGAATTCTCTTGCTCTTCCAAAGCACCCCTCTAAAGGCATTGTTGAATAAGATAACTCGTGAACTTAAAACAGGGTTGTAACTCCTTAATTTGTCGGAATAAGCAGGCAGTGTCAGGGTTTGAGTGTTAATTTATAAACTGGAACAACAACAAAAAAGCCTAGCTTTTGCTGAACTGCTGAACTTGTGTTTGGCCTGTACCACTTCAAATTTCAAGCAGGGACTCTGATGACTGAATGGCTCCTGTGGACAAAACAAATGCACTTGGAAAAGTTGCAGGTCAGGGAGAAAGCTAAACAAACACACTTGTCGCTGAAAAGCTAGATTTCTAAGTAAAGGATTTTTTAATTTTATTTTTCCATCGAGTTATATTCAGTCATCTGAGCAGCCTAGGCACAATTCAGTGGGAACTTGGCCAAAAGTCGCATTATTTATTTGCAATATGCTTTTCTACCTGCCACTCCTACCATGAAACAGAATCATTTAGCTTAATCACTATCAAGGCACAGCTTTTGCTTCCCTGTCTCCTCTTTGATTGAGCTTTCAGGGTTTACAAACTTTTTTTTTTTGAAGTTGCTTTTCTTGAGCCCGTGCAACTTTCCGACAGATTCAGTGAGGGGCTGCTAGCTGCGTCCCTGCATGCACTTGCTTGGGGGGGGGGGTGGATGTTCTGAGACCGTCTGAAATCTTTCGACCAGGAGTAGGGAACCTGTGGCCCTCAGCTCCGTATCAGCCCCAAACATTGGCCATGCTAGCTGATGGGGGCCGGGGGCCGGAAACACCTGGAAGGGCCATCGGTTCCCCACCCCATGTCAATATCCCATGTCAAGTCATGTGGTGGTCTGGCATTTCACATAGGGGCCTGTCCTACACACTGACATGTTTGTGGGATGCCTTGATACCTCTGCCAATCAGGATCAGGGGAGATAGCATGAATCCATGACTCATGGCTACAACCTCTGTATAGAGTCAAGGACATCCTCCACCTTAGGAGCTCTGGCAGTGGGCGAGTATCTGACTTGACTCTTTGGAAAGTCCATTTCTTTAGAAGCTAACTTTGGCCCTTGTTCAGGCGTTGATATTTTTGATGGACGCCATTCCTCAGTCCAGTAATTTCTAACAATTAGGTTGAAGCTTTGACAAAGGTGGGGTGGGGCGATTATAGAGCACCTGGTAATAACACTTCAAGATGGCTTGGGTAGGTGCTGCCCTGCTGGTAATGTTCACAGGGTATTGCTCCTAAATTTATTTTCCGCAGGGCAGTGAGTTTGGAGAAAACCAAGCCTTCTAAACCGGCGGAGTTTCTGGATTCAAGACTATTTTGAGACACCCCGATCTGTTTTTCCTTTTACAAACTCCTCCGAACTCGTCTTCAGATTAACTTTCCTTTCAGAACTTCTCTTGTCACTGAAACGATCTACTAATGCCATTTTAAAAATCTGCCATGCTTTGTTACATCGATTCTTAATTATTATTTTTAAGGAGAAACAAAAATTAAATTAATTCCTAAATTTAACAGGGAAATTTATTAAGTTAACTCTTAACCACATTCACTTTGTAAATTATTGTATAAAAACTTATTGACAATGCACTGAATTTAGAAAGACCATGTACATAAGTACTGTGTAAATAATAAAAAAGTATTAATGTATTGGAATATGAACTGTATAAAAAAAAGTCCAAGTAACTGTATATGGAGTGAACTTGTTTATCTGTAACTATATTATTCAAACAAATTAAATACTGTGGATGCAATCTGCTGCCTCAATTCCTTTCCCTTTTCTTTTCTAGAAATTGCTACCAAAAAATGAGTGAGTTGACTTATGATCCGTTTTACTCTCCCCATCCATATTTAAATAAATATACATTTGGGTGGAATTTGACCAGCAAAAAGATGTTGCTCCTTTCCGTGTGGTGAAAACATGAATTTGCCATATGGGCAGTGCCTGTTTTAGCTGCAAAATAAGGTTAGGGACATAGTATATAATTATTACATAAAGTGCCTAAAAATGGATGAAACACTGAACCTACCTTGCAAACCAAATAGTCCCTTTGTGGTACAGGAGGTCCCATGCTCCATCCCTGGTATTGCCAGTTAAAAAAAGATTTGGTAGCAAATGGCAGGAAAAACCTCCATCACTCTGCCAGGCGGGTTCGGCAATAACATGATAAGTTTGGCTAATTGACTTGGTACAGGGCAGTTTCCTCCACCCATGAAGCAGCAAGATCATCTGCAGTTGTCCATGGGCTTCCTTGCAACACAGAACACAAAAGTTAAATCTGTTGAAACCACCTTTTCTGCTAAGTGGTAACTATTCTGTAGGAAGGGGGGAATAGGTTGAGGTTTGTCAGAAAAATATTTCGCCACCAAGTTCTTTGCAAAGGGTGGTGATGTAACCAGCATCAAGACCAGCTGGTGGCAGCATCTGCTTCTGAAGTTCTCCCAAGGTTCCTGCTGCTCTTTGCAAATTGACCACGTGAAGAAAATTAGATACACACGGATGGGAGACAAATTTGATTCTGTTCGCATTTCAAGGAGAACTTACAGGCTTCAAGTTTTCCAAACCAATCCACGAACTGAAATGGTCATCCTTTGAAATTTGCCTTTAAGCTTTCACAATGCAATTCCAATTCTCCGGCCAAGTAATATTTATGTGCAAGAATGCATAGGCTAGCTACAGTAAGGTGTGCATAAAAATGGTGAAAATATACGAATATGCATTATATCAGGACTTTGCTTTGATAAAGGGTGTGTTAGGCAAAACTAAATGCAAAAATGTGTTGCATTAGGAGAAATTCAGAGTTAAAACACTGGTGAATTTTTATCAGGAGTTTTAAAAGTAATACAGTGGTGCCTCGCAAGACGAAATTAATTCGTTCTGCGAGTTTTATCGTCTTGCGAGTTTTTTCGTCTTGCGAAGCACGGTTTCAATTTTTTCAAAAAAATCCTCAAAAACCTCAAGAAAGGCTACCACACCGCGTGCTATGAGTTGCTCCCCGAAGTCAAGTCGCAACTGCACCTCTTCAAGCAATGCACCCTGTATTACTGTAACGGTTTTAAGAAAAAGGAAACAAACTTGCAAGACGTTTCCGTCTTGCGAAGCAAGCCCATAGGGAAATTCGTCTCGCGAAGCAACTCAAAAAACGAAAAACTCTTTCGTCTTGCGAGTTTTTCGTCTTGAGAGGCATTCGTCTTGCAAGGTACCACTGTATTTGCAAACTGATCTGAATAAGTGTGAAGAACTGAAGAATAGAAAACTCTGAAATGTAGAGGGTGGGTGTTTCTCTCCTACAGATTAGTCACTCTCCAAATGACCATCAGGATTTTCTTACATTAGCATGTACAGTAATGGGTAATTTGGGCTGCAATCCTATGCTTACCTGGGATCAAGCCTCTTTCAACACAGTGGAGCTGATTTCCAAGTAATTTTGCACAGGATTGCATTGCTGTCCTGCCTACATTAATTGAAGATTATTTGTGACTTCCTCTTTTCCCAGTCATAGATAATTATGCCATGATTATTTTTATGGTGATGGATAAAGCTACCGGACAAGAACCTTTCTCTGTTTTCTCTCTCTGCCCATAAACAATGGATTTATAATGCAAATGTATGAATATTAGGTAGAAATTCTTAAGGACGTTGATCTTTGTGAAATCCTCTTGGAAATGACCTCTCAGACTAATAGTGAGTGTTGCAACTAGGACCTGGGAGATCTGTGTTCAAATCTCCACCCAAGCCATGAGGTTCGCTGGGCGATTTTGGGACAAGACACGGCCTCTAAGCCTGAGCTTCGAAGATGAAATAAAGGAGGAGATTATCCCATGTACACTACCTTGAACATCAGTGGAGGAAAAGTGGAATAGAAATAAATTTACAGATTGGGAAATGTAGTTTCTTAGGGGTATCCCTCACACTGCTCCAGTTCCCAGAGTTCCCTGGGAAGAGGGATTGACGGCTAAAACATTCTGAGGACCATATTATTCTGTGAGGAGAATTAAGGGGCTCCTCACAGCTCTCAGCCCCCTGGTCAATTCCTGCATCAGCACAACTTCCAATGTAGGACTGGAAAACTTCCGTTATGTGGCACCCATCATGAATGCAAAAAAGAAGGCTAGAGTGTCAATACCATTCAACTTTTTTTGTACTTGGGGAAATCTATCACTTGTTCGTTCCTTTACAACGCTGAATTCAATTTTTGTGCTGTAGCATTAGCTTAATTTAAAAAAAAAAAAAAAAGGTTTCCTGTTGGGATTCATACAGGTGCCCATGAGAGTGTGTGCCAGGGTGCCTGCCAGTAAATTTGCCTCAGTAAATATCCCCTCGAGAACCTTCATGGTAAAAGAGACTGTTTGCTCTTCCTGCTCCATTCATGTTTATACCAGCTTGGCCTTCTCTGACTTGAACATGCCTGCTTAATACATTTATGAACAGAGAAGAGGGGAGAAAAAGCTGAAGTGCCTTTTCCTCATTAATTTGGGCGGGACAGGGGCTGTTCACACCATTTTGTGGTCCTCCCTCCTTTCCTGCTCTTTAAGATGCAGCAGCCATTTTGAGTCCTGCCACGCCTCACGGCAGCCATTTTGTGTTATGCCACCACTCACTGGACTAGATGGGCTAATGGCCTGGGGCAGCAGGGCTCTTCTTATGATATGATGGGCTGTTCCACACTCTCATGAGAGCCATTATCCACATTTTCCAACCGTCTCTAAACGTATGCTCTTCTTGTCCTCTTATTCTAATTTGTAAAATCTGCAGGCTGCACATATTCTGTCAATTTAAGTTACCATTCTTCTTAAATTGGGCCTCGGTTGTTTTCCATTTTTGGGCTAACTAAACACGGGCCTCAGTAGTGGCATACGTAAATAACCATTTTTGACACCTGGGAATTTCAGTTTGAATTATCCCCAACAGAAAGACTCTGGTTGTTGTTTTTTTGGGGGGAGTACATTAAAACATTTTTTTTCAATTCATTATGGATCATTTCCCAATACTCTTTTTTTTTACAACTTTTACAAGTCCGCCACATATGAAAGAACGTTCCTTCAAACTCTTTGCATCTCCAGCCCTTTAATACCACCTGTAAATCATTTTCAAATAGTTCTCCTTCAAAGAACTAACATGCTGTGAACTTCAAATCACTTTTCCAGAGTTTTTCCCAAAGGTTAATATCTGTATTGTGACATATCTATTGCCCAGTGTGTCACTGAGGCTTTGACAAGCTCATCTTTTGTTTCCCACCCTAGTAACATATTATACATTTTGGACAAAAGTTCTTTTTCGAATTGTGAGCTTTGGTCCAGAAAACCATTTTTTCCTATCTAATTTAAGCATTTCGTGTTACTGATGGTATTGTAACCAATCCATAACATGGCTCCTTACATTTTCAATTGATTTCAGTTTGGGTCCCCGCTCCCCTGTAAAGTACAGCAATTCCCTATAGATTGCCCATTTTCTATCCAAGGCAGGTTGCAGCATTAAGACACTGTAGTAAAAACAGTTTGTTTATTTATTTATTGTATTTTTTTGCAAAAATAGTTGTCATTGTCTCCCATGTTACAGAGGCTTGGCAGGCCTCAAGTGGGACATAGCTCTGGGACCCCAGTTGTCTCTGACTCATTATTCCCATCCATTCTGGAGAACTACGAAACCAGCACCACGGAGGCAAAGAGGTCTGGCAGCCACGGCGAGGGTACTTTTGTGGGGTTTTATTTTTTGGCATGCCTCTTAGGTGGGTGGAATTTCCTGAGGGCACTCCTTGGCGAGAAGGAAGGAGCACCAGGGAGAGGGGTGTGTGCTCAGTTCCACCCGTTGTTGGGTTGAGACTAGTCTTGGGTGGGAGACGGCGTCTTGGGGTAAAACCCAGACTGCTGTTGGGAACAGTACTTTTGTGTGACTGATGGGTAGCAATTTGCCTTGTCATGTACACAGTTCTGTCGGCGAATGTTTTGGCAGGACACCCTTGGGGCGTTCCTACAGTGCATTTTTTCTTGTTGAGTGGTTGCTGGTGGCTGACTGGGAGATAATGGAGCAAATGGTGCTGTGTTTGGGTGTACTGGTGGCAGAATGGGATGAGTGAATTGCATGAGTAGCAGGCGTGGTTTGATTTGTGTAGACATAAGGCCAAATTTGGATGTGATGCCTATGGCGAGTGGTGTCTTTCTGAGGTGGGATATGCCTTGGTGAGAGGGAGGCTGAGGAGAAAAATCCTTGACTATGAAGGTGTTTCAAATGTGCAACTATGTTCTTTTGGGGGGGAGAGCGTATTGATGTTTTATTGCATTGTTTTGTATTGCAGTTTCTCAGTTTCACTGGAGAAAAATATAACAAGAAGCTCATGGTAGGATTCATGGTTCTTCCCTTCCTCACTTAATCCCCAGAACAACCCTGTGAAGTAGGTTAGGCTAAGAGGCAGTGACTGGCCCAAGGTCATCCAGTAAGCATCATGGCCAAGAGAGGATTCGAACCCTGGTCTACACTCTAACCACTACAATAGATAGATGATAGACAATGCGAAAAACTTAGAGATGACATAAAAAAGCCAGAAGAAGGAAGGAGGGAAGTCAACTCTTAGGAGTAAATGTAAATGTAAATGTAAATGTGTATATGTATAGTATGTAATCATAAAATCAATAAAGATTATCTTCAAAAAAATTAAAATACAATAGATAGATGATTGATAGATCAATACATAGATATTTTGTAAACCACTTAAAGACTATATTTAGCAGGAAATAAATATGTGATTTTGTTTTGCTTTGTTCAATTGCTTTTATTATAATTTAATTCTTTATAAACTACCCTGCAATGTGGTTGTAGATCAGGATATGATTTCCTAAAATCTACCCTAATTTTTGTGTACATTCTGTTGCAGCTCACTACCCCATTTAAGACTTTTCTGCCAAAGAGAAAGACCTGGCAAACAGACCTTCGCTTGGACCCATTCTGAGTAGCAGCCGCTTCCTAAGGTAGGGACTATGCTTTGTAAAATGGTTACTGGCTGAGAGACATTTAATGAGAACTAGCCATTTGAGGCTTCATAGGAACCTGCCTTATACTGTGTCAGACCACTGGTCCATCTAGCCCAGTATTGTCTACCCTGAGTGGTCAGCAACTCTCCATGGTTTCAGCGAGGGATTCCCTCCCATCCCTACTGGGATTAAACCATGGACCTTTTGCATGCAAAGCAACTGAGCTATGGAAACTCTGGCTTGTGGGCTGAGCCAGAGTATCATCATTTATTTGTCCCTTGAACCAGTGAGCCAGAGATGTCAACAATTTCTCCTGTATTGTGTTTGGATTGTCTGCTCTGGAAAAAAGAATGGAGTGGTAACTATAAGGGCTATTGCCTTCCGTGCTAACTTGCTCCATCTTGTAATGAATTTTAAGAAATGCTTCTTGGCTTGCTATTTCACTCTCCCACTGGGAGAACATCCTGTACTCAAAGTGGCCAATCAGGTGCCTATAGCAGGACTTGAGTGCAACAGCAACTGCATTCAGAGTCAAGCTGCCTCCAACAGTTAGCCATTGACTCTGGCCTAGGTGAAGGAATAGGCTAATGCGGTATAAGTCATCTTCTTAAGTCTGTCTTATTTTTCATTCATCGGTTAGGGAGAGTTTATTCACCCCTGCCCATCTTGAAAAGTTGCCTTCCCTGTGAATATAAATATGTAAATTTGTCTTCCTTTTGTGTTATGTTTGTATATTAATGTGGAAGTCCTCCGGGGAAACACCTACAGGAAGCAAGGGCTGACACACGCACGCCAACCTAAACTGGGAAGGCCCAAATTGGCGCCATTTCAATGGCCAAGGAGAGGAAGTTTATTTCTGATAAAATAAACGACCAGCCCTGAACCCTTAAAGCTGGGCTCCCCGGTCCGTTGGTTGAAGTCTAAACATACTTTTCTGCGGAATGGCTCCACATGTGTCTGTCGCCTACTTGGGAGAAAGGCACAAGTCCAACATCAACAACAGCCGTTCATTATTTGCCTAGGCGTTCGCCAGGCCTCCTCTGCTGCATTGCCCCTTGTTGGTTTATATGTCCTTAAGAAAATCCCATTCAAAGGTCAAGAATTCTCTCCCCCCCCAACAACTACTATAATGGGTAGATTCAATTCTGATTATTGGACCTATTTTACACTGTACTTAATCTGCATTATTTATTTATTTATTTATTTATTTATCACATTGGTGGGAACAGAGGAAACTGCCATATACCTAGCCAGACCAATGGTTCATCTAGCTTAGTAATGTCCACACTGACTGGCAGCAGCTCTCCGGGGCTTCAGGCAAGGGTCCCTCCCAGTCCAGGGATTGAACCAAGGACCATCTTCTTGCAAGGCAAATGCTCTGCCACTGAGCTATGAAATCTCCACATTGCAGGCTGGGCTAGGTTTTTAAAATAATGATAATGATGATGATTAGCATTAGCATTTATTTGTTGCCTTCTGTATAAAATGTCTCAGTGACTTAAAATTGTATTTTTAAAAAAACAACTTGCAGTCATAAGACATTTAGACATGCTGAGTGAGGCCTGAAAGCTTTGTTAAGTTTAAGAGGCCCTGTTGAATAGCCAAATAACTTTGTAAATGCTGGACCTCACCTGCCACCAGGGCTGCTTAAGAACATAAGAAGGGTCCTGCTGAATCAGGCCAATGGCCCATCTAGTCCAGCATCCTGTTCTCACAATGGTCAGTGAGATGCCCAAGGGAAACCTGCAAGCGGGATCTCAGCTCAAGAGCGCTCCCCACTTTGCTGCACTTTCTAACAACTGCTATTATCTTCCATGAATTTGTCCAGTCCTCTTTTAAAGCCATCCAAGTTGGTAGGCATCACTGCCTCCCGTGGGGGTGAGTTCCATAGTTTAACTATGTGCCGTGTGAAGGAGGACTTCCTAATGCCCAACACTCAGCTTCAGTGGATGTCAACAACAACAACAACAATTTTATTATTTATCCACTCTCTGCATGCTGTGCCTAATTTTATAAACTTCTGTCATTCCAGCTCTTATTCTCTTTTCACTAAACTAAAGAGTCCCAAAGGTGACAAACCTTCCTCATAGGAAAGGTTTCAAGCATATATTGTTTGACAGCTTATGGACACCTGACCTAATGAAAATTTGATCTAAATTATGGTTATTTCTGCACAGATTCATAAATGCAATCTGACAAATAATTGTGTAGTTATTAAGTATCATCTTGTCACAGCAGAATGATAATGTCTATTTTAGGGTCTGTGTCCCCTGTTTCCCTTTGAAAAAACCCCCACACAATTTATGCAAAACTTGAAAAAATGTGTTTAGAGGCACCTGAGGCCCTAAACTGTAGCTTATGTGGTCCATGCCCAAATCCAGCACTGCCTGTGAACCTGAAGAACTTCTGCCAGACAGTGTTAACAGTACTGAGTTGGATGGGACCAGTGGCCTGATTTGTGTAAAGGCAACTTCCTATGTTCCTAAGACCATCTCTTACAACAGGTATGAGGATGTTGCCCACCAGATGTTGTAGAACCACAACTCCATCAGCCCCAGCCAGCATAGCCAAGTGCAATTGCAGAATCTGGGATGTGATGGAGAAGACATAGCCTTTCAACTCCTTGCATTGCTTTTCACCCCTTCCTGTGAACATAAATGACACCATTTATGCCAGAGGTGTCAACCAAAAGCACCCATCATCTCTGACCCTGCCTTGGCTATGCTGGCTGGGGCTCTTGGTTTGTTCCAGTTTGCTCACCAAGAGACACTGTTTGCCCCTCTTCTTTGTCCAGAATGGGAGGGAGGGCATCCAATGAAATGTAGGCATGCTTCAAGGGATGTGTTCATTGTAGGACAGGCCGAGCCAGTGCAAACAGGAATTGAATGTTTTGACGAATGATTTGCTCTGCCAAAGCCAGTGGTTCTTTTATGGATTCAGATAGTCAATAAAGTTGCTCTTTATCAGGTTTTATTCATAGAGTGAGGCAAATGAAGAACAAAGCAAGTAAATGCAGTTATATTATTATCTCCTTATTGGTGGGGCTGCCAATGAGAGCTGCCCACTTGGCACTGTCCCGTAACAGGGCCTTTTCAGTTGTGGTTATATTAATTCCTGCAAGGACAGATTGCAAGAGGATAATAATGAAGCAATGCTAGGTCCTGACCTTCTAGGCCTTATGCTGGGGCATTAAAAGGAGGGCGTTGCTGGACCTCACTCTCATTCCTTGCTATAACAATTTCCTTCCCCATATGTGAGCAGAAAGAGCAAAGAGTCTTGCACTTTGTGGATCTTTGAAATGATATTTACTGACATTTCACAGGTACTAGGTACTGGGTGGCATGCCAGCACCCATGGTTGTCACATTGATGGTGCCTGCTTTAAGGTGATAAGAATTACTAGATAAGCTGGACACATTTGGACACAAAATTCTACCCCTAAGAGGTGTCTGGTTGGCCACTCAGGGAAGCAGGCCTTTAGTATGACCGAAGAAGGAAATTTCTGAAATTGTATTGTGTTAAGCAGGTTGCTGCCTTCCATTGTGGCTCCTTGGCTTGACAAGAGTCTCCATGAAATAGTACAACCTCCCCTTTTCCGTGTGCATGGCTTGGGTTGCTAATTTAATGGGAGAAATGGAGGCACTCCAGATGACAAATAGCTACGTTCATCAGTGCACCTCCCTGGAGTCGGCCTCCAAAACGCATTACATAGCAGCAAATTATTCTGTCATAACTGCTTTGCAAAAGGAGAGGAAAACAAAAGCTCTCGCTTGAATTGTTTCTTGTGTGTGCATGTGTAAAGGGGGAAGGAGACATTGATGACAGTCCAACACCCATCGCTGTAGCTTTGATTTACCACGTAGCTGTGGTGAAGAATCCTATAATTAGAGCAATAAGAAATGGCAGCTGGAATGCAACAAACAGCTTCTTGAACACCCAGCCTCTTCTGCGCGGTTTTGTTCGGGTTGGTTGTTCAGCTGAAGGCAATCTGGAATTCTTCTCACTCCCGGCTGCCCCAGAGAGATGGGGAACCTTTTTTAGGCCAAAAGCTGCATCCCCATCTGGGCAACCTTCCAGTGATGGGCAAGGCCAGACACAAAAGTGAGTAGAGCCATGAATGTTAATGTTGCCTTTGTAAAGCAGGCTACACTCACATACCCTTTTCTATTCTCCATCCAGACAAGTGACAGGCATGATCAGAGAGTTCAGGCAGGCTAAAGCACTCAAGGAGGATGTGGAGCAAGGCCAGTGAGCCTTGGTATGGCTTGGCAACAGAAGGTGTGGCTGAAGAGAGTCCCCAGGGCCAGATAGAGGGGCCTGGGCCTGAGGTTCCCCATCCCTGATCTTAGGATACAGGGAGAGGTCTTTAAGGATGGATTGTGGAGGCCATTGGTCAGTATACACAATGGATTTTCATTTGATGAGTCTGGAGGTGCAATGAGGCTGGTGTCAAAGATTGGCATTGCTGGAGACCCACGACCAACCTGGAACCCCACGATGCTACTTCTCCTTCTTGCTGTCACCACACATTCACCTGTCCCCCCCTGTTGTTGCCCACAGCAGTCATTCCACAGGCCATAGGAAAGGAAGGTGGGACTTCCAAGTCTCACCGCTGGCTCTCCTGAAAGAACAGCCGCTATGTTATGGCAGGAAAAGCTCCACGGGACACCTATGGGTGAACAGGAATGTAAAGGGAGGAAATCAGGCAGCCTTGTTCAGTGTCAGACTTTTATTTGTTTTATTCCTCAACCCGAACAAAATCTCCTTAAATAATATAATAACACATATATAGGGCTATATACATACTCAGAGGAAACTCACTGAAATTAATGCACACAATTACAGTGGTACCTCACAAGACAAATGCCTCGGAAGACGAAAAGCTCGCAAGACGAAAGAGTTTTTTGTTTTTTGAGTTGCTTCGCAAGACGGATTTCCCTATGGGCTTGCTTCGCAAGATGAAAAACGAAAAAAAACGAAAACGTCTTGCAAGTTTGTTTCCTTTTTCTTAAAACCGTTAATACCCAGGGTGACTTCAAGGAGCAACTCATAGCATGCGGTGTGGTAGCCTTTTTTGAGGTTTTTGAAGACTTTGGTGATTTTGAAGACTTTGGGAAACCGTGCTTCGCAAGACGAAAAAAATCGCAGAACGAATTAATTTCGTCTTGCGAGGCACCACTGTAACTTAAGTCCATTATATTCAGTGCGTCTACTCCAAGTAGCACTTAGTTGGCTACAACCCACAGTACTGTGTGTTGACTTTGAATATATAAATATTTCCATATTATTATTTATCTCTATCTCATACACTTTACTTGGCCTTTATTAAAGCTTTTGACAATTAAGTGGGTAAAGTACAAGTAAGAAAACCATTTGTCTGCTTGTAAAGCTGCGGTGAAGCTCCAGTACCTTGGCATTTAAGAAGATAGTGACTACAAAACAGGTGTGTTGCAGCACCACCCTTTACCTCAAAGTCAAAGCATGACTTGGCGTTCCTGGTATACAAAGCCCTGGAAAGGGTCAGTGGTGATTGCTGATGGTCACATTCAGATATTATGCTAAACCCTCCTTCCCCCACCCTTCAGTCTCCAGATGCCGCTGGACTCCAGTTCCCATCAGCCCCAGCCAGAACTATCCAACGGTTGAGGGATGATGGGAGTTTTGGTCCAACAACATGGTGACCAAAGGTTGGGGGCTGGGCTAAACTATCGTTTTCATGACAAGAATGAGCTGCATCATGTTTCTACACTCCCCTCTTTTCCTCCCTCACGGTCATGGGGAGCAGATTAGAAGTTTTTGCTTCTGGTTTTTATTTACCACAGTTTAAGATGTTAACGTTAACTATGTTAATGTTAAACATGCCAGCTTCATAACCTATAGTTTCAAACTTATGGTTTCAAACAAACAAGAGTTAACTACTGGTCTGGATAACAGAAGCAGAAACTTCCAAACTCCTCCTTGCTGCTGCTCTTTCTTGTGACACTAAACTATGGTTTAATGAGACATTCATACATGGCCAATGTCACATTGCATTGAAGCAAGGTCAAGCTTAGTTTCTTTGTGTTAACCAAAGGTCATCAGAAATTTTCATATCACAAAGTGACTGTTCCATATGATTGTTAAAGATTCAGTAAAATGCCAGTTCTTGTACACTAGCTACTGTTGCAAGGCAATAATTCAGATTAGTTAGGCGCTTTACAAATCAGTCTCCAACATGCCTGCCGTGCTTAGTCACATAATCAGTTGGATTAATCAGTTAGGAATCTTTCAGTCAATTCAAAGAAGTGGTCTCAAATTAGTTTTTAGCCTTCTGATAGGTGGCTATTGCTCCTGCTTGATGGAAGCCAGTGAGGTGGCAGGCTCTTCTGATCAGCAGAATCCCCCGTTGGTGGGTGAGGATCAGCTGCACATGAACCAAGCATGTTTTAAGATTGGGGGCTTTGCAATTAAGAACCCCTTTAAAAACTGCCCAACCCTTCACTGGATGAGAGTGAGAGCGAAGTATGTTGCTGTTGGTATTAGCAGCAATATTTTTCCTGGAGCGAGAAGTGCATTTGAGTCTGACTTGTAGACAATTCGTTCACCAACAGGCTGCGTGGGTCGAAAGTTATCCACCATTGGCCACTCTTTGTCTGTGTCAAAATAGAGCTTCATCCAGAATTCTTGGATCTGTGGAGTAACCAGAAAAATGAGACATTATTAGAAAAATGAAAAACAAAACAATGGAACTAGCATTACAATCCTAACCCCACTTACCCAGGAGAAAGCACCACTGAATTCAATAGGATTTCCTTCTGAATAGATATGGTTATGTTTGAATTAATAATAGTAGTAGTAGTAGTAGTAGTAATAATAATAATAATAATAATAATAATAATAATAATAATAGCTGTTTCATGTTATAAAGCCAATGAAACGGTGTACCAGGGTAAAAGCAGAATGAAACACAGGAACACAAATTCTGAGAAAAGAAGAATGAGTTCAATAAACTAAAGCAATAAAACCATTCAAATAAACTCTAAAACCAATGAAAACACTCCATCAACTTCAAAACTGATCTTCTATAAATGTCTGGGTTACACCTCTGCGGAAAGCTTCTGAAACAGCAACATATTTAGTAGGTGCCTAAACATCATCATGCCATGTGCCTGTCTCATTTTGGCTGGTAAATTGGGATAAAGGGGTGCCATCCTAATCCAGCCTGCATTGATCCCAGCATTCATAGCAAAAGCCTTCCTCAACTTCCTCAACTTTTCTTTCCCTTTTCCTGAATAAAAAGAAGTACTCGCCCTGGGATGAAACCCAGTGCCACCTTGCGGGACTATTCATTTCTATAGCCAAAATTCTGAAAGAGAGAGCCCAAGAGAGGGCATTAGAATTAAGTGGACAGCATTAAACTACATTGAAGTGCATCCTGCACAGCTGTTGCCTACTAGCACAATGGCTGTTAAATTGCCCCAAAATAATTAAAGAAACAGTAATTCTGAAGAAGTGGTTAAGTGAACTGATTGATGAGGCTTAAGCATGTTAGGGTTGAATATGCCTTTTATAAAGCCCCATCTCTTGTGTTTTGTCTCACCTGCCGGAGACTAAGTTCAATAGGTGTCTCAAACAAAGTCCAGGTGACTCCCTCATTGCATCCAGGTGTGGTCAGTGAGCCGGTGTACCGATAAAAGCTGTCGAGGGCTGACTTTTTAGGAATGAGGGCTTCCAGGCACAAAGCCCCCATTTCAGTTTCGTTGCCTAGAGAGATCAGAGAGGAGTTATTGTTTCGTGCAAGGCACATCTTTCTGATGTCACTCTGGCAATTGCCTTCAGTTCTGTAAGTTTATTGATGCTGATGTCTTTCAAAAGCAGTTTAAGGAAGACTGTAAGAAAAGCCCTGTGAGATAAGCCCTGTGGGTGGCAGACTACATGCCTCTTAGGAAACCCACAAGGTAGACTCAAGGGCCCTAGCCCCCACTTTCTGCTCTTTCCCCCAGCAACTGGAATTTAAATGATTACTGTATCTTTTCCTTGTTAGGAGTGGTATTTCTGAGGATCTCTTGAGATGCATGAGCAGTAACGGATGGGGGAGAAATTTGATTTATTTCGCATTTTAAGCTGAAGCGATCACATTTGCCCTATTCTGAAGCAATACAAGAACTGAAACACAGCCATCCTTCGGAATTCGCACTAATCCAAATTTTGTGACGCAGTTCTCTGACTCAACAAAAATACATAGAAAAGTACATAAAAATGAATATGCTAGTTAAGATAGCATACAAAAGTGCTCTGCATTAAGATAAAATGCTTGCAGAATAGTGTACGTTAGCCAAAACTGCATACAAAAATGTATTTCTTAGCCGAACTTTGCATGTATCCTGTATATCTGCATCTTGCTATAGAAAATGCGAAGAACTGTGTTTAAGATTGGCAAAATGAAACACTGAGAATACAGTAACTGAAATGGACAGAACCATCCATCCGTAATCAGCCATGCACATGAGAAGGTGCTTAAGGCCATGATGAAGCTGGAGAGAGACTAGCTCAGTGGTAAAACACCTGCTTTGCATGCAACAGGTCCCAGGTTCAATCCCTGCTATCTCCAGTTTGTTTTTTAAAAAGATAATCGAAGTGAACATGATAGGAATGACCTTTGCCTGAGATTCTGGAGGACCCAGTAAACTGCCATTGGTCTATCTAGTTCACTCAGTATCGTCTGCAGACCATGGATCGAGGAACTTTTTTTCATTTCCTTCTGGGAAACTTTCTGCCAGAGCATGCAGTGCAAAATGGGTAGGGCAATTAAAGTACAATTTTATTATGTGCACAATAGGCTACTTTCTGCATACCCTTTTACAGCCTTCTGCATTCTCCATCCAGACAAACAAAACAAAACCCCAACATCATTAGAGTTCAAAGAACACACTCCAGCCAGGCAAAAGCATTTTTGGTTTGAATCAAGGCCAGTGAGCGGCAAGTCTTCTATAGAGTAAATAGCACTGGGCTCAATGCATCAATGATCAGAACGTGTGGAGGGAAGTGTCCTTATGTATTTACATCTCCCTGTGATGCTATTATTATTATATTTTATTTTATTTTATTTCACTGTAAGGTCCCAGGGCAGCTTGCAACAATGAAAACAATGTTAAAAACAGTTTATAACAACTTACAATCAGAAAAATAAGGTGAATCCTAGAAAACATATCCCTCAGGAACTAAAAGGCAGACTAAAGTCAAGTATAGAGTAAACATGAAGTTTTCTGACCTTGTTTATGGATCAAAGAGTTGAGTGTTTCTGCTGCTGTTTTAAAGAGAAAGTTTCCATTAAGTCTTACCGTTGAAAGGAATGTCTTTTAACTTTGAAATGAAAGGTTCGTAGAACTCATTTTCGTTGCCATCCTGAAATAAGACATTTTTTTAAAAAAGGTACAATTTTAATGCCCCCTTTTAACTCTGTACTATTTTCTAGAGCATGGATTGCGGGAAGGGGGGACCGTTTTTCTGCCCAATGACCACTTTCCCTTCTGGGCAATCTCCCAAGAGCCACATGTCAGCATTTTCCCCATGGATAGTAGAAATTTATCTTGCAAACATACCAGAAAGTGTGAAATGGCCCCCATGATTCTTACAGCCCAAGCCAATTCTAGTTGCTTTGCCAGTTTTAAAGTGAACCCAAATCCCTTCCATACCTTTATAAAGAAGCCCAGCACTGCTACGCCGTTTTTGGAGAGCGCTTCCTGTATAGTTTGAAAGTTTTCCTTGATGTGGACGATATGAAGCTATGGGGGGAGGCAGGTGGAGAGAGACTGAGACCTTTTTCTACAGTACTGTGCTTACAAATGTTAAACTTTTAAAGAAGAAACAAGAAAACTAAGAATGAACATTGATAAGGATAAAACCTTACACAAAGGAAAATATATCGGTACATATATTTTGCACATAAGCCATATACAATATAAGTGAGGTTACTTGTATATTATCTGAAACAAACTTTCAGATCTGGAAGCAAGTAGACCCATTGATAGGCAATGCAGGTAGGGTGTCAGACTAGGACCTGGGAGACCAGAATTCAAATCCCCATGCAGCCATGAAGCCCATTGGATTGTCACCTTGGTACAGTCACTCTCTCTTAGCCTGACATATCTCACAGGGTTGTCGTGAGGATAAAACAAGGAAGGGGCGAAGTGTTTACACTGCCTTGAGCTCCTTGGAGAAAAGGTGAGATACTACTACTACTAATAATAATATTAATAGGAAGAAGAAGAAGGTTGCATGCATCTTAAGAGTAGATACACTGAAATTCATGGACCTGTGTTTGACATGACTGTTAATTTCATCTGGTCTAATCTGACATTAGCCATACTTAGATATCACTCTAAGATTACAAAACTTTAAACAAGGAGATCAATGACTAATAAAACTATTCTGGTTTTGTTGGTTGGTTGGTTGGTTGGTTGGTCTGTCTGTTTCTCCCATTCCATTCTTATATAAGTTTGCAAGTTTGCCCAGTTCCCATACCAGTGCAACATTAATTCAGTTTTCAAATTCAGTATTTAAGCTTCTCCAATGCATAGCAAGGATGCTAAAAATTTTTGTTGTATGTGTGAATGCTCCATGCAAGCTGCCTCAAGTGCACACTTGGCACATTTGTCCAGAACAATCCCTACATTGGAAGTGAGTGGGGAAGGCTTTCTTTGTGGGTGTCAGCAGAGCTGTGGAATTGGGGCCCTGGGCCAAGAGTTTACTGGACATGTTGCGAATCCCTGCACCCTTTTTTGTTTTTACCTCCATGGCATATCTCTCCCCGTCAATGCTGTGCTCCGATCCAGGGCTCACCCTGCTTTTCTCCCCCTCGCTGTCTCCCCAGTGGAAGTGGAACTGCACCGCCTTGTATTTCCCCTGGAGGCCACCTGACTCGATCTTTGCTGTCCCATCAAGCTGCACTTGGACTGAGGGAAGCAAAAAAGAAGTGCCCTTTCAGGTCATTCATTATTTCAAAAACATGTTATCATTATAAACCGGGGGTTGCGTGGGAACCTCCACCCCACAGACCTCCTTTGCCCCACTAGGCCATTTTAGCCAAGCCATGCCCAGATGCCACACACCAGAGGTCTCTGTTTCTCATATTTTCTCTGTTTTCTAATATTTTCTTTTTTTTAAAGAAATGTGTCTTTTATTGGTTTCATATAAAACAAATACACCGGTGACAATGAACAAATGACACTCACATCCCACTCAGTCATGACTTCTTTGTTTTCAATGTGAATATACTAATTATATAAAATTTTTGTTAACCCAGAGTATCTTTCCAGAGTGACCTGTGTGGAGCAAGTAGTTGGTAACTATGTTACTTCGCTGAAGCATACTTTACAATGCTATACCACATCAAAGTTATCAGTTTTAGTAATATTACTACATGCCTTCCTTCGTGAAGTCTTTCCATCAAAGCGACAAACCATAGCTGTTAAGTACCAAGTTTCAAACGCATTAGCAACGGGGTCTTTCCAAAATATTGCAGCAGTCAATCTTGCAGCTCATTTTTCTAATATTAAATTCAGTTGTCCCAATTTCTGCAGCAATTTGGGGTTTTAAACAAAATCCTCACAAAAATTAATCAACATTTTAGTGCTTGCAGTTTTCACTGGCATACATAGTTTTTTTTTCTAACTTTCCCTAATATAATGCATGTTTGTATGTTTTCTTCATGAAGATATTCACTTTGCACATTAAATAAATGTGTTTGTGTCAACATTGGTTGAAGAACTGCATCATAAAATTTGGATGAGTCTCGTGCTCTACAGACTGGATACGTGTGAATTTGAAAGGACAGCTGTGTTTCAATTAGCACAATGTTTTTAGAAAGTGTGAAGTTCTTTTTAATACAGAGACTCCTAAAAAGTGCCAGTGGCAACAACTCTTCTCTTTCATATAAGAGTAGTGATGGGGGATAAATTCAGTTCAGTTTATTGTAATATTCTTGTTCCAATTAATAATTCTTGTTATTTGCTGCTATTACTACTACTACTACTACTACTACTACTACTACTACCAGCAGCAGTGGGTCTCAGGGCAGGTTACATCAATTTAAAATCCAGAATGAAAACATTTAAAAGAAACCACAGTCACAGGAATAGGGTGGGATGAACTTACCATATCTGCACTTTCTGAAAGAGTGTTCGGATGTATTAGGAGGAATATGTGCATATCAGGAGAAACTCACATTAAAATGTTGGTGACATTCCAGGGGGACTTTTTTAAAAAACAACAACAACCTCCAACTGATGGGGATATGTGGAGAACCAAACTTAAGCTTGAAACGGAGAGAAGCCAAAATTGGCAGGTACCCCCATTCCTCCATAGGAGGAAATGACTCCTGAGAGAGGATGGCTGCCATGGCCACCTGCATCTCCTAAAAGAGAAGTGGTCAACCTGTGGCCCTCCAGATGTTCCCATCTTCCCTGGTCATTGGCCATATTGGCCAGGGCCAGCCCAAGACATCTTTGCACCTGAGGTAACCTTCAAAATGGTGCTCCCCTCCCCTCCAATGAAGAAGGGGTGAGTGAAGATCTACATCGAGCACAAGGGCGATGGGGAAGAATGATCTGCATCCCAATCTGTTGCCCCTGTGGATCCTGCCACCTGAGGCAGTTGCCTCACCTGGCCGCATAGGTAGGTCGGTCCTGATCCTGTCTTTAACTGATGGGAGGTGCAGTCCCACGGGAACACTTTAAGGACACCACACCGGTTACTCTTGCAATACAATAGGTTATATCTTATAACATTTTCACCTCTCACCTGTATGGCCATTATTTACTACTGTCCAGGGTTTTTCTGGCTTGGCGTTGTATTTTTCAAACTTGAATGGCTTGAGGTCCCAGTCGTATTTCACATCGTTGGTGAGGATGTTGATAGGAGACTGTTGACTTTTTCCACACTCCTCGAATTCCTGTACCCAGTGGCGGGGTTCTGTCGAAGGTGTCGTGGGCAGGAGGGGAAGATTGTTTCAGTGAAAAAAAAAGTTGGAGAAAGTTGTGCCACTGAATGAACCAGGCTCTCTGCAAATCAGGCCAGGCTTTTTGAAATATTAGCCAGCCTTAGGAATGCAGATGCCAGCCTTGTGCTCTCCGGAATAGTTGGACTACATTTACCATCATCCTGACCATCAGCCATGCTGGCCAGGGCTGATAGGAGTCTTAGTCCAATGATGTCTAGAATAACCAGCTTGGGAAGGCTAGTACATGTCATCACTGTATTGTCTAAGGTGGCTGGTTAAAAACCTGGCTGCTTCAAAAAGCCTAAGCACAATTGTTTTGCTGACTTATCTGTGGCCCCATCTGCACTAGACATTTAAAGCAGTACCATACCACTTTATAAACAGCCATGGCTTCCAACAAAGAATCCTGGGAACCATAGTTTGTTGTTTGGAGACCCATTTATGTAGCAGAGGGGCTGGATAGCCATGCTACTACAGACTTTATAAATGATGTACATGGGAAATTAAAGTATAGAACAAAAGAGTTTTATGTGAATGTGCATCTCTTACAATGGTATCAAAGTAGTGGCCACTCTGTGTTCCCCAGGACTGCTTCCCTCCATGCAAGCACCCCTGTTACACTTTGGGTTCCTACTTCCAGCCACTTTCCTTGCAATATTGATCTCTGTCTTCTTTTTGGTACACGGATGAGCAATCTTGGCCTGCTGCCAAGAATGGGCTCACCACCCTGACCCCTACCCAGCACTAACTTAAGCACACTTACAAGACGATTGAGAGGTTTGTGTTTTCTTTTAAAATCTGCTATGAATTACCTAGACAGTGTTGGCTTTGACACCGCTGTGACAGATAGCACCAGTGGCTTTCTCCTGTAAGAGAGATCATAACAGCCTTTAGACAATTAACTCTTTGGGGTGGGGAGTCAATTTTTTTTTATTTTTAAAAAAAATATTTATAACAGTCATGACACATATGAGTAGAAACAAAGGAGAAGAATTGTAATTAAAATGAGAACAGAAACTTTGCACCTTTGAAAAACAGATAATTTCTCAGTCAGTATCTTCTGTAACAGTGCAAAAGTGGGGGCCACAAACAGAAACGGCTGCAGTTTCCTGATAACTGACAGTATCTTTCTAGAACCCGTATTGCCAAGCCCCAAGTGGCTCTGTGATAGTTTAGCATCTGAAATATAGAAGTTGTTTTTAAACAAATATTTAAACTAATAGATGTTGTATAGGGTGCTGGAGTTCACGGTTCCACTCAGTTAGTGATGCTTTCCTCCTGAATACTCTCCATTTCATCTCCCCAAGCTCGTTTTCTATCCTTCCCCCTGACAACAATCAGCCCACATTCCACAGCCACTGAGCATGCTCAGAACCTCATTAGGCTGTTTTTCAGTGCCTTTCTCCCAAAGATCTTGTGAACTTCTGCAAAACTTGTGGAGATTTTTTTTTTTTGAAAGATCAGAAGGTGGTTGTTTTTTTTACCTATGCTTTAGGAAATGGGCTGCCATATGCCTGGATGTTCCAGGACATATTAGCTGGCTTTTCAAAAATTCAAAAATTCCTCCTGGACACCATTTTCAAGGGACGAATCCCGGCGATGTCCAGACGTATGGCGGCCCTAGGTTCCCTAAGCAATGGTACCCATATCCTGAGTATTGGAAATAGGGAGCCATTCTGTCTGCATCTAACCTCTCCTGCAAGCTGGTGAGGATGAAAATAGCAAAGAGAACCATATATGTTGCCTTGAGTTCCTCAGGGGAAAAGTGTGATGCAAATGTCATAAATGGACCTAAGTTAAGAACATCAGAAGAGCCCTGTTGGATCAGGCCATTGGTCCATCTCTTTCCCAGAAGCCTGTGGGAAATCCACAACCAGGACCTGAGCACAAGATAACTCTCCCCTGCTTCCTCCATGAATTTGTCCAATCTTCTTTTGAGGCCATCCAAGTTGGTGTCCATCACTGCCTCCAGGGGGAGCGAGCTTCATAGCCTCAAGTAGAAGTACTTTTTAAAATCTTTGCTGAATCCTCCAACATTCAGCTTCATTGGACATCCCTAAATTCTGGTGTTACGAAACTTTTCCCTGTCCACTTTCTCCCTGCTGTGCATAATTTTATAAACTTCTATCATGTCACCTCTTGCTTGACTTTTCTCTAATCTAAAAAGTTCTAAACGCTGCAAGTTTTCCTCATGGGGGAGTTCTTCCACCCTCTTGATCATTTGGGTTGCCCTTTTCTGAACCTTTTCCAACTCCGCAAAAGTCATTATAAATATTCCAAAAATCAGGTTTTTTTTAAACTGGAATTGGTCTGTGCTGTGGTTCCCCCTTGAACCTTGAACCCTGGCTGTGCACCATCCCAATATTGTCCCAATGTGCCTCCTTTGCAAAGGAGAGGTCCTTTAAAGGTCGTCACCGAAGCAGCAAAATAACATTTCCCCAGTCAGCAGAATTTTGATCTCACTCAATAATTCAGTGAGATGAGCTCTCCCAGGGCGTCTTGTTTCTTGCAATGTCAGCATTTGAGTTAGCCTGAAATCGAAGGGGATGGAAAAGAGATTCTGTTTAAAACTGCGGGGTCTAAGTGGTTAATGCAAGTGCCTGCATTCTGGAGGGCAACAGGGTTCTTTCTTGTTTGTGTGTGTGTTTTCTGAGTGCAACCCTCTATCTGTTCTCCCTTTGTCCCAGTGCTTAGCTTTTTCTACATCTCTAAGCATCTAGAGCAGTCTTTGCCAAACTAATGCCCCCCAGCTGTCTAGAACTACAATTCCATGGCTTGGGTGGTTATTTGAACCCTGCTCTCCCAGGTCCTAGTCTGACACTCTAATATAAACACTTTTGTACATGATTTTGCTTAAAACTCACATTTTTTTGCAAAGCTGTTCTTCTAATTCATGCATCGGCTACTTCAAGACTGGATTACCGCAATGCACTTTGTGTGGGGTTTCCCTAATGCTTCGTCCAGAGGTTGCAGTTAGTGCAGAATGCTGCAGCACGATTGCTGACAGGAATGAGGCCTTGTCAGCATATAACACCCATGCTCAGAGCCCAGGACCTTGTTTGAGTATCTGAGCTGAAATGAACTCAGTCTTTCCACAGCAAAAATCCATGCCTTTGTTATTCCCTCTCACTCCCCAATCTTTTTACAGAGGTCTTTCTCCACCTTGTTAATTAAGGGCCAACACAGAGCCTGAGTGCTGAGTGATGCTAATTTGATCGGGAAAAACTAGAAGTAAAGATAAAACCTTTGGCCAAAGCAAATAAAAGTCCATTTCTACAAATATTATTAAGCGGATTAGGGTTCGTGTGACTCTGATCCTTCTAATCAGTATCTGATAAGTTTTATCCTCTTTCTCAAATTTCAGAGCTAATGTCTGGGGTTTTTTTATTTGCTTGTTTTGTTTAAATCATGGTCTACTGTGGTTGTAGAGAGCAGGGGGGGGGGGGGAATATGGAGGCTTCCAAGGGCAAGTACTCCAAGCCATTCAAATCATGTAGCTGAAAGACCAAAGGAAAAGGTTACAAATCCCCATTCTACAAATCTGCCCCTTTTCCAGTCTTGTTCCTGGTGGGAGTCACTCTGTTTTTCCAATTTTGCTCTGTCTGTTTTCCTCGGGACAATGTGAGGAAACAGCATTGCCTCCCCAGGTGTGTATCTCTGCCAAACAGCTCAGCCTTGAACAATGGGCTGTCAAGTGGAGCCTTGAGACCTCTGCATGCCTTGGAAGGACAAGTTGGGGCCAGGGGAGAGGAACTTCCAATGCAGAACCTCAGATGCTTTTGGGGTGTGGCTTAACAGCCTCTAAAGAGGGATTAGAGCAATTCATGAAGGTTGTCAGTGGGGAACAAGCCATGATGGCTATGTGGAAACTCCAAGTTCAGGAGCAGCCTACCTGAGTACTTCTTGCTAGGGAGCTGCAATAGAAAAAAGGTCTGTTACCTTCCTGGCCCTTCTTATGGCCTTTTCAGAGCTCCTCTGCTTGGCCAAACTGGAAACTAGTTGCTTGCTGCTGCTTATAGACATCATGCCTTTTATTACTAGCTTAAAATGCACATTATGTGCTTAAAACACAGCCAGGTCGTTCTTTTTCTCAATTTGGATCAAATCCGGTTTTAGGGGGGGAAATACCTCAAATGTAGCATTTCATAGGAAATGACAGTATAGACATGGATTGTGGCATGATCATGTGTACACGGCTTCCTAAACCAGTGATGGGAGCACACTGGATGCAGAGTAAACAAGAGCATGCGCACAACTTGTGATGTACATCAGCACATATTGTGGCACTGAGTTCCATAGCTTAATTTTGGCACACCATGCTTCTTTTCGTCAGCCCCAAATCTCCTGCTGATCACATTACTGTGCTTTCACATTCCTGTGTTTTAAAATTCTGATTTATTAGCTACATAGGAATCTGCCTTATAGTGTGCCAGATCCCTAGTCCATCTTGCTCCATATTTTCTATACTCCACCTGGAGATGCTAAGGATCAAACCCTGCACCTTCTGCATGCAAGGCAGATGCTTTACCCAGAGCCGTCTTTCCCATAGGGCTTAGTGGTGCGTTGCACCAGGGCGCCGGCCTCTCAGGGGCGCCCCAGCAAGTGGGGGAGCTGTGCGGCTTTGCCAGCGGCCTCCCCTTTCCCTGCATGCCCGCCAGCTGCGCCCCTTCAACCATAAGGCTGGCGGGCGTGCAGCTTCCCTCCCAAGCCTCTGCAGGGATCGCTCTCCTCCTGAGGAGACTTGGGAGGGAAGCTGCTCTCTCCTCCGCGGAGGAGAGCTCTCTCCTCCGCGGAGCAATCCTCTGCAGGGATTGCTCTCCTGCGTTCTTGAATGGTCGGTGATGTGGTAGTGTTATACTGTTTTATTTATGCAAATTGTTATACTGAATTCATATTTTCTACAATCTGTATACGGTGTTTGATTTATAATGTGTGGTTTGCTATGCCTAATAAAGGATTGATTGATTGATTGCTCTCCTGCAGTGGCATGGGGGAGAGTTGCACCCCAGATGGCTGGCAGTGCACAGCTACAGCTACTCCAACACTATCCGTGGTAATTTGGGGCCGCTGGGTGGATATTTGCACCCCGGCGCCGCATCTGCTAATGACGGCCCTGGCTCTACCACTGAGCTATGGCCCTTCCCCAGCAGCAGCAGCAGAATCTAAAGAGGAAGCCAAGACAAAGAGTGCCACTCCGGGTGTGGGAAAGCTGCAATAATTATTTACCACTGAAACATCATAAAGAAATAAAATTGCCCTCTTGTTAGTTGTATAGAGATGTGTCCTGCACCAGAGAGCAATTTGTAGACAGGAGGAGTTTCCGTCTCTCCTGAATCACTAACGAGACCCTTCTTTTGTGTTCTGAGCTGCCCAGAGAAGAATGTCATTAAGTGGCCTATATAAAGACTCCAAGTTAAGTAAAAATAGTATTACAAGAAAGGGAGAAAAACTTCTCTCTATCCAGTTTCCTCACCTCATGCATAATTTTATAACCCGTCCTGTTTTTGCTATACTAAAAGGGCTTTGAACGTTGCCTGGCATTGCTTGCCTTTTTCTGCACCTCCCTCCCCAACTGTAAAGTGTGTGTATGTGTGCATTTACAAAGCAAAGTGTTTTTAATTTATGTAGCAAAACTGTTTCAGCTTCTGCCTTCATCAGCTGCTCTGATACAAATTAAACGATGCTGTTTCCAAAGTGGCTGTTAATGGTGTTTTGCTCAGAAGGGCTTCATTTCCTGAAGCTAAGCAATACTGCGGCCATCGTTCAGGTTGAGACCATGCAGCGTTAATGTGTCCACCATGTACTTCCCCTTCTTTTGCTAACATTGTGGGATTTGTTGGCTTCGCAGCTTGCAAGAAGCACAGTTTGATGCCTGCCTGCCTGCCTGCCTGCCTGCCTGCCTGTTTTTAGATGGAGGGACCAGAACTGTACAATATCCTGTGTGCGCCTGGCAGTGATTGATCTGTAGATTTGCATATGCACATAGATTTGTATCCTTTGTCCTTGTTAAGGATGGGTGAATCTGGCCAATTCATTTTTTCTTCATTCCCCCCCACCATGAAGTTCACTTCACCCCATTTCCAAGTCAATCTGCAGATTGTTTAAAAACTCCAAACTAAAACGCATGAAAATTTGGAAGCCATGTCTTCAAATACGCAATTCTGCATGTTTTCAAGCAATATTTCCCCTAATAAAATGTAGGGTTGGTTTTTTTTTTTTACACCGTCATTTCCACAACTATATGCATTTTTGTGCAGTTTTTGGTTGGAGAACCGTTCCAGAATTTGAAGAAGCACCTATTTTGAAGGACAGATATGTTTTGTTTTGTTTTGCTTGTTGCTTTGGGAAGTGTGAATTTGGGAGCCTTGCCTAGCCCCTTCCCAGCCCCTATTTTGTTGAGATACTTCAGGGGCCAACTATCTACACTTTCCAGAAAAAATTGAAGACATTTTTGTTCTGACAAGCTTTCTCAGACAGACAAATTTGGCCTCAGCCATAGGTGCCTCCTTGGTGCTGTTTTCAAATTTATCTGATGTTATTTTCTGTGTTGTTTTTAACTGCTTTTAATTGCCTTGAGATGTGAGGAAGGCAATGACTAAATCAATAAATAGTGTTGCATATTAGTCCCTTCAGCTAAAGGTGTCCCCACAAACTATTGTGTAACCCCATAGAAACCTCTGGCTCTTTCCATTCTCATGGGGACTCTAGGGCCAGCTTTCTTTCTTTCTTTCTTTCTACTTGAGCAGATGATCCGACTTTAGTAACCTGTATTTCCCATTTCCTAGCTTTAACCCCCCCCCCCGTTTTGTTCCTGTATAACAATAACACGCAAATATGTGTGTTCTTTAAATTGTAGCTATGAGCATGTGTTTAGGTTATCAGCAGAGACTTGGCCAGGAGTTGGGGGAGAACTTGTACAACTCTGTCCAACAAGATAAAAATAAAAATCTGTATGTTGCTTCCCAACCTCAGCAAGTTGCTGTTAACAACAGCATAAGATCATAGGTACATCAGAAGCTGCTTTATAATAGATCAGTATTGTCACTACACTGACTGGCAGCAGCTTCCCAGGGTTTCAGAGGGAGAATAATCTCAGCCCTTCCTGGAGATGCTTGGGACTGAACCTGGGACCACCTGTGTGCAAAGCAGACATTCTAACCTTGAGCTACGGCTCTTCTGTGGCTTACTGTGGTTCACAGCCCTGTTTCAGTACCAAGCCACCACCCTAGAGAAGGAGTATTTCTGAGCACATGCAGAGTTCAGTTTTCTAGTCACTGAGTGAGCAACAGCCTTTCCCTCTGCGTGTCAAAGTTTCAGTTATTGAGGAACAGAAACTGGAAATACCACAATAAAATCATAAGAGACATAGGCAGAGGGCCTTCTTGGTAGTGGCACCTGCCCTGTGGAATGCCCTCCCACCAGATGCCAATGAAATGATACAACTATCTGACTTTTAGAAGACATCTGAAGGCAGCCCTGTTTAGGGAAGTTTTTAATGTTTGATGTTTTATTGTGTTTTTAATACCCCGTTGGGAGCCGCCCAGAGTGGCTGGGGAGGCCCGGCCAGATGGGCAGGAAATAAGTAATATATTATTATTATTATTATTGAATTTTCTTTGTGGGGGAGAGTAGACAGGTGATCGGAGGGCGGGGGGCAGGGAGAGCAAGCTAGTTTCTCAGAAAGTAAAAATGAGAAGCATAGTGTCTGTATATTCCAGGTTCCACAAAAGCTAGATATATATTTACCCTCTGGGAATCTGGAGATTAGGATTCATTGGGGTGGGGGAATTATTCCCCACCCCCAGATACATTTAGACAGAGGGGTTATTTGGGGGCAGATTTTATGTGCTGCATACAGTCGCTTTGTTTCTCAAGAGATCCCAGAGCTTTGGGCAAGGGGAAGGTCAAGACAAAAAAACAACTTTATCAGAATTGCGGAGCACCTTCCTTCCAAGGAAAGATTAGCATGTTTGCGGGGTTTCAGAGCTAAAAGGGCATTTGGAGGTGGGGTTATCCATACCTCCCTATAACCTTCCCTCAGCACTTTCCTCCCAGCTGAGGTCCCTAGGTATGTGAGCCTGCTTAGGCATTGCAGCTGCAGCTACAGAACCGACTCCTTGGAACGACTCCCTGTGGCTTCTCTCCGCCACTGTTTCCTTTTGGACAGTGTCCCCATTACAAATAGGGAGGAACAGATGGGGACGTGTCTTGGCCCTTCTGCGGACATCCCTTTCCGCTCTGACTCCCCTTCCGTGGTTCCTGTGCTTATCAGCTCCATTGTCCGGCTCAGGCCAAACTCGATCCCTGCTGCGTGGCTGCTGTAGCAAAAATCATTCTGCTGGACAAAACAAAGTCCGCTCATACTTGTCCAAGCATATTGAGGCTCTTCTCCCCAGCTGCTCTGTTGGCAAGCCGCCAGTTGTAAACTATTTGGGGCAGGGGCGTGCCATTCAAAGCACCATGCCCATTGCAAGGACAGAGGAAGCTGCCCTATGCTGAGTCAGGCCATTGGTCCATCTAGCTCAGTATTGTATGCACTGACTAGCAGAGGCTCTCCTGGATTTTATGCAGGGTTCTCTCCCAGTCCTGCCTGCAGGGGATTGAACCTGGGACCTTCTGCATGCAAGACAGGTATCCTACCACCGAGGGACAAATGTCTGAGTGACTGCAGCCCTTCGCATTGATTAAGGTTCAAGGAATAACATGTTTCAGGGAATAGCTCAGTTGGTAGAGAATGTGACTCTTAATCTTAGGGTTTGGGGTTCGAGCCCCATGATGGGCAAAAGATTCCTGCATTGCAGGGGGTTGGACTAGATGACCCTCAGTGTCCCTTCCAACTCTACAATTCTATGATTCTATAATTCTATTAATTCACAAGACAGGAAAGCCATAACCACTAGATACCGGCACCTCTCTCTCTGTTTGTATGTGTGTCAATCTCTAATGTGTGCTTGGGGATGGGGGACAAAGTTGATTCAGTTCACCTTTAAAGGTGAATGTACTGAATTCACATTTTCCTAAACAATATAAGAATCAAAACACAGCCATCCTACAAAATTCACTCTTCTCTGAATTTTGCAATGCAGTTCTTCAGCCAAACGATATGTACAAAAAGGCATATATTAGGGGGAAATGTGCATAAAAATGCATATACAATGCCATACAAAATGCATTTTATTATGGGATCTTCACTGAGGTAGCACATGCTTTGATTGGCTGTGCGGTTCTGAGAGAGTTTTTCCTTCATATGTTTGGTTAAAAGTTTTCCTGTTATGTAGAAGGCCTGAGCTAAGAAAGACAAGGCATCTCTGTAGCATTCTGTTCAAATTATACACTGTTTTTGTTAAGCTAGCTCAATAAAGTGTTATCAGGACTATTCTTTCTGGGTTCCCACCTGTGTTATTTAAGTGGCTAACATTCCATCTAATTCTGATTGGCAGCATCTCCCTGGGGTTTAAGGCAGGGGTCTTTCTCCCATCCTACTCTAAAATGTTCGGCCTTGCAGCTTCTGAAGTATGGAAACACTGTTGGGTTGCAGTAGTGACACTCTGGATCCTTTTGAGAGCTTCAAATGGTGGAGTTCATTTTAAGGGCAGTTATGTTCCCAGGCATATTGGTCTCATCAAACACAACCCCACAAATAATAACTTTTTTAAACTACAAAGCTTGTTGTGCTTCTATCCTTTCAATGTGGCACTTTAAATTCCTCTTACCTACAAATTGCTCATTGGCAAAGGACACACCTATATCCATTTAACAAGACGGAACTTAATTTTGTTAATGCTTCAGTGGTAAAGAATTGTCGCATCTTTCCCACGCCCAAAGTAGCGCTCTTGGGAACAAAAGAAGAGCCTGCTGGGTCAGGCCAACGGCCCATCTAGTCCAGCATCCTGTCCCCACAAGTTTGTATGACAGGTGGCTGTCCCCATCTTGATCCTGGAGACTTGTCAGGCAAGGATGTGGAGAATGCAGGCTTAATCTTCCATCAACTCTAGCCAGCAAAGCCAACGCCTATCTTTCCTCACCATTGGTCATGCTAGTTTGGATGGACAGGAATTGATGTTTGATGGGTGTGCAGGACCACCCACCTGTCAGCCACATGATGTCTCAATGACATCATCAGGTGACCTGTTTCACCCTTCCCCACAATTTGAAATCACATCATTCAGGAAGAATGTACAGCACTTTGCAGGCGGTGGCCATCACCCATCAGAGCAGCAATATCTGCAACCCCACTTTTGGCCTAACTGCACTTTTGCCTGCAGGGAGGTCGGTACTGTACAGGCACATTGGCAGAGCCAATCCAGTGCGAGGCACCATCCTTCATCACCCACCGCTCCTGGGATCTTTAAAGCAGACTTGGAGCAGAGAACCAGCTGGCTGGCCATGCTTGGAAAGCCCAGTGCAAAGCACTGACTATCATCTTAATCTAGGGATTTAGAGTTGTTATCTGTGTTTATAAGCACTCTCTCTTTTCCCCCTTTAGATGTCTTTCTGCCTACCTGAACAGTGCTGCCGTATGCACAGCAAATAAAATACTACACCGTTAGCATGTGCATGCTATAGGCAGCGAGTGTGAGAGAGAGATCACATCCCTTCCATTTGTGCAAAGCGTTACCTCTTGACATTCTCTAATCAATAGGATGCCTCTGGCACAGTAAGCTCCTGTTTGAAGGAGGAAGCCAAGCTAACTTTAAATGAAACAATAAACAAATTCAGGCAAAAGGTGAGTTCCTCCCTGGGGGACAGTTTGCTCTTAGGTTGAAGAGGGCATCTTCTCCCAAACTGTGGCAAAGGCAACTGGTCCTATGGCATTCTTTCCTGTGGGTGCTTAAACAAAGCCAGCAGGAGCCTCCCTTGCATCACACAGAGAAGTCATCACGGGAGATGGCGCTTTTTGGCAATTGACTTGATGATGTTAAAGTTGATGATTAAAGTTTCCGTGCCTATGGAGGGATTCCGTAAGGAATGGTTACGAAAACCTCCAATGTGCCTTCCTGCATCAGATAAAGATCTATCTAGTGCTTTCTTTCCATTTTAGATTGTAAGGTCTTCAGGGAAGGGGCCTGTCATACTGCACTATGTCATGTAAATTGATGGAAAATCTATTTTTGTAGTTGCATGCATTTCTTTTCTTTAAAAAAAATCCATGGGAGAAAAAGGGAGAAGGCTGTACCTTAACTATCACAAAAGCAGGCAGCGTGGAATTCCCTGAAGCTCATGAAAGCGTCACCTCCCGCCAGCAATGGTTGTTCCCAGCATCTGGTCCTTAGGGGTTGATTGTCTCTAATCAGGGAAGTTTGCTTTGGGTACCATGGCGAGTAACTACTGATAGATGGTTCCTCTGCCAACTGGCTAGACACTTCATTCGAAAGCTGTCCAAGCAAGAACACTGCATCTTGTGGCTGGGAGTTCTACAAGCGAATGGAGTGTTATATGGGAAGGAGTTTTTATTTTTGTCAATCTTGAACTGGCCGCAAATTAAATCCACTGGTTGACATGTCACTCACTCCAACCTTACCCGGAGTTCTTTTATCATGAGAACAAAACAAAAAATCCCCCAGTTTATACCTCACTAAATGGGAAAGGCAATAGCTTGAATCTGGAAAAAGGGGACCCTCTCTCCAATGGCCCTGAAACTTCCCCTCGATCCCACCTGGCTCTGCATCCATTCCTCTTGTGCACATAGCACAGTGGTACAGAGCACACAGAACGGCCCAAGTTCAATCCCCAGAATCTCCAGGTAAAAGGGTCACATAGCAGCCGATGAGGAAAATGCCTTCCTTAAGCCCTGGGGAGCCAGTACAAACGGTCTGATTTATTTATTGGTGATGAGGAGCATAAAATCAACAAATAATTCATGGAAGAAATATGAAATATATCACAGAGCCACTTAATTCATCCCCCTATGAGGCAATTTCATAGTAGATCCCTGCATATGCTTTTGAGTACCTTCCTTGAAGGGAGGGGGGGTCTAATAAATACATTACCAAACAGGTGGGAGTATATCTGAATGTTGCCATAACTCTTAGACCTGCTGTTATGGTGGTGAGCTCCTAACCTTTCACCTTTGTTCTTTGGAGGCTGTGATCATATGTGTGTGTGTGTGTGTGTGTGTGTGTGTGTGTGTTTGTGTGTGCACATGTATGTGTGTGTGTATTCTTGTAGTTACTTTCATGCTTGACTGACAGTAATATATGTTTGTTTGTTTGTTTGATTAATTAATTAATTCATCAACATAGCTACATCAATCTCAGGGGGGCAGCCTAGGTGAACAAATTAAAGTTTTTTTGGAGATGCCTAAATGCCAACAATGTTGGTACTTGCCTGGTGTTCATTGGGAGCACATTCCAAAGGGCAGGTGCCACCACACTAAAAGCCCTGATCTTAGTGGACATGAGGCAAATCCTGGGAGCAGCCAACACAACTAAGATTGTCCCTCCTAAGGAGTGAAGTGACTGGGCAGGAATATACAAGGCAAGGCATTCTGGGAGGTGCCCTGGTCCCAAGTTGTTCATGGCTTTATAATGCCATATATAAGCAGCCAGTGAAACATGCCATATTTCAGTGCAGGTGTTATGCTGCACTGTCAAATAGGGTGCCCCACTCAACAACCCTGCTGCTGCGTTAAGGCAGCTTCTTCTGTCCTCATTTGACTTCTTAGCCCTTCAGGCTATGCACAGCTGATGTCATGTGGCTTTAGGCAAGGGAAATGTGGGTATGGTTCATCCAAAACTGCCTAGTGGGCTTAATTGCATCCATGGACCAGTGGTATCTTGCCACAGCTTTAAAATATTGACTAGCTTCTCTATATTGTATGGTTTTTCTCTAAATGAAGGTAGCCTAAATAAATAAATAAATAAATAAATAAATAAATAAATAAATAAAGGTTGGCATGGACATTTGTGGGCATGCAGCAGGACCAACAACCTTCCTTCTCTGTTGGTCTCCTGTTGACTCATCCATTTTCTCCTGCCTTGTCAGATCAACCCTAACTCTTTTCCTGTCCTTGCTTTGGTCTTAATGAAGACTCCCCCATTTCTTCTCCCTTGGTCTGACTGTGGTAAAGGGGACCGAAATGGGCAAGCAAAATGTTCAGCATGGGAGTGGTTGCAACACCTTCCTTAAGGCTAAGAACAGATGGTGGGAGCTTCTGGAAATGATTGATGGAATCATATTCAGAGCCTTCCGGGATTAGCCAAGGAAACTGATAAGCAAACACTGGATTGAAGACAGGGAAAATAAAGTAGGGGTGGGGAGGGAGTTTGGATCCAGCCACTGGGCCAGATCCTTATCTCTCTATTCCTCTGTCAGTCAAGTACTACATCAGATTCTTCAAAATGTAGACAGCCTGCCCATAGCTCAGTGGTAGAGCATCTGCTTTGCAAGTAGAAGGTCTCAGGTTCAATCCCCAGCATCTCTAGGTAGGACTGGGAGAGAGTGCCTGCCTGAAACTCTGGAGAGCTGCTGCCAGTCAGTGAAGACAATATTGAACTAGATGGGCCAGTGATCTGAATCAGTATAAGGCAGCTTCCGACACTGCTGTTTGTTTTGCAGAGAAGGGTCCTTGACTTCTGCCCTAAAGACCTACCCGGACGGCACCGGAATTGCATTTTGGGCTCCTCCTGCTGTGTGGGGCACTTGACTTCTGCCCCAAGAGTCCCATTCTGATGGTGCAATGTGGGTATGTATATCTCCTTTAGGGGCAAGATGAATCCATTGCCCACTCTTGAGATTTAACATCGCCTGGGGGGAAGGAGCTGAGCCTTGAAGAATGACAGCTCTAGCAAAATCCGAGGAAGCACATTTGAAGAAGGCATTCCTGACAGGCCCAAAGAAATGGGGACAGCAGTTTACCAGGGGGCAGGAATGGGAAAGGAGGGCCTGTCCCTGATAAACAGGGACAGTTGGAAAACGTATGTGTCAGAGTAAGTGAATGCAAAGCAATCAGCCCTTGAGTCCCAACTCAGCACTTCTTTCTTTGAAAAACTCCTGCTTGTTAACATGAAGAGAACAAAATAAGGTCAGGCCTGTGCTTGGTACGGGATGGTGAGAGGGCAGAGGAAACCTTGCTCACTCATTAACTATACTTAAAAGAAACAAAACAAAAACTCAATAGGGGAGAATACTGGGCGGACTTTAAACTGACAGTGCCTTGTGGATGTGACAGGGCTATGGATTATTATCTTCTCTCTCTCTTTCTCTTTTAACATGCTTTGTTAGTTCAAGAGGCTCATCTTCCTGATTCAGTGCTTTTTGTTGTGGACAGATGTGGACAGAGTTGAATCCTGCTGGCTGCAATCTCGTTTCATCACTGGGTGGTGGAGCTTGGGGCATGCATTTCTGAGCATGGACAGAGTGTCCAGGCGGAAGATGAGGAGAGAGTTTATCAGCACCTCAGTTCCACTTACTTGAATAGGATATGATTGCCCTACTGGGATAAAATTCCCACTCCGTCACCGTATTTTTGGAGTGAACTGGAGCCAGTGTGGATCAATTGAAGTCAGACCTGTTTATGAATACACTGAATAATAATAATAATAATAATAATAATAATAATAATATCCCAAAGAAGTGGCATAGTTTTTGTCCCCTCCATTTTATCCTTATAACAACCCTGCAAGAAAGGTCAAGCAGAGTGATCAAGATTAAACTGCAAACAAACAAACACAAACAAACAAAATCCTGTATATTTTGAGGAAATATGTTAAGATTATTTTATGTGGTGCAAGAGAGAGGAGGCGGAGAGAGAGAGTGTGTGTAATATTTATTTATTTATTGGATTGATTGATTGATTGATTGATTGCTTTTCTAAGCTGCCCTTCCTCCTCATGGGGAGGCGTTTAGAACTCAGGGTCCTCCAGTGCATCTTGACTGGCAAGAGATTCAGGACAGACAAAAGGGAAGTCCTTCTGATGTCCTTATGGATATGTGCTCCTCCCAGATCAGTGATATGATTTGCAGCAGGGCTGGGTAACCCTGTGTCCCTCCTGATGTGTGGCCAATGGCTAGGGATGATGGGAGATGTAGTCTGATAACATCCATAATGGCTTCCCTTCCCCCTGACATGCACAATCCTCATGACAACCCTGTGAGGTAGGTTCGTCTGAGAATCAGCGAGTCAGTAAGAAGTGACCCTGATTGGGAGAGACACTGCCCAGTGAACTTCATGGGTGAGGGTCTCTTTAGACCTAATCTGAGCCTATAATCTGTGCCCCCTCCCGCAGATATTGTTGGACTCTGGCTCCCTTTAGCCTTGACCATTGGGGTGGCGCTGTGGTCTAAACCACTGAGCCTCTTGGGCTTGCCAGTCGGAAGGTTGGCAGTTCGAATCCCCACAATGGAGTGAGCTGCTATTGCTCTGTCCCAGCACCTGCCAACCTAGCAGTTCGAAAGCATGCCAGTGCATGTAGATAAGTAGGTACAGCTGTGCGAGGAAGGTAAACAGCATTTCTGTGCGCTCTGGTTTCTGTCATGGTCTCTGTGCCAGAAGTGGTTTAGTCATGCTGGCCACATGACCCGGAAAGCTGTCTGTGGACAAACGGCAGCTCCCTCAGCTTGAAAGCGAGATGAGCACCACAACCCCATAGTCGCCTTTGACTGGACTTAACTGTCCTGCTCACTGGGCCTGATGGGAGCTGGAGTCTGACAGCCTCTGGGATGTTGACCTTTTGTGCTGCCTGCAATTAAAATTAGACTTCCTGCCTTTACATCACACCTTCCGTTTGCCTCATGATTTGGAATTGTCCCCCTTTTGAGCTCCTGCAAGCCTTTGGCTTTCCTCAGACAGGCTGATACTGTGCATGGCACATGTCCGTCTTACCAAATATCTCAGATACTTTTTACCTGGAGGTGCGGAAAATATAACCTGGTCATATCTGCACCACCATACATTTAAAGCATATGAATTTCCCCCAAAGAATGCTGGTAACTGTAGTTTACCCCCCACATACCTGCAATTCCCAGCACCCTTCACAAACTACGATTCCCAGGATTCCTTGGGGGAAGCCATGTGCTTTAAATTTTTGCAGGTATCCAACCCATGCCAAACCGCAATCTCCCTACTGTAAGTTGTGTGTTCTAGAGGTGAGCACAGAATCTCTGTTCTCTCAGCTCACCCCAGGCTGTCAGTGGCTTTCTACAACCTTTTTTAAATGTTTGCTAGTTAATGTTTGCTTATATCTCTGATGGTTGAATGACAAGGTTCATCCATCAAGGGTTTATTTTTTTATTATTTTTTTACGGCCTTTGCCAAAGATGGAAGCATTAAAAAACAAAGGGGGAAATGTCACTGTTCTCTTCTTTCCTGCACCCCCCCCCCATTCCCTTGCTTTGATGTGGAGGCTTCATAGAGTTTTAGAGACGTTTGTGGTGCACTCAGCACAAGCTATTTCCTGATGTGAAAGTGGGAATCTTTAGCTTTTGCTATAAATGTTGCTCGTTCTTAAGATCAATTGAAAAGCAACACTTGCATGGATAGAGGAAAAAAGATGAATATGTATGATGTAGACACTGCAGGATGCTGGAATAGATGGGCCAATGGCCTGATCCAGGAGGATCATCTTAAGTTCTTATCTGGATGTTTGGGGCAAAATAGATATTTCTGAAGTTTGGGGATATTTTTGAGGACTGGCAGGTTGCTGCTTCTGAATGCATCTACCTCTGTACCAGGGAGGCTAATGTAACTGCCGTGCTAGATTTATATCTGTGCTTTTCATGCTGCCTTACTTGATAGTTATCCTGATATGCTTTTACTTTTTGAGATGTGATTGATTTTCCTTTTTTAAGTGAGTGATTATTATTCTTAACATCATCATACTTGAGATTTTGAGTACTGCTTTGGGGGGATATGTTTATTTTAAAAAGCAGCGTGTGCATGATTAAAATCAATAAATAAATTTAGCACTGTTGCTTTCCCACAGACAAGAACATTTTGCATGGGAAATTTGCATCTGTTGATGCAAGGCAACGGTGAAATTTGAACCCATGCCCCTCTGATTCTGTGCCCCCCCCAAGCTATTTTCTGGATCACACCAGCATTCCATGTCTTCCTGCAGCTTTTGTTTAATATTTCTTGGGAGACTTTTTTTTGTATCTCTGCCAAGCTAATATTGACAACAAGATAGGATATTTACGCAGGAGCTATTTTTCCGTAGCCAAAAAACCCATTCCCAAAAATGTTTGCATTTTTCTGAACAATACTGTTATTTCAAGATAAGAAATTAAAACAAACAACACCCCCCCGAAGCATACACACAAGTAAACGTGCATAAGATTGTGGTATGAAGCTCGGTTTTTCAGATTTCTACAGATTTACCTGGGAGTAAGTACCGTTGAATTCAGTGGGGCTTACTTCTGAGTAGACATGCACAGGATCACACTGTGACATAGTTCAGACATGGCCATTTTGTCAAGTCTTCTGTGCAATAAGACAAATTTTAACTTACGTTCTGAAAAGTTTGCCAGCTGTTTCACTGGTAAGTGAAATTTAGAGTCCGGGGGCGTTTTGAGGTTGCATGAGACGGGGTAGGAAAGTCCTCACTTTGGGCGGCATTCAATCCATTGATTTCAATTAATCTACTCTGAGTAGTGTTGGATATCACCCTTTAGCATTAAAACTCCCTGAGCATTTTCTACATAATATTGTTATGCTGTAAGCTCTGTCACTGCCTCAAATTACAGTTACAGCCTCAGTTTTGTTTTTGAAGATTTGGCATCAATCATTACGTTTCTGCAAAATAATAGAATACAAAAGTAAGTGCTTTCTTTCTTTTTTTCAAAATTCAGTCATACACAAATTTGTAGACCCTCTGAAATGAATAGAGCTGAGTTAGTTGCTCATTAATTTCAGAGGATCTTCTATGAATATGACTAATGCCAAGAAACAACCCAGTAAAACTTTATAAGGGGAAACAGGAGAGAAAGGGGAGATGGGAGTGAAAACGAGTCAGAAATTGCCTCTGGAGGCAAACCACCAAATCAAGGTATCCTATACACATATAGCCCAATTCTGCCTAAAAACACATGAAATATTGTATTTTCCTCTCCCACTGTTATAAAAAAATTGCTCCATATTGCAATTATCTTATTATCTTCTTGTCTTCTTTCTCGGGTTATCTGAATATTTGTTCATTTTATTCTAGCTACTTTATCCCACTTTTAATTTCCCCTTGATATTAAGGGGTTGTTGTTTTTTAACCCTAGTTATAGCTGATGATTCATTAAGGAAATGAATAGGATACAATTTGATTGTGAAAAAGTTAGCACCCACAAGGGAGGCCTGCAGACGTGATAAAATGCACACCCGCATTCTTGAACATCAAGCAGCTCTGTGAGAGAATATAAAAGCTGACTAGATTCTTAGGAACACAGGAAGTTAGCTGACTCTACACCAACTCAGGGCTTTTCTGAGAAACCTGGTTTACTGAGCATTTATCCTGATTTCCTTGCACAAAGCTCACATGTTAGAACACATCTAGTCACTATCAACCATTCATTCGAATTCATTTACAACAGCATGCATTTATCCTGAATTCATCCTGATTTGCTTTTCAAACCATATAATAAGAAAGATTCACTTTTCAAACCATATAATAAGAAAGTCACTAATAAGAGTGTGGGGAAAATATAAAGACTTGTTAGAATGGAAAACACCATGGTGGCTGTCACCTACTGAAGCATTTTCACTTAAGTTGACCAAAAAGTAAGTTGGTTGACATACAGAGTGTTATTAACAGAGGATGAAGGTAAACTCAAAGGAGTAAGATGAGTTGAAAGATTATTTACAAAGTTGGTTACACCATAGGCAACTAAACAAGATTTTTAAGCAAGATAATAAAAAGGGGGTTGGTTATATAGTTTCCAGATTTAAAAAAGAAATAGTGGAAGAGAATTTTAAGTTGCTTAAAAAAGCATATAGTATTTTATTAGAATAGGAAACTAAAGATGAAGAAGTTAAATCAGTTATGATTAAATGGGGCCAGGATGTGGGACACAACATGCAATTTGAAAGTTGGTGGAAACTGTGGAAAGTTGATCTAAAATTTACAGATTGCATATTATTAAGAGAAAATTACATGAAGATGATGTATAGATGGTATATTACACCAGTGAAAATGGCTAAGATGTTTAGGAAAGAAAATAATAGATTCTCCTAAAATTTATGATTATTTGTTTGAATCCCTTCCACAAAACAGTGACAGTCTGGAGAGGCACCATCAGACTTAGTCTGTCTTGCCCAGAATCATCTGCTCTGGCTTGGCAGCATCCCTCTCAGGGGTCCTGGACGGGGGAATCAGTCCCATCACCTGCTTCCTTTTTAATAGGATATGTCAGGGATTGAACCTGGGAACATCTGCATGTAAAGCAGGTCATCTGCAGCTGAAAAGGCTCACCAATGCAGACTTTTAATCTTTTATAAACTGAAGACATCAGTTTGCCATTTGTGGGGTTGGGGTAAAAGGAATCAAAAGCATAAATAAAGCCTTTCTCTTCTTGATCTGATAGAACACATAGTTTCACGGCACAAATTCAATGACAGGAAACATAAATCAACTACACGTATGGACATGTATCAGACGGGCGAGTGAAATGAAGTCGAGCCACACTCTTCCGATTGCATCTTTGCAAAATAATATCCCTGGAGCCCCGTTGTTGAAGAACAAATCAACCCTATTAGAAACTGTTTCACATCCTTAGGAGAATTAAGAGCATGTAGAGATGATAGACAGACAGATAAACATATAGCATAGTAGATTAAAAATAAAATATAGCCAGCAGCCAATGATACTGTCAGATTGCTGGGGTCTTCAAAAAATCAGATTAGTAAGCTGAAAAAGAAGCTGTACTTAGCATCCTTGAGGAAAATGGATAAAGGACTCACCCTCTGAAGCGGCTGCAGCAAAATACAGTGAGAGCAGAACTAGGAAATTCAGGAATCCCATGATCTCTCTTCCAGATGGGCTGGAAAGATGCACCAGCATAGATCCCTGTATACATGATCCCAGACCTGTCCTGGGGTTTTTATACAGGAGGAGGGCAGGCAGCCCTGATCACCTTTCCTGGACATAAACAGGAGGATGGTGAGAGACACCTCCCCTTTTTAATTCCTCCAGCTATAAACTGTAATAACGATCCCGTCTCCTTTGAAACTTCTTCATTTCCTCCACACCCCTTCAGCAGCTGCTGTCAAAGGAGCAAGATTCTCCTCTGGCCCTGAAGTGCTGCCTGTGAAATGAACTTAGCCAGATGACTAGTAACTTATTAGTTAAGTCAAACTTTTCTTTTACCCCTCACCCCACATTTCTATTTCTCATTATTGCGCCTTGGCTCAGGAATATTGGCAGATAAGGCAGATAATTCAGTGTTTCTTTTATGGCTGTGATATTGCTTCTCTTCCTCCCTCACCCCCTCCCCACCCCATCCAGTGAAACACTGTGGATCATAATCAACTGAACTAGCATGAGAAATATGATATTGATGCAGGAATAATAACAAATACATCCTCTCTGGTGCTGATGGATTCTTGTGCATATAATGCTCAGCAAGTCAGCTGTGTTGGTTTGAGAGAATTCAAATATCTAAGTGAGTTTGGCATCAGGTTGTTTGGGCTATCCACTTTCTGCAGCAGCACAGTACACTGGTTAGAGCCAGGGTGTCAAGTGCCACATTCAAATGGGAGTAATTTGTCAGGGGCCAGAGCTAAAGATGGCAGGAATGACTCGTTCTTTCATTTTTTTCTTTCTACCATTCCCCCCCCCCCCCGAGCATGGATATTGTTATTTTAAACAAAAACAACAATAATAAAGAGTTTACCAGGCTTTATCATGCCTGTGTACCAGGACAGGCCTTCTAGTGCACCACTGTAAATAAGTTAGTTCAATCAATATCAGTTCTCTGAGTCCAGGGCACTCATTCACAGAAAAACTTCCCCATTGCGTCTCTGCATGAGTTGCTGTTCTAGTTTTGCAGCCTTCTTCTCATCCTCTGCCAACTCTTAGTCATTCTGCTGCATCTTTACTTTCGCTATACTTGGTCCATTTGATCCTTCCCAACACATGGAGACACAGCAGAACCTCTTCATAGGAGGCTGCCTGTTGTGTCTCTCCATGGTGTGCTGCCTTAGGCTCTTCTCAGTTTGTTTCTGCCGAGAGCAGCCTGGCAGTTCTCCTATATCTTTGCAGTTGGTATGATTGGACAATCCAGCCACATCTAAGTCACGGAGGCAGCAGAATTATCCTCCTCACCCACTCAGAGGAGTCTGCCCATTGTGTCTCTGTGTGAGCTACTTGCTCTGCTCAGGAACTGCCAAATCTCTGTGCAGTGCCCCTATGTGGTGAACCTTTGAGCTGCAGGTGCAGGCCTTCTCAGTGAAAGTCCTTCAGGCCCTGGACTGACTCCAGCTCACCCCGGCTAGCTATTGAGTCCCTCTTGGACAGGAAGGAACATAAAAGGGGCTTCCTGTCCTAGCTCAGCCTTGCTGAAGCAAGGTCTTTCTTAGCCCTGGTGTGTCCCTTCGTCTTTTGTCATTCTTTGGGTCACAGGCTTGCTCCTTGATCATACCACCTGCTTTGCCCTGTGGTTCTCTGATCCAACACTTCATTCTGACTCCTCACTGACTTCTGCCATGGCCCTCGACTCACCCTGGACTGCTGCCCATGCCCCAATCAGGAGGTGTGCTCAGAAAAGCAATTTGTCTAGAAATGTGTGGCAGTGGTAGCTTGTGCCCATTAGGACCAGTGGAAGAGAGAGCAGGGAGCTCACAGTTAGGTGGAGCCAGAGCCCATGACAGCCAGTCAACTCTTTCTAGTTTTGTCTCCATCTTCCTCCCTGCTGAGTTCTGCAAGGGCAACACAGAGACTGAACAGGAGGAAGTTGACAGAAAGGCCCCCCCCCCCACTGGACTGGTTGTTAAGAAAGAAGACAGACAGGTGGGGGTTGCTTGAGGGGGTAGACTGAGATAGGGTGGAGGCAGTGTCCCATTTGCCCTAATGGACCAGATAATAATATTTGTCAGTCACTTTTCTCACAGCGAGACCCAAAGTGACTTACATTAAAAACGATTAAGAACCAAAAACTAAAAACTAAAAATACCCTTACAGAGATAAAAGGCAGGAGTCCCTCTCCACTAAAAGAGACCACCTTTCAAATCAAGGGCTGAAAGCCTGGAGAAGGAGAAAAATCTTTGGCTGCAGGCTGAAACTGGATAAAGATAGCACCAGACATGCCTCCCTGGGAAGAGAATTTAAAAATGCAAACCAGCAACCTACATATTAATGGCCAGTATTTTGCAGGAGCGATTCGAACACATGTCAGAAATTTAGCTTTGTGCAATTAAAGTGGGTTAAAGGGCTCTGTGAGCTGTGGCGCAACAAATCCACTTCAGTAAATAAATAAAATCAGACTGTTTGCAGATTCCTGCATTGCAGGGGGTTGGACAAGATGACCCTTGTGGTCCCTTCCAACTCTATGATTCTCTGATTCTGTTAGGAAAGTGACAGCGAAATGTACCGAAAAGTGTGGGATGGATGAATGGTTAATGGGAAAATGTATAAACTCCACACCAGCAAAATGGGATCAGGTGCTCATTGTCAGATAACCCTCCCGCAAACAAATCAGAACACATGCTCCAATCCAGACTGGATGTCGCCTGACTGCATCAGCTTAATGCAAGCAGATCAGGATGAATGCTCAATAAGCAGCCCATCTGGAGGACCCCCAACACATCTATTTGGTTCAGATTCTGGGTTGCAACACACTCTTCCTTTATCAGACATCTGAGAAGCAATGCATGTGATCCAATGTTATATTTCTAACAGGAGCCATCCTGAGGCCCCTGAGAATCTCTCACACAAAGATAGAGAGATGCAAGGTTGATGGCTCTCTTTTGTGTTTTGTTTCTGGTTATCCAGTACTCGGGACAAAAAGCACAGCAGATAAGCTTTTGGATCCTGGCACTCACGGAACATGCTCTGATCCCTTTAATCATCAGCTCCCCACCCTTCAGCTGATGCAATTTGCACTGAAAAAGCAAACAACCTGCATATTAACCTAGGTTGGCTCTGAGGTCACATCCATACCATCCATTTAAATAGGGCTGCCATACATCCAGGTTTTCCCAGAATTCTTTGGGGGAAGCCATTAAGAGTGACTAACCAATGGGGCTGTTTGCCTTCTTATTCTTGATGTTGCAAAGATGTTCTCTTAGCACTGTTCTTCTTAGCATCTCAGCTGTTTCCCCTGTGTAAAACTTCTTAACTTGGCCATTGGATAATGTACACTACATTGCCAGCATTGCATGTAGGGAATGATATTAAATGGTACCCATTCATTACTTTGGGGGTCCCCGAAGCCTGTCAGATTTAATGTATAATCTTCAATTATCTAAAGGGTTTTCACATGGATAAAGCATGTTTTCTCCTGCTCTGGAGGCTAGGACCCGAACCAATGGGTCCAGGTTATAAGAAAGCAGATTCCAATTAAACATCAGGAAGAACTTTCTGAAAATAGGGACATCCCATTCCATAATGATAATTTTACCATTTATACCCCACACATCTTACAGGATTGCCCCAGCCACTCTGGGCAACTTCCAACATATATAAAAACATTAAACATTTTTTTAAAAAAACAAAACCCTTCATTGCCTTCAGGCGGCTCAGGGACTGGATAACTCCATACCCTCTAACATTTCTCTGATGAAAATAGGGACGTCCCTGGAAAATAGGGACACTTGGAGGGTCTGATAGTTGTTTGATGGTTGAACTGACTCCCTTGGGAGGTGGTAGAATCACCTTCCTTGGAGGTTTTTATGAGGTGGGCGGATACTCATTCCTGCATTGCAGGGGGTTGGACTAGATGACCCTTGGGGTCCTTTCCAATTCTACAATTCTATGATTCTACCATTCAGTAGGCACAAATGGCCACATGGAAGATGATGCTTTCGAGCAGTAACTCCAGGTAAAAACCTGCTGGCACATGGAACCTGACCCCTTAAACTCGCAGTTAATGAAAAACTCTTTCTCATTTATTTATCTCAAACAAAATCAATGTGTTGTCCCCCCATCCCCCAACATCCTAATAGTCCTTTTTAAATGTACCAGAATTTGTTTATGTTCCTCTGCAAAATGTTTATCATGTGACTGAATGCCAAGCTGGAGTTACACTCTCCTAAAAGATTATGATGGGCAGCATCCAACTCAATTTTGCTTTTGTGTGCGTTATGGTACACACCAGTACAGTTTTTGAACCATGACCTCTTCTTCTGCCGCCCATAGCAGGTATTTTGTGCTGGCATTTGCAATACTTTTCTCAGGATATTAGTACCAGCACCTCATTTTTAATAAAGACTGGATCTAACCGTACATGTCTTTGTAGCAGCCTTCTTGCTCCTGCTGCCTGTCATCACCCTTTGATAGCCTCTCTTGGAGTTTAGATTACTTAATATTTTGGATTCTTGGGGAAAAATTTCCCTCCTAAAGGACAATCCATCACAGTTCCTAGGCAGATGTACTGCAGCAAGGAATTTATGAAGGATGGAAAAAGCAAGGGATTATAACAATGCTCTTGGCTTGGGCCCCAAGACAGCTCCTCCTCCAATGCATCAGTCCTGTTTTCTGCAGAAAAATCCCCAGGAAACCAGAGGTTCAGTCAGCATCTCTAGATAAGCCCGACTTCGGCTGGGGAGGGCGGGATATGAATAAAATTTTATTTTTATTATTATTATAAAACTCTTGCTTGTCGCTTGACAGGAAGGAAGGCAGAGGTGAAAAGGCTTGGCATGAAAATCTTGCCAGTGGGATGGACGACTGCGATAAAAGGACCGCCTCCACCCTTTCTTTCATTATTGTTTCAGATAGGTTTTTTCACCTTTCAAAGCAAGCATTTTCTCAAATGTGATCAAGAGACTAATAACACAGGCAAAGGAACCTCCCCCCCCCCAAGAACCACATTCCCACCTGGGTAATTTCTGGGGGGCCACTTGCTGGACTGGGGAGGGCCAGCGGCAGGTTTACAGCATATTAAATAATAAAACATTAAAGGTAAAGGGTAAAGGGAACCCTGACTGTTAGGTCCAGTCGTGGCCGACTCTGGGGTTGTGGCACTCATCTCGCTTTATTGGCCGAGGGAGCCGGCGTACAGCTTCCAGGTCATGTGGCCGCATGAGTAAGCCGCTTCTGGCGAACCAGAGCAGTGCACGGAAACGCCGTTTTCCTTCCCGCCGGAGCGGTACCTATTTATCTACTTGCACTTTGACGTGCTTTTGAACTGCTAGGTTGGCAGGAGCTGGAACCGAGCAACAGGAGCTCACCCCGTTGCGGGGATTTGAACCGCCGACCTTCTGATCGGCAAGGCCTAGGCTCTGTGGTTTAACCCACAGCACCACCCGCATCCCAATAAAACATTAGCCAATAATTTATCCCAATAAAACATTAGCCAACAATTTATACCAATAAAACATTAGCCAGGTGATATTCCTCTGGCCTCATGAGCTGCCTCTTTTATAGGGCTGGGTGAGTGTGGGCCTCGCCCCCTAGGCCAGGTGGAAAGCGCCTTGCAGGGAGCGGTTTTCATGACCCACAGCCACGTGATGTTCCTCCAGCCTAATGAGGAGCCTCTTTTATAGGGCTGGGTGAGTGTGGGCCTCGCCCCCTAGGCCAGGTGGAAAGCTCCTTGCAGGGAGCGGTTTTCACGACCCACAGCCGGGCAATGTTCCACCAGCCTCATGAGGAGCCTCTTTTTCTACACTAGGGAGGCTAGTTTCTTCACCCTCACTCCCACACCCCTCTCTATCCTCCATCCAGGAAAGCAAGGGGCCTAGGTGCAAGGATGCATTCCTGCCAGGCAAAAGCACTCAAGGAAAAGTGCAGAGCAAAGTCACCTGGGGAGAGTCTTAGGGCCAGACAGAGAGCTCTTCAAAATGTGGCTAATCTGACCTGCTATGTTTGCTCATTCATTCTTCTGAGAGAGACACTATTCTTCTGCCTTCGAGTCCTGTCCTGTTGGCGCCGTTTCCTCTATCACATTCCCTCCACTGCCCCCGGTTAAGTACATTATGGAATGTCCTCTCCAGAAAAGCTCATTTGGCACCCAAATAAATTATTCCGCTACCAAGTGTATAATTATCTCCCGCTTCTGGGGGCTCACAACATCATATGCTTGCCATTAGCTACCTGCATAGTTTGCTGGTTCTTAGACTGGTGTGTGTTGATTTATGTGGGCTTTATCTGACATTGCACTGCAATTTGGGGAAAAAATTCACTAGAGATTTTAAAAAGCAAGTTCAAGTTAATTGTAAACACAGCTTGAAGTGAACCATGAAATCAGAAAAAACAGCCTTCAAATGCCTGCTGAAATAAAAAAATAGGTATTCATCAAGCACCTGAATTTCCATGTCAACTGGGATGGGAGTTATAGTTGCTTGTCAGCTGCCTTGAAGGCTGTGTGATGGTAAAATGTTTTAAAATAAGCTAGAATGACTATTTGCCATGGTGGCTGGAGCATGTTCAGAGGAGAGTGACCAGGATGGTGAAGGGTCTGTAGTTTTTGAAGGGTGCTGGGAATTGTAGCACTGTAGTGGGGGGGGGCTACAATTCTCATAACTCTTTTTTTTTTTTTTAAGGTGGTCCTGTACTTTAAAAGTATGGTGTTTGCACAGTTCACATCCTGTGATGAATATTTTTGGAAGAGCTAAGTTTCGGTTAGAAAAGGAGAAAATAAGGATTAAGAAAGATACGATAGCTGCCTTCGAATATTTGCTGGTGAGACCAGAATCAATGAATGGAAATGGAAGATTTCACCAATACATTATGAATTTTTTTTAGAGATATTTGATAGTGGTGAAGGCTGCTTCGAGAGGTGTCCAGCTCTCTTTTGCTGTCTCCGTCTGTCAGGGTGAAACCTGCCTTGAGCTTAGAGGTCAGAATGGATGACATCTGAGGAAACTTTCTAATACCAAGTCATTTTCTAATAATATAATTTTATATGTATGTTTTTATCTATTTGGGGGAGGGGCAAGGATTGTAACTTTTTTATTTTATACTTTTTTTGGGGGGGTAAAAATAAAATAAACAAGCATGAGAAGAAATATGCATGGAGTACATAAACACAGCATGTTTGTTGGCTGCTTGTTTCGAATCCCACAGAACTTTTGCTCCCCCACCCCAATCCCGGCTAGCTGTCACCACCTACAGAGTCTTTGGTCCATGTTGTGCTCTGGATGGTCTGAATGGGTCCCTTCCTGGTCTTGTTGTGGTCTCCACCAATGTGAGTCACCCCCTCCCACTCCCAAAGTGTGGGAAATGTGCGACATTCAGATTCTTGGGGGAAGGTTACACATGGACATGTTGAAGTTGAAATCTGTAGGGATACAGGAATTCTTCTGATACAGGACGGCGACAAAAAAGTCCTGGTGGAAAACTGGAAAGGGATCACAAAGCCTCCTCTTCCCTTCGTAGCTAAAGAGGAAAGCTTTAATCCATTTTAACACAAAACTAGATAACAGGAGCATTTCATTTGCCTGGACTTTCTAAATGTGCTGTAGGGGGAATCTCAGTGGCAAAATATCTGCTTTGCTCTCAGAAGATTTCCAATTCAACCCCCTCCATCTCCAGGTAGGCTTGGGAAGGTTCCCTGTCTGAAACCTTGGAGAGCTGCTGCCAGTCAGTGTAGACAGTACTAAGCTAGGTGGACCCAATCGTCTGATTCAGTATAAGGCAACCTCCCTCTGTTAATATCAGGGATATGCTGCTTTTGATAGTTACTAGCCATGTTGGCTCTATATACACTGAGGGTGCTGTGGCCCTCCAGACCCTTTTCCCTGGCCCTTGGAAACTCTCCCCACCCCATTGCTCCACCACACCCTCTTTGAGTGCTTTTGCCTGGCTGGAATGGGTCCTTGAACTGTGATAACGTCTCTTGCTTCCCCGGAGGGAGGACAGACAGATGTGGGGTGTTTGTGTAGAAATCCCTGACTTCTGTGTGGCAGGAATATAGCCCACTGTACAAAAAAAAAGGTAATGTTCTGCTCTGTCCACTTTGGCCCACTTAGCTAGCTATTGGCACATGGCCCCTGTGGAGGTTGGCAATGAGGGAATGCAGCCCTCAGATGGAAAAATGCTCCCTGCATCTGATATATATGATGTCTCTGAATACCAGTTGCTATGGATCGCAAGCCTCTGGGGGAAACAGGATGCCGAACTGGTCGGGCATTTGGTCTGATCCAGCAGGGATCTTCTGATGTTCTTAATCTCTTGATCAGCTAAGATCTGTCCAATGAACTGGGCAACAATTTCCCTTTTTAAAACAATAAAAAAGACAAGTGTTTATAAAAGGATATTTCAGAGCTAGAAAAGTTTCAGAAAAGGGCTGTGATGTGATCAAATGGCTGGAGCAACTCTCTGAGGCGAGGTCATCGAGTTTGGTGCTTTTTAGTTCAGAAGAAAAGATGAGCAATGGGTGGGGATGTCATAGAGGTTTGCAGAATTGTTCATGGTGTGAAGAAAGAGAGAGGCTTTTCTTTCTCTGGGCTTGTTCACATTTCCACTCGTGCCATATTTTATTCTGCAGAAAACCCGACTGACATTTGTTACCACTCAGCAGCAAACAGCGGGTTTCTCCATGGAAGGTGGCAGAGCAAACAAAAAGCCTGAGACAAGCGGAAGTGTGGATGAGCGTTCTCTCTCATAATGCTAGGCCTCAGGAGCATCTAAAGCAGGGGTCAGTCCACTGTCCCTCAGATCTTGTGGGGGGCCGGATTATATTTTGAAGGGGGGGGGAGAGAATGAATTCCTTTGCCCCACAAATAACCCAGAGATGCATTTAAAATAAAAGGACACATTCTACTCATGTAAAAACACGATGATTCCCGGACCGTCCGCAGAGCGGATTTAGAAGGCGATTGGGCCAGATCTGGCCCCCAGGCCTTAGTTTGCCTACTCATGATCTAAAAGGTTCAGGATAGACAAAAGAAATGTCACACAGTGCATAAATTATTTAAATAAGCCAATTTAAGTGGCTTTGAAAGAGGATTAGACAAAATCAAGGAGGAGAAGTCTTTCAGCGGCTACTGGCACAATGGGCTGTACTCCACTCCCTCTGTAGGAGACAGTAGGCCTTGGAATTTCAGTTTCCAGGAATCACAGGTGGGGAGAGGAATGTTGCATTCAGGTCCTCTGTGGGCTTCTCATAGGCAGAGGAATGTCAGAGATGGTACCTCTTGCTTTTTACGGCCTTTCATCCCTGATCCTAATCCTAATTACTGAAAGAAACAACAATATGCTAGGGTAATTGAAATCCTGTACAGTGGTACCTCAAGTTACATACGCTTCAGGTTACATATGCTTTGGCTTACAGACTCCGCTAACCCAGAAATAGTACCTCAGATTAAGAACTTTGCTTCAGGATGAGAACAGAAATCGTGCTCCGGTGGCGCGGCGGCAGCAGGAGACCTCATTAGCTAAAGTGGTGCATCAGGTTAAGAACAGTTTCAGGTTAAGAACTGACCTCCGGAATGAATTAAGTACGGTACTTAACCTGAGGTACCACTGTAAAGGTAAAGGTAAAGGGACCCCTGACCATTAGGTCCAGTCATGACCGACTCTGGGGTTGCAGCGCTCATCTCGCTTTATTGGCCGAGGTAGCCGGCGTACAGCTTCCGGGTCATGTGGCCAGCAGGACTAAGCCGCTTCTGGCGAACCAGAGCAGCACACGGAAACACTGTAGTGGCATAATAAAACCTTTAATGTGGGTTGAGGCCTAGACCATGAGAGTCAAATGTGCGGTTTCATGCAACCAATGAAGTAGATTCTAATTCACAAAGCTCTTGTTCCTCAGTCATGCTGAACTTTATAAAATAATTGTAGAAGGCAATGTTTTACGGTTTTTTATTGTTTATATTTTGAACACCAAAATCTTTTAAGGGCCTCTAAAGGTCTTGATCTGCCCATGATTACAAGGCGCCAAGCCCACCTGATGCCAATAGGCTTTCCAAGGTGCAGGTGCTGCCACAATAAAAGATTAACTAAAAGACATCCATGATAGGAGGCACTTCATTTTGTCCTGTGATTCTTCTCAGTTGGACAGAGGTTCTCTGCAGTGTCCCAGGCTTCTTCCTAGGAAGAGGTCTGCCTGTGAGCTGGATCAGGCAAGACCCGGACATGCAAGACAGGCTGATTCATGCTTAAAAAGTAGTGCCGAGTTATCTATGTCATTAGAACTACACCCAAAGGAAGAAGCATTCAACTTTCCTCCACCCACATTCAACATCTGTTGTTGATATGGTGCAGAGTGAAGGAGCCGTAGCTCACTGGTAGAGCATCAGCTTCACATGCAGAAGGTCACAGGTTTAATCCCCGGCAGCTCCAGGTAAGGTTCGGACTGCCCCTGTCTGAAACCCTGGAGAGCTGCTTCCAGTCAGTATGCACTAGACTAGATGGACCACCAGTGGTCTGATTCAGCATAAGGTAGTTTTCTATGTTCCATACACTCTCATGTGTATCTTTGCCTTCCTGCTCGCAGTTTTGCCTTATATACACATTTTTGCAAAGCAATTTCCCTCAAGATCAGGCATAAGCAAACTCAGCCCTCCAGTTGTTTTGGGACTACAACTCCCATCATCCCTAGCTAACAGGACCAGTGGTCAGAGATGATGGGAATTGTAGTCTCAAAACATCTGGAGGGCCGAGTTTGCCTATGCCTGCCCAAGATAGTGCAATTTTTAAAAATGATATTTATGTGAATATATACATTCGTCGTGTGTGTGTGTGTATATATGTATGTATATCTATCTATCTATCTATCTATCATCTATCTATCTATCTATCTATCTATCTATAGATATAGATATACACACACACATACATTCGTATGCACACTTTACCAAAAGCTGTGGAGAAGTGCACTTCAAAATTCAGAGGAAGTGTGCCTTTTGAAGGAGTTTCCATTCCCATCTTATTTTGGAAAGTACAAATTAGGTAAGTTCAGCTTTTATGGAAGTAGAATTAAATCTCTCCCTTCTCCCAAGTCCCAACCAGGCTGATGGAGTGGGCCTTGTTGTCCCAGCTCTCCCCCTGCTGCCACCCGGTAGAATGGCAGCTGACGGAGGCAGATCTGGGACAGGAGGAACCAAAAGGCAACAGCCATAGAAGCAGCAAGGGTAACCACATTGTTCTATGATCAAGGCCGGCCCTACCATTAGGCAAAGCAAGATGTCAGGTGGGGCTGGGGGATAGTGGTGGCAAATGGTTGGATTAAGAGAACTGTGGATGCCCCATAGAGCCTGTCCTGCAACTGGTGCCCATTGGGACTGGTAGGGTGGCAGACAGGGAGCCCAACAATAGGTGGAGCCAGAGCCAATGACAAGTGGAACTGACTCCGGTTTTGTCCCCATCTTCCTCCCTGCTGGGCAATACTGAGACTAAGGGGGAGGAAGCCAAAAGCCAGTGACACACTCTGGGCTGGTTGTGAGTGGGGGACACACTGCCCCCACTTGCCCTGAAGATCCAGCCTTCCTTGCCTGCACCCTCCAAGCTAGCCTGCTGACTTCTGATACAATCAAGGATGCTGTCCCATTGCCAGTGTTGAAATAAGATTCCCCTCACATGCCACGAGGGATGCCACCATAGGAACGTAAGAAGCAGCCTCATACTGACCAGATTGTTGGTCCATCCAGCTCAATATTGCCTACACTGAGTGGCAGTGGCTCTCCACCATTTCAGACGGGAGTCTCTTTCCCAGCCCTACCTGGAGATGCAGCCAGGGATTTAATCTGGGATCTTCTGCATGCAAAGTGGATGCTCTACCACTGAGCTTACGGGCCCTTCCCATCTCATCATCCTTCGCTGCTTCAGCTGGCAAAACGTCTCGGGCTGGCCATGAACAGTCACACAGCCATCTCCCCACTAGGGACTGGCATTTCCGTGGCTAGTGGCTGCCCCTCATATATGCATGGATCATTTATCACAGCTCAGGGCAGTATCCCACTCTGCCCACTCGCCTGTGCCTGCCAAGCAGATCACAAGCACCGTCAGATCTGACAGTCCGAATTCGCCATCATGGGGGTAGAAGGACTGGATCCTGACTGAAACTGAGACTGGGCAACGCCTGTCAAACAAAGAGTTCCCATCAATCCTCTAGGCTTACATTTGCCTCATGGGCTGGTGTGAGGAAAGCCAGTTTAAGTCCTGCATGGATCAAGGCAGCCCAGAACTGAAACACACACGCCTTGGAATAGGACATGTCAGCAGCAGCACCTTCGCTGTCATTGACCGTTGACAGGGAGGAGGGAGTCGGAGGCTCAAGAAGATGACTCAGTTCTGGTATCCAAGTTGTGTTTCTAAAAAAACTCGTTGCCAGCCCTTTGCCCTGTCCCAGAGAGCTGACAGAATTGTCTGAGGATCCTAGGAAAATGCCTTATTGTGGGCCAGACCGTTTGTTCAGCTTGCCCAGTACTGGCAGCTCTGACTGGCAGCAGCTCTCCAGGGTTTCAGGTGGAGAGCGGGACTGTCCCATTGCTTGCTACTTTATGTTTTTAACTGGAAATGCCGGGAATTGAACATGGGAACATTTGCATGCTAAGCGAATGCTTGACAACTGAGCTAAGGTTCCTACCCCCACTGAGCCTGTTGATATACTTCTGACCACAAGAGAAATATTTCTAACAGACTTTCAGATGCTGGCCCATTGACCAACTCCTGTTAACTGAACAGGAAATTAGATTGTTCCAAAACAAAAGTGGAATTTTTGGTTGCCTCCCTTCGTATACAAAGGTGGAGCATGAGCGTGAAGCTTGGAGCAACATTATTGTAACATTGAACTGTGGCTTGGTGCTACGTCTGAAATAGGATTGGGAATGTAATGACTACGTATTCAGCAGAGAGAAGGGCACCTGGATTCCTTGCAAAAATAGAAAATACTGCATTCAGATAATCTGATTTAAGGGCCACATTACTCCATTGGAAAGCTGTTGGGGGCCGCATTCCAGTAGGGGGCTGGAGGTTAACACAAGTGCAAGCTCTAAAGTAGCCAAGTAATGTGGACAAAAATGCATGTGTACTGTAAAATATGCATATGTTTGAATCAGAGGAATACCAGTCCCTGACCCCCCATTCTGCATGCCCTTTGACAGAATTACCTGTGCATTCTGCTGTGGCCTTTGTATCTACATGGAAAGGTAGTGGCATTTATCTCTGCATGTCCCCCTTAACAAAGAAGTGACCACAATCCTTATCTCAAGGCTCACCTCTCCCAGCTGTAAAACAAAATGTTTTATGGTCTGGGCAGACTGTCCTTTTGCTTATCAAGAGAGATGGAGATAAGTCTGGAGAAGGATCCAGTGACATCCCTGGCAATAAACTGCAATTGAAAAGGAAGTGGGAGGTTGGGGGGAAATTACTGTATATCCAATGGATCATTTCAGAGGAACAAAGTTTGTGGATGTGAAGTCGAGATAAGAAACAGAGAGGTGTTCTTGGCAAATTGCTTCTATGCACGTAGGCCTTTAAGCGTCTCCCACACTCCAGGCGAGCCCTTGAAAGGCAGCTGATTTGGGTCAGGCTCTGGGCTTAATGACCTCAGGTGGCCAGTTCCACAACTCTTCAGCCAGCAAATACAGCTGTGGGGTGCTGAATGTAGATAAAGTAAATAAAATTTATGTCAAAATCTTTGTTCTGATATTATGCTTCCCTTGTGTTTTCAGGGGTGCGGGACCTGTGGCCCTTCAGATATTGCTGGAGTCCCAACTCCCATCTGCCCCAGCCAACTTGGCTGATGGTCAGAGCTGATGGGAACGGGAGTCCTAGAGGGTCTCCACCCAGGTTCACATAACGAAGATCCATGTTTGTTTTTTTTCTTGCCAGTGTGAGGAGCTGGGAAAATGAAACAAAGAAGTAAACACTGATAAACAAAATGTAAATAGAGAATAATGCATTAGTGCAACTAAAAATCACACAGAATCCTGCAGTAGGGCTGCAACTGCAATCCTATACAAATTCCCTGGGAATAAGTATCACTGAACTCAATGGGTCTTACTTCTGAGAACAGACATTAGAGTGACCACCTAGGCATCATTTTAAAAAGGAGACATATGTTTGCAATTAGAAGTGATGGTTGAGTGCTTCCATTTGAAACAGTGCCCTCTCCTGTCCTAGTGCGATATGTGCAAACCCATCCTCTTTTCTTATTCTAGGTGGATTTTGATGCAATCAAAGTGTAGCTCATGTTTGGAAATTTTGGATTTCTCAAGAGCCTGGAAGATGTGCTTTGCAACTAAGAATTCTGGACATTGGCATGGTATCATTCCATCTACTTCTGATGCACAAAGGTGTGTGCTATTATAATTATTTGGTCAAAACAGCATCAGCCACACTCAAGAATGGGGAGGTATTAGAGCGTATCACAAAACTTTTTTTGGGGAAAAGCAATCCTAAGGGGGAATTCCCCACCTCAGTAATAACTCAGTGAGCATGCTCAGTTATCACAGAATGTTGACTATCAGGGGGAAATGTGCACAGAGAAATTGCATTCAAAAATTGGTGCACTCAGAGAAATTTGCATTAAAATGCTAATGAATTTTCATAAAGGCTTTAAAAAACCTGTAATGGAAATGTGGAGAACTGAAATTAGATGTGGAAAAATGAGAAACTGAGAGAAACCCAAATTGACAGATGCCTTCATCCTTACGTATTAAGATTCTTACTGCATGCCCTCCAGATCTTGTTGGACTACAAAGCCCATCATCCTTAATCATCAGAAATACTAGTTGGAGTTGATAGGAATTGAAGCCTAGCAACATCTGCAGGGTGACAGCTTCCTCATCCCTGGCTTAAAGCATTGATTATGACAAAAGTGGACTGTAAGCCACAAAAGCAGCAACCACAATGGATTTCTTGGCACTTAATAGTGCCAAAATACTCCTGTCCATTTCAGCATTCTAAAGTGCTCCAGAAATGTAGATTGACTGGAAAAATGTGCACAATTCCTCCTTCGTGGAGATATTATGAGCACATTCGCCATCACCCCTGGAGAATGTGTGCAATGCCTGGTGGTTAAGCGCATTAACCGCTTGGCATCATGCACATCAACTTACATTGTCCCTAACATATACACACATCTGTCCATCTCACCTGGAATACTGTGGCCAGTTTTGGGGCAATGTCATGGACTGGCTGGACACAGAGAAATGAAGATGGAGCCTTAGGCTGCAGGAACAGGAACTGGGAGAGGCCTTAGAGAGCAGTGGGAAGGCAGGCACATTCGGTCCCCGCAACTGCCTCATGGGAACAAGTCCTACTGGGAAGAGTTGCTGCGATTGCTAAGCCTGCACTGTTTTGGTTTCTTTGAATAAAGAGTTAACTTCACTGACACCAGTGCTTTTTACTGCTGACCTCCTGACCCTGGCTGCTGATGGGCAGTTTAAGGATATTGACAAGCAGGAACATTTCTCTAGGAAGGAGATAAAAGATAGTGAGAGGCCTGGATACCAAGTCCTATGGAGAAAGGTTGAGGGAGCTGAGCATATTTATTTTGGAGAAGAGATTATAAAGAGGCAATAGGACCGCTGTCTTCAAATATCTGGAGGGCTGCTGTGCAGACAATGGAGAAAATTCATTGCTGCAGATGGCAGTATCTGAACCAATCGGTCCAAACAACAAAAAGAGGGGATTCTGGTGAAACATTATGAAGAAATTCCCGATGGTATGAGCTGTTCAACAAACTGTGTCAGTGGGTGGTGAACTCTCCCTTGTTGGAGCTTTCTCAGCAAAGGTTGAAAGGCAGATTTCCTGGGATTGGAGTAAATAACCTTTTTGGCGACTTCCAACTTTACAGTCCTATTCTCTCTTTATCTATCCCCGTCTAGCTATCTGCTCTTGGCATTTCTCTCTTATCTAGCTAGACATCCAAGCATCCATCCATCTCTCTCCCCATCTCTCTCTCTCTGAAGAGACTGTTTTTGCTTCAAGAGGCTTAATGTTTGGCAGTTAATTAACACAATTCCAGTGTAGGCGTCCAAGATGAGATTCCAGATGGAGAAAACCACACAGAGAGATTACAGGGAGCTTATTAAATGCATTTGCTACCTAGGACCATCCTAGCAACCTCATGGTTGGGAGCCATCACCCTGAACCAATAACCAAAATGTTTTGACGCACAGGAGTTAACGTTTAACCCACAGCTTGGGTAGTATTCTGGAAAGCAGAAACCTGTTGTGTTCAACCCCCATCCCCACCCCTTGGAGCCGCAAAGCAGGAGGTCACCCAACTTTCCATCCAGCTTAGGACCGTAGGCTATGGGAAGAAAAAGAGTGATCATTTAAAAGCTTGACCTGTTGTCATTGGGAGTCACTGGAGCTAGAACCAGGTCTCAAAGAGCTCTGGGAGCAGCTGCCTGATGTGGTGAGTGACCATACCTTGCAATATTTTCTAAGGCAGCATAAGAATCCTCAGACTCTGGGCTGGACCTCCCAGCACCCAGGTTGCCGTTAGCCCCTCCTAGGCAGAAACAGCGGTACAGGTCTTTGTGTTTAGACTGAGATTTTGCCAGAGCAACAACTAACTTCCTAGCTCTGACTCCTGCCTTCGACTCTTGGCTTTGCCTTGCCTGCTCCCCTCTGATCGCTTCCTGATTGATTTAGCCTGACCCTCACCATGATTAAGCACCAGAGCTGCCTCAATCAGACTACTCATGTTTGGACCAGTGACCTGGTGCTTTCCTTGGCTGCTCCTCAGCTGACCATCTCCTTAATCTCCATGCTCTTCAATTCTGCCGTCATCTTTGCCGTGGTGTACTCCAAAGAACTGCGCAAGCCCATCTTCATCCTTTTCTGCAACATGGCCTTCTCTGACCTCTTCACTAGCTCTACAGGCTTCTGGATCGCCCTGTTGTTCATCACCAACCCTCAAAGTACCATCAGTGGGTCCAAGGAACTCCTCACAGCATATGCCTTCTACACCATGTCAATCCTGGCCACCATCTACAACTTAGTCCTCATTGGGATTGAGCGTTACCTGGCTGTGGCGGAATGCCTGAGGAGAAGATGGCGCCTTGACAGGAACCAGATCCTAGGCATGGTGCTGGGTGTCTGGGGGCTTAGCTTCTTTTTGGGCTTCCTGCCCCTGATGGGCTGGAATTGCTTGGATAGAGACAATGCCTCTGCCCTTTACAGCCCTCTGTGTATCGACTACCTTATTTTCATCACTATCCCTCACTGTGCAGTGGTTTTGGTCCTCCCTTTCTTCACCTACTGCAACATCATTGGGTTTTTGAGGAAACACAAGATGGCAATGGGTGCTTTGGGGCAAGCCCATGCCACCTACAGGCTGGCCGAGATCCAAGTAGCCCGGACAAGCATCTTCATCTGGCTGCTGTCTCTGCTGTCTTACACACCCTTCTTTGCTGGCGTTGTCCTGGATATAACCACTCAGCAGTGCCCCAACAATTTCTCCATGGATGTCTACGTCTTCCGAAACCTTACCGCCATCATGATCACCATGAATTCATTGGGGAACCCCATCATCTACACCCTGAAAGTGAAAACTTTGTGGCACAGACTCAGGTTTTTGAAGTGCCCTTCCAGCAACCGCATAGAAGTGCAGGCCATTGGGAAAATGTGACCCTGCTCGGACCAAAGTGAATCCAGTCTTGTACGTTTTCACCCAAACATCTTTAAATGTCCGCAGTGAGCAATCACTGAGAGTTCAGTCCTATGCATGTCTACTCAGAAGTTCAGTGGGATGCATTCCCCAAGGACATGTGTTTAGGACTGCAGCGTAAATCTCTTTATAGGGGCTATGGGTAGTTGGCAGTTGCAGAGATCTGAATTAATGTTTCAGCTCACCAAAGCGAGCCAGCTTCAGCACTGGACAGTTCTCAAGTACAAGGGAGAGGGGGATTTAATTCATCGGCTCTCTCCTATCGACAATAGAATTGTGCTACCTACACTTTGGTAGCATTCATGAACCGGATCGTGTTGGGTTGAAATTATCTACTGTGAACTAACTTCAGAGTGAGTTATTAGACAGTAGAATTTCGATTTGTGGTTTAAAAGGTTCACACCACCCCCCTTTTGATTAGAATTAACAGCAACATTCCAAACTTCATGCAGTACAGAGAGTTGGGCAGGTGTAACAGGAGTCTGGGAAACACCAGCTTAATGTAATTATATATACATATATATTTGGATTGACTAAAATTTTGTTGTTGATTGAAAAAAACATATTAAGATAGGATGAAAAATAAATGCTACATCAAATTGTATGTGACGCATGGTGACTTTGGATAATGTGCTTTCTTATGGAACAATCTGGGGCAGCCTTTGGCAACCTGGTAGCCTCCAGATATTTTGGACTACAACTCCCATTGGCCTCAATCAGCAGGGCTGATGGAAGTTTTAAGTCCAAAACATCTGGAAGATACCAGGTTGGCAAAGGCTTCAGCATGAATAAAATTCAGCTGAGAAACCTCAACCAATATATGTAGCAGAACTGGAAAATCTCATGCAGCAATTCATCTACTAAAAAGCAGACCCCATTGGGTTCAATGGGATTTACTCTCAAGCAGAGCAGCTTTAGAAGGATTTTGTGTGTGTATAAACCCAATGTAACATCAGAGCCAACTGGGAAGGCTTTGCAGTGTTTGCTTTGGCATGACATTAATAAAATGCAATCCTTCCTTTTAGTATCGTTAACCTTTCTCTGAGCAAAGCCAAGCTCACCACATTTAATTTAATTCACTGGTACATCAATGCACAGGAGATAGTGATGTTTCACAATGTTTACAGAGGGCAAACATTAGCATTTTTATGTGGCTTAGCTCCATCATCTGGCCTCAAAGGCAGCCTCAAAGAATACACACACATGAACACATATATCCCGGTTTTGGACACATTGGTCACCCAGTTATTTTTCTGACTGCAACTTGTTTATTTCATAAAATTTACATCACTTGGTTGTGAAAAACTGCAGAGTTGTTTATAACAAAGAAATAACAATAACATTATCACTAAGAAAAATTAACAATAATTTAAGACATTAATTTTTTTGAATAACAAGACTAAAACAGATTAAGAAAAATAATTAAAAAATTATATTCTGCCTTTCCTTTGTCATAAACTTATGCAGTTTACGTAAGACTTTGCAACATGACTACAAAATCATTAAAACATCAAAGATTCCAAAATGCACAATCAGTTTACATCTTTTGATGATGATGTAATAGTAGCAGTAGCAATACTACTATTATTTATTTATTTACTTACTTACTTTGTCTAGCCAAAACCATTACAAAAGATCAAATATATAAAATAGAATAAAATCCTACTGGCGCCCTCCCTGTGGAACACCCTCCCACCAGATGTCAAAGAGAACAACAACTACCAGACTTTTAGAAGACATCTGAAGGCAGCCCTGTTTAGGGAAGCTTTTAATGTTTGATGTACTACAGTATTTTAATATTTTTTTGGAAGCCACCCAGAGTGTCTGGGGAAGCCCAGCCAGATGGGTGGGGTATAAATAATAAAATTATTATTATTATTATTAAAATACATAACACAGTTAAACAAATTATTAAAACCAGACATTCTGTCGGATAATAGTTTGTGCCCCTGAATAATAAAACAATATTGTCTGTAATTATACCCTGCTGTTACTCTTGGTTCATCTAGTCCAGTATTGTCTACTCTGACTGGCAGCAACTCTCCCAAGAGTTCAGAGAGAAGCCTTTCCCCATCAACTAATAATAATAATAATAATAATAATAATAATAATTTTTATTTATACCCCGCCCTCCCCAGCCAAGGCCGGGCTCAGAGTGGCTTACAAGCAATAATAAAAACAAGTTGAATGATTACAACTTAAAAACAAAATTAAAATACAACATTAAAATACTGAAACATTAAAATATTAAAATGTAGCTTCACCGCAGGAGGAGAAGGAAAGGAAAAAAGAAAGAGAGGGAGGGAATCAAATTGGCTCCAAGACAAAGGCCAGGTGGAACAACTCTGTCTTACAGGCCCTGCGGAAAGAAATCAGATCCTGCAGGGCCCTGGTCTCATGAGGCAGAGCGTTCCACCAGGCCCTGAAAGTTGAAAAGGCCCTGGCTCTGGTTGAAGCCAATCTAACTTCCTTAGGGCCCGGGACCACTAGGGTGTTGCTATTTATGGACCTTGAGGCTCTCCGTGGGGCATACCGGGAGAGGCGGTCCCGTAGGTACGAGGGTCCTAGGCTGTGAAGGGCTTTAAAGGTCAAAAGCAGCACCTTAAATCTGACCCTGTACTCTACCGGGAGCCAGTGCAGTTTGAAAAGCATTGGGTGAATATGCTCCCATGGCAGAGACCCCATGAGGAGCCTCGCTGCAGCATTCTGCACCCTCAGGAGTTTCTGGGTCAGCTTCAAGGGCAGCGCCGCGTAGAGCGAATTACAGTAGTCAAGCCTGGAGATGACCGTTGCATGGATCACTGTGGCCAGGTCGGGGCGGGAAAGGTAAGGGACCAACTGCTTGATGCGGCGAAGGTGGAAAAATGTCGCCTTGGCTGTTGCTGTAACTTGCGCCTCCATAGAAAGGGAGGCGTCAAGGATTACACCCAAACTCTTAACGGAAGGCAATGGCACTAATTGGGCCCCGCAAGAGAAGGGAGTTGGTCCCTCATCCCCATGCCATCCCGACCCAGCCATAGGACCTCTGTCTTCGAAGGATTTAGTTTCAATCGGCTCCCACGAAACCATCCAGCCACAGCTTCCAAGCATCTGGTCAGTGTGTTCGGGGCCGAGTTGGTGTGGCCATCCATCAGCAGATAGAGCTGAGTGTCATCAGCATATTGGTGACAGCCCAGCCCAAAGCTCCGGATAATCTGGGCAAGGGGGCGCATAAAGATGTTTAAAAGCATCGGGGAGAGAATTGCGCCCTGCGGCACTCCACACACCAAGGAATGGCGCGACGACATTTCCCTCCCTAGTGCCACCCTCTGTCCCCGACCAGAGATCAAAGAGCACAACCAGTACGGGCTATGCCCTCTATTCCCACATCTGCGAGGCAGTGGTCCAGAAGATCAATTACCTGCTCAATTGAATTAGAGAATTTCTGCGTATGTTTGGCACCAGCTTGGCTGCAAGGAGTTGCCAGGAGGAGGCATTCACAGTGCCAGCCAACCTTCTTAGTGACTCCATCCCAAAGGTGTGTGGGATTTGCCCCTTAGCCTTTCTCTTCTCTTGAAGAAATTCTGCAAAGCAGTGGAGATACAGGATCAGCATTTTTTCCTTCTACAAGACCTTCCCACTCCTGGTCTAGTGTCCACTCAATCCGCCGGAGCTCCTCTTCGCAAGCAGGAGAAATCCCTAACTCCCCGAGGGGTTGAAACCCATCGGCTCCCCTCACCTGGTTTAGCTGGCCAGGGTGTGTCTGCTGTCACATGCCCACAGCTTCTAGGAGCCACACATGAGAGCCAAGTACAGGGTGGGGACCAAAGATGCACAGACGACCCCAGGAGAAGCACTGACGTGTCCCCCATCAGAGGTACTGCTTCTCCCCTAACACCCCATACAGCCCAATACCCATAGCTGTCAACTTTCAGATTTGAAAATAAGGGATCAGCAGCCTCGAAAATAAGGGATCAGCTGCCTCACCTGTCTACGGGATATCTAACAATCCGGGATAGCAGCGGGAAATGGCGCTGGAATAAGGGAATTTCCCGCAAAAAAAGGGAAGGTTGGCAGCTATGCCAGTACCGTTAGTCCTATTATTACTGCTACTTGCTACCATTACTAAGATTTAACAACAACGGTATATGATTATTATTTATTACTTCTACCACTACTACGATTTACAGCAACCACCGCACCAATCCACAGCACGCACACACACAGGATGGGGGTTACAAACTGAAAGGCAGCAAAATCCCCCAAAGATCAGCTTAAAAACAATGCAAGAGAGAGAGAAAATCATTCTCTCTCTCGCCTGCACTGGGGCTTAATCAGTGCGTGCAACACAGGACTGCTCAGCCATTGCAATTGAGCGCGATCCTGTTTCGGAATGGATGCAGGAGCAGGAGGCGCGGCCTATCGATGGGCTCGGCCGCTCTGCTGGCCCGACCTGGCCCCAGATCCCCGCCGGCCAGGAAGGAGACGCACGTGGGAGTTTTTCCCCAGCCGAGATCGAGCAGCAGCGTCCGCCATGCAAAGGCTTGATTGCTCCCGCGTGTGCGTCGTGTGCGGGGAAGGCGGGCGGGGCGGCGCCAAGTACCGCTGCCCGGGCTGCCGGGAGAGATAGTAAGGAGCGGGCCCTTTGGTGGGCTCCGGTTATTTAGGGACGGAAGGCACTCTGTGTGTGCTCAGAGGTGGCTCTGCGGGACTGTGTCTATGCTCAGAGGCGCGGCTCGAGGGTGGGGAGCTCAGTTTTTCTCGCGAAAGTGTGTACTGTATGGGGTTACAGCCCCGAGGGTGAAAGAGATCCTGTGTTCTCTTGGGTGTGTGGGCAGTTACCCCCCCCCCCAGTGGTGGTTTAAAGTGTTGGACGAGGCCCTGGGAGCCCAGGCTTCAAATCCTCACTTAGCAATGAGACTCCTTTGGGATCACATCCACAATTTTAAAGCGCATGACTCCCCCATCCGACCCGCAAGAATTACTAGCTCATTGTTGATTGAGCTAATGTGCGGTTCTTACTTAGAATCAATCCCTAAGGCAAATAAAAAGTAAGTGAATAGCAAAGGTGAGAAATACCTGTTCCATAATTAAAGAAGTGGAATTCCGTGTACACTTCTGGCCCCCTCACGTAAAAAAAGAAAAGGGGGGAAAAGTTGCGGAAAGTTCAGAAAAGGGCAACCAAAACGATCAAGGGGATGGAGACACTCCCCTAGGAGCAAAAGTTACAGTATTTGGGACTTTTTAGGTGGTAAAAAAGGCAAGTAAGAGGTGACACAATAGTCATTTATAAAAGTATGCATGTTATGGAGAAAGTGGCTGGAGAAATCCACCCCCCTTTAATAACACTAGAGCTTGTGGATGGTCAGGGTAGCTGAATGTTGGAAGAGTCAGGGCAGATAAAAGATAGGACTTCTTTGCACAGCAAGTAGAAGTCACTCCCGCGATGGCCATCAACTTGGACGGCTTTGAAAGAGGATTGAACAAATTCACAGAGGATGAGGCTATTCATGGCAATGGAAAGTTACCAAAGTGATGTACAGTAAAATAAAATAAACATAAAATATCAATGATGACAAACTAAAGCCACTGAAACCGTTTCTGTCATTATGCAATTATACAGCTGAGAAGTGGTTTATATATAAAGGAGGAGTCCGTTTTTGTGGTCCTGCTCATTGCCCATTATGCACTGAGCTGCTGCTATACCATGAAGGAGTTGCAGATGTTTGGTTTTAACACTGTTATCTTACTATTGTTGATGTTGCAAAATTTTCAGGAGTAGCCAACACGGTGCACTTCAGATGTTGCAGACTTCAACTCCCATCATCCCTGTTTTGCCATGGGAATGCAAAATATCCAGAAGGCACCAAGTTGGCCACTCCTGCATATCGTACTATTTTATGTAGCATAAACCAATTTTTGAGAAAGGGCAATCTATATAACTAATGAGTCGTGTTTTGTGCAGCGATAATATAAGGAGCCTTTGTGGTGTGATAATGGTGTCCATCTTAAGACTTGGGAGACCTGGGTTCAAATCCCCCCTCAGCCATGAAGCTCACTGGGTGACTTTGGGCAGGTCACACTTTTTTTATCCTGATCTATCTCACAGGTGAGGATAAAATGGTGGGAGGGGAGAGAAACACCATATAGCCTGGCCTTGAACTCCTTGGGATAGAAATAAATGTCTCCACTTAAAAAAACTTCTCTTTGTTGTTGCAGTTGTTCAGTGTCCTGCTGCAAGAAACATAAAGGTAGGATTATATATATATATTAATAAGGATTAGGCATGCTTGAGTACAGTGGTACCTCGAGTTACAAATGCCTTAGGTTACAAACGCTACAGGTTACAAACTACGCTAACCTGGAAGAGTCACCTCGAGTTGAGAACTTTGCCCCAGGATGAGGACTGAAATCGTGTACCAGTGGCGCAGCAGCAGCAGGAGGCCCCATTAGCGAAAACATGTCTCTAGTTAAGAACAGTTTTAGGTTAAGAACGGATCTCTGGAACAAATTAAGTTCGTAACTAGAGGTACCACTGTAATTTGCTCTGCAAGGGTGCGTTTATAGTTCACTTTTGTGATGTACCATACTTCTTGACAGATGGCTACTTTTTTTGGTCACAACAATCAGCCTGGGGACAAAGGGCTGCAAGGAGTTTTAGAATTCCTTCTAATTGTAACGTTCAGGCTGCGAGTGCCGTTGCATTTTTAGCCAAAATGGCCTGCCCTGTGCACAAGAAAAGTGGTGGTGGACTTAAAAGCCTGAGGTTTTCAGAAATAACAATAATATTCCAAAACCTTAGTTTGGGTGGTGATGATGAAATAGTTAGAGCCTAGGGAATTTGAAGGTGCGGCCAGAAGAGAGGTCAATATTGCCTCTAATTGCTGGCAAATCTGTAATTATACTTGATAATCTGATGACATTTGTTATTTTAACCCATGTGCAACTGTACTCATTCTATTGTTTTCCATATTTAAATTTTTGTCTGTTGTTATAATTGTTCTCTCTGTTTTATATATATTATAAAATGGTGGGGCAGGAAAAATATATGGTGGGGGCAATCTTAACCAAAAAGAAGGGCCTCAACCCCTCGCTTCCCTTGGCTTGGAAATAATGAGATGTGTTTGGCGTTTGAACAGAACAATGTGCACCCAAAGCAGAGCCGCGTCTGCAGCCTACAAGTCAAGAAACTTCCCAGAGGACGGCATCCATGAACAATGAAGGTATTTGCACCCTTTCCAGCTCGCTTGCGAAAACAAACAGGCTTTTAATTGGCATTGATAGTTGGGGGTCATACTGAGGGAAGAGAAACAGTTGAGTCAGAGCATCTTAAGGACCCTTCTGGGTCAGACTAAAGTTTCTTTTAGGACGGTATCCCGTTTTCCCACTGTGGCTGAGTGGCAGGTGACAAAGGCTGTTTGGGTACCAGCCCTGGTACTTTTGCTGGCACTACTTTATTCCTGCTTTTTTCTCAGGACGTTCTTGGTCAGTGGATGACATTTTGACAGAAGATGATGAGAACGATAAGGTTCCCCTGCAGAAACTTCGGCTCTTGGGTAAGTTTTCCAGTGGGAAATATTGTTAACTTTTCCTGTAAAACAGGGGTGGGAAAGTTGTGGCCCTCTTGCTACTTTTGGACTACAACACCCATCATCGAATCACCTGCTTGCTGTGGCTGATGGGAGCGGCAGTCCCAGTAGCCATCTGGAGGCTGACTGGTTGGTTATTCCTACTATAAAGAAATTCCTATGTGTGACTTGAAGCAATTGGTTCTTACGTGAGCAGATGACCCTGAGACTGTTATTTTATGGGTAGGGGGACATCACTGCTTTAAGAATCCATTGTCTGATTTCATGCCCAACGTTCCTGAATAGCAGGCATGGGGAGCATGGGACCCTCCCAGATGTTGTTGTCTTTCTGTCCTTGACTGTGAGTGGGTGGGACTGATGTGACTTGGGACCACAGCTCCCCCCATAAGCCTTTGTCCAGTATTTTCTGCTAAAATAAAATAATACATTGAAAGTACAGATTAAAAAACAATCAAAATTACAAGGCTTAGGAGCAGCACAAAAGGTGTATTTTTTAAATAATCAGAGGGCAGATAATGTAGAAAAATGAAAGCAACAAGGCACGTCATGAAAACTAAATGGTGCAGTTTGTTGGGGGAAGAGTTTGTATATCTGAATTTGACAAATTAGAAATGAAACCCCACCAAACAGCATAGAAATGTTCTGTATCTTACCCTTGGGGATTAGTAATTTGCACGTCGTTTCCTTCGCAATAGCCAAATTCCACATATGGGGGGGGGGGGGGGCAGGGTGAGAGGTTTAAGTACTGTAGTGTCTTCGCTCTCTGGGCCAAATAAGACAATATTGTCTGCTCCTGACAATGGCTCTTTGGGGTCTTGGGACAGAAAGTGGTCTCCCCCATCATCTTTTGCCTTAGGGATAGGGAACCTATGGCCCTCCAGAAGTGGCTGACCATTGGCCCTTGCTGGCTGTGGCTGATGGGAGGCCTAAGAACAACAGGATGGGTTCTCAGGCCCTGTGTTATTTCATCTGGAGATGCCGGGGACTGAACTTGGGGCTTTCTGGATGCAAAGCCAGCACTCTACCCCCTGAGCTCCAGTCCTTCTCCAAAGCATGGGTGACAGCCACCAATGATCTTCCCACCCTCCTTCTTGGAGTCATCTCCTTCTTTTTCTGAAACAGGGGAATCTGAAGAACTCAAAGGCCTCCTCCTCAATCCCCACCTTGGTCAGCTGCTTCTCACTGTCGACCAGGCCAAAGACAAGAGTGCCATCCTGAAGACATACATGCAGGAGCCCCTCTTTGTGGAGTTTGCAGACTGTTGCCTGAGGATTGTCGAGCCTCCCGAGGAGGAGAACGCACGCCCAGAGTGATTTTTGTGTGTGCGGAGCAGGTAAACGATGCCCCTCTCTGGATGGGGAAGCTTGTTATTTGCAAGGCTGGAGGAAGGGCTTCTCTTGTGGCTAACCCCTGGAGCACCATAAGCTATAATTCATAGCCCTCTTTCCTAGGGAGGGCACGGCATTCCCCTGGTAACCATGGGCCCTAGATTTGGGGGGAAATTAAGTGTTTACACACGCTGCCTTTTCTGTGTTCCAAAAGTAGCCTCTCCAACCACCTTTGATTAGCTTCAGGCTGTAAAGAGTTCAGGTTTGGAACAGGAGCAAGAGCCAAGTTTCCCACTGCCCCTGCAATAGCATCTTGATCTTACATTGGATGGGAATCAAATGCAACTGCATCTAAAGTTACTTTGCCCTATTGATTTCAGTGAGACTTCCTTGGGGTGAACCCTGGTTTTGCTCCCATTAGTTCTGGAGCCATTGACAGCAGCGGGCTGGAGAAACAAACACAGTAACTTCTTTCATAATCATGGACGTTTTTATTGAGTCTTGATTTGTAGAAAATGGCCTGTAAGTACGAAACTGATCCCTGTGTCTAATCCTAAGGAGTGTACTTATACACTGAATCTTATCTTCCTATGTGAGCACTGTTTGGAATTCTGCTTACTGAAATTTTGAAATGACTGAGCCCATAAACTTTGTCTTGCCCCAGAGTAGATTTGCCCACCTGGTGTCCACCAGATGTTTTGGATTGCAAAAGCCCATCTGCCCTAGCTACATGCCAGCTGGGGTGAATGGGAGCTGTGGTCCAATATAGTTGGAGAGAACCCAGTTGGCAAAGGCGACGATTATTTTTTTTTAAAAGTCCCAAAGCAACAGTAGGTTTGCTTCCCTCTCCCTGAGAGAACAACCACTCTTTATTACAATAAAGAAAGTTTAAAAACTTTGTTTAAAACAGACCTTTTCACAATACTTTTAAAAAGTTACCTTTGGTTTATAACTCAAGGCAGTAGTTCACAATGTGATTTTCCTGAGGTGTGGACTTGAATTCTAAACCCCAGTTGGTTTAGAGATTTTGCTTCCAACTCCTGATTATATAAATTGGAGTAAGAGAACTGAAGTTTAAACCAATCTGGTGAATAAGTTGCTCACCTGCCATTTTAATTTTATTTTTGCTGGACAGGAAGCTAGTAGCCTACACAGCTGCGGGGGAGGAAATACTGCCTAGTAAAAAATAAAAAAATTAAAGCTTTTGCTTAAGCAGGCTTGTGGTAGGATCAGGGAGGTGCATTCCACCTCAAGTCTGCTGAGGAAACTGCTTCATTTCCTCTGTGGCTAGAACGGCCCTGAGGGTTGGCCTGCATGGAATTCCAGATCACCTATGGTGACCAGGCAAGTTGTTAAATGCAAGGCTGGGTGAAGTGGAGTCTCTCTCTCTGGCAGGTGTTGGCATAAGCTGCTCAGCTTTTGTGCATGGACACAAGGCCCCCTTGGTCCCCAGAGAAGTGTGTGTATGAGGTACAGCCTGTCCTCTTGTATTTTGAAAGGATGGATAGAACATGTATGTCACAGAGAAATTCGGTGATAGGATCTCCCCCTGACATCGTGTGGGTATAGTGCTTGCAGTAATGGGGAGGTGTGCCTTCCCCAGAGAATGGCCCTGTGACCTTCCACCAAGAGATGGCACATGACAGTCTGAACCATTTTTGAGGAAACGGTATCCTAAATGCTGTGGAAGAGATGCAGCTTGATGAAGGTTCTTGAGTGAGAAAGCATAAAAAGTGCAGTAAATAGTAGATAAAAGCACGTAGAAGTCAGTTTTCAAGCTGAAAGGAGCTTGTAGTTGTCGAGGAGAATCTGGTTGAAGCCGGTCATGGTGCAGTTGTGGGTGTGCGGCCTGGTGTCTGCGTAAAGCAGCGGAGATTTCCTGCAGTGGAACTTGATCGAGCCCTAGGAGGAGAAATGGGTTACCCTGGTGAGCCATGTCCAGGCAGCATGCGCAACACTGAACGAGGCGGACCAATGGTTTGACTTGGAATAAGGCAACTTTCTATATGGTTGGACTCCCAACTTCCATCAGCCGTGGGCAGCATGGCCAGTGGTTAGAGATGATGTGATACATAGTCCAGCGACATATACATTGCAGGGGGCTAAGACTAGATTCTCAGGGTTCCACCCAACTCTACAATTCTATCGGGAGGGACACAGGTTCCCCACCCCCCTGCCTTCTTTATAGAACAGGACGAGCCTTGGATGTTTCAGGGCAGAGTTTGGCATCAGGCTTCAGAGTTGTGCTTTTTTATTTTTACATACGTTTTGGGGTTTTCTAACTGGCACTGACTCTGAAAGCGTTCTGTCCACCTCCCTTTCACTTAAAGCAACTATGCAACATGGGAGACAGTAACCAACCAGTTTTTTGGGGGGAGGGGGGTGTTAGTCGCATGGTCCTTACCTGTGGGAGGGCTCTGATGGAGGTGACCCCTTGCGTGCGCTGCTTGGTCTCTGCCTTGTGATGGTTGTTCTGCTGCAGCACTTGGAGGCAGGCTAGGAGGCCGAGGTCTCTCTGAAAAGCACCCAGTGTCACTGGGCCGCTTGAAAGGACCAGCCCAAGAGGCCAGAACTGGATTGCTGCATTTAGGGGGCATGGTTTTTCCAACTTGCTATGGGTCTCGCTCAATGAAACCGTTGCCCTAAGGCTGGAGGAGAGGGGGCTTCCTTCTAAGTCATCCAACTCCTCTGCGGCCAGGACATCCATCTTGGCCTACGGAAAGACAGAAAGTATTTAAAACTTTTTTTGGGGGGGGGGGGGGGAGCAGATTATCAGAAAGCAGAAATCTTTGTTGGTGCCATTTTTTCCGTTGTGTAACTGCAGCCTCATTTCCAGCTTTCCAACAAGTTGCTGGGAAGACTTTGATCTCTTACCTTCCATTTTTTCCAGGTCCGTTTTATAACCCTGACAGCTTTCCGTAGCCTCTGGAAATGTTTCCTGGCCAACCACGAGCGAACAGCTGAGAAAGAAAGACATTGCATTAAGGGAGTATAAGGAACAGCAGGAAAGGACCTGATACCAAGTGTCCATGCAGCCTAGTATTGTCTGCTCTGACTGTCCGGGGTTTTGGGCAGAGAGAAGGCTCCATCTCATCCCTTGCTACCTGATCCTTCCAAATGGAGACTGAACCTGCAGCCTTCTGCACGCAAAGCAAGTGCTCTCCCACTGAGCTGAGTCCCCTCTCTAAAATGTACATAGAAAGCCTTCTACCCAGTCAGACTGTTTGTCCACCTATCTAACCTAGGGGTGGAGAACTGTGGGCCTGGGGTCTGAATATAGCCCTCCAGGTCTCTCTTCTCTCCTCAGGTCACACATTCTCTCCCTACCAGGCTACTTGCCTGGCTCCTCCTTAAGGCTTTTTGCCTGGCTGGGATGTGTCCTTGAAACCTGACCATACCGCTTTTGCTCGTCTGGCTGGAGGATAGAGAGAGGAGTGTGTGTTAGAAGTGTAAGCATTCACAAAGCCCAGAACAAGGTAGGTCCAGGGCACCTTAGAGACCTCCTGAACCTTTCTATCCCAGCTCAATTATTGAGCTAATCTGCAGGAGCTTAGTTGGTCATTTCCCTCATTTGACAACATCAAGAAACCCAAGTTTTTAGTGTCATTGGCCCAGCCCTGTGGAACACTCTGCCAGCAGAGATTCAGCCAAACACCTTCTGGGCCAGCTTTTAAACGCCTGCTGAAAACTTTTGTTTCGCCAGGCTTATGCAGGCAATTAAGAAGACATCTCTGCACAATAGTTAGCTGATCTTTGATTTATTGTATAATTGTTGTAAACCATTCTTTTGTGCTTTTTATGAACATCTGTATATGAATATTAAAAAAATTATGAAATAGCACAGTGCCATAGTAAAATTTGCCTTTATTGCTGAGGGCATGTGGCCCTAAGAAGGGAATGTAACCCCTTGGCCTGAAAAAGCTAACCCAGGTAAACCCGCCTGCTCCTACTTTCCTCTCACCTGACTGGATGACTGTGGCCGACGCTCCCTTTTGAGCCAGCTTCCTCCTCTTAAACCTTCGCCAACAGCACTGGATGCAGAAAGCTTTGTCAGCTAAAACTCTGGCTCGCCCCACTTCAAGGAGCTCCAGCTACAGAAGAGAAAAATAATAAGTCCGTTAGTTGGAGCCACATGCAATCAGGCTTCAGGCATATCTGGTCTTTGGACTGCCCCCAAAGGATTTTATTTTATTTTTAGAGAGACTGATTTAACCTCTGAGGTGAGAAGAGTTTCAGAGTCCAGCGGAGGAAGAAGATAACTTAAATTTTTCATTGTGGGCAGATGCCCTGTTCTAAAGTACAAGTAAGCAAACCTACCTGAGTGGAGATGCAGTGTGGTGTAATGGTTAGGGCAGAGGCAGCTAGCCTTTTCCAGGCAGACCCTTTGGAGGCCACATGCCAAGGTAGGCATGATAAGAACAGCAGTTCTCAGTGCTAGCTTCCAAAACACTTTATTACCAGCTATTCTACACTATTTAAAATAATTTTTATATATTACTGAACAACATTTTGGCACCATAACAGCGGACATATGGGAGGAGTCACTGAATTTAACTATTTAAAAACACATTTTGAGGATGGCCTGGGGTGGGGAAGAGTACAGCCTGCAGGTGAGTGAACCTTAGTTGAAAGTGTTGGATTAGGATTTATTTCATTTTTAAAAAATGTATTTGGTACATTCCTATCCAACCTCCTTGGGAAAACACAAGAAAACTAAACCAAACATTGGCTTATTCCTGTTTTTAAATGAAAACCAAGGCTACATTCACACAATACATTTAACATGATATAGCCATGGCTCCCTCAAGGAATTCTGGGAGCGATGGTTTGTTAAGGGTGCTAAGGGTGGTTACGAGACCCCATTCCCCTCCCTTAGCTACAGTCTCCAGCGTTCCCTGGGAGGATGGACTGATTGTTAAACCACTCTGGCACTGCAGCTCTTCAAGGGGAATGGGGTTTATCTTGACAACTCTCAGCACCCCTAACTAATGGCAGCTCCCAGAATTCTTTGGGAGGAGCCATGCCTGCTTAAAGTGGCATCATAGCACTTTAGAATCATTGACATGGTGTGATTTGCAGGAAATGGAATTCTGTTTCTGATGTGAGTAAGGATGACTCCATGCCAAAGAACCCACTGAAAATGTCCCCCTTACCGTAGAGTTCGTCATAAATACTTTGGTTTTCCCACAATATACTGGCATAATACGGGGTTGGTTCTCTGTAGGCTTGAGGGGAGGGGCATCAGGGGGGCACATTTGCTGAAGGATCTCCTGGACTGCAGAGTGTAAAGCATCACTTTTGTCCTCTGCAGAAGCCGCCGTCATCAAACCTGTTAGAAAAGAAAGGGGAGTATTTTATAATGTATTATTTTACTGCAAGAATCACAGAAATTGTATTATTGGTTTTATTTTGAGGGAGGGAATGAGGCTGACTTTAGCTTTTAACTATCTGATTATTATTGGTAATTTTAATACATGTTTTAATATTTCATGTAAACCGCTAAGAGGTTTCAGGATGAACTGGCAAACACATCTTGTAGAAATAAAAATAAAGACAAAAACATGGCTGACCACTTAAGACATGGTTGGCTTGCCACATACAGCTTGACCTAACCTCACGAGAGACCTGACCCTGTGCTTACCTCCACTGGCTGGCCTGGTCTGCTAAAGCAAACAGAGAAAGAGAGATGCGGTTCGTTGCTTGAAAGGAGAAACAGCCCCATAGAGAGAAAAGCGGGTTTTTGCAAGAGCAGCAGAAGAATCCAGGGTGGAGCTGGAGAGACGAAAAAGTGTAGTTGGAAAGGTGCTGGATTCATGCACAGAAGAGGAAAATAAAGTAGCAGTATTCCTTACATAAAAGCAGGTTTCCGACAATGCCATTTTGACATCAAGAAAAATTCCATTCTGCCACTTGTATAAAATTTTGGCTTGTATAAGATCATAAGAAGAGCCTGCTGGACCAGGCGAAAGGTCAACTAGATGCCTACAGGGAACCTGGGTACAAGAGTGCTCTTCCCAACTCGTGATTCCCAGCAACCAGTCTATAGGGGCACGCTGCCTCTGATGGGAGGGAGAATACAGTTGCATCGTTGCCAATGAGGAGTGATAAAAATGTGCATCACAACCCACACAAGAGCTAGACATAAATACAATTTTTAAAGAATGTGAAACAAAGATTCTAAGGTTGCTTATCCACACTCAAAATGGGACATGTGCAGGAAACTTGACCCTGCACCTAAGCATTGTGCTCTTTGTTTTTAGCTGGCTCCCAGAAATAGCACCAGAAAGTCTGAAAAGAAAGACAGAGATTTAAAGGGGGGGAATTGATAGAGTCTCTTAGATGGCTTTTCAGTGCACCAAGTTGGGGAAGATCAGTTAATTTCAGACATATTTCAAGTTACTAAGGAAAGAGACTTGATTAAAGAAACACACCGTTCCCCATAACGTGCGAGAAGCCATTCTCCTGATGCATGGTATTTGACTTTTGCTTTGGTGATCTCCTCAGCACTTTATAACGCTCCATGAAGCTTTCAAAGGAAATCCTGCCAGGTCAAAAGGAAGGGAGAGAGAAAAAAATCAGTTCAAAGCATTGTTGATTAAACAAGTGGAGCCCGAGGCATCCTGAACACAACTCCCACTGCTTAGCCTCTCCTACACTAAACATGCCCACATTTCACTGGATGCCAAGACTGAACGCTCCACCTCCCCATCTGTTCTGAACAGAAGAGAAGTGCTAAGAGTTTCTGTCTGAGCAAGAGTGGTAGTGGCCTTTCCACACAATGATGGGGTGGGGGGCATGCACACCCTGCTTTTGTGATCCCCTCTCTTTTTCTACTTTAATTTTAGATGTGGCAGCCCAAGGTTGCATCCTAGACTGACCTCCCTGTTGTGATAGATATCTACTTGCAATCTACTTGTTTTATGGTGCGATGGGACATTGTAGTGTGGTTGTTGCCAGCAATCAGCCTGAATTTGTACAATCTACTCCCCCACCCTAAAGGGAGAAGGAATCCAGATGAACATGGGCAAATCAGTGTCCCCCGAAATACAAAAACAAGGGGCAAATGCAACTCTGGACAGCCTTACCGAATTGGAAAGCCTGCAGCGCTGATGTTGACAGCTTCCACAATGCCACACGCCTCCAGCTGCTGCAGAACCTGACAAAATAGGATGATTTTTAAAGGCAGGGCTGAGAGCTGGTGCCCATTCTAGTGACTTTAAATTAAAGGCCAGAGCTATGAATTAAGATGTCCCTGATTCAAATGTCACCTGCGGCACAGGTACTTATGTGGCCTCGGCACTGAGCTCCCCCCCCCCCAGCTGGCTTTGGAAGTTCAATTCTGAGTGCATTACCTCGTCCTTTCGGAAAAGAGCTGCCTGGCAATCTGCGTTGGGCTTGATGCAGCGGATGTAGTGTGGGGTGGTGCTGTGCAGGATCTCCATCAGCTTCTCGAGCGACCCCTATGGGACAAACACAGGACAGCGCGTTGTGCTCATCATTCCCTCTATTTCCGACGCTCAGGCTGTGAGCGCTGATGAGTAGGGACGGGGGAGAAATTCATTTCAGTTCGTGCTTAAAGGCCAGTTCAGCTAGTTCGCACTTTCTGTGTGGAGTGAAACACAACCATGCTTTGAAATGCACATGCCTCTGAATTTTGCTCTGGAGTTCTCCAGCCAAACGTTCTTATGTTAGGGTGGAGTGTGCATAAAAATACAGACAAATGCATTGTTTAGGGGAAATGGCATAGCAAAAATGTGTCCATTAAGAGAAAGTCGCACCATGACACCGATGGCATTTAAAAAGATAAGTATATATTGCAAACTGATGCGGAAATGCAGAGAGCTGAATTTAAGATTTGAAAAAACGAGAGAATCTTGTCCGAATTCCTAAAGGGCCACTGCTAGCCAATGTAGCCAGTACTGAGCTAGCTGGACTAGTGGGTCTTACTCAGCGTAACTCAGCCTTTTATGTTTCTAATTCCCTGACATGGTGAGTGTTGTTGGCACTCTGGGCACACACAAACACATACCCAATTCGTGCAGAGGAACAGTGAGTCTGATCCTGCATGGCCTGAGCTTGCAACCTAGCAAACTGCTTAGAATCCTCAGCAAGACACAGCTCTATGACAGGATGCTTGGGAAACAAGGCCCTGTGGGAAACTGGTTCCCAGCCGCTGGGCATTTTGGAAACATCTAATCTAACATTACAGACGATTGTTCTGTGTACAGAATGACCATTTGTTCTGAGAATCCCAGGTTTTAGTCTATTTAACAAACACTAGCTTCTAGCCCTCACTGTTGTACAGAGAAGTGTGGAGGAAGAAGAAAAACAAACAACAGCTTTGAAGGTACTTAGCTGAAAAAAAGGTATAAATATGGGGCAAACCTTGAATTTGGAGACTACTGTAACCACCACAGGTTTCATCTGAGTCCTGATGTCGTTTGTGCTTGTTTTTTGGCTTGTGGTTTCCACAGGAAACAATTTCTGAAGCAAAGAATCCTGGGACAGCTGTAGCAACAGAACCAGTTCTGGGGGGACAGGGTCCTTTTTTGAGAGCAGGGAAGAGAAGACAAGGAGCATGCAATTGTTATTATTTTCTGAGGAAAAACTGTAAAACATTTACAAGGAGCAGGAGGAAACATTATAGTTAGGACAACATATTTGCAAACAACTTGGGAGAAATTGGATGGAGAATACTTCCAACTTAACAAAATACTGTGACTTAAGGGAATATCCTGGACCAGGAGGCAATAACTGGGAGGCGATTTGGCACTGCACCCAAAGAGCTCTTTGCGCATACCCAGAGGTCTTGCGCAAAACCCAGAGGTTTTGTTATTTCTGCAGCAGGGTCCCTGTCCCCAATGCCTTAGAGCCACCCAAACAGCCTGAAAGAGGCTTTATTGGTCCTGAGAATAAGTCTTCTCACACCTGGGCTGATTGGAGCCTATCAGAGTGAAAGGTGGGGAGTCGGCCACTGAGGGCGAGCTCCTACGCAGAAGAACATCAAGGAGCTGCTGTTCTATATGCTCCAAAGCTAAACATTTAGGAACACTAGAAACACAAGGTGCCTCAGTTTCAAGAGAACAGCGTGCAAGTTCTGTTATGTACAATGGAACTTCAAGGAACACACACTTTAAGGCACTCCAAAAGAAGGTATTGGAGCACTCCAAATCATTTGCCCATGTTTGTGTGCAGAAAGCTGTCCAAATAGCTGAAAGGCAACACATGGAGATCTGCAGTGATCATTGCAATGCATCCCTAATTATTATTGTTGTATAATTATAAATTTAGTGCATAATCTTACAAGGATTTAAAAAAAGAAAGCAAAAGGGGGCATGGCTGTGACTATCACAAAGGGACCCTGCGCATCTGAATTGGCCACTGGGGAAACCCAGCCAGATGGATGGGGTATAAATAATAAATTGTTGCTGCTGCTGCTGCTGCTGCTGCTGCTGCTGCTGCTGATATTGCACTACTGAGTGTACCTTGTTCTTTTCCACCATTCCTTCCACCTGATAGCGGACATCCCCAGCGTAATGGGAAACAATGAAGTTGGGCTCCTTACTAAACCGGTCCCTGCTAACACACCGGTTATCAGACAAAGCCACGTCAATCCGGGTTTGAAGCTGGCTGGTGTTGGAGGGTCTGTTGAGGCGGCATTCCTAAGAGAGAGAAAGAGAGAGAGATGGCAAGAATGGGGAAAGTTGGACTGACAGAAGTGGGGAGGGGATGCCAAGTGAATTTTAATTGACACTATGGAGAGTAGCTCTATCAGTAAAGTAAGTGTTTGCCATTGTGGGTAAATCAAACCTCCAACTACAAGTCTTAGATCTGAGTGTTGGACTAAGACCTGGGAGACCAGGGTTCAGTTGTTATTAATTATTATTATTATTATTATTTGTATCCCATCTTTTCCCCAGACCAGGACTCAAGGTGGCTTACACAAATTAAAATGCAGAGATAAAACACAAAAGCTGGAAACATGTAAAAGATAATTGTCACAAAGTGATTATAATAATAATAAAAACTAATCTATTAAAATACAGATAAAGGTTCAAATCTCCACTCAGCCATGAAGTTCACTGGATGATTTTCAATGTTGTTGTTTTTAACTGATCACTCTTCCTGCTGTGATGTCAAATGTTTTTTTGTGACCCATTCCACCCAAATTGTGTCCCTTAAAGCATTAACATTTCTTGTTTCGCAAAACCCACCTTTTACACTTTGGTCCCCGGAGGGTCAACCATCGGTCAACGTGGTCCTTGGTCTGAAAAAGGCTAACCACCCATGTTCAAGACAAAATCTCTTACTCCTCTGTAAATAGGAGGCTGTGCTGCCTTTGTGAAAAAGTTCCCTTTATTACAGGTGTTCAGGGTGTGAGTGCTAATGCTTATCAGCCAATGGGGAGCTGAAATATTACTATCCATACACAAGATGGAAGGTTACTGTTTTTCTTTGTTACTATGGTATGCATTTTTGTGTTTTTATATTGTAAACTGCCCTGCGATCATAGGATGAAGGGCAGTATAGAAAGTTTAGTTAGTGAGTGAGTGAGTTAGTAAATGACTGAATGAATGAAGCCTGCAGGCTTGGGCTAGGGAAGCAGGAGGTTGGCAGAAGCACAATAAATAAATAAATTTGCTTCTCCCTAATCCTAGTCCAACAAACATTCTAACCACTATACCACACAGTCTTGGCTATATATATCCAAAGGCCTAATCCATGGATGTCAGCACTCTCAGAAAGCCAGGAATGACTAGTGGTTTCAAAGTAGGCCCAAATCACTGGAAACCTGAGCGCTCTGGACCCACCTCGTTCAGCAGAGAGAAGATGCTGACTGGGCTGCCTTCGATTACGTCCAGGCAGCACTGGTTGTCCTGGTAGTTGATGAAAGACCACTCCAGGCCTTCTGCAGCATACTCTTCCTGGGGAAACAGAAGGACGAGGAGGTGGGGCCACTCACAGCATGTTGGCCAAGTCCCCACCCCGATGTTGGAACTGGGTGTTGCAAAACAGCCTCGTGGGAGAACCCAAACATGAGCATTACCTGCTGGGCTTTGAGGAAATGGCCTACAAAATGCTGCTGCAGTTTCTCGTTGGCATAGTTGATGCACAGCTGCTCCAGGTGGTTGTCCGGAAAAGATTCGAAGCCGTAAACATCCAACAGACCTGGAAGTTGGGGTGGGAGACAAGGTGGCTGATCCAGCTATCTGGGGTGCTTCGATTAAGACAATGTCCTGCCGCCCCCCCCCGCCCCCCGCTGCTCCAGGGTCGCCAATGTGGTGTCCGCGAAAAGTCTCTAGAAATATCCCCTCCAAACCCCACAGCGTACAAGAGAGGCTGTTTGCTCTTCCTGCTCAACTCCTGTCTGCACTGGGCTGTCTCATTTCAAGCAAGACGATTGGTCTATATAGCTCAGTACTGTCTACACCGACTGACAGCAGCTTGCCAGGGTTTCAGGCAGGGAGTCTCTCCTAGTCTTACCTGGAGATGCTGGGAAATGAACCTGGGACAGCAGATACTCAGCCACTGAGCTGTGGGGCCCTTCCCACCAGTTGCCAGGATTGGACACCACCTGCCCACCTGTTCTGAATGGAGTAGAGGAGCATACAGCTTCTCTCTATAAGCAAGCATGGGAGGTTGCTGATTGAAGTCCCTTTTCCACCACTGATGGGGATGACTGAATTTTTTGGGCATGTTGACATCATTTTGTGGTCCTATCTCTCCTGCTCTTTTAGATGCGACAGGCATTTTGTGTCATGGTGCATGTCCCATGGCAGCAATCTTGTGACTGGTGCCCTCAAAATTCAATACTTCCTCAAAATTCAAAACTTCCTCAAAATTCAAAATTTGCTCTGTGGCCAAAACCCCATATTGTCAGCCTTCACCCGCAAGCAAAGGTGTAGTGGGATTCATGTGACCAGTCTAGAAAGAAAGTTATTTGCAAATTGAAAGTATTCCCCGCCTCCAACCCTACCCCGCCCTGGGTCTGAATGATTTATATCCAGGCTGCAGAATCCAGCTTTTTAAAAGCACAGAGTCTGGATTTCCTGGGTGCAAGATTCATATGTCTGTGTGTGTACACAGTCCAAATAACCCTGTCAATACCCCACACCCAGGAGGGATTGAACAATGTTACCTATGAAGTTGCTCCAGACAGAAGGATCTGCATTGATGCTTCCATTGATCACGGCCACCAGCCAGTCAAATACCCTGCAACAGAAAAACGCTACTGTGCCATCCCAGTTGGCTGGAGAGACGGGCACCCCATTTGAAGCAGCTACAAAGGGAGGAGGCAGACACAGAGAAGTCTAAATGTTTGTGACACAGATCTTGTGCAGGGCTTAATCTTCTAGCCTAAAATCTGTTTCAGTATTGAGACTGAGTCTTAGGACAAGTGAAAGAATGATCCTTTCCCCACCTTGCCTCCCCAAAAGCACATATGCTTTGTGCAGAGCTAACCTGAGGAATTGCAAAGAGGGGCTCAAACCAACATTTAAAGCAATGGCCCTGCAAAGGTTGTCTGATCAGACAACTCCCATCATCCCTGATCATTGGCTATTTGCTGGTTGGAGGCTGGTGGGAGTCGGGAGTCCAAAACATCTGGAAGGCCACAGGTTCCCCATCAGGGCTCTAAAAAATTGTGAACCTGAAAAGGTCTAAACACAAACTTGGCCAAGCTGGTTTTCATCATGAGTGAGAGTTGCTCTGACTGAGCTGGGGAGTATCTGCGTTGCAGGGTTCCAGCCAATCAGCCTTCCCCTTTTCCAGACACTCCATTCCATTCCGTTCTCCACCCATAACACACGGCTTTCTATTTCCGCCCAACTCGCACTCAACACTCCGTAGCTACTGAGCATGCTCATGAGCACTCCGATAGCTCCCTCTTGTTTCTCAGTGGCCCCACTCTGCCACAATCCTGGTGGCACATACCACCCAACTTCAGTATTAGAGGGAGACATGGGTGCCTCCTTAATTTTTTAAAAAATTAAGTCTTGATTTAAAAGGTTTTAAATATATGTTTCAGATATGCTTGATGGTTGCTTTGGACAGGGTCTCCATAGAAGGAAGGGATCTAAGTCTATTGAGTCAGAGGTGGGAAATCCTCCTTCAGCCAGAGGCGGCAGTCCCGGGTTGGCGACCTCCCACAGGCCACAGGCCAGTGGTGCGCAGGACCAGAGCAAACATGGATGGAAAGAAAATGTTATCTCTGAAAAGTAGGCTAATTTCGACACGCACTCCTCTATCCCCCCTCCAGACAAGCAAAGAGGCACCATCAAGGTTCAGGGACACATCTCAGCCATGTGAATCATTTAAAGGGGGGTATGAAGTTGGTGAGGGGTGTGGCTGGGAAGGAGGAGTGGCCCACAGAGAGCTCTGAGGGCCACAGAAAGTGCCCTGAAGGTTGCAATTGGCTCCCAGGCCTGAGGTTCCCCACTCCTGAATCAAGTAAACAGAATCATTATCATTGTCTTGCAGTTAAAACCACCTGGAGACTAGTGCAATGCAGTGAATAAGGCACTGGGCTTGGAATGTGAAAGCCAAACCAGACCCAGATCTGCCGCACAGGTTATATTCTCCTCCGCAGGCTTGCCTACCTCACAGGAGTGTTACCAGGACAGCATTAGGCTGCTCCTTTTCTTTTGGGGGAGAACAAAAGGCAAGGAAAGACAAAGAGAGAGGGTGACACAGAAGCAGCTCCTGAAACAAGGTCCAGAGCACTTACTTGGCATAGACGACCTTGGCAAGACAGTCCCTTCTCGTCCCACATTCAACCTTGGGGCAAGCCTTCTTGAATACCTGCCGCTGCTTCCCAGCCGTTATCGTCCGGATCCGCAGTGTTTCCAGCAACTGCTCTACGGGCACCTTTAATAATCTGGAAGCAGTCTTTGCAAATCCTGGGTTTGGAAGATTTTTATTTTTTAAGGTTCTGTGGCTATTTAAAAAAAAAGATTCCCACTTAATCTCGCAGTTTGTCCTTGGTTTACCACTCATTCTTTTCTGGGAACACGACAACTCAAAAGTTCACACACAACGTTAAGCCAAACCACACTTTAGTGATTTCCCCTCTAAATACCCGCATGATGCTCTCTGTCCAAGCCATGGTTTGGAAGTATATTAGTGTGAAGGAGGCTACTGTAATTCTTGCCTACCATCCTGGGAACTTGGGTTGAAAGCTGTTCTAAAAATATAATGAATAATAAAACCGATTTGGTCAGGGATCATGGCGACTCACCTGTGGCGCTGTCGTCCAGTTCACAAGGCTGCGACTCGTCCTCAGCCTCAGAGAACTGGATGTTTCCCAGGTGGAGAAGACCTGCTAATATCTGCGGGAAAAAGAAAGAGACGAGATGCTTCAGGGGTGGGAGAACACTTTGGGGCACATAGACTATTCAGGTTAGCTAGGAGCCAGCACTCCAAACGTCCCTGCAGAATCTAGATAGGAAGTCATCAATGTTCACCCTGCCAACAATTTAAGCCAGAGGTAGGGAACCTTTTTCACCTCAAGGTCTGTATTCCCCTGTGGGCAACTTTCTGAAGGCTACATACCACTGGTGAGTGTGGCCAGAGACATGCCACTCTCCATTCTCCTTCCAGGCATTAAGAAGAGGCATTATCATAGTAAAGCCACTAGCAGGGGCACAGATCTGTGTTTCAACCAACCTTGAAAACATTATTCTGCGTGTAGCAGTCAATGCCCAGATGCGACATCGCCTCTCGTGTCACCTCAAAGGAGTCCTCTGTGGAAGAGAAAGAGACCCACAAATTAGAGAAGGAGATGGTGCGTCTCTTAAGAGTATGATCCCCATTGGGAAGAAAGTTGTGAAATGGTGCTCCTGGTGGAGCAATGACTGGGCGGAGCAATGACTGCAAAATTTCTCTTTGTATAGTAGGTTAGTTTCTACACACATTCACACACACACCTCTCTAGCCCCCATCCAGGCAAGAAGGTGGTAATAGTAACAACATCTTGAGGACCACAAGTTTCTAGTCCTCAACGCAGCAGCAGTTGCAACCCCCCTGACAGATAACCACCCAGCCTTTCCTTAATAGAGGGCCTACATTTATTTAAGCTTATTCTTAAACTTCCCCACTGCTTCCCCTAAAGCAGCTGAGGTTCCTTTTACGATACATGGTCCCAAAGCAACACCTTCTAGAGTCTTTTCAGGATTCGGAAGCCAGCAGAATTTTGCCCCTTCAGGGATATCCCATTCCAGTCGTTCTTCGTGACTGGCACCTTTTGCAATCTGGAAAGGAAGAGTAAACAGTTCAGGCAATTCTCCTCAAAGCAAGCCATGGTAGCGTAACCAGCAAATTATATATGTGTGCATGTAGAGAAATGTAGGGAAGAGTAAAATGAGGCAAGAAAAGGGAATCACTCTTTCACATTAGATTTAAAAGCAATGGCACAATATGACATCATGCCAAAACCACGGTTTGGAGCCAAAACCGTGGTGGTTGTAGCCAAGCCTGTTCTACTCAGAATAGACTTGTTGAAATGAATGGACTTAAGTTAGTCATGCCCATTAGTTTCAATGGGTTTACTCCGAGTAGAAGTCAGATACAACCCATGGTTTCCAAAGTGCACAACAGCCAAACAATGGATTTTGAGCAGCATGTCTGCTTTCATATTTTAAAATTTGTAGCTTATATTAAGAGAGGGGAAAGTTTTCATACAAACAAAAGAAAGTAACGAAAAGTATTACAATCATATGTAACATAAAATCTAGCTGAAGACATAACGATTACAATATTTTCCATGCAAAGAGGCATTTGCCTAAACTAAGGAACTTGCATACAGATTTGCCAATTTAAAAAAATGAAGGAATGAGAAGTTAACATCATTGTTTTCTTTACTCCCCAAGTACTAGTAATATACAGAAATATAAATAATATACATCTGCCTAAACTTACTTTCACAAAACCCACACCTTGGAATAAACAGGAGCGACTACACAGAATCCATCCCTAGAATCGCCAGACAGGGCAGGGAGAGATCCCTGCCTGAAACCTGCTGCTGACATCAAATTATTTCAGGGGATTTGCTCTTTGTGTTCAGTTAATTTCGTAATACTTATTAAGTTTAAGTTACCAATTTTGGGGCCCTCAAAGGAGCAGAAGCTAGATACTGACTGTGCATTCCCCCGCATGTAAACATGCAAAAAGGAAAGGTCATGTATTTGAAATAATAACAACAAAAAACACTGAGGGCACAAACCTGGTAGAAGATATGAAAGTTCCTTTCACAGGGGGCTTGGTAGGCAACCCTTGTTTTCTCCAGCAGGAAAGTCTGGATGGAAGCACTTGTTAGATGCTGAGACCTGGAGAAAAATGCTCAGAAATCATTTTTCTTTATATTGCTAAATATCTGGAAGTTTGTGAACCACATCAACCCCAAGGATGCATGCCAAGTTCAGCACATGTTTTCATGGCAATAAAGACAGCACAAAATTTGCAGTTAGGAACCGGTAGCAATGTCAGCCAACTTCAGTGCTGTCCAGCTGTATGTGTGTATTTCTGAGGTTTTTCTAAATCCATACCTGTTTAACTGAAGCTGGATGTATTTGCCAAAACGGCTGCTGTTGCTGTTCCGAAGGGTACATGCGTTTCCTGCGAAGTCCAGCCCAAGTGGAGAACGAGAGAAGAGGCAGATTAATGATCAAAAATCAAAAACAACACACCAGTCAAGGTAATTCTCCCTCTTAAGGAAGGAAATGTAGCGGATTGACAGACTCTGAGAATAGACAGCTCACCATTCATATGGACACAGTGATAAATCCCTGTTACTGTAGAAGAGGGTTGCCATATGGCTGGAATTCTCCGTACATAGCCAGAATACTGCAGTCGGAAGCAGTGTCCAGCTGAAATCTCAAAAATGTCTGGTAAAATCCAGAGGTATGGCAACCCATGTCGGCAGTGTCGTTTCTGGCAATTTTCCTTTAAAATAGCTCCAAAAAAGCTCAACAACTTTGGGCAAAACTAAAAATTGCTCAACAACTTTGGCAAAAAAACCACCTTTGTCTGGATTCTTACTTTTTGAAATATGGTAACCTTACTGTAGAACAGACATGCGAAACTCCTGGCCTGCTAGACCATTTCCCCCAAGCCGCACACATCTGTACCACCTGATGTCATATGTGGTATCAGGTGTGGAGATATTAAGAAATGGCTGCGGATCAACAACTGGGAGCCTTAAAGTATAACGATTAGTACTTTGAAGGCAGTTTTCTATTTGGTGGCTTTTTAAAATTCAATTTGAAATGAAAGTCCAGCTGGGATTCTTTCCACTCAGGAAGCTTTCAAGTCATGGTTCACCTGCTGTCCACAGAACCCAAACCACAGTTCACACAATCTGTGGCTTGGCAGTTTGATCTGTGCTGCTACACTTGCAGGAATATATCTATTCAAAAGTCATATTTACCAAAGGCTTCCATTACTGGGTTGGAGTCCAACACCCTCTTCTCTATCCTTTCCACTGCCACGCTGCCTTTGGGGACGGTGGAGGACGAGGCGACTGTGGCGTAAAATTTCATCAGGCAACGGGAGGTCCATGTCTGGAAAGATGGTCATGAATGTGAGCTGTGGGCTGCTCTTGACATATGTAATTGAATCAGAAAGGTGTTTACAGGGAGGAAAAGAGGGAGAGCCGCTTCAACGAGGCCACAAATGAAGAGCTAGTATTTTGAGACTGTTCCCACGTGCACAGAACTTGCTGTTGAATGCGTGAACAGGCACTGCTCAGCTCACCTATGTGCTAAACAGAATGGCCAATGACTGTGGGCAACTTGGACTCATATGCTCCAACCTTCCTTCTCCTTCCCCATTTATCAGTATAGTAAAAAAATATTGCCCCACCTGCCATCAATGCCAATACCGGGACAGGGTACAGAAAATAAATGCCAGCCAACCAAGTCTTAAACATACCAAACACATACTAAAATGTTCAGAACAAATAAAGCTGCAAAAAACTACAGAGCAAGTAAAACAATCCACCACCTCCAACCCTGCGATCAGCAGGTGAGGTGTTGGTGCTGCCACGGGGGGCTAGCTGGCGCCGACCTGCAGCATGGCCTTTTCCAGTGGTGGCTCCCAGTTTGTGGAATACCCTCCCTGGGGAGGTGCATCTGTCTCCCTCAATACTGACTTTTCAGGATGATTTGAAAGACATTCATGTTTACCCAAGTGATTGATAGCTGAAAGATACTGATCCTGACAACCCTGAAATCATGGGCTGAGGGAATGTGATTGCTTTTACACTGTTTTTGAATGTTTCTTATGGTCTTGTTTTCATGATATGTTTGTGGCCCTGGTGAGATATATAATAAATAAACAGCTTACACAATTTTAAAATGCCTGAGCATATAAATAAGGTCTTAGCCTAGGGCCAAAATGACAGCACCAGCATCGGTTGAGGAAATGCGGCCCTTGGGTCAAAAAAAGTTCCCCACTCCTGGGTCATAATAAGTGATGGTTTCCCAAGCTTGGATTCAATAGGAAACTGCAGTGTGTTATCAAAACCAAAAGTGGATGGCTCAAAAGGACACTTGGAGAAAGCTCCCTGCATGTGGCAAACAATGACATCAGGGCTACATCGCACCTTTCTCAGATATGGTAGCTGTCCACATGCAGGGAACTTTGCACAGATCAGGAAAAGCCTTGTACTTTGAGGTAATGCATAAAAGAAAAAGTTATGTTTGCTATTCACCTACACAAGCCAGCAACATGGTCTTCCCCCAGAGATGGGTGAGCAGGCAGCCGATCACAGAGAGATGCCTGAAGGAAGTATTTCCCTTACCTTCCCAGCTCCGCTTTCGCCGCTCACAATGATGGACTGGTTTACAGGCGGGATCTGGCTTTGGACATTCCTGTAGGTCTCCTCTGCTACCACGAAAACATGAGGTTTGAGTTCCTAAGAAGCAAAAGAGTGAACACAGTTGTGTTTCTGGAAGGGTAAAGCTACTGTCAGGTGCAGCTCACTAAAAGCAGGGGAGGGGAACCTGTGGCCTCTGGATCTTGCAGACTTCAGCCCCCATCATCTGTGACCATGGGCCGCCCTGGCCAGGGATGATGGGAACTGTAGTCCCTTGGATCCCTAGATCTGCACACCAGCTCTCCTCACCCCTAACCATTGGGCCAGGCTGACTGGGGCTGATGGGAATTGGAGTCCAAAAGGCAGTGGAGGGTTGCATCTGTTCCCCACCCCTGGGTTAATGGCTTAGTGGGAACTTAAGGGTGATGATGGATGCAGGGCAGATGGGAAGTCTGCAACCTTCCCTAACTCATCATGCCTTCTGTGCCAAAAGTGCAGCCTTTACAGCTTCCCTCTTAAAAGCCACCAACGGTTAAGTTATTTTCCAGGCATCTCCTGGGAAAGATCTCATTTGGCAGGGGCTAAGCTGGTGCAGTTCTCCCTCCACCCCTCACTCACCTGAAGGCGGGGGGCAGTGTGGTAGTCCCTCATGAGCTCGAGCGAGTAGAGAGGCGGTATCGGCCGAAAGGGGTTGACTGCCACCAGGCTGCTGCCGGCATTGGTGTAAAACACGTTGATGGCGTATCTCGCTTGCAGGCACTTCAGGACTGAGAATGGCGGAAGGTTTCATCAATGGCAAGAAATGTGCTATTTCATGTTTCCGAATTCAGCCTCCCTTTTTCCCCACACAAGGCAGGAGTGGGGAAGTTGTAAGACTCCAAATGTTGGAGCTGTAGCCCAGCAATATCTAGAGAGATACAGCTTCCCTCACTGCTGGTATAAATTATAGACAGCTGGGGGACCGGGATCTTTTTAGTTCAGCCCCAATCCCAAGAACCAAGGTGAGGCGGGTTTATTTTTTGGGGGGGAGGGGCATAATGGAAGAATTGCACTAGGGGAAATGAGTTTGTTCTTTGCATGTGGGAGAATAATCCAGTCACATCCTGCTGTGACCAAAAAACGGAGACCAGGGCAGAACAGAAGGGTAGGCCCACAGCCTGGGGTGCCGGGTGATGCTGAGGGCTGCATGAAATTGGACCGAGGTGAACCAAGGGCCACAGGTTCACCACCCCGGTCTTCTAGTGACATGTGAATGCACAGCGGCGTGTTTGTTTTTAAGCCCTACCAGTTGTGGTGGTCACAGGATTCACTTTGGTAAGGTCATCAAAGCAATGGAGCTGCCGTTCGTCACCCAAGAAGGATTCGACATCTTCCCCGAGACCATTCTCTTCATCACAACTGGGGGCCGGGTGACTCTTTGCGCCATTCACCTGAAGGAAGAGGCAGAAGGAGATGCCACTAAGTGACCAAAACACCAGGATGGTGATTTTGTCATATAAAAAGCTGCCCTGAAAATAAGTTTACAGGCAGGTAAGGCTGGGATCCGCTCCTGCGTGAAACCCTGGAGAGCCGCCACCAGTCGGAAGTCCCGGGTTCAATCCTTGGCACCTCCAGGCACAAATTCCTTTGAAATTCTGGAGCCTCTGTCCATCAGTGTACGCAATACTGAGCTAGATTGATCAAAGGCCAGCCTTAGTTTAAGGCAGATTCCTATGTTCCTTTCAAAGCTGGCCTTTAAATTCAGAACCATGAAGACTAGATTCTTGCTTTAATTTTAGGGAAGAGCTGTAGCTCAGCAGTAGAGGCCCTGTTCTGTTTGGAGAAGGTCTCAGGCTCAGTCCCCAGCAGCTAGGAGACACTCCCTGCCCGAAACCCTGAAGAGTTGCTGCCAGCCAGTGCAGATAGCACTGAGCTAGACGGACCCCATGGCCAGACTCAGTATCAGGCAGCTTCTTAGCTTCTGGACAGGCAGCCATATGATCTGCTCCCTGGATGGCTTCCTGGCACTACTGGAAGCCTTTCCATATTACCATCTTAGCTTTCCCTGACATTACCTGCTTGGGCATTTTTTCCCTTCTCATTTTGGGAGGCTTTGAAGTTCGTGTTGGAGAATGCATTGGAGTACTACCAGCTTGGCAAAATCTCAACGGTGGCGGACTTCAGGTTGCAGGAAATCTCAGGCAAGAGAAACGAGGAGCCCTGAATAGAATGAAGAAGGTTGTTTACTTGAAGCGGTTTTGGCAACCTGCAATATGCTACTGTGTGTGACAGGGAAGGCTTCAATGGGCCGCCTGATAGATAAATCATGGGGTGGGGAACCTTTTTTTCAGCCTAAGGGCCACACTCCCTTCTAGGCCACATGCCAGGGGCAAAAGTAGATGGAGCAAGAAAGGTGTGTTTTACTGAGGCTAATTTCTCCATATACTCACACACACTGCTTTCTCTCCTCCATCCAGGCAAACAAGGGGCCTTATCAGAACCAAGGGCACCTTACAGCCAGACACCAACACTCAAGGAAGGTGCAAAGCAAAACAGAGAAGAAGGTGTGGCCTAGAGGGCTGCATATGCATCCAGCCCAACTTTTTTAGATTAAAAACAGGGGTGCGTGTTTTCCAGGACATGCTCCCAGGTGAGGCATGTGACCTGCGCTGCTATCTCCCCCCACAAATGCTTTTTTCAGGGTGTGAGATCACAGCACCCAAAATACCCGCCGCAATTTCACATTGAGATATGGGATGTTCCCCCTTTTTTTCCCAGGACACATGGCGGGTATGCATTTGACCTGGGGATCTACTCTAAGGTTCCCCACCTTCAGGATAGAAAATAACGAGCTCGATGGAGCAATGATCTGACACAGTACAAGGCAGCTTCTTCTGTTCCTATTTAAATTGGCCCTTAGTACAACACCATGAGGACTGGAAACTTGTTTTATCTTGTGAGGGAAGAGCTGTAGCTTGCTCCTGTGTTGTATCCCCAGCATCTCCAGGTATGGCTGAGAATGCCACTTTCTATATTCCAGCGCTCTGAGCAACAGCAAGCGTCTGGGTCTAGTGAGGCAAAGGGGGGCCTGGGGACTATCCCCAGGGTCGATTATGCAAAATTGAATGGGAAGGGGCAACATCACAAATCCCTAACTGAAAAAAACGGTTTAGAGAAATATCTGTTTGCACTCTGGCGTCCTTTTGGATTAAGGATAGCAAAGTGGATTCTTCCCCTTCCTTAAATGTAAGGTTTCCCGGCTGTTATAAACAGATTTGTGGGAGGAGGGAAAAGAAGGCCTGTGGGGAAAAACGACAACAGAACATTTTTGCACGGGCGTGACCAGTGGAAAGTTACACGCCAGGGAAACAAAAAACAAAAAACCATCCAGCAACCCAGACTGCTGGTTCTATCCAGCAGCAGCAAATCCAACCAGCAGATTTAAGCTATGGGATGTTGTTTTTATTAACTTCCCCTGTGATCATTCCACTGGTTAGGATTCTCCCCCCCCCCCCATCAAAAATAATTATGCTTAAGAGATAGTCCCATACTATTCACTGACAGCTACTATTTGTGGGATTTGCAGTAAAATGTTGCAGCATGGAATGTGCCCATTCAGGCTTCCTGCAAGCCTGGTTTTTCCATTCCCAGTTACCCCCCCCCCCCCAAGTTATCTGCAGGAGGCTGGTTTTACCTCTGCTCCCTTATGTTGGGTGATATCCAACATCAGCCATGCTCAGAGTTACACCCATTCTTCTTGCTTCTCTATACTCCCTGTACTAATGAGAGAAGACCCTGACCCAAGTCTTCAGTCCATGCCAGAGTATGCAGAAGAGGGGACTGGTGGCAATCACAAATCGTGGCTGGCTAGTAAGCCAAAGCAGTACAAAAAATATTAATCATTTTTTTAAAAGGAGTGGGGCGCAAAGAAGAGACAGGGCTCCAAAAACAACTCAAGTGAACACTGAACATGCTTAGTGAGCATGGAATGCTGACTGTCTGAAGTCAATAACATTGGGGGGGAAACCCACATCAGGAACAATAAAGCTATTCTTTCCTTAACTCTGAAGATCCATTGTTGGCCTCTTTGTGGATTACAGTTACCCTTTAAACAACCTGTCCTGCTTATAAAGGATTATTAGAACAGATTTCCACACACAAACCCACTCTTCAGCTGGGTGCCAAGGCAGGTGGGTCTCCTAATTCTCATTGAGCCTCTATTTGCGGTAACAGCAATGTGTGATACCACATTCAGGATTCAAGAGCCTTAAAATCCCCTTGGCAGACCAGACCAAAAATCCGTCCATTGGCCTGTCTCCAACAGAAGACAGTTGTGATGCTTCTGGGAAGCTCCGAAACAGGACATGATGGGAATTTAAACACCCCTGATTGGTTGTCAAGTACTTAAGACATGTTGTGTTTTAAGTATGGGAGGGGGAGAATGTAAAAGCAGCATGAGGGAGGACAGCCGCTTCTGTGCGACAACTGAGCATTCGAGAAGTGACTCAATAAGCTTGGATCATTATAAGGCCTTGCAATCGAGTTCGGCCACTGGACCCTGGGACCTGAGATGTCAGTATGAAGGCAGAAGAGCAGAGGAGAGGAAGGAAGGGCCTTAGTGCAATAGGAGACACTAACAGATCCTTGGCCAGGGGGTGGCTGGGCTCCCACCCCTCCATCCTTACAACAGCCCCCCAGTACATAATTGTTGGCCAAGTACCTAAAGTGATCCAGCCCATGTATCACAATATAAAACAGCACAATAGCTGATTGAGCTCCATGCTGCAACCACACTGCTCTGATCAACTTAAGTTTGCACTTCTCTCGCCAGAAGCAGAGAAAATGAGGAAAGACGGGCAACAGCTCAGTGGTACAGCATCTACTCTGCAGGCTGAAGGTACAGGCTCAGTTTCCAGGTGGGGATGGGAGGTCTTGTCTGAAATCCCGGAGAGCCACTGTCAGTCGGTGTGGATGATACTGAATTACCGATAATCCAGCTGCAACTTCCTGTGTTTCAAATACTTTCATGAATGTCTGTATACACTTAAGGGCTAGAAATTTGGGTTGTTGTTATTGTTTACTATAAATAAACATCTGGAGTCTATGCAAAATGGCACTTAAATGTGTGGAATGAGCTTAGGTCAGTGGCAGACATATTTTGCATGCACAAGGTTGCAGGTTCAATCCCCGGCATCTCCAGGTAGGAAAACGGTCATCTAAAGCCCTGCAGAGCTGCTGCCAGTCAGTGTAGACAACATTGCGCTAGATGGACCAATGGTCTGACTCGGTATCAGACAGCTTTCTATGTTCCTAAGAAGTGATCTCTGGTTTACAGATGTGTATATTTCATTTCTTCCTGAAAACTGCATACTCTGTTACATCTGTTTAGGCACCAGGCAAAAACATTCCTCTTCTCCCAGACCTTTTGCTAATTAAACAACCTATGGTCTTTTAAACTGTGTGTATGTAGGTTACTATCCTATGGTAAGTATTTTTGTATTTTTTTATTGCAAACTGCCCTCTGATCCTCAGATAAAGGGCAGAATAGAAATAATAATAAATAATAATAATAATAATAATAATAATAATACTGTCTTTCTACTTCAGTGTATTCAAGGCCTTCCAAAGTTTTATTTATTTATAATTTTTTTATTCTGTTTTTCAGACGACGATAATCTCTCAGATCAAGTTACGTTAGAAATAAGAGAGAGACAGGCCCTGGCATCAGGCTTAGAAACAAAAAAGGCCAGAAACAATAAAGGAAATTCAGAGTGGAGGGAAAGGAGAGGGAGAGGGAGAGATCAGCCCTTCAAGGCCCAAACTAAGTGGTAAGCAAACTGGTCCCCTTCAGACGCTGCTGGACTCAAACTCCCATCAGCCCCAGACAACATGGCAAATGGTCAAGGATTATGGGAGATATAGTTCAGCATCATGGGGGGGGGGGGCACAGCTTCCCCATCCCTCATCTATGGAGATCAGCTAAGAGAGCAAACTTTGAGCCTCCAAGTAGAGGGACAGTCTACCTGAATACTGGGGTCCCACAGGAGGATGGAAGAGCAGACACCTTCCTGTTCCACTTGTGGATTTCCGGAGACCCCTGGATAGTCATCATTGGCAACGGATGTCCTGAACTTTGGGTTTGATCAGGCAAGGTCACTGCACTTTTTTTTTTTTTTAAGTCACATGCTGTGACACATTGTTGTTACAATGACGGAAAATGCTGTATTTCGAATTAGCTTTACCCAGTGTGCCTTGCATACGATTTTTTTTGTCAACAAAGAAAAGTCCAAAGGCCCCAAAAGATTCACCCAGTTATTAGCCAAGCTTGCCTAGACACACACTCCAATTTCAAGCAAGCCTCTGCTCTAAGTGGGACATGTTTTGAAACATGCACAGTTCAGATTAATAAAGGATCTGACCTATCCACTCTGAACCTCCACAGCCAGAGGGTATAAAATTGATCCCCCCCCCCCGTATATAACTAAATATCACAACAGCCTTATGAGGGAGGTAAGACTGATTCTCCCTACTCCCAGTTCAATGTGCTAACCCAGGTGCAGGGAACCTTTGGCCCTCCAGATGTTGTTGAACTACAATTCCCATCATCTCTGACAATTGGTTATGTTTGCTGGGGCTGATGGGAGTTGTAATTCAGCAAAATTTGGAGGACCTAGGCATCCTATACATGTTTACTCAGAAGACAGTACTGCTATGTTCAGTGGGCTTACTCCCAGGTAAGCGTGTTGACATTATAGAATCATGGCAGCCTAGCATTTGTAGAGCTAAAATTGAAAAGGGGCGGGGGTGGGGTCGTCATTGAAAAGCCAAATAAAAGAAACCCCCAAAAGGTATAAACATACAACGTTGGACAGGAACACATCAGAAGATGTAGAAGAAGCTTAAAGCCAGGGATCAGCAACGCTTATTATTACTATTATTATTATTATTATTATTAATGCAAGTTTCTCTATCCCACTCTTCAAGCCAATGCCTAAGGGTTAGCCTAAGGGTGACTAATGAAAAACAGATAACAAATAAAATCAAAATAGATGAAAAACTCTTAAAACATAACAAACTACAAACTAACGGCAGTGATTTATATATTGTTATGGGGGGGGGTACTGAGGGATTTGAAAATCAAACCCCCTTCCCCTTTCATAGAAACATAGGAGGAGGTGTCATATACAGAGTCAGACTACTGGTCTATCTAGCTCATTGTTGTCTACACTGACTGGCAGCAGCTCTTCAGGTTTTCAGGCAGAGGCCACTCCCAGCCCCACCCGAAGATGCGGGGGATTGAACCTGGGACCTTCTGCATGCCAAGCAAATGTTCTACCACTGAACTATGGTCCTTTCCCACTGGGATCCTTCCTTTGCTCTTCAATGAGTGGGAAAAGAACTCTGCACACGCTTAAGGGAACTCTTGCTTCATTCCCTTTCTGAAGCAGCATGTGGAGTGGGGGGGGGGAGGGAATAAGTTGTGGGGCTTAAACTAAGAGATCAGCATTTCTGGAGAGAGAAATAACTACATTTATAAGGAGCAGATGAAAGAAAGCAGAGAGAAAGAGATTTGAAGCTAAATGGACTCACCCGTTCCATGTATATATGGAGGAGGAGAGGATCGAGAGCGACCGGCGAAAAGCAACGTCCTCCGGAGGTAGGCGAAGGACGGCTCAGCCAGTCCCGGGCAAAGGCGGAGCTGGAGGCGGAGGCTGCTGGGTTTGAATCGGAAGGGCTTCCAGACTCCCTGGAAGATCCGGATTTGACGCCCCGCCTCTGGGATGCGGAGCCCGATTTCGGATTCCAGGGGGAATCTGGAGCGCGCAGAGGACCGCAGCTTTGCAGCGCCAGCCTGTGAGCGCTTAACTCGCGCACAATCCCATTGAAATCCAATGGGGCTCACTACCCAGTAGGGATGCGTGGGGTTTGCATCCCGCCGGCCTCATCCTGTGCCTGTTTCCTCCGAAGGAAGCAGACAGCGCTGACTGCCGTTCACATTCAGACAACCGTGCCGCAAGTTTTCCTCGGAAGGAAGCTCCACCGAGTTCAAGATTGAGGTTTACTCCTAAGAAAAGGGTGCGCAGGGTCGCTGCATGCTTTACGCGGAAATTAGTGGGATTTCCCAAGAAAATGTGCGGGGTGGGTGAGTTCCAGTTTAGCAGCCGGGATCCGTGTCTCACCGGAAGCAAAGCATGCTTCCCGGAGCAACAACGCAGGCTTTACTCGGTAGCAAGCTCCGCTGCACCCAGAAAGCGTGTGTTGAACCACAGCCTAAAATAGTTGTTTTAAAATTGTACATGTTGTGTTTTAATTGTTGTGACCCGCCCCTGGACCTTAGGACGAAAGGCGGGTAGTGCTAAATAAGTAAATAGCAATAATATTCGGATCGAGGAGGTGGGGAAAGGAAACAAGCTCTTACCAGATCGGACCCACGTGGAGACAAGGAAATTCACTGCTTGTTCTACACGCGGAGCGCCTGGGGAGTAACACTCCCTAGTATCATGGAGAGTGGGATCAAAAGAGTGAACACTTCCTTGCAGGTTGTCCCCCCACCCCCGCAAGCAGAAAGCTAGCACAGTAAGGAGAAGTGCTAGTTTTTAAAAAAACTTGTAGGGAGTTTTTTTACTGGAGGTGAAAACTTACTGGGTGGGGGGAGGCATCCTTCTTCAGCTGAAATGCGAAGTGGTCCACTCCAGTCTGTGTCGACCAAACCTACAATCGGTGGCGGGCAAACAAGCAATGCAAATTATTATATTTTATTTGTTTTTAAAAATATAAACCGCTAACTAAAAGAACCACGGGGTTGTACAATCAAATAATCAGAACATCATAAAATTGTAAAATACACCACCTCTCCACTACAAATCTCTGATGCTGTGCTAGGCAAATCTGGGGTGAGTAAATGAACGTGATCATCAGGAATTGCCATGACAGAGATGGCACCGATTGTGTGTCTTTCAAGGCAGCCTGTTATCACAGGTGTAGGATCAGGATGCAATTCTCCCACCTCACCCCGCCTTTTCTTTTAATGCCTTTTAATATGCCATTAGTAACCTTTATATTAAACTTGGCCATGGCTGAGCAGTCTGATGAATCAGGCAATCTCGTTTAGCAGGCTACTTGCTCTGATGAAAATGTCATCAGGAAACAGATCCCTGATTTACCTTTTTTGCAGCAGGAAGTATAAGCAAGGAGCTGTGCAGAGCTAAAGAGAAACTACACCTGTATTTTAAATGCAGTTTTAATTCTCAGAGAAACAGCAAAGACCTGTCTCTGACCCAGCCTTTATGATGAGAATGTTTTCAGTTAGCCAAACAAATCCTGCTGTCTTTCTTCGCTGAAACTTAACCTCCATAATAATGCAGGTAATTTTTTCAAAACATTTTTGCTGCATATTTTCCAGTTCTTATAGCTATTATTTGTAGGGTTTTTGACTAGTGGCTGAAACCTTCATAGAGCAGATGTTTTGTCCTGCACTGTGTAGGGTTTGGATGAACTACCCATTATTAATGTTTGTATGGATGTGATTATTTGCTAACTGCAATTATATATACTGCCTGTTTCTCCAATGCATTCAAGGCAGCTTACAGTTTTAAATAACGGCTGCAGTCTGATACATCATGTGGTGCTAAAAGGAATGGGGAGGAAAGAAGGAAATGGGCAAGCCTTGTTAAAATAGCAGGTGTGGCTGCAGCTGGTACTTGAATCAGCTAAAGGAGCAAGAGAGAGAGAGGGTCTCTGCCCCAAGACACTAACAGCATGAGAGGCGAGAGACAGGCCTCTGCTTCCCAAAACTAACATGCTATTTAAAATAGTTAAAGGAGCCAGAAAGGGTGTGAGGCAGCTTCCTATGTTTCTGTGATGGTGGAAAGTGCAGCCAAGAAACATTCTCACAAACCATTATTTAGCATTACTGTGGTATAGTGTCGGATTAAGACCTGCGAGACCAGGGTTCAAATCCCTGCTTACCCATAAAGGTGATTTTGGGACCAGTCACTGCCTCTCAGCCTAACCTGCCTCACAGGGGATTAAATGAAGTGGGAGAGAACTATGTGCGCTAACTTGAGCTCCTTGGAGGAAAAAAGGTGAGATATAAATGCAGCAAATAAATAATAGTGATTCATTTTGAAATTCCTGTCTATAAGTACCGTATTTTTCGCACCATAGGACGCACCGGACAATAGGACGCACCTTGTTTTAGAGGGGGGAGAACAAGAAAAAAAAATTCTCCCCCTCTCTGCCCAGCGCCCCTTCAGCGAAGCGGCAGGAGGCGCTGTGCAGAGAGAGGGAGAATTTCCCCCCTCTTGTTTTCCCGCTCTAAAACAAGGTGCTGTTTAAGGTGCGTTCAGGCGGCTACCTTGAAATCCTGGAGAGCGAGAGGGGTCGGTGCACACCGACGTAACATTCTTTGCAATTTTAACATACTGTATTTTTCACTCTATAGGACGCACTTTTTCCCCTTCAAAAATGAAGAGGAAATGTGTGTGCGTCCTATGGAGTGAAGACGCCATAGCCCCGTGACCCTCTCCCGGCCGGAGAGGTGACGCACGGCTATAGAGGCTCCTGCCGTAGCTGCGTGTCACCTCTCCAGCCGGGAGAGGGTCGCGAGGGTTTTCTTTAGCCCCGCACGCGCTCTCCTGGCTGGAGAGGTGACGCGCGGCTATAGAGGCTCCTGCCATAGCTGCGTGTCACCTCTCCAGCCGGGAGAGGGTCGCGGGGCTATGGCGTCTTCGCTCCATAGGACGCACATAACATTTCCCCTTCATTTTTGAAGGGGAAAAAGTGCGTCCTATAGAGCGAAAAATACGGTATGTTAAAATTGCAAAGAATGTTACGTCTCTGGAACTAAATTTCATTTATGTTCTTTTAAGCTCTGTTCAGAATTTGATTTATGTTTTTAAGTTGTGTGCTTCTGTGGTTAAAATCCATGTTAAAACAAGGAAGGAAAAAACTAACTAAATGTCTGAAGGCTATGTTCTACTTCCATGGTTAGAAGTGGCATACTTTTGAATACCAGTTGCTGAGGGATCACACAAATGGGGAGAGCCCTGTTACATTCAGGTCCTCCTTGCAGGCTTCCCCAGAGGGACATCTTGTTGGCTGCTGTGAGAACAGAATATCGGACTAGATGAGCCTTTGGCCTGATCTAACTACAGTGCTCTTCTTACTTTCTTAACCCGCCTTGTCCTGAAGGCTTGCCATCTCCAGGAGAAGGTGAGCAAAGAGCCTCGAAATGGCCAGTCAGTAAGGTTTGCTGGCTTACAGCTTTTTATCAAGGGCAATCCTGAGCTGTAATTAAGCTAGTCCTTGCAGACTATTGCAGTGCTGAAAGACAAATTTGCCTTCTTGCAGGGCTAAGAGGCGAGGGTGTGGTGAGCTCTTGCCTTTTAAGCTCCCTCTTCAGAGATGCCTTTCCCTGACAAGCTGCAGCTTGTCTCATCCAAAGATGTGTATTGCAAAAATGTTTCTAGGGAAAAAATGAAGGTGGCAGTCGATTGTAGGAGGCCTCAAGAAAAAGAAGAGGAGCAAAGGTGATTAGACAGAATTTGGCGAGAGGCATTCACTAGTGGAAGAATACTACGTGGGAGTAAGAACATAAGAAAGAACAGCTCTGCTGGATCAGGCCAGTGAACCACCTAGTCCAGCATCCTGTTTGCACAGTGGTCAACCAGATGCCCCTATGGGAATCTCACAAGCAGGACATGAGCGTAACAACTCTTCCTACTTGTGATTCCTTAGCAACTGGTATTCAGAGGCATACTGCCTCCCACAGTGGAGTGAGAGCATAGCCGTTGTGGCTAGTAGCCTCCATGAACATGTATGTGAGTAAGCCCCATTGAGTTCAGCTGTGCTTGCTGTCAAGTAGAGGGTGTATAGCAGGGTGTCTGCCACACATCTGGCTACTCCTATTGTAAGGCTGTTGTCATGCTGGAGTTCCTGTGGCTGGCTGTTGGCAGCCAAGCAAACTGCAGTGTGATGACACCCTCACAGTTTTATTATATAGCAAAAAGGCCCCACACACTTTGACATGTGGTCGTTGCAGGGTTGACTGATTCAGTGTGACTCTCGGACCAAAAAAGTGTAGCAATCTAAAAGATAGGATGACAACCTTAGAGTGTTTCAATCTTCTTGCCCTTACCTCCTCTCTCTCCTACAACTGAAATTTGAGAATATAAAATATTTGGGGCCCTCCAGACTAATGGCGTTGGTTGTTTTTTTTCCAGAGGTATTTTGCAACGTGTTATTCACACTGACTAGAAATGAAGCAACGTGTCTGCCCTGAAACTTTCACAAGTGTAGACAGTATTGAAAGCGGGACTGCGTATAACCACCCTGATAGCATCATGAGCATAAATTACCATGAATGCTCAAGAAGAAGGACACCTGGAGGGGCCCTTGTGTCTTACAATTCCCTGTAAACCTGAAATTGAGGGTGCTGTGTAAATTTATGTGAATAATTTCACTGCAATAATTTTACTAGTGGCAGTTGCTAAGAATGTTGGCTCTGACTTGTTAAAAAGAAATAAAATATCCTCTTCAGGTGTTTGCCTTGGAAGTCCGAATAAGAGCTAGTGCATGTTGGGTTCCTATGGTATGTGGTTCCTAGGAAAGCTCTTTTAATTGATTGCAAGTGTGTTTTGCAACTGCTTGTAAAAGTAGCAGTTAAAAAATAATGTGGGCTGCTTGCTGCCTGAAAACTTGTAGTCATGCACAGAGAAAGTGACTTCAGCACAGAATTTTTTTTATTTCTATCCTGCCCACTGGTTTAAAAAGTCTACTGGACCAACTTGATTCACCAAGGTGAGGATTTACCTTGGGGTGGATGCAGTTATCCACTCTTGATTTTTGTTCAGTTTGCTTGCTGCTAACTTGATTTCTTCTTTCTTTTTTTTAGTGACTTACAATAGCAGAAAAAATGTCGCAAAAGCAAAAAGAAGAATTTATAAGTAATTTGAATGGAACTACCTTGCTGGAGATCTCCATTGGCTTACCCCTAGCGTCATTATGCCTCCTTTCCAGAGGGCTTCTGCTGATCTTTTATTTTCTCTGCTATGGAAAACCACTACAGTCAATGGTTGGCCATTTTCTTCTAGACTTCACCATCTTAGTTGTCCCGCCAGTGCTCTCTTGTACAATTTTGGCCCCTGTCCTACCTTGGGTAATGCTCTCCATCACCGTATTCTGTGTCAGCTTGGTTTTGATCATATACAGTCGGAGAACCAATTATGTGAGAGTGCCGCCTAAGCAAATCATAAGCGATTTCTTGAGGACAAGCTTGGAACCAGAGTACATACCTTCGATAACAGTGTTCCGAGTCTTTGTCAATGTCTTGACATCCATCAGCATTCTGGCTGTAGATTTTCCACAGTACCCTCGGAGGTATGCCAAAACAGAGACCTATGGAACAGGGGTAATGGATTTTGGAGTGGGATCATTTGTTTTTGGGAACGCTGTGGTTTGTCCAGAAGTCCGACTGAAGCCTGGCACGGCACAGCACAAAGTCTCTTATCTTGCCAGGCAGTTCTTTGCTGTGTGGCCTTTGCTGCTTCTTGGCTTTGGGCGGGTGATGAGCATCAAGGCCATTGACTATTACGAACATGTCTCGGAATACGGTGTGCACTGGAACTTTTTCTTCACTTTAGCTGTTGTACGGATGGCTGCGTCATTGCTTTTGGCTGTCTTCCCCGTGCGCAGAGCATGGTTAATTGCAGCAACACTTGCTGTAGTCTATGAAGGCTTCCTCAGCTTCTCACCTTTGAAGATGTTCATCTTGCATGGGAGCGATGGCCAAGATTCACGGGATGGGTTTTTCAATGCCAACAGAGAGGGCATATTTTCTGTCATCGGCTACCTAGCTGTTTACATGGCTAGCGTGCAAGTAGGCTTATATTTGTTAAAGAAGAGGAGCTTGGTGAGAGATTGGCTTGGCGTGATCGGCTCTTTCCTGATTGCAGTTTTCCTCCTCTTTATCTGCCTTCATGTAACGCAAACTCACATAGACGCTGTATCCCGACGGATGGCAAACCTCTCCTTTTGCGTGTGGGTCATCGCTCACGGCCTGTTACTCTTTAGTTGCTTTTTGGTGGCTGATCTTGTGCTGGTGTTTGGAAAGTTTCTGGTGGCTGGGGCTAGCATTCCTTGCAGCTGGAATTTCATGCAGCCAGCAGCGGCAAGTAAAAAGCACGACCTGGAGCTCCAGGATAGGAAAACAGTGCCTCGGAGTGTGTGCATGATCAGCGCTGTGAATAAGAATCAGCTCCTGTATTTCTTACTAGCGAATGTCTTGACTGGCTTCGTGAATATGGTGGTTGACACGATTCACAGCAATGCATTCTGGGCTATGTTTGTCCTGCATCTATATATGTTTACAAACTGTTTGGTTATGTATTTATTGCAAGCAAGAAATATAATCTTAAAGTGGTGGTAATTTTATAAGTATATATAAAGTTGTAACCAAAAAGAAAAGGTTTTGCCTGCTGGGATTGCACTGGATTTTATAAGACTTTTGCATGCATGCTGGTATACTGGATTATCTAAAGGAAGGAATGTGGACTACAGTTGTTTTAAACTCATGGTCACTTTCATCGAATGAACTAATACATTTCCATACGTCTGTAGCATCGGGACCAAAGCTCAAGCTGGAGCCAGAGCCAATGGCAGGCAGAGCCACCTCATTCTTGTCCTCCTCCTCCCTACTGTGTTCTATAAGGGGCAACAATGAGACTAAGGAGAGGCAGGAAGCTTACAGCCAGGGCCATCCCCTGGGCTAGTTGTAAGAAGGAAGGCAGGGCAGGTGGGGGCTGTTTGAGGGAAAACTGAGGTTGGTCACTTTTGCAGACCAGACATTAAGCTTATTTGTCCCTTTGTCACATTGGGATTCCTGTGCAGGGTACCCTTCTCTCCTGCAGTGGGTCTGCACACACTGAATGCCTAACATGCTAAGAAGTGGTACTGAGGCAGAGGGCACTTTGTGCTTGATGAAGGTTTACAGCATGTGAATGGATCCCTCCAGACTGGTATTTTTGCAGATGTATTCTGCAATATGTCTTTGACACAATAATAGTGCATTCATGGTGGATTTATACTGGACTGTCCAGACATCATTCCGCTTTACTAGTTGTTCTGAGATGCTTCCCCAATCAGTGTTGCTGCGTTATTGTCACCTGGAGGGGCACTATTGTGCAATAAAATCAGAACTAAAAAAAACCCCCAAAATATTTGTGGCATTAAAAGTAGCAATCTTTCAGCAGGAAGCTATGGGGACATGCACCAATTGGAAATAAAGCAGTATGTCTGCCATTTAAGTGCAAAAAGAATTGAAAGTGAGATCATGTAGAACTGCTCCAATAACATAATGACCACAAATCAGGAATGCAATTCATAAATGCATGATAAAAGGATGCCTAGATGGACTATAAGTCCTTCCACACAGCTGCATTCACCTATGTTAATTTAAAATGTGTTTGTGTTCAAATGCAATGGGCAATTCAATCAAATATATTTTCCAAAAAACCTAAAACTTACAATGAGGAGTGTCGGAATCATTTCTCATAAAAAAGACAAATGAATTTAACTGGAGGCTGTGTGTGAGAGAGAACTGAAAGAGCTCAAAATAATCGGAGGTGTATGTTGGATTGAGTCAACACAAAGGTGATTATAATTTGCAAATAAAATGCATCAAAGCCTCCAAGCAAATAAAATATCTATATTTAAGATGATATTGTAATGTGTTATTGCTTTACTGTCAGACATTTGAATTATACTACTTGTTCACAAGAAACTGTTTCCCTGAGCCTTCAAGAAATATTGAATGACCTAACAAAGAAAAGGAGGAATATTTGATTCAGTTCACATTTAAAGGCAAACCTACCTAATTCACATGTTCCAAAACAATACACAAAGCAAAACACAGCGATCTTTTGAAATTTGCACTTCTCTGAATTTTGCAATGCAGTTCTCCAGCAAAGTACCGGTAATCTGTAGAAAAGGAAATATATTAGGGTCAAGTGTGTCTAAAAATGCATGTATGAAGATAGAATAGAAAAATGCATTATATTAGGGGAAGCTACTTTGCAAAAAGCACAAGAGGCAAAATTGCATACAATATTTTTATAGTATAGAGGAATTTTAATTAAAAGCCTGATATTTCATGAGGCTTAAAAATAATCACAAACTGATGTGGAGAGCTGAACTTAAATTTGGAAAACTGAAAGAAACCAAACTTGACAGATTTATCCATTGATAACAAAGAACTGGACACCCTTTGAAATATTGGATGTCATCCATCACAGGCCAGTACATCAAGCCATCATTCCCAGCCTGGTGCAACAGAATTGAAGACTGCCATGTTGATTCTATTTTGGGATTCTGGGAACTGCCCATTGGCCATCATAAACTGGATTAGAGTTTGCCATTGGCTAGAGGGAAACAATTTTCAGCCAGTAAATCTCTGGCATGCAAATAAATAAAACTTACTGGCTCTCATTTCTGATGTCACAGGCTCAACAATGAGCAATTCACAGTGGAACCATCGCCAGCAACAATAATTATGGGATAGACAGTCATTTTCCATTGCAATAAAGTAAGCCATTCTATGCTGAATGAGTGACAATTAACTGGCTATATTGTCCATAATTAAACACATAACTGTTCCTGGCCAGGGGAGATAGTGGCCATAAACTTGTTAGTACACTGTATGTTTGTGAGGTACAGTATGTACAGTAGTTCTTCTCTGATCCCTTTTTTGAAGCAATTCTTAACAATTTTGTGACCAAATCACTGCACATAGGAAGCTGCCATATGAAGAGTCAAACCATTGGTCCATCTATCTCAATATTGTCTACATTGACTGGCAGCAGCTTTCCAGGGCTTCAGGCAGCAGTCTCTGCCTGCCCTACCTGGAGATATTGAGGACTGAACCTGAAGCCTGTATTCAAAGCAGAAACACGCTACTGCTCTTCCCCGAAAAAAATGGAGACTGGAGTCCTCAATGGTTCTGAATGAAGGGCTGATTTGATACAGGAAGCTGCCATATGCAGACTTAGACACATTGGCCTATCTAGCTCAGTGCTGATTACACTGACTAGCAGCTGCTCTTCAGGGTTTCTGACAGGACCTGGAGATACTGGGGACTGAACCAGAGACCGTCTGCATGCAAAGCAGGTGCTCTGCCACTGAGCTATTAGCGCACGATAGCTCTGAGTGTTCGTTAGATTTTTGGATTGTGTGTGCTCTATCACTGTAATCTTATGGATGGTGATTCCCAGGCAATTATGGGATTGCAACCTAAGCCACTTATGAAGCTCTTGCCTGTCCATCAAATGGTTGCCTAAATGAAGAGGGTGATTTGCTGGCACATACTGGTAGTTCCTGTTGCAGTGGCAAAATTCCTAAGCAGAATGTGTAAGAAGTTGTATGTTGAGATCCACATATGGGCAACAGCTCACATATGGGCCAGATGAGCTGTCAAATGTGGCAGTGTTGTAAACAAAAATCTGCCCTTTTCCCTTATGGGGTATCTAAGAGCCCATATAGAGTCCTTACATAGGTTCCCTATTGTTAGGAGAGAATAACAGAGGCCAACCAGAGAATATTGAGAAGCAAAGCAGCTAGTAAGCTTGATCTTTACTGATCTGCTGCAACGGGGTGCTCCCCTCACCCGCAGGAGAGAAGGAGGGACCCAGAAAATTGGCGTGCAAGGCCTTATAAAGACTTTTGAAATTGCTACCCTGTAGATCAAGACCACCCCCAGAAACATCATGCATACATCACAGAAGGGGTGTAACCTAAGACCACCCCTCAGATACATCACACCTACATCACAGAAAAGGCGGTCTTAAAACAAAAAATTGAATATTGTTTTTTTCCTGTCCTTGTTTATCTCCTGTCTGGCAGGTAACTTGATTGGATTGCCTGGGGAGCCTGGCCAGTCCTTTGTAATGATAAATACTTAGTTTCTGGGCCATATCACAGGCTCACACCCTATTCATATCTTAAATGTGCCCTTAAGACAGGATTTGTGAGGAAACACACAATGCGGAGGCTTTTCCACTTTGACCTTGCAGAGAAAACATTTGCTCAGTTTAGGAATCAAAATGGCTTCAGGTCGGCCTTCCTGTGCTGATCTATGTACGTGCGGTTATGAACATTGCCATATATCTAAGACCTCAAAATTCCTATCACAGCAGGAACCTATGAGCCAATGGCCAGGTAAATGCAGCAATGTGCAGGACAATCCAGTTCTATGTACACGTAGATCCTGTGCCTTACTGTGGTATTTCAGAGGTGGGGACATTCCCATACCTACCTGGGGATCGAACCTGGGACATTTTGCATGCAGAGCAGATGCTCTACAGTGGTACCTCGGGTTACATACGCTTCAGGCTACATACGCTTCAGGTTACAGACTCCGCTAACCCAGAAATATTACCTCGGGTTAAGAACTTTGCTTCAGGATGAGAACAGAAATCGTGCTCTGGTGATGCAGCGGCAGCAGGAAGCCCCATTAGCTAAAGTGGTGCTTCAGGTTAAGAAGAGTTTCAGGTTAAGAATGGACCTCCAGAACGAATTAAGTACTTAACCCAAGGTACCACTATACCGCTGAGCTGCTACGATACTTTCTCAGGACACTGGAGGGCCATCGTTGAATGTCCAGTTGGCATCTTTGGCGCTGCTGTCCACGTTCTCTGTGGAAGGCAGAGATTATCTGGTTAGTTGACATGATTGCTCTTTAAACACCCCTCTTTGTCTCATGCGAGCCTGATCAGCTCCTTAGTGTTCTCTGCTTCCCATGCACAAAAGCTTATTATGCTACAGGTTTTGAAAGAGAAAAAGTTTCATCCCTTTTTTAAATGCTGGGAAACCCAACCAGATGGGCGGGGAATAAATATTATTATTATTATTACCACAGGATGATTATTCCGCCACCCTTTGCTTTGAGGTTTGTGGAAGAGGCCCTGTGAGTTGCAGGCACCAAGTACGGCATAGTCAATGGTCAGGGATGATGGGTGTTGTAGTCCACAACCTGGAGGGCCATGGATTCCCCATCCCTGATTTATATTATGTGGGGCTTCAAAGCATTTTGCCCTCACAACATCCTCGCAAGGGAGGCTAGGCTGAGAGCTGCAGCCGCCCAGATAGCTTTGTCGGCCGAGCAGGGATTTACACCATTTTCGTTTCCACAACCCTGTAATCCAAGGGAGACTGGCGTAATAGGTTCCTCAGTGAGCTTTGGGTCCGGGTTCCACCGTCACAGCCTTGCAAGGCGGGCTGGTCTGAGAGCGGCTGGCTCAAGGCCACCATCAGCCAAAGAGCTTCCTGCTGCCGAGTTCGACTTCAAACCATTTTTGTCCTCTCGCACAACCCTGCGCAATAGGTCAGCCTGAGAGAGATTGTGAGTGGCAACACCCGTCACCCCGTGAGCTTAATGGCCAAACCATTTCGGCCTCCCAAAAACCCTGTAAAGCAGTCTAAGCTGACTCATCCTCCTCAGGGTGGCCATTTGAACCCAGGTCTTCCTAGTCCTATTTCCCCACACTATATTATTATTATTATTTCTCCACGGTGGTGTACATGGTTCTCCCCTCCACCATTTTTTCCTTGCACAACAACCCGGCCAGGTAGGTGAGGCTGAGGGGACAGTGGTTGGCCTGAGGAGTCAGACTAAAACCATGACAGAAACCTTTACTGTATTGGGTTTTGAGAGTGAGTTTTTACTGACTGGCTTCTGTGGAGTGGAAAAAGCAAAAACTGGGCCCTCGTCACGTTTGGAGGTTTTGGGGGCGAACTGAGGGCAAAATGGCTCTCCTTTTCCCCGCGCGCGAACTATTTCGCCAGGCGGAGGGAGCCGTTTATTGATCACGTGGCCTTTCACCTCCTTCTCCCGGCGTTCTCAGCGGAGGCTATTTGTGACAAGCGGAGGAGGAGGAAGAGGGATGGGCTTCTTGATATAGATCTATGTTTTCTCCCTCCTTCCCCCCTCCCTCTCTCTCTCTCTCATAACGCCTTTCTTTCTACTCGCGCATGCGCGAGAAGCCGCCAGACGGATCCTCCCCTGTTTCTCTTTCTCTAGGGGTGAGGGAAGCGCGCCGTCCTCTCCCCTCCCCTCGGCTGCGTGCCGAGGAGCGCGAGGCGGAGGAAGGATTTAAAATACGGGGTGGGGAGAGAGGAAAGGGGTGGAGCGTACATAATAAAACGCCGAGAGAGAGCCATGGTGGGCGGAGCCAAAGGGCGAGCGAAACGGCCGTGCGCTGAAGTAGGGAGGGGAGGAGGAGGAGCTCGGCCAAGCAGTTAATCTGAGAGGAAGGTGGTGGCGGAGGGGAGAGTGGGCGGGGTTGAGGAGATGAAGGGTGGGATGTGGGCGGGGTTAGGGGAGTGAGGGGCGGGGCAAACCGAGCGGTTGGTTGGGGGCGGCGGGTGGGGAAGAAGGGAGGGCTGGCCGGCCTTTTTCCCTGCCTCTCGCGAGAGGAGGAGGAGCTAAAGCCGGACGAGGAGGCCCGAGGTCTGCTGTAGCAGCGCTCCTGAAAGGGGTGGGCGAAGGAAGGAAGGGAAGAGAGACCGGCCAAAAAACTGCCTGTCCCTTTTGAGGTTTGTGCGCACATGCCAGTCCCGGCTGCGACAGGGGCAGCAGAGCCTCAGCCAATAGCAAAAGTGGGTTGGGGGTGGGAGGCATGGTAAATTTGCATATAGGTGTGGAGCCCGACAAGGAAATTTGGAGAGGGGTATTTGATTTTTTTCTCTCCCTTACACCTTAGTTAGCCCCCTCCTTATTTATCCCCTTCTTAGAAGGATTAATTCTTCCTGTAGGTTTTTTTCCTTTCTACTCCCCCCCCCAAAGGTTCTCCCGAATCTCTTTTAGGGGTTAAGCCTTAAGATCGTGAAGGATAGACCTTGAGCGGGCTTTTTTTGTTGTTGCTTTAATTATTTCCTTCTAACGTCTTCAGGGTGCATGGCGGTTTGCAAGCTGCAGAGCAACAGGTCTTTGCCCCGAGGTGTTTGCATTTGGAAAGATTTTTTTAAAAAATCGACATCAGAGGGAGTGGGTGAAAGTGGCTTTAAGGAGGTTGAAGGGGCTGAAGCAGAGAAGCAAAAAAGGGAGTTGGCTGATAGGATGAACCCCACTCTTTCTCCCTTATTAAGGAAAGTCTCCCCCACAGTTGGTTTGACGGGATGAGGGTGAAGATAAGGAGGATTTATTCAAATGTGATGGTGGGAAGGAGACATCATTTTAAAATTTGGCGCGTTGGATGGGTGCATACATGTGCATACATCTATATGTGCATGAAGCTTGTGGATAACTGTAGAATGGCAGCAATTCTGCCCCACCCCAAAGAACACCCATCTTTTTCTGATCCCCCCCCTTTTTTTTACATGCCTGCATTGGTTGGTATCACAGAAATGCCTGTGCAAGCTTGAGTGGGAGCTTCAGTCAATCCTGGTGCCTTGATTAACATATCTGTATGTAGCATTTGCATAGCACAGGTTTTCATTAGGTGTTGGTTTGAACCCTCTTGATTGTAGATTTTAATTGTAGGTTTTAAAATACTATGTGTGACAAGGGCTTGACTGTGTACCTGAGGCAGGCTATTTATTTGTAAAGAGGAATTATTCTGTGCATTGGGTGAACAGTTTAAACCTGCATATTTCTTAGCTGGAAAACTGCTGCTAGTTAGTGTACAGTTCTGGGCTAGATGGGCCCTCAGTCTGACTCTGTATAAGGCAACTTTTTGTATTGTGGCAGTCGTGGTCACAGTATTTCACTGTATCATTTTTGAAGGTGGCATAGAGCTAAGGAGCATATGCATTCTTGGGGTTGTATCTAAAGCTAGTCCTACTCAGAGTAGACCCATCACAGATAACATACAGAACTAGGGTTTGTTAATTTAAATGGGTCTTACTCACAGTAAAACTGAGTTTTATGCAACCGTTGGTCTTGAGGTAGTATGTCTCTAAATCAGTGTTTCTCAAACTTGGGTTCCCAGCTGTTGTTGGACTAAAACTCCCATCATCCCTGGCCAGTGGTCATACAAATCCTCAAATTACAGTATTTGAGGGTTTTTCCTGCGTTCTCCTTTGGCTCAGTGAATTTGGGCTGATGGAAGAGGTCTCTGCTCCCTTGCTAGGAGCCATAAGCATCGCAGGAAATAAGTTTTAGGAACATCCTTGCAAACGAAGGCTGAACTGTTCTTTGATGAACTTCCTCTTCATACCTGGTGTGTCCACTGCTCTGGCTTTTAACAGCCAAGCCTTTTGGAAGGTGCCATTCTGTGTGTTGCGTTTCAGCACTTTGTTATTTACTACTGTTACTAAGGGTGATCTGCAATGTGGATGAGCATCAGGGAGCCTGCAAAGCTCCCTCTTTCCTAGTCAAGCCAGTGATAAAATGAAGGTTACTGAAATAATGGGTGCCTGTTTTCTTGTGCTGAGACCTTTGTGGAAGAAGGGCATCCCTTGCCCGCTATCAAAATAAAGCCTCACAATGCTATTGCCAAAGATTTAAGGTGTAATAGACATGACTAACTAGCTTTATTTTGTTGGATTCAACATAGATTTATTTATTTCAGCTATTTATATACTGCTTAATCCTCAGAGCATCTTGAGGGGTATACAGTGATTTTACAGAAATATACACTCTGTGTGTATATATATAATATTTTAATTGATCAATTGTACATACTGCATTTTTACTGTATATTTCTTTTGTAATAGCGTTAACACTGTTCACTGCTTTGTAGGCTTTTCTAATGCAAGCCCTACTCGGCTTTGAGCCATTGAAAATAATGGACAATGCTAACTTGGGTTGATTAATTTCAGTGGGTGTGCTCTTGAGTAAAAAGTGGCTGGATACAACCCTATCATAAACAAACTATGCCATACCAAAATTAATAAAAACAGGAGATGGGAGTAAATACGTCTACTCTTTCTCTGACCTACACTTCAATGTTTTTGTCCCCCAGTGACCCACCCCCCTTTCACAAACTCCAATATCCCACTTTTGGTGTCGTTTTCTGGCTTAGACGTATTAATGAGCTCTTAGATTTTCCAGAAATTCCTAGACCTGACAGTTCACTGGCTGTAAGAATAGAAAGCAGAAGCCCTTTGGGGGGGGGAATCCAGGGTAAAACTCTGTGAAGTGTCCTCTTCTTCCTCCCCCTGCCCCCCTGCCCCAAGCGGCCTTTGCATTTTATTGGGGGCACTCTCATTCAGAGGATCTCCCCATGCCGAATCATCCAATGCGGCAAGGCAGGCTGAGTTTCCCTCTTGTGGTGAAAGTGCGGTGGCGAAACCAGAGCTTGCATTTACTTGCCTGGGGTTTGGCTGTTTTCAGGCTAGGAGCTGGGAGGAAGAAGCAAGAGTAGCGGCGTCGGCAGAGATGGCGCGGCTGGTGGCAGTTTGCAGGGACGGCGAGGAAGAATTCCCCTTCGAGAGGCGACAGATCCCCCTCTACATCGATGACACCCTGACGGTAAGCGGCGGTTGGGCAAGTTGGGCTGTGCGCTGGGTGCACGGAGGAATTGCAACATACCGAGGCAGTATTTTGCAATGCCTAGGCGAGCTCTCTCTCTCTCGCACCCCCCTCCCGCTCCACTCCACCGCCCTCCCCGGGCTCTAGAAAGGCCTCAGCCCCGCCTTGGAGTTCTCCCAGGACAGTAATTGGTGCGCTTTGCTGCACACACTGTTGCATCAATTGTGCACAGTGCGCTTTCCCCCTTAACCATGTCTCTGACACACGCGCATGCAGGGGGGGGGGAGCCACACACACACACATACACACAGACGGCCTAACCAGAAGATAGTCGTAGCCATTTTGGAACCTAGGTGTCTGCAAAGAAGCGGGAGGCCTCTGGTGGTTTTGCCTGACGCCTGAAAGGCGAGAAGGTTTCTGTGCTTCTTACGTGACCTATTAGCTGTCTTATCACTCAGGCCGTCTCCGTCCCAAAATCAGTTCGTGAACTTTCCAGGATTCGGTTGCAAGTGGCCGTGCTCCGTGCAGTTGTGTGGCTTGAGGTTTTGTGTGTGTAGCTATTGTGTGGTGTTCTTTAAAAAACAACAATGCGCTGTGCAGCTGAAAAGGATTTCCTCCTAGCATTACTCTTGCTCTTATTTTTTGCATTTGTATCCCACCTTCCTCTCCGAAGAGCTCGAGGTGGCATGCACAGTTCCCTCTCTCCTCATTTAACCCCCACAACAACCCTGTGAGGTGGGTTAGCTAACCCAAGGTGGTCCAGTGAGCTTCATGGCCAAGTAGAGATTTGAACCTTGGCCCCGCAGGAACTAGCCTCTGCACTGCACTGGCTCTTGAAATGGTGCAAGAAGCATTTTGGACATATTACTCATATTTATGTAAGGAGCTTAGTGACCTGACATGCATTTCAGGACAGTTTGGGGGAGAGGAAGTGGTATGAGATGATCCAAATTCTGTGACAGCAAAAACTAGAGCTCCCACCTCCAGAGAGGAAATGTCTGTCTTATTCTGCAGCCTTTGGTTTGATATCCCAAAGGTGGATGTGTGTCTGGCACTTGGGGCCTGACGCTTGGATTATCCACTGTCAGAGGGAGGTTTGGTTAGGAAAGACCAAACTCTCCCACCATATTCTCAGGGCCAAATACAGACTACTTGTGATTATGGGAGTCTTAATTTTTGAGTAAGCTGAAATCAGCTTCCAAAAAATTGTAAGCTTCTAAAAGATGCTCAGGCTCTGATTTTGGTGAACCTCCACCAAGAGGAAGTTACCCAGGAAAAGGAAATTGCTGGGCAGCTTCTAAGATTACAACTCAGCATCCCATGGCGGTCCCTGGTGATGTGGTTTAAGAATGTAGGAGGAGCCCTGCTGAGTCAGGCCAATGGCCCGTCTTGTCCAGCATGCTGTTCAAACCAGATAACCACACGCAGGACCTGAGTGGAACAACACTACTCTCCCACCTGTGATTCCCAGCAGCTTTTATTCTGGACCTGGCATGCTGGAGAGAGCACCAAGCCATTGTGGCTTAATAGCCTTCTGCTCCATGAATGCCACTATCCTTTGGCACTCTCTGAGCCAGGTCCTCTTTCCTGGTTTAACCTGGACAACTGGACGGCACCTTTTAACAGCAAATTTCTATGCCTCTTAAGCCATTGTGCGTGTCATGCTGAAATTCCCTCTTCTGCACCACTGCTGCAAGATGTAGCTGTGTCCTCATACACATCTCTCTCCCTCCCTTCCCCCCCCCCCCGCATAAGAAGCAGATGTGCCCGCAGCCTGGACCTCACTTGGGGCCTCATTCTGCACAGGGAACTTCCTTCTTCTTCCTGTATGCAGATTATGTCATAATATGTTTGGATCCGGTAGTTAATCCACCTGCTGCAGCCAGACTTAATGGAGTGATGATTAAAGCTATGTATACGCTACACCTTTAACATTCTTTCCCTCAAAGAATTCTGGGCACTCTAGTGCACGCCTCCCCGAGTTTCAGTGCCCAGCAACCCTTAACAAACTATGGTGCCCCTAATTATTTGAGGAAAAGAACGGTCTTCAAACAGGCTTTAGAGACATAGCATGTACAGTGGTACCTCTGGTTACAAACTTAATTCGTTCCGGAGGTCCGTTCTTAAGCTGAAACCATTCTTATCCTGAGTCATGCTTTCACTAATGGAGCCTCCCGCTGCGCACGCACCTCTGGCGCACAATTTCGGTTTGCATCCTGGGGCAAAGTTTGCAACCAGGAGCAGCTACTTCCGGGTTAGCGGAGTTCGTAACCTGAAGCGTTCATAACCCGAAGCGTTCGTAAACAGATGTACCACTGTATACAGCCTTACAAAGCTGCAATCCTAAACACCCTTAATTGGCTAGGGCATAAGACCCCATTAGACACAGTCAGCGTTAGAAATTAGCCAGGCGCCAAGTGTGTTTTGCTATTGGCATGGGTCCAATTGCCACTATGTGGAGATTTCTGAGCGACCATAGTTGAAAAACCTCTGCCTTAGTCCATAGTTAACACCATTTCCATTTCCACAGTATGTGTTTCTCCATCCTGGGTACTGGGACAAGTGAATTGTTGTAAGAGCAAGCTACAGTCAAGCAATGTAGTTGAGACCATAGAATTGTAGCGTTGTAAGGTACCCCTGGGGGTCCTCTAGTCCACCGCCGGGCAAATAAACATTCTGTTGTGGTGACCGTAACCTAGCTTATATATCAGAGTTTCTAACATTGGACAAAGAGGCATATTTAACTTCCCAGCAAAAAAATGGCTAGGATTTCACTGTACTTGAATAACTCTTTGAGATGTCGAACATCTCAAAAGGGGCTGAAATGGGTCACTGTGTGTCCTGCAATGTGGTTACCAGTTGCAGGCCTTAGATTTGGGGACTCGGCGTTATGGCTAGGTGTCTGCTGTAGCCCCAAGCTCAGGTGAGGCTTGTTACATTTTGGTGGAAGGATTTGGATGAGATGAACCATTTTACCTGGTTCCTGCTGAACTGAAAGCCTCCTCTTGATCTAAGAACTCTCTTACATTTGAGACTTAAAAGCTTGGTCTAAAACACCTGCAGAGCCCCAAGCTGGGGACACCCTGATGAATGTGTCACTTCAGAAGCTGGCTGTGAAAGCTTCCCTCTTGTTCTGCTGCCTCTGTGCCTCCAGCTTCTCCCTGACCAAAGCATCCTTCCCACAGCTGCCTGGACTTGGACAATGGCAGCCGTGCAAATCCATACTATTTGCTACCTTCCAAATATATTTGATAGGGACGCGGGTGGCATAGGGAGCAGCAGGAGAAGGATGCAGTTCAGCAGCTTCTGGACCAGACCATGAAGAGTATAGAGGACACCAAATCTTGCCAAAAAATTGGTATGCCTAACCCTAACCCTAGCCCAGAGCTGCCCACAGTGGCTGGGGAAACCCAGCCAGGTGGGCCGGGTATAAATTATTATTATTATTATTATTATTATTATTATTATTATTATGGCAAGGCTGGCAGGGCACCCATGTGTCCCACTGCATCACCTGCCCCTGCGGTGGTGGACTTGGCTGAGAAGCTCATGGGTGCTCTGGCAAGAGCTCAAAGTCTGGCCTACATTTTACTTCCATCATCCTTCTCCATCCAATTTTCCTTTAATGATAGTAGACCATTAAATAGTAGATCAGAAGCCACGATTTGGTTTTCAAACGTTTTGGAAGTTGAACGGACTTCCGGACCGCATTTCGTTCAACTTCCAAGGTACAGCTGCACTTCATCTAGGGGGGCAACTATGCCCATGGCAGGATAGGAAGTACCATATGGCACAGCCTTGAGTTCCTTAGAAGAAGGGCAGGGTTTAAAAAAATCTCAAAAACCCATGAGGAGGACCAAGCTACGCTCTGTACATTTTACATGCAACTCCATTATGTGCAGAAGAATGCAAGTCGCAATGCTTCCTCAGGGTTAAACCACAGAGCCTAGGACTTGCTGATCAGAAGGTCAGCGGTTCGAATCCCTGCGATGGGGTGAGTTCCCGTTGCTCGGTCCCTGCTCCTGCCCACCTAGCAGTTCGAAAGTATGTCAAAGTACAAGTAGATAAATAGGTACCACTTCAGCTGGAAGGTAAACGTTGTTTCCGTGCGCTGCTCTGGTTCGCCAGAAGCTGCTTCGTCATGCTGGCCACATGACCTGGAAGCTGTACGCCGGCTCCCTCGGCCTATAGAGCGAGATGAGCGCCGCAACCCCAGAGTCGGCCACGACTGGACCTAATGGTCAGGGGTCCCTTTACCTTTACCTTAAATATATTTGGTAGTTGTCAACAGTCAACGCCTACCAGGATGTACCAAGAGTCAACGCATACCCTAGGTGGGCAGCAGCTTGCAAGCCTGCTAGAATTGTGGGCAGGGAGGGAGAGAGAGCTGGTGCCGGTCGATGTAGACCAGAAGCATAGCGCACCAGGTATTTTGGACTGCAGCTCCCATAATCCCTGGCTGTAGGTCATGTTGGCTGGGAATGATGGGAGTTGTAGTACAGCAACATCTGGAGGGCTCTCCCAATACCTGATAACCTGGATATGCCAGGATTTGAACTTGGGGCTGCTCTGCTGCTGAGCTGTGTCCTCTTCCCTTTGCATGAGTGTTGCTCAGTTTCTGTGTCAAGGCCCATATCCTTTCCTTTGATATAGTTACTTTGATATGGTGATGGGCTACTATAGTGCAGAGCTAGTCCCCTCCCCTCTATGCAGTGTTAGAAATTAGCCAGGGGCCAGGTGCGTTTTGCAACTGGCGCAGGTCCAGTAGCAACCACATGGAGATCTCTAGATGCCAGGTTGGCGGCCAACATTTCCATCTAACTGGCCCCTCCAGCTTTCTTAAGCAGGTAAACAGGAGAGCTTATTTATCGCATTTATACCGCACCTTTTCCTCCAAGCAGTACGTGGTTTGGCTTCCTCATCTGTTAATCCGTGCATCAACCCTGTGAGGTAGGTTAAGAGACTCTAACTGGCCCCAGGTCACTCAATGAGCTTCATGACTGAGGGGATTTGAACCCTGATCTTCCGTGTCCTGGTCAGACACTGACCACTACACCACACTGGCTTCCTAGAGCACTTCTGCTATGGGTCAGCTCTGTAAATTAAGTAGGCAAATAAATATGGGGAAAGCCAAAAGTCGCTTATAGAAGGATCTGAAATATTTTCCTTGAAGCTTGAATTTGTATTATTTGATGTGTTGTAAACCGCTGCTCTGGTTCACCAGAAGCGGCTTAGTCATGCTGGCCACATGACCCGGAAAAACTGTCTGTGGACAAACATCGACTCCCTCGGCCGGTAAAGCGAGATGAGCACGCAACCCCAGAGTTGTTCGCGACTGGACTTAACTGTCAGGGGTCCCTTTACCTTTACCTTTAAACCGCTTGAGATTTTTTATTTAAAATATAAAGCAGGGTAAAGGTAAAGGTACCCCTGACTGTTAGGTCCAGTCGTGGACGACTCTGGGGTTGCGGCGCTCATCTCGCTCTATAGGCCGAGGGAGCCGGCGTTTGTCCACAGACAGCTTCCGGGTCATGTGGCCAGCATGACTACGCCTCTTCTGGCGAACCAGAGCAGCACACGGAAATGCTAGTATAGCACGGGAAGCTAGTATAGAAGTGAAATCAATAGTAATAATAATAATAATAATAGTAATAATAATAAATAAATAAATAAATGTTGTTGGAAAAAGGCACCTAGGCCTTCCATCGTGGCGACTGTTACCTAGGTTTAAGGTGCCATTTGGCAATTAGCTTATATATCTGAGTTTCTAACACTGTCTGTTTGGAAGAGCTGTCCCCACCTACTTTTAAATACTTCTGTGAACGTCGCATAGGGCTAGAGAAAGGGTTAAGCAAATATTTTAGAAAAGCTCCCCTCATTCCTGGCCCGTAGCCACATTGGCTGGGGCTGAGTTGGGAACCCCCAACAACATCTGGGTGCTGGTGGTAGCAGGTTCCCCAACCTCAAAGTTTAAAGGACAGAAAAGATCCTTGCAAATCAAAGGAGTCTGTGTTTGTGCTCATAAGGCAGTGGGAATGTTGGATTGGATCAAAGTTCACTCCTTTGCCTTCTGGGAGCATGAGTCATTCTTCTCTTCTCAGTGACCTCTGACCTTCTGAAGGATCAAGGCTGCCACTTGCAAGATAAGGTTTTCTGTGGTTGGCTTCGAAGAGGGAGATCTGGGGTGGAGTTGGGGATTGGTAAGGTGTGCTCCTCGCCTTCCATAAATTCATTGTGGGGATTTCTTCCCCTTGTCCTCCAAACACTGAGTGGCTTTCCACATAAGCCAGATATACAATAAGCACACAAGCAGTGAATCTAGAGAGTAGTATAAAAACAGCAATATATATATTTATTTTATTTTAAGAAACCAGATTAGGTGAGAAGCTCTGGGGACATAAAATGGTCTTTGACTTTGTGATGAAAAATGAAACCAAACAGGGAGAAGCAAATTTCTCCATTTCAGTTTCTTCTTCTTCCAGTCTTAAATTCAGCTCTCCAGAATTCCACATCAGTTTGAGGTTGTTGCTTTTTTAAGATCTTCATGAAAATGACTATGAAAATTCTTCAACGTTTGCGTCTGAATTTCTAATGCACATGTCTTTGTATGCAGCTTTGCTGAATATTCCCATTTTTGCTAGCCGTTTCTCCCCCAAATACAATGTATTTTTGTACATTAATTTCACTAATATGTGCTTTTAAAAATGTACACCTGACCTACCATGTGCATTTTTGTGCATATGACTTGGTTGGGGAACTGCATTGCAAAATTCGGTGAAGTGGCAAGTTGTGATGGATAGCTGAGTTGGTGCAAATTAGGTAGAGTCTCATTTAGATTCAAACCAGGTCGAATTTATCTCCCATCCCCTCAAGGTAGGCATGGGGGCGGGGGGGGATCTCCTTTGGAAGGTTGTTCCAACATCAAGGTGCCACTACTGAAATGGTTCTTCTCCCAGTTAACCACCCAGTGCACTTCAGAGGACAGTGGCACCACAGAGAGGAGAAGGTAATGAAAGTAGGAGACTCTAGTCCAGTTTGCTGCGTATGTGCCCAAGAGGCCTCTACCGCTCCTTCTAATTTGGACCTGGGATATTGGTTTGGTTTTGCTCCCATGAAACCACGTTGCAGAACAAACCTTTACTTATAGATCATGGTTTGTTAAGAGCAGATCAAACCACAGCCCTTGGTTCAGGCAGGTTGCTAAGTTGGAAATTGGGTCCCAGTGTGAATGGGGAGGATGAAGTGGCCGCAGTTTTGCTTATGCTCAGTAAACCATGGTTTGTGGCTTACTGTGATGTGTGAACTTTGAGCGAAATAACTTGGGGTGCTGTGAAATCCAGAAGGACAAATGCTAAGAATATTTTTGCATGCTCATAATTGAGGCAGGGCTGTTTCGGATGTGGGCATGTGCTGTAGTGGCATGAAACCGTGCAGGGTGGTAATTAAAAGTAATATTTCACAGGGCAGGAGCTCAGACCTGCACACCAACTAGTTGTCACAGTTATGCCACAGTTGCAAAGCACATGGAATGCTGTCTGCGTAGGGTAACTTTTGGACCTCTTTGAACAACTGCAGAGCCAAAGTACACAGAGAAGAGAAAATGAAAGAGAACTCATTTTTAGCTAGGCTGGTTTAACGCTACTTATAGTTACATAGAATAAAGAATTGTATAGTTGGAAGGGAACCAAGGGTCATCTAGTCCAACCCTTGCAATGCAGGAATCACAGCTAGTTAATCCCTGACAAGTGACCATCAAACCTCTCTTTAAAAACCTCCAGTGAACGGGAGCCCACCATCTTCTGAGTTAGTCCCTTCCCCTTTTGAACAGCTCTTACCATCCAAAAGTTCTCTTTAAGGTTGAATTGGAATCTCCTTTGTAGCAATCTGAATCCATTCATTTGGGTCCTCCCCTCTGGAGCAGCAGGAAACAAGCTTGCCCCATCATCCATGTGACAGCCTGTCAGATTTTTGAACGTGGCTATCATGATTTTTGTTTGGAAAATGAAAATAACAAAAGCCGGGCCGCTTTGCTTTCACCTGTTACACCTCAAAGGGGCCACCAGACATTCCACTGAAGAGAAACATGTTAAAGGTGTTAACTGAATTGCAGGTTTTTTATTTTTAAGTGCTCAAGCTTGAAGCTAGATCTTAACTTGGTGAAATCCCCCCCTAAAAGAACCCCCACATGCACCTTAATAAAAAGCACTTTGATTCTTTCTGGTTCTCTAGTTCTGGTTCTCAAGAGCCACTTGTGCAGAACCGGCTTTGGGATGTGTGTTTTCATTAATGCCACCCCCAACCCCAGTTCAGAAGTTCCTGGGGGTTTCCTTTGAAAGGTGATGGGGAAATGAAAGTGTGCCAGATCCATAACGCAGACGGTGTTACCATCCAAATTAAGGCAGAAGGGGGTGGAGGGTCCTTGGAAAAGGGAGCCACAGTTGTACCTTCTTTGTTCAGGACTTCTGTAGTCCAAACTTCTGATATGCGGAAGCCTTCTTCACACACTCACTGCTGGAGTAGGATGCTTCTGCCCACTCTTCCAGCTTGTGTTTGCCAAGAGCTCAAAAACGAGAGATTCTCAGGGGATGCCCGTTTCCCTGCCTCACAAGGCAGACCTGCCAGCCCTTGTTGGGTGTAGATTTACCAAGTAGAAATCAAATCCGGAAGTGTCACAAAGCACTGTGCCAATTAGTGTAAATCTGCAGGGTAGTCCTTGCTCCCAGCCGTACCCCCCACCCTCCTCACGCAGGGCTACAGGAGTAGAAAACATTGTACCTTGGAGTCACTTGTTTTTAATTAATGCGCTCCTAAATTGGCACTTTGGGAGAATTGGCTTCTCCCCCACCATTAAGCTGTCACACGTGCGTGATTCCCACTCTGTAATTTTGTTGCTGTAATTAAGCCGTTGGATCACTTACTCTTGCGTGGCGTTTGGAGGCTGCTCACTACTTAGGAATTGCACAAGCCCTTTGTTAAGCAGAAGGACTGTAGCTTAGGGGGTAGATCACCTGCTTTGCATGCAAAAGGTCCCGGGTTCAATCCCCAGCATCTCCAGGTAGGGCTAAGAAAAGACTCCCTGCCTCCAGCCCTGGAGAGCCACTGCCAGTCAGTGTTGACAGTACTGAGCTAGATGGACCAATGATCTGACTTGGTATAAGGCAGTTTCCATTGTTCCTGTTTAACTGGCTGGCTAAACCAGATGAGAGTAGCCGATGGGTCTCAAATCCTTGGTGAGTTAGGGACTTCCCCTGCATGCGAAGATAGGTTCTGGCTGATGGAGCGGATGAGACCAATAGTGGGTCCAACAGTCAAGACTGAAGGCAGTTTCTGCATATGCTATAGCGGGAAGTGGGGGGCAGATGGGGCTCATCCACCTGGGAAGGTAGCCCATCTAGGAGATGAAGAACTCTGCTCCTAAATCTCCGCTGTCTCGTGGGACATCTTTGGGAGAAGAGAAGGCTAAGGAGTAAACCCTCCACAAATGGAGAGCAGAGTCCCTAAGATGGTTGGATGGGACTTTGTATGCCTCCTTCCAGCAACTCCTGCAGCCAAGTGGTGCCAGATATCTTGCTCTGCTTCCCTTTGGACCACACCTGCAAGGCTGAGGGGGGTCTTGTCATCTGGGCAGCCCAGGACCTCCATACATAGTGCCCAGGCTTGCACCCCAGAGAGGTCACTTTGGTGCTACAAATGCAGCAAAAACACAGTATGACGGATCTCCACAGCCACAGCAGCTGCTGTGATTCTCCAGCAGTTTGACTTCACCCTCACAGGCACGCTCCACTATCTTTCAAGACAGACGGATGCCAGTGTCCTTAATACTGAACCGTGAGGACTGAACCTGGTTAGGAACAAGTTGCAGCGCAATCGGAGGGCATCTGCTTTGCATGCAGAAGGTCCCACCTTCTGTCCCCAGAATTGACAAGGCTGAGAATGTCCCCAGTCTGTAACCCTGGAGAGCTGCCTCCAGTCAGTGTAGACCAGAGTTCTTTGGGTAGGACTACACCTCCCATCATCCTTAGCCAGTGTAGCCAATGATTGGGGATGATGGAAGCTGTGGTCCGACAGCACAACATCCTGAGCTAGATGGACCAGTGGGCTGACGCTGTGCAAGGCTGCTGCCTACCTTCCTAGGAGCATAAATGCTGTCCAGTGCAGCAGATCTCTCGACATGGTGTAAAAATGATTACGAGTGAGGGGAGCTGCGTCTAAAGGATCTCTAGAAAGTGGGAACCAGGGACAGATCTACACTTGTCGTTTATAATGTTAAAAATGCGTTGTTAAAAATGTGACATAATAGCAAAGGAAAACTGCTATTAAGCATTATAGAACGTGGTTTTTTTTAAAAAAAATGTTTAGAAGGTCAGTGTAGATCCAGCCCAGGAGAAAGCTGGGTGTGCTTTGAAGTGCAGTAGACCACTTCAGTTAGTGAGTTGGGACCTACCACAGGTTATGGTGTGATCCAAGGTGGGTAGCAAGAAGAGTACTACAACCAGGCAGATAAATGGTAACATAATTAGGAAATGGGTCCCCAAATGCATGTTTGGCTAAAAGGTGGATCCTGAGTCTGATAAGACTGCTGCAATATATGGTCGGACTTTGAAAATAACTTTTGCTTAAAATCAAGATCATTGCTAAATACGCTATTCCATTTCATCTCAGGTTTTGGCATTTTCACACTGCTTACAACTTTTTCTGGGTTTTTCCCCCCTGCACCCCTCTGGTGGCATCTGGCTGGGTGTGTGACACCTGGAGGCCTCATTCCCGTGTCTTCTTTTTTCCTTGCAGATGGTGATGGAGTTTCCTGATAACGTGCTTAACCTTGATGGGCATCAGAACAGTGGGGCGCAGTTAAAGCAGTTCATCCAGGTAGGTTGCTGCCATGCACCTCGAAAGCTGAGCACCAAAATGTTCCCAGTAATGTGATTGCTCTCCTAAGATTTTTTTTTTTCATTTTTGTTTAAATTGTGCATTCGTTCGTTTGTTGCTTTATTGGACAAATGCCACGGCATGTTTAGTTGCTTTGACCGCAGCAGCAGAAAGAAACCACAAAACATTTCTACCGCAATTACGATTGTTATAACCACAACACCAAAACAAAGATTAAGAAAAGAAAAATATTTCTTTTACAATTGCAAGCTTACTGTGTTACAGTCAGGGGGGTGTAAAAAAAATCTTAGCTTGTGCTGATATTTTTAAAAACCCCTATCCATTCTTTATTTTTCTTACTTAACCTTGAATTGTCTTTAGCAGCATGTGTGTTTCTAACACTAAAAAAAAAAAAAAGTTTAATCTCATTAAACATATCAAAACCATATGGAATATTAGAGAGGTGAAAGTTGCTCAGTATAAGCAAAGGCCATACTTTCAGAAATTTGTTCCATCTATATCCTGCTGCTTTTGATCTTAAACAATAAATTAATTTTGGCATTAAAGCTGATTGCCATGGCTTATTTATGTAGTCACTGCATAGAGGTAATTTTCTGATTTTCCAGAGTTCCATCGGCAGAGGGATTGCTTGTTAAACCCCTCTAGGAATTGTAGCTCCACGAGAGGACAGGAATTAGGGGTCTCCTAACAACTCTCAGTGCCTGTAACAAACTACAGTCCCCAGAATCCTTTGGGTGAAGCAACAGCTGTTTAAAGTGAGATGATACTGCTTTAAATGTATCATGTGGATGGGGCCCATGTCTCTTTACAAAAGGTGTTTCAACTGATCGCCCTTTCGCTAATGGCAGTGAGTTTTTAGCATGCAAATGAACAACAAAAAAAAGCAGTTTGTGAGGCAGGAGTAAAAGATAAAAACAAACAGGTCAGTTAAATGCAGAACAATATACTGAATAAAGGCAGGATACAACAAAAAACACCTGCGCTCTTTTGTTTACTGTGGAGCCAAGGAGATACATTTTGGAAGAGAGTGCAGCTTCAGTGTATAGAGTTCTGCATTGCAGTGTAGTGGTTAGTATCAGAGGGACCTGGCAGGCCAGGGTTCAAAATCCCCTCTTGACCATGAAGCTCAACTTGGTGACCTGGGGTCAGTCACTCCCTCTCAGCCTGTCCTACCTCACTGGGTTGTTGTGAGGATGTCAAAGAGATGCAGAAGGAACCGAAGCACGCCACCCTGAGCTGCCTGGAGGAAAGGTGGGATGATATAAATGCAATAATGAAACAGAATAAATTTAATCAGGCCTTTACAAAAAGAGAGAGAAGAAGAAGCAGCAGCAGCTCATTTCTCTCTTTCTCCCTAGCGGCACAGCATGCTCAAGCAGCAGGACCTGAATATTGCCATGATGGTGACATCGCGCGAAGTCTTGAGTGCTCTCTCTCAGCTTGTCCCCTGCGTTGGCTGCCGCCGGAGCGTGGAGCGCCTCTTCTCTCAGCTCGTGGAGTCGGGGAACCCTGCCCTCGAACCCCTCACCGTCGGGTCCAAGGGAGTCCTCTCTGTCACTCCGAGCTGCATGAGGGATGCGAAGAAGCTCTACACGCTGTTCTACGTGCACGGGTACGCCGAAGGGGGCAGTGTGGCCGTCACTAGTTTGTGTGCTGGCTTAGGGCAGAATCACAGAATTGGGACCCCAAGGGTCATCTAGTCCAACCCCATGCAGTGCCTAAATCCTGTTGCCCAACATGAGGATCGAACCCGTGACCCTAAGATTAAGAGTCTTATCTTGGAGTTCAGCTCCTATCATCCCTGGTCATTGACCCAACAGCTGCTTTCTAGGGCTGATGATGGAATAGAGTCCAGCAAGATCTGGAAGGCTGTTGATTCTCCACCCCTGGTGTAAAAGCAGATCACAGATGGAAGGAACTACTATTACTACTAACAACAATAATTTGTTGCTGTTACTAATTTGTTATTAATTTATATGCCAGAATGGCTTCTAAGCAGTTTAAAACGGTAAATCCGATCTGTAATTAAAATACACAATAAACATTAATTAAACCCTTAATTAAAATAGGCAACAAAACAAGCAATTCAAAAGCCCGGCAATCAAAACAGAGGGATGAAACCAGAAGTTCAGTTCCGGAGAGGGCTTTCCTAAAGAGGTGCGCCTGCAGGAGCCGGCAGAATGCCACTATTGATGGGGGTCAGGGACTCTCGTATTTCAGCAGGGCGGGCCTTATAGGACACTGGTGCCGCCAGTGAAAAAGCCCACCTCCGCATTACCACAAACCTTGTTAAAAGAAACATGGGAGGAAGGAAATAAAACCCGCCAACAGTCTAAAGTTTTTACAGGCTTTTGCTTTGCAACCTTACAAAGTTTTAACTCGTCAGCAGCACCTTGTAAAACGCTAATACTCAGCCGTAAGTTAATTGCGCAGCGGGCTTCTGCAATATCTTCTATACCTCTCTGTGGCTTTTTTTTTTTTAAAAGGTCCAAGTTAAATGAAATGATTGATGCGATTCCGAAAAGTAAGAAGAACAAGAGGTGCCAGCTGCACTCCTTGGACACGCACAAACCCAAGCCCTTGGGGTAAGTTCTTCAGCAGCAGCATCCCTGTGTGCAGAAGCCAGAAAGGGGGCTCTTCCATGAGCAGGAGGGGTAGCACCTTCCCAGTCAAGTGGCTTTGTAAGCTGCTGGAAGCAGGGCAGCGAGGGAGGGGGTGGAAGAAGCAGGGCAGCTGAAATGTGCAAGGTTTAACACACAATTTAAGAAGCATGCCCATACACGGATGCTCTGTTAAAGTACCCAGCATAGTTCTGGGACATCCTAAAAATGTGGGTATGAAAAGCAAAGCAGTCTGTCACACTATATTGTAGCTTTATGTTGTGAACCGCTCCACGGATGGAGGGCAGTAATACAAATTTAATGAATCATCCCACCAGGCGGCCCACCTTCCAGCTTTTGGGTGGCAGAGTGGGGTAGAATTTAATAAATCATTATAAACCTAAGTAGAAACTGTCTCCCCCTCCTCAAATGTGACTCTAAAAAGACAAGCCTAATCTGGTAGCCTGACTTGAGCTGTTTTGCTTACAAGTCATCGAAAATAAGAGTATAAAAAGAGCTCTGCTGAATCAGAGCAAAGCCTTGGGAAGAGTCCTGCTGGGGGCCCATTTGGTCCTGCATCCTGTCTCCATAGTGGCCAACCAGATGCCTCTTCCGGGAAGCCCAAAGCAGGACTGGAGTGCAGCCGCTCACTCCTCCCTGGTTGCGATTTCCAGTAACTGGTACTCTGAGGCGTATGGCCTCGCACAGTGGTGACAGAGCGTAGCCGCCGAGGCTGTTGCAGCAGACCTCGAATAACAGGCTCCTGGAAAAGTAGGCCTTGGGTGTGTGTTCCACCTCCGCTTCAAAAGTATCTTTCATTCAAATGGTTGTGGGGTTCCCCCCCTCCCCAATACCTCTATGGTGCTAGATCAGCCTCCCACAACCTGGTGCTCTCAGATTGCAGTTACTGATGCTGGCTGGGACAGGTGAGATTGGCAATCACGAACACTGCTGTCCTGCTGGCTGGGGCTATTGGCAGCTGTCCTCCAAAACATCTGCAAGGCACCAAGTGTGTAAGGCTGCATTAGATCTTACGGTTTGCTCCTGAGTTGGAAGGAAATCATTCCATTTGATGTGGGGCTTTTAAATGAATGAGGTTCCCTTGCTTTCCCCCGGACCCCAAGAGCTGGGGAAAACTAATAACAACAACAACAACAACAACAACAACTATTATTATTATTATTATTTTATTTATACTCTGCCCGTCTGGCTGGGTTGCCCCAGCCCACTCGGGGCAGTTTTGAACAGATATAAAAACATCAAATATTGAAAACTTCGCTATACAGGGCTGCCTTCAGATGTCTGCTGGGAGGCCATTTTGCAGGACGGGCACCCCAACTGAGAAGGCCCTCTCCCTGGGGGTTATTCTTATTATTTATTAGATTTATATACTGCCCTTCGTAACAAGATCTCAGGGCGGTTCACAGAGTAAAAAATACCAAGTTAAAAACACATCTTGCAGTGAGGGGAAATGGTAGAAGGCCCCTGGAGTTGGATCTCAGTGTCCGGGCTGGATGATGGGGGTGAAGCCATTTAGGGCTTTCAGGGTCAGCAGTAGCAGCCCTTTGAATGGTGCTCCTAAGGGTCAGGAGAGTTGTTGTGCCCACTGACATAGCCGCTGAATTCTTGTCTTAACACTGTGTGCTGCAGCGAAGGGAACAGTAGCGCCCTGAGTGCAGAGAAGTTAGGTGCAGATAAAAGAAGTAGTGAAGACGACAGGAAGGAGAGCAGGTGTAGGATCACTTTCTACTATGGACCTTTCCAAGGAGCAGCCAGGTAAAGGGAACCGGTGGCAGCTGGGCTCAGGGCGCGGCGTGTTCCCGTTGCCTCCAGCCCTCCACACTTGGGGCGGCTTCGTTCTGCTTTAACCCGCGCCGCTTTCCCCTCCTCCCCTGCAGGGGTTGCTGGATGGACGTGTGGGAGCTGATGTCTCAGGAGTGCAGAGACGAAGTAGTTTTAATCGACTCCAGCTGTCTGTTAGAAACATTAGAAACTTACCTCCGGAAACACAGGTGAGCAAATGGAAAAGTGTGTTTTCTTAGCGTCACGCTCGAGTCTCTTATCTCTCCGTCCAGATAAAATTGCTCCAAAGGTGGGTTTTTGTTTTTTTTTAAAACGGCTTATATGCATGTGTGAAATCTCGGCCAGTTTCTGAAGCTCCTTAGAGTTCATGTAACATATTTTTGCGTCAGCAGCTAAGGAGCTTACGGGGCCCTTCCTGGAGGAGCACACTGCTGAGGGAGAGGGGGGAACGGGGCTCCCAGACGGCTTGAATATTTAGCTTTTGTACAAAGCTTGCACTGAGGTTATACCATGTTGTATCAAGCATTTCCCTGTGGTACCATGTGGTGCAGTGGTTAGAGCATTAAACCAAGACCTGGGAGATCAGGGTTCAAATCCCCACTCAGCCCCAAAGCGCTCACTGGGTTACCTCGGGCCTAGCTATTCATTCTCAGCCTAATTTACCTCACAGGTTTGCTGTGAGGAGAAAATGGGGAAGAAGTGGAAGCATATAGGCCTTGAGCTCTCTGGGGGAAAGGTGGGCTTTAAATGTAATAAACAAATAAATACGCTTCTGGTCATTGTACTTAATGTGAAAAAGTCTGCAATGTTTTAAAAAGTGAGTTATGCACAAGCTCCAAATCAGCTTTAATTGTATAATCCAATTTTTCCCAGTATGTGTTTTGGATCCAGCCTGACAATAGCTCCTGCCTGGAAGTGCCCTAACAATTCTTCTTTTACATCCGGCACAGTCTGAGACTGGATGAGACCCCTGCTTAAAAGCATGGTGGGTGAAGAAGATGAGCAGAAGCTGGTCCCTGTAGGACCCAGATGCATTAAAACGACACACAGGGGGTTGTATCCGACATTAGTCCTGCTCAGATTATACCTATGAAAATTAATGGACATGCCGCAGCTTCACACTGTTAATTCCAACAGGTTTTGCTCTAATTCAGTTGAATGCAACCCAGCTTTTGTGTGTGTCTGTTTTGCTTTGAGTTTTGTTTTGTTTTGTTTTGTTTTTTGCCAAAAAGGAGGTTTTTGAACAGTTAAGTGCTGTATAAATTCTTTCAAAGCAATAGATAAGTTGTGTTTGTCGCAGTGAACAAAAAACCAAAACCAAAAAAGATGCAGTGGCACTGTTAATGCGGGTGCAAATTAAAATTTGGGATTATAGAAAGGGAAGAGGAGCGGTCTATTCTACCCCAAATTCAAGATGCAGCCACATAGTGCAATAGTGCAGGAGGGAGCTCCTGGTTCCTTCTGACTGGCAGCAACTCTGGGCAAAGAGTTCGCCCAGCCCTGTTGCCTTAACTGGACTATCTATTTTTTATTTTCTTACTAAACGAAAAGTTCAGTTAACATAGGCATTAGCAATTAGCTATAAACAATACAATTTGATTTTAATCACGTCTTCTAAAATATTTTGACATCCATTTTGGTATCATGCTTTTGAATCTGGGAGCCAACTTTCACGACTGTATTTTCTTATTTTGGTTGGTCTGCAGCCATAGTTTCCTGGTTCAGCTGTAATGAGAAACCGTGGTTTAATGGACACTTCCTGGTTTTTCCATTCTAGGAGTGGAGCAGGAGCCTAGGGGGCTCCATGTGGGTGCACAAAACTCCCTTGTTTCTTGGCTTCTCCAGCCGAGATTTGGCTTAGTCACAGCTGGCCCCTGCTTTGTCTGCGGAAGGCCCTCTGTTTAATTACCCCCACCTCCTGGTAGGGCAGGGAATGACCCTTGCCCCAAACCATGGAGAGCTGCTGCTAGTTCTACAACTGGGGGTAACCAATTTATACCAGCTGCCTTTCAGATTTTTCAAGTTAAAGTGTCATCTCAGGTACGGTACTTTTTGGGATCCCAATATGGATACAAGCATATAAAAGTGATTTAGATAAGATACACTCAAGTTTCTTGAGACGTATCCTTGGGCTCCCTAATTCAATCAAGTATGAGACGATGTGTGCAGAATTAGATATACACATGATGGAATATTGGGCATGGACTAGCACTATAAAACACTGGCTGTGCTGCCATTTTCATTCCCAGCCTTTGAGTCCGCTTTCCAATTTATTTAAGGACTCCTATAAATCCAGATGGCTCCAACTCATACCCAGCAAAATTTGATATTTTGATATTGACTTGGAATTATTGTATAATTCTAGTGAGCAATATATTTATCGCAATATCCAAATTAGATTAAGGGATATTGAAAAACAAAACATTGAGTCAGCTGTAAATAAAATCTGCTCCCCCAGGGTCTATGGTTTAAATACACCCGGTAACAGGATCACTTATATCTCAAAGTTAATAATTCCAGCCCAACGCAGGGCATTTATGTTGGCCCGACTGAATGTTTTCCCCTCAGCTTTTAAGGGCAGATATTTAAACATCCCTAGAAATGATAGACATTGCGGATGTTATTTGAATGTGCTGGACACCGTAGAACACATTATTTTCTACTCTCTACTGTACAACCAGCTGCATAAATGCGTGTTAACCCCCTTTTAGGGTAGTTTAACATCATGGCGCGATGAAAATATCAGATTCTACCTGTCTGATATTAAAGGTAAAGGGACCCCGACCATTAGGTCCAGTCGTGACTGACTCTGGGGTTGTGGCGCTCATCTCGCTGTATTGGCCAAGAGAGCCAGCGTACAGCTTCCGGGTCATGTGGCCAGCAGGACTAAGCCGCTTCTGGTGAACCAGAGCAGCACACGGAAACGCCGTTTACCTTCCCGCTGGAGCGGTACCTATTTATCTACTTGCACTTTGACGTGCTTTTGAACTGCTAGGTTGGCAGGAGCAGGGACCGAGGAATGGGAGCTCATCCCATCGCGGGGATTTGAACCACCGACCTTCTGATCGGCAAGTCCTAGGCTCTGTGGTTTAACCCACAGCGCCACCCGCGTCCCCTGTCTGATATTAACCCGGAGGTAACTGCAAGGGTGGCTAAGTATCTGTCAATAGTATCTCTTGGAGTGGTAAATGACACAGCAGGAAGACAATGAAATGAAAATTTCTGTTGCTATATATCTTGCCTGACTATTTCTTTGTATTTTGTATTTCTTTGTATTTCTTTGTATTTATTTTAAGATGGCCTATATCTGTAATGCCTAATAAAGGTTTGGAGAAAGAAAGCTGCTACCAATCAGTGTTGACAGTGCTGGCTGGACTACGCTGAATCCAGCTTCCTCTGTCCCTGTGTGCAAATCCTTCATCCTCCAACCAGAGATAGGCCTTTACATAGATGACATGTCCTCTTTCCCCTTTCCAAACAGGTTTTGCACCGACTGCAAGAACAAAGTCCTGCGGGCTTACACCATCCTTATCGGCGAGCTGGACTGCAGCAAAGAGAAGGGCTACTGTGCCGCTCTCTATGAGGGGCTGCGCTGCTGTCCCCACGAGCGCCACATCCACGTGTGCTGCGAGACCGACTTCATCGCCCACCTCCTTGGCCGAGCCGAACCCGAGTTCGCAGGAGGGTATGAGTATGTAATTTGCTAGAGTGGGCTATCTAGCACTTTTGCTTCCTTTTGAAACATTTTTTCCCCTTTTTACTGAATGTATATTTCAGATATATACATGTGGTGTGCGTGCCTCTCTTCCATCTTTCTCTGCTGTGTTGTTGACCCTTTTGCGGGGAGACAAGCTCACCTTGCTCTTGCAAGCGCTGCTTCCGAGTTGTGTGTGTTTGCAGTTCATCTGGGCCCTAACTTGGTGTGTTGACTTGCAGGCAAACCTCTAGCTTTGTTTATTTGCATCTATTTTTAACCAGCCCTTCGCCTTGCGGTCCCAGGGCTGCTTATACACACAGCTCAGCACAATTACAACATGCACCCTGGCTGCCTGTCCATGGCTGAGCCGGAATCAAGGTCCTTGTATTAATTTACAAAGCCCCAATCGAGTTGCCTTGCCCAAACCCTTATATCCCAGCTTGATTGCGGAGATCACCTTCAGGAGTGCTGCTGGTCATCCCCCCAAGTTGGAAAGGCTCATCTGACATGGGACACAAAACTGAAACTGTTCATTGCCGCCAGGCTTCTGCGGACAACTAGGATAAAATGTTTTCCGCAACAGTCAGCTGGTGGTATTAATTTTTGCATGGTTTTTCTTAGTTGCATTGCAATTGTTGCACATCACATACATGTTTCTAAATGAAACTGCAATACCCCAGTATTCTTATAGATAGATAGAGGTACTTGAAATGGGAAGGATATTCTGATCTCCCCACCCCTAAAGGCCTGTGCAAGAAATGTGTACGATGAGCCCAGATGTGCCTTTGGATAGTTTTTAAAATGGTTGTCTGCTTGCTGACTGATGAAATCGGATTTTGCTGGATGAGGCCAGTGGCCCATCTAGCCCAGCAGCCTGTTTTCACAGCAGCTAACCGGGTGCCCAAATGGGAATCTCAAAAGCAGGACCCAAATGCATGTGTCTGCTCCCTTTCTGTGATTTATAGCAACTGGTATTCAAAAGAACTACTGCCTCCAGTTTTACTTAGGAATATTGACATGCTGCACAAAACCAGCTCCAGGGGGATTATTATTTGTTATGGTACGTATTTTTGTGTTTTTATATTGTAAATAGCCCTGTGGTCTTTGGATGAAGGGCGGTCTAGAAATTTAATAAATAATATTATAGGTCTACGATCACAGATTCTCTCTCTCAAAATGTCATTGATATCCTATCATACCTCTAGTTCCCTTACATTAAAACAAGTTATATTTGTACCAGAGAACCCCCTGCTTTAAAAAGAAATTAAAAAATGGTGTCGGATGCCTTTCTGTTTTTGTCCCCGCAGCACCTCCCCCCCCCTCAAAAAAGAGAAATAGATCTAGCATAAGGCATTATTTCATCCTCCTCTGATCATTAAGTTGAGCAAGTGAATTCCACATTTCCACCCCCCTCCATGCTTGCTTGCAACTAGGTTAGGAGTGTAAGAAGAGAAGTTTTAAAATTACATTTTTTGAGCTTAGGTGCACTTGGTTGGGATAGCTTTAGTTGTCAGCTAATGAGTGTGCATGCCTCTCTCAGCTGGTTGCTGGGCAGTTTTCTCTTTGCAAAGTGGCTTCAGCAATTGCACTTGTGAATTGGTTGCTGTGATTTCCTCCACATGCTGGGTTGCAAGAACAGGAAACCCAAAGTATTTGTGTGCGTGCTCTGAGGACGTGTAGGAACCTAGGCCAAGCAATTTGCTAGCAGGGTACTCCTCTGCATAGGTGATGGTGCAATGAATGCCATTGTGTGTGTGTGTGTGTGTGTGTGTGTGTGTTTGTGTGTTTTCTGGCATCTTAACCTGCATGTGGCATAAACTTCATTATAACTAGATGATGCTTTTCAAATACCTTGCCGCGCTCCAGTTTATCTCCACACAGCTGTGTGGCTCTTTGCAAGACCTGGCAGTTGGCTGACCATCGGTGCTTTTGCAGAGTTTTCCAAAGCCTCCACAGATTGCCAGGGCTTCAAAATGCTACACACAGCTCTCTGCAAGCCGTTACATCAGGCGATTGACAGCTCTGCAGACCTGCCCACATGTCAAAAAGTAGCCTGTAGGGGTGGGGGATGGTTGACTGCTTAATGGGTGCTGAATTGCACCTTGATGAACAGGTGTACCCACAACTGATTTGCTTGGGCATAACTCCCAAAGACACAAAACATCTGTGGTTGTAGTCTTTGTCTGGAATTCACAGTGCTGTTGGATCTACACGTTATAAGAATTTAGGATTTAAGACCTTGCCCATTTGGTCTGTGAGGCTGTTTAGGCCAGGCCAGGCCCACCAGCCCTACACCTGATACCATATGATGCCAGATGTAAGGACCCTCAGTCAAAGCCTCATGCACCGGCAGCCACCTGGTTGTAGAGGCTTGCGCAGCACCGTGGTGTCAGATGCGTGAGTCAAAGTCAAAGGTGGCCTGTGGAACAAATCCACATCCCATATCCCTCTCCGAAGGTGCTTAGGAGACGCCGTCCACCACCGCCCCATTTCCACGCCACATCACAATCTGTTTTCGTTTTAAAGTCTCCGTCATTTTCAAATGCAGCCTGTCTTTCAAAAGCAGCCTGCCGTGTGACATTGGAGGACCACTTGCTGTTTTGAGAGGCAGACAACTGAGGCACAGCCCTGCTGGGCACACAAAGCGGATGGTGTTGTCCCCTGGTTCTAAGGCTTGTATCAAGAATGCAAAGGGGGGACCAGGTCTCAATTGGATGCTTGTAACGAAGAACCCTGCACTATCTGCATACTTGGCTCTTTACAGTTTTAATTCCGATTGGTACAGATGCTTTTTTTTAATGGTTCTCAATATTATTACTATTACACACCCCTAAATCTGGTGCTTTCTCCACCACCAAAGATCGTAAGCACATCAAAAGAGCCCTTGATCAGACCCAAAGCTTGCTGTTCTCAGAGTGGCCAACCAGTCAGATCTCTGCATCACTCCCAGTTCTAATCCAAAATACAGCGGCGGCAAAGAAGTTGCTTCCGTGTGTGTCTTATGTTGGAAAAAAAACCATGGGACTGATTGGACTCTGTGAAATTCATCCCCACTGGGAAGGCTCCCACTTCAACTCTACCTATGAGGCCAGCATAGCTCCTGGAACAGATAAGAGAGGAATCAGGACTGCTTTGAGAACATCCCTGTCTTAGACCATGTCAGAATCATAAGTTGGTTCTGAGCATGCTCAGAGCTGTTTCTTTGAAGGCCAGAGCTGGTATTCAGAAGCATACCACCTTTGACACTGGAGGTAGGGCATAGCCATTGCGACTAGTAGCCATGAGTTAAAAGTATTTAGCAGCAGCTTTTAGAAATCGTTTTGCAACAAGAAAAATATAAGTGGCTCCCTGGTAGCCGTGCTGAGGTTTTACACTGGTAAATAAACCTCTGGTCCTTTCCCTGTTCCAAAAATGGCTTCTAAAGCAGACTTGAGTTGCAGGAGATCTGCCCAAGGCTGGCAGATCGGGAGGACCCCCCCCCTTAACAACTCTCGTTAACCCTTTAACCCTCCAGGAGAAGGGAGAGACATGCAAAGACAATCGACATCGCCCAAGAGGAGGTCCTGACTTGCTTGGGGATCCATCTTTACGAACGGCTGCACCGCATCTGGCAGAAGCTGAGGGCGGAGGAGCAGACTTGGCAGATGCTGTTCTACCTTGGCGTTGATGCTTTGCGCAAAAGTTTCGAGGTACTGAGAAAACCGGGTGGATTTCCCCCACTTGCATGCAACTAAGGCTTTAAGAGCTGTTGGAGAAGACTTGAGTTAAAAAGTTGAGCGTATAATGTGTGGGGCGGAGAGAGAGTGTGTGTGTTGCTGCATTTTGGGCTGAGAATATGTCATAATAGTTGCTTTGGGGAAAGAAAGTCTTAAAAGAAAATCAAGTCTCCCTTCGTCTCCCAGGCTCATGCAACTGAGAATTTCCTCCTCTCTTTCTTTCCTGCACAGATGGCCGTGGAAAGAGTCCAGGGCATCAGCCGGCTGGAGCAGCTCTGCGAGGAGTTCTCCGAAGAGGAGCGGGTGCGAGAGCTCAAGCAGGAGAAGAAGCGCCAGAAGCGCAAGAACCGGAGAAAAAATAAGTGTGCGTGCGAGATCCCTGCTCCCTTGCAAGGGGGGGAGGAGAAGGAGAGCAGCCAGGAGAAGGTAAGTGCTGGCCTTCCAGCTTTGTACGTCCACTCCTTGGGTCCGGAAAGGAACCCGCAACCCATGCCATTGTTTCAGAAGGGTTATATGAGATAGGAAGGGCACCGCAGCTAGAAACCTGGCTGCTGCATTTTGGACCCCTTGAAGATTCTGAGTCATCTTCAAGGGCAGCCCCACGTAGAGCCCAGTGCAGTAATCCAGCCTGGAATTTACCAGAACACAGAGTACAGAAGCCAAGTCAGTTCTGCCCAACAGGGGCTGTAGCTAGTGAACGAGCCATAGCTGGAAAAAGGCACTCCTAGCCCCCAAGGTCACCTCAGCCTTCAGCAACAGTGTGGAATCTAGAGGGCACCAGGTTGGCAAACACTGCTGTTGCAGCAGATCTGTCTTAACAGACATAGGGATCTCTAATTCTCAAAATGTTTCAAAATGTGCTGCTACAATATATTTTTGTGTTCTGAGATTTATACTGTAGTTTTTCATTTAATATTGCAGTGCTTTGTAATTTAGATTCTCAGTTTCTTTGTTTGCTGTATTCATCACCGTTTGGTAAACTGCTTAGAGACTGCCTCTAAATTTCAAGCGGCATATAAATACCTTATAAACAAATAAACCACCAGGGCTGCCTGCGTTGAGAAAAGGAATTCCTCAAATGACATTTTTAATTTGGTTGCACAGGCTTGTCGCTGGTTGAGTCCAGGCCCGTCTCTTGCCCTCTGTCCTTCAGTTGCCCTCCATCTTTTCCCTCTTTCCCTCCCTCTTTCCCTCCAGGAAAACTTCTTGGAAAGCGGTTGCAAAGCCTGCGGCAGCACAGAAGAGAGAGGCAGCTGCATCGAGGTCATTGTGACCAACGAAAACACTTCCTGCACTTGTCCCACTGCTGGCACTTTACTGGGTTCACCCAAAATAAAGAAAGGTATGTTGTTCGAATTTGGTGGGATTTGTCGGGGGGGACGACCCTCAAGCAGTAAAACTTCAGCACTGTTCCTCTTGATCCTCAGCTCTAATGCATTTTGAGCTGGTCTGCGCTCTTTAAGGAACCCTTCTACACTGAAATATGGAAACTAATGTTTTGCAACACGCTGTGGGTTAAACCACCGAGCCTAGTACTTGCCGATCAGAAGGTCGGCGGTTCGAATCCCCGTAATGGGGTGAGCTCCCGTTGCTCGGTCCCAGCTCCTGCCAACCTAACTGTTCGAAAGCACATCAAAGTGCAAGTAGATAAATAGGTACCACTCCGGTGGGAAGGTAAATGGCGTTTTCGTGAGCTGCTGTGGTTCGCCAGAAGCAGCTTAGTCATGCTGGCCACATGACCTGGAAGCTGTACGCTGGCTCCCTTGGCCAATAAACAAGATGAGCGCCACAACCCCAGAGTCGGCCACGACTGGACCTAATGGTCAGGGGTCCCTTTAACTATACCTTTATGCTTACTAGGGGCTGCTCGCCAACCCACCACTCCTTCCCTCACAACGCTCCCTCCATAGCTCACACCAACCCCCCCCCTTCCCTTGCAAGCAAGCCACTCTGAATCGCCTCCCACCCCCCTCCTTTAAATGTCATTCCTCAGCAGCTCACCTGGTCTGTCCCAACACCTGCCCCACTTGCTTCCTTGCCCGCCCGCCATTCTGTCATCATGCTGCAGTTGGCACGGCCACCTACTGGCAGACCAGAGAACTACAACATGATACTTACAGAACTAAGGCTACAGTGGTACCTTGATTCCCGAACGGCTTAGTTGTTGAACAAATCGGCTCTTGAATGCCACAAACCTGGAAATAAGTGTTCTGGTTTGTGAATGTTTTTTCATAAGCCGAATGTCCAACGCAGCTTCCGCTTGAGTGCAGGAAGCTCTTGCAGTCAATTGGAAGCCGCGCCTTGGTTTTCGAACGGTTTCATGAGTCGAACAGGCTCTTGGAATGGATTAAGTTCGAGAACCAAGGTACTACTGTATATACAAAGTGAACTGAAAACACTCTGTGTGTTGTATGCTACCTCCAGCATATGCCCTTTAAAACACCTCATTTAAAGTACCATAGTCATTTATAAAGTTTGCAACAGATCCATTCCTTGATCTAGACCAGGATTTCAAAATGCTGTTGTCTAAGACTAGATGATGATGATGATGATGATGATGATGATGATGATGATTACTATTAGTAGTAATATTCTCTTGTACCCCACCCCTCTGGCTGGGTTGCCCCAGCCACTCCAGGCAGCTTCCAACTGTGTATAAAGGAACACACCAAAAAAATCAAAAGTTTCCTGAATCAGGGCTGCCTTCAGATGTCTGCAGTATGAGGGATTAGCTCTACTAAAATATAGGAGGGCATGATATTTTCAAAAGTGTAGTATTTTTCTTCAGAACTATTGTTCTTACTGGTATACAGATGTAAAAAAATAAAACAATATCCACAGAATACTCTCAGCCTTGATGCTACACAATGTGTTTTCGCTCTGCTGAGCAATCCCCTTTTTTCCTTTCTCTCTCTGTTCCTCCCTTCTAGGTTTATCTGCACATTGCAATGGCAGCGATTGCGGCTACTCCTCCAGCATGGAGGGCAGCGAAACGGGGTCGCGGGAGGGCTCGGACATCGCTTGCACCGAAGGGATTTGCAACCATGACGAAAACGGTAGGTCTGTTGCGAAACTGCATAGGGCAGGGGAGTAGAATACACCTGTGGCCCCCCTGAGGCCATGGGACTCCAACTCCCATCAGCCCTGGCTGGGCAGGGACCAGAGGCAAAAGCAAGCAGAGCAATGCATGTAAATTTTGTAGAGTAGCTTCCCTCCCCCTCTTTCTTTTTTCCTTTTTCCTTCTGTGATGGAACTCCTACAGGGACTTCCCTGGCTTTTTCTGGCCCACGTAGGACCACTTTGGATAGTTAGCCTTGGTGAAGACTTGACATTTTCATCCCCCAAAAAGTTTCTGAGTTTCTGCTGAAATGAGGCTGCATTTTAATGTTGTATTTTAATCTTGTTTTTTAAGTTGTATTTTAATCAATTGTTTTATATTTGGTGTTAGCCGCCCTGAGCCCGGTATTGGCTGGGGAGGGCGGGGTATAAATAAAATTTATTATTATTATTATTCTACACACATGCACACGCCCCTCTCGACCATCCAGGCAAGCCAAGAGGACAGGCCAGCATTGAATGAGGGTGCAGAGTGGGGCCCGTGTGTCTCTAGGAACAGCTCCGTGGGCCAGAGAGAAAGCGATCTGGAGGGTTGTGCTTGGCCCAGGGTTTCTTTTTCATTAAAGTGGACCACCTTCTGCCTGGCAGGTGATGACCCCTGCCTCCATCGCTGCGAGGACAAGGAGGAGGACGGGGACAGCTGTGTGGAGTGCTGGGCAAATTCGGAAGACAACAACATGAAAGGCAAGAGCAAGAAGAAGAAAAAGAAAAGCAAGAAGGGCGAGGCCGAACATGTAAGTCTGAGGTTTTCCGCAGCCCAATGTCATCTAGGGGAAGCCAAACCAAATCCAATGAATGCATTTTCATTTCGTCACATTTTTGTCCCGCTTTCCCTCCAAGGAGCTCAAGGTGACATACGTCCTTCTCCCCCACCCCATTTAATTCCCATCACAACCCTGCGAGGTGCAGGTTAGGCTGAAAATGAGCAACCTGCCCAAGGTCACCAGCAAGCTTCATGCCATAACCAGGTTGCCCTTCCCCTCCCCTGCTCCTGCCCCATTTCAGTGAGTGACTCCAAGCGCATCGCCAGTTGCTCCTAATTTGGGTGCAGGTATAAATGAGTAAGGGACGCGGGTGGCGCTGTGGGTTAAACCACAGAGCCTAGGACTTGCCAGTCAGAAGGTCGGCGGTTCAAATCCCTGCAACGGGGTGAGCTCCCGTTGTTCGGTCCCTGCTCCTGCCAACCTAGCAGTTCGAAAGCACGTCAAAGTGCAAGTAGATAAACCACTCTGGCGGGAAGGTAAACGGTGTTTCTGTGCGCTGCTCTGGTTCGCCAGAAGCGGCTTAGTCATGCTGGCCACATGACCCGGAAGCTGTACGCCGGCTCCCTCGGCCAATAAAGCGAGATATGCGCCGCAACCCCAGAGTTGTCCGCGACTGGACCTAATGGTCAGGGGTCCCTTTACCTTTATCTATAAATGAGTAACCCTCCCTTCCTTCCCTGGACACGGGTTTCCGGCTTCAGATCCAAAAGCTGAGCAACTGCGCCGTAGACCCGAGTAGCCACGAGAGCTCCGGCAATGCCATGCACACGGAGTTCCACCGGGACAAGACCAAAGACCCGCACACCGACACCTGCTGCCGTGCAGAGAAGGGCGGGCAGCCGTGGTTGGAGCACAGGAAAACGGCGCTGTCGTGCGCAGAACTTCCAGATGCAGCCTCCACTCCAGACTCTGGGAAAGGTGCCAAGAGCTTGGTGGAACTCCTCGTAAGTAGCCGGAGAGGCTTCCTTTTCTGGGTGGATGGTGGTGCTGAGAGGGCTGCGTTGGTTTGCCTCTTAGCTACCGAGCCGTCCTCAAAGCTTTGGCTGCTGAAGTGTTGAGCCTTAAGCAACTTGGGCTAACTAAAATGCCAAGGGGTGGGAGACGTCCAGCCCGGGGGCCGAATGCAGCCCGTCAGGCCTCCCCAGTTGGCCCACCAGGCTGTTTTGCGAGAACCACACCCTTACCTGATGATGCTCCAAGTGAGCTTCTGGTTGTTCTTTGGTGAAGCAAAGCACACTCCCATTGCCCATGGACCAGCGGTTTAGACCGTGGCGAGTTTCCTAGGCCCAGCCACCAGCTCCTCAAATATCGGCTCTGTATTTTGAATAAGAACATACGACAAGCCTGCCGGTTCAGGCCAGTGGCCCATCTAGTTCTAGCATCCTGTCCTCACAGTGGCCAAGCTGATGGCCAGTCGCTATCGATAGCCCTCTCCTTCTCCATGAATTTGTCCCATCTTCTTTTGAAGCCACCCAAGTTGGTGGCTATCACTATGCGCTGCTTGAAAAATGACTTTATCTGTCCTAAGCCTTCCAACATTCACCTGAAGAAGGTGGTGGGGCTTTCCTTCTCTGGGGGTTTCTAACCAGAGGTCAGGTGGTAATCTGTCAGGAATTCTGTAGATACGATTCCTGCATTGGATCAGATTACCCTGGGGGGATCCCTTCCGACTCTACCTTTCTGTTAACTTTTAGCGGATCCACTCTGAATAGGACTAGCATAGAATGCCACCTGTTAAGTTTAAGAAACGGGCAGAAAGTAGGGTTGAGATCAGCATCGGGGTGCCCTGCGTGTCCTTTTTTTCACCTTCCCTCCGCCGCCTCTTCTCATTTGCAGGATGAATCCGAATGCACTTCCGACGAGGAAATCTTCATCTCGCAAGACGAGATCCAGTCGTTCATGGCGAACAACAAGTCTTTCTACAGCAATAGAGAGCAGTACCGCCAGCACCTGAAGGAGAAATTTAACAAATACTGCCGCTTGAACGATCACAGGAGGCCGGTTTGTAGCGGCTGGCTGACGACAGCCGGAGCAAACTAAACCCAATAAAATTAGCTCTGTCTTTCAATGAAATCTTTCGAGACGACTACTGCGCCTTTTCTGTCTTCGAAAACAAAACACTTTCTTTAGCAACTAAACAAAAATCTTACCTTTAAAAAATCAATGTGGCTTTCTGTTTCCTTTCGTTCTTTTTCTCTCTCTGATGCCCCCACTCCTGTGCAGGAGGCTGGTGGAGGTGATAACTTTTAATTTTGGGTTTCTTCCCCTTCCCACCCCTCCTGGCACCCGTTTCAGGCTTGGATCTTTAGTTTTGGCTAGATTGAGGCAAGCCCTTAGACCTTCATAATTTAAGCCATTTCTGTCTCTCTGTCTCTCTCTTTCTCTCTGTCTTTTCATTCAATGTTTCTCTTAACTGTGACACTTAACAAACAGACAAAAAAAAAAAGCAACTTAGTGGCAAAAGTAATGTTGTACTTATAATTCTGTACAGAAATGACAATGAACTCAATATAAAGATTTTACAAAGTAGACATCCATTTGCAAAAAGAGGAAAAAAATGTTCTGGATGTAATATGTTGAAGCGCAATGTGCAAAATTTAAAAATAAAGAATATTTATTAATATGCATAGTAAAATCAAACAAAAAAGGGTGTGCATGTTTCTACTCCTTGCGGTGAAAGAGTGCTGAAATGTCTCCAGAGCCAGGCATGTTTTCCCTATGTTAGAAGAGGGCTGGGAAATCTGTAGCTGACCAGTTGGTGCTGGACTATAACTCCCACCATTCCTCTCTGCTGGCTGGGGCTGATGGGAGTTGGAGTCCAACAGCATCTGGAGGGCCACTGGTTAATCACCCCTACGTTGGGACTACTATTTGTAGTTGATTTTTTGTTTATATCCCGCTCTTAGAGCAGCTCACAACTGTTCCATTTCTAAGCCATCTGCACAACACAGTCATGGCTCCCCCCCCGAGAATCCTGGGAACTGTAGTTTCATGCAGGTGCTGAGAGTTGTTAGGGCCCCTATTTCCCCTGCAGAACTACAATTCCCAGAGTTCCCTGGGAAGAAGGATTGACTATTAAACCACTCTTGAATATTGTAGCTCTGTGAGGGTCTCCTAACAACTCCCAGAACCCTTAGCAAACTACAGCTCCCAGGATTCTCTGGGGGAAGCTATGTTTGCTTAAAGGGGCATGGTACTGCTTTGAATATAGAGCACAGATGGCAGCAGATTGTGAACCCATTGGGTGCCAAATGGGATGTGATACAAGACAATACACTACCAAACCCTCATTCCACAAGAGGGTAGCGAAGGCGATTAGGCAAATTCACGGAGGATAAAGCTACTAATGGCTGCATCCTACTTCCGGTATCGGCTCTGAATACCAGGGGAACCGGAGAGGGAGAGAGCCTTGTATGATGGCTTGAGCTCCTTGGAAAGAAAGGTGAGAAAAAATTGAAGTAAACTGAAAACAAATCTTATTATATAACGTGCTTGCTGGAATTGCCGTGGCCCAGGTGTGTGGCCGTCAAAACTGGCTCATGTATTTAAACACCAACTCTGGACAGGCCGTACACAAGAGTGTCTTGGGTTGACAGTTCTCTTGACTTAAGGGTTTTGGTTTTTTGGCTGCTTTTTAATATATTGTCAGTCCAACTGTACCCCAGTGGTGGAGCATCTACTCTGCATGATTGAAAGTCCAAGATCACGCTTACCAGTTTGTGGGAACATTGTGGAGCTCGCTAAGACCACTGCTCTGATGAAACTTCTTTCTATCCTTGGTATGCTATTGATCTTCTGAACTAGTGAGGCTCCCACAATCCCTGACTGTTCCCCTGGTGATTTGCAGTGTCCCGTGGCACGAACTGAACCACCACGCTGAACATGTTTGCACGGTTGCAAAACGGGTGCTTTTCTGATGGAGTTGGGTTGCTTAAGACATCGAATGAAGAGCTCTCTGCATTTCACGTAAGCAGTGAGTCGAGTGGCCCTTTCAGCAGAAAAATGGGCAGCTTCATCTGGAATGGCAGGTGATGAAGCCAGTATTGGATTTATCATGATAGGACTTGGGGATGTTGGAAGTCTTTAGGTGAATAAATTCCCTTCTACACACACCCTTCTCCACCTCTGAAAAGGTTTTGACACACCTGTTATAAAAGACACAAAAGAAAACTTGCACCTCTAAACTCATCAGGATTGGTGCACCCCCCCCCCAAAAAAAGAGAAAGGGAGCCTTGTTTGCAAAAGAAAAGAAAAAAACTACCAATCCCTGTATTTTTAAAAGAGGGCAACCTATGCCTTCCCCACTCCAAGAAACACATACCCCAGTCTAATGTCTAATAAGGCGTGCACACATGTTCCAGAGCCACAGGCTGTTAAACTAATGGGGACTGCTCCTGTTGGACAGATGCACTGCAACAATTTGTTGCAAGTCTCATTTCCTTTAAGTGCAAATCTCCATGTGAGCTTTTACCACAAATACTTTTATTGAAAAAGTGCATAAACCTCATTTCAAACAAACTGCTTCTCAAAAGCAAGAATGCACACTGCAGTATAATTTAAAACCCCTGGTTAAAAACAGCCTTTTCATTATGTTTAAATCAGAATGCACTATGAAGAAAGCAGAGTGAATTAATATGACCATATAGACCAAAACCCCAGTAACAGCCACTGGCTACCCATTTAAAAGCAGCCTTAAAGAGGGAGGTCTTTAAGGACCATTTAAAGGCGTCCATGGACCGTTTAACAAACTGAAGGACATCGTCCTCTTTCTACGCTCCTCTTGATGGAAACATGCAGATGGGGACAGATATACCCCTGCTTTAAGCCGTTTACATACGATCTTCCCTCTTTAGCGACGAAATGTCTGATTACCGGAACAACATTTGAGTACATCACAAGTGGACTCTTTGTTACTGCATTTGGAATTGTTTAAGATGAAACCTATTGTGGAAAGAAACGACTTTTGCCATTTTTATGGAAGTTAATTGTTCATTTACAGTTAGTTGCCTTGGTGATATTGTGTCAATTGCAGTAGTCAATGTATCACCACCCTGTTCATTGTTTTATTATAAAAAAAATACAACCAGTCAAGGGGGTGGCACTGCCTGTTAGCTTCTGCCTTCTTAGTGTTACCCTTATAGAATCCAGTAGATGAGGGGACAAACCTAGAACCAGTTGGTTCCACCTGCCATAGGCTATAGCGCCATCTACTGTTGGACTCCCTGTTTCCCACCCTATGAGTTCCAGCGGTCACCATCCGCTGCCACCACCACCTCATGGAATTGGCCTCACTCCTGGATCCCGTTAGGCCTGCTGCTACCCTGATTGTGGCACCTAGGATCCACTTCAGAGGCTCTGATTAAAGTGGGTCTACTGTGAGATCAGGGATTCAGCTCACATTTCAGATGAGCAAAAAAAGTGGGGAGTGGGGCAGGTCGGGGGGGGGGCTAGGCAGAGTAGGTGTGGCTTGGTGTGAGTTCTAAGGGCCAGATAAAGAAATTCTGAGGGCCACAGCCAGCCCACTGGACCTGAGAAAGAAATTCAGCCTCTGCTGAATCACCTCCAGAAAAGAGGTATCAATTTGTAACTGTGCCAGGATATGCATGTATACAGAATATTCCATCTTTTCTCTAAGAGGCTCGAGGTGGCACACGTGGCTCTTTCCCTCATTTAATCCCCACAACAACCCTGTGAGGCAGGCAAAGCTGAGAGGCAGCGACTAGCCCAAAGTCACCCAGTGAGCTTCATGGCTGAGTGGGGATTCGAACCCTGCTCTCCCAGGTCCTAGTCCAACACTCTAAGCACTGCACCACACTGAGTTTACCCATCGCTGGAACATTTGCAAAGCTACAGGGAACCAGGCAGAGGGCTTTCTCGGTAGTGGCGCCCGCCCTGTGGAACGCCCACCCACTAGATGTCAAAGAGATAAACAACTACTTGACATTTAGAAGACTTCTGAAGGCAGCCCTGTTCAGGGAAGTTTTTAATGTGTGACATTTTAATGTATTTTTAATCTTTGTTGGAAGCCGCCCAGAGTGGCTGGGGAAACCCAGCCAGATGGGCAGGGTACAAATAAATTATTATTATAGACAGGGTTTTCTTCCGTGCCACAGTGGCGTAGAGGGAAATTGAATCCTCAAACCCACTTGCTTCCATGGGGATGTTGGCAGTGTTTAAAATCCTCCCCTCCCCACTTGGTGGTTTAGGTTCTGATCCTAAACATACTTGCAAAAGAGTAAGGCTAATTAATATTGGGGACTTGAACCATGCAAAGGACTGTACTGTAAAACTGCAGGAGTCTTTAGCTGCAATTTTATTGTATTTTATTACAGTGATGGTCACTGTGTGCCATTTTAAAAAAAAGTAAACGTATATTTCTTTTATTGAGGATTAAAAAAACTACGAACAACTTGTGGAGAACAAATTACAAGGAAGATCAAGCTATTTTTATAGGAAACCAGAAGGCAGGGTTGAGAGAGAGGCAGTGTGGTCTAGAGGGTAGAGTCTCCAAATCCTTCACCGCCCTTCTCAATGAAGTTAATGGGCCAGTTAGGCGCTTTCTCTCAGCCTGACCTACCTCGCAAGCTTGTTGTTTGAGGATGAAGCAAGGATAGGCGTTTGATGGCCACAGCGCAGCATGGGGCGTCTGTTTGGCTGGGGTGGGCCGGCGGTGGCTTTAGATCAGAGCAGCCTTCGCCAACCTGGTGCCCCCCACCCCCCAAAAAAGGACTACGAGCCAGGCTGGGCGCGGGTGTAAAGAGCTCTGCCCTATCTGCCCGGCTTTGCTGCGCGCTCTGGTTCTCTGCGTCTCCAGCAGAGGCTGCCTTTGGCGAAAGAGGCGCGTAATTACGCTCGTCTGTCCCGCCTCTCGGCGGGATCGTCGCCGGGGTCTTGCGCCTGGGCTGGCGGAGAGGAAGGAGGCGGCGGCCGAGGAGGAGGCGGAGGCTGGCCGGGGAGCCCCGGCGGACGGGCAGCCGGGGCAGCAGCCGGGCGGGCGCGCGGGCCATGGAGCGCTGGAAGGGCCGCGTGGCGCTGGTGACGGGCGCCTCGGTGGGCATCGGCGCGGCGGTGGCGCGGGCGCTGGTGCAGCACGGCATGACGGCGGTGGGCTGCGCCCGGAGCGTGGACAAGATCGAGGTAGCCCGGGAAGGGAGGAGAGGAGGAAAGGGGGAAGGGGAGAGAGAGCAAGAGGAGGAGTGGGGAAGAGGAGAGGAAGGGAGGAAGGAAAGGGGGATGGAGAGAGAGAGAAAGGAGAGGAGAAAGGGAGGGAGAGAGGAAGGGGAAGAGGAGAAGGAAGGAAGGAAGGAAGGAAGGAAGGAAGGAAGGAAGGAAGGAGAGGGGAAAAGGAAGAAGGAATGGGAAAAGGGGGGAAAGGAAGAGAGAGAGAGAGAGAGAGAGAGAGAGAGAGAGAGAGAGAAGGAAGAACCGGAAAAGAGAGAAAGAACGAAGGACGGAAAAAGGGGAAGAGGAAAAGAGAAGGAAGGGAAAAAAGGAAAGAGAAATGGGAGGGGAGAGAAAAAGAAAGGATGAAAGGAAGAAGGGAAGAAGAGGAAATGAGAGAAGGAAAGAGAGCAAATAAATGGAGAGAGAAGGAATGGGAAGTAGGAGAGGAAGGAAGGAAAAGAGGGGGAGAAAGGGATGGGGAGAAAGAGGAAGAAAAGAGAGATAGAGGGGGAAAGGGAAGGAAAACTGGGGAGGAAAGGGAAAGGAGGGAAGGAGGAGGCGCAAGGAGAATGGATGAAAGGAGGAAGGAAACGGGAAGGGGGAAAATAGGGATAGGAGGAGGGAGAGGCTTAGGGGAAGAGAGGCAACCCAGGGGAGGGAGAAATGGAAGTGGGGGGGGGGGGAGAAGGGATAAGGACACTTTTGGAAAAGGAGTAAAGAAGAAAGAGGATCGGAGATAAGGAAAGAGGGGAAGGTGTGTGGGGAGAAATGGGTGCAGTTTTCGCGAAGGGAAGGTATTTTAACCAGGCCTTTTAATAAACTGGATGGAATTGTGTTGAGAAGGGACAGGCTGAGAGAGGGGAGGGGGGGCTTACGGGTGGTGGGGATTTTTTTTGGGGGTGCGGGGGGTCTTCCTTATTGGTTCTCTCAGAAGGGGAAGAAGACTCTAAAGTATGTGGGGAAACCTCTGCCTGACCTCTCCCCGCCCCCCTTTCTCTCCATCGCCCTCTTTCTCTTCGCTGCTCCCGCATTCATTCATTCATTCCGCAGACAATGCTCAGAACACATGGCGTGGAGGGCGGGCGAGATTCTGCCTGGCTTGGATCTGTTTACTGAGCGGGGACGGGGGGGGTGGGGAGATGCGTGTGTTGAATTGGTGGATGAGGGGGAGCTGCGTGTAGCAAGGGAGGGGGGCAAGCCGGCGCCGTTGGGGTGCAAAAAGTAGAAAGGGGTGGGTGATCGGGGCGCGTATTTTCCATTAACTGAACAGATGGGGCGGAATGGAAGGCAGAGGCGTCTCTGCTTGCAAGGGGTGCCCCCAAAGCGGCCCTTCTTTCTCCTTTGTTGGGGTGTGTGTGAATGGGTTATAAAGTGCAAAAACCAACCCCCCCTGTACTTTTAGCCTTTTCCAGAAGAAGGTGTTCTCTGTGTGTGGTTTTCTTTAAATTGAAAATTCAATCTCCCAGTGTTAGAAGAGTTTCTCATCAAAAGGATTGTACCTACCAGTCACACCTTTTTTCCTGGTTTCTAAGATGAAGACACCTTTTTATATTGCCGGGCTATATAAAGTCCCGTTTCACTTTTTCCAAAGATCATCTCGACACTGGAAGAATTAGTTTCGGTTGAATGACGGCATTGACTTTTCGCAGAAAGCTTATAGGCAATGCCATTTCCTTAAATCCATCTTATCTATCTGCCTGCCTGCCTGTCTGTCTGTCCGGAGAGATAGCTTTTGAATTTATTTCAGGCCCCATCAGCACTTTACATTTAAAACAGCGTTATCTCACTTTTAAGCAGTCGCGGCTTCCTCTCAAAGAATCCTGGCCACTGTAGTTTGTTAAGGATGCCAGGTCCATGGCAGAGAATCTGCTTTGCACGCAGAAGGTGGCAGCTTAAATTCCTGGCATATCAAATGAGAAAGACCCCGGCTGAAGCCCTAGAGCTGCCAGCCAGTGTAGGTAAGAGATGGGGAATTCCACCTGTCCCAGGTGGCATGGTTAATGGTGGAAATTGTAGTCTAGGAGGATCTTTTGCAGGGCCACAGGTTCCCCAACCCTGTTCCAGTATTCTTCAAGTTTCCTTGTTGGACTGCAACTCCCTTCCTTCTGGGCTGTTGGCTGGCTGTGGACCATGGGAGGTGTAGTCCAGCAACCTGGGGCTCCCGAGGTTCGAAGAACGCTAGCCTAGATTATGTGGAAGCAGAAGGACTTATTTTGAGCCAGCTCAAAGTGGAAACTAGTGTGCCAACGACTCCCAGCCCCCAGCTTCCTATCCTCAGTGGGGCAGACCCAGAGTGTCTTAAAAAGGCTGGAGGAGTCCCTGTTTAGCTGGCGGTTCTGCAATCTCTTGGAAAAATCAGATAGAATCTCTGAGGGCAAAGTGTGCAAAAGATTCAAAGGTTGCAGGTTTCAAGCAATTGCACGGTTTATTTGCGTTTGGAAGAAGGGAGTAAATATTGGCATTTCCACAGTGTTCTCTGTGTGTGTGTAATACTTTGGGACTGAGGCTCTAAAAAGTTAAATTGGGGAACTCAGTGCCACAAAGTGTGGTGATGGTCCCCAAAGTAAGGTCAGTTTACAGGTTTTTGTTTTGAAACCAGGGATGGGGGACTCCTGACCCTCCAGATGTTTATGGACTACAACTTCCATCTTTCCTTACCGTTGTTCAGATTGGCTGGGGCTGATGGGGCCTGTAGTCTGACAACACCTGGAAGGCAGTGGGGAAGGTTGATGTCTAGATTGCTTCTGAACTAGGCGACTGGTTTCTCTGTCTGAGCCTCTGTAGCCTTGTCACCCTACTCAGTCTGCCCCAGTGGCAGTCTGATCCTGCTGGACTCCCTGAAATTGTGGGTCTCCTTCCCTGCAGAGGTGTTGACTGACACCTTCATTATACAGCTTCCAGCTTTTGACACTTGAGGTGTATATTTTAAGGACCCACCTTGTTTTTGTTGCCTTAAGTTGTTTTAAGGCTGCTTTATTGTCATCACCTGCCCTGATTCATTGGAAATTTTTAAGTAGAGGCTGGATGGCCACCTGTCAGGGATTCTTCAGCTGGGATTCCTGCATTGCACGGGGTTGGACTAGATGACCCCATGGTTTCCTTCCAAATCCACAGGTCTATGATTCAGTAATAATAATAATGGTAATAATTTCACAGTACAGATACAGTAACCACCAGTCCACACATCTTAAGTTAAACATATGTTAATATAAACCCTCCAAATAGGGTATTGGCACAAAACTGATGTCTCACTAAATGTGCCTCACCTTACCTGCTTAGAACAACAAGACTTTACATCCGTTGTAGGTTTAAAGGTTAAAAAAATAAATCACAATAATTTCAGTGCCTCTCAAATGGAGTGAATGTACAAGCCGGTTAAAATGCCAGATCCTTGTTGGCATAAAGTTAATGGCACACCCTTTTGCTGTGTGTGGCTGCGTGCGATGAGAATGCAGGGGAAAGATTCATGCATATATTTCCGCCTTCTGTACAAGATGTGCAGGAGCCCCCTTGGAAATATGGAAATAAAGTTGGTGCTCTGTTATGAGGTGGTTGTGGCAAGCTCCTCAAACACCAGTATCCGTGTCAATGTAACCAGGCCGATATTCCCGATAAATTGCCAGCAGTTTATTAATAACCCAACCCAGGTGGGTGAATGGGTTGCCTGCAGCCAACAATGTGTGTCCAAAATGATTTCCAATATGTTGTTCCTCTTTTCCCAGTGTTCAACATTCTTATGGGTCCATTTTTTAAAATTATTCTGTATCCTTATATCCCACATTTCCTCTAGGGAGCTCAAAGTTGTTCTGCCCCTCCCCATTTCATCTTCACAACAACCCTGTGGGGTAGAGCAGGTCGAAAGCCCCCAACCATTACATCCCACTTGTCCTTTCATTCAACCAGCCCAGTGTTCTGCTTGCAGCAGTGTGGTGTAGTGGTTAGAGTGGCAGTCGTGAGGTGGGGCGGCGGGGGGGGTGGAGACTTGAAACTGAATCCTGATACCACTGCAAAAAGTCATTGGGTGTCCCATTCACTGTTTTTCAGCTGAACCTACCTTGCAGGGAGGCAGAGTAGAAGCAGAACTGTGCCTCTGGGCTTTCCACGCCCCACCTCCACCACCAATCCGTGTGTGTGTGTGTGTGTGTGTGTGTGTATATATATATATATATATATATATATATATATGTATTTTTCGCTCTATAAGACACACCAGACCATAAGACACACCTAGTTTTTGGAGGAGGAAAACAAGAATCTCAGAAGCCAGAACAACAAGAGGGATCGCTGCGCAGCGAAAGCAGCGATCCCTCTTGCTGTTCGGGCTTCTGGGATAGCTTCGCAGCCTGCATTCGCTCCATAAGACGCACACACATTTCCCCTTACTTTTTAGGAGGGAAAAAGTGAGTCTTATAGAGCAAAAAATACAGTATACACACACACACACACACACTTCTAATGATCCAAATCCTTTATTATTTTATTCACATAATATACATTCTTTACAACAAACAACTCCAAAATAAACAGACAACTCCAAAATAAAATCCTTGTCATTATATGGGCAATGGAAAGCAAGCAAACAAACAAAACCAACCCAGGAGATTGCAAGTGTTTCTGCACTGCAGTTGGCTTAGCTTTCGGGAAGGGATGGCGATCCTCTTTCATCCCGAGGGCTGCATTACTTTCTGGACAATCCCCCCAAGGCAAATTCCCCTTTTAGCTTCTACAACCTGCCACCTTTCTGCATTCTCCATCTGGACGAGCAAAGGGCATAGAATTATTGAATCATGGAATTGTCGAGTTGGAAAGGACCACAAGGATCATCTAGTCCAACCCTCTCTTGCCTAACGTGGGGCTCGAACTCACGACTGAGATTAAGTCTCACTCTCTACCAACTGAGCATGACCAGAACAGCGTTCGAAACTCAGATATATAAGCTAATCTCCAAACGACCCCTTAAAACTAGCTTATGGTCACCACAGCACAATGTCTAGGCGCCATTTTTTTGCTGTGAAATTTGTTGTTGCTGCTAGTATTTCATTTATATTTTAAAGAAAAAATCTCAAAGCAGTTTACAGCACATTCAGCATCAAAGAAAGCGATCCAGAATAAAACAAAGGGAAATATTTCAAATCTTTCTCTAAGCAAGGTGCGGTTTTCACCATTTTGTGGTTTGCCTCAGGGGCCAAAATGTCTTGGGGCGGCCCTGCAGGAAGGCAAAAACACAAAAAGAGATTTCTGGCGAGGAGGTTTGGCTTGAGAGGGGCTTTGGCTTGGGAAGAGTTCTGAGGGCCAGACAGAAAGGCATTTGGCCCTCAGGCCTCAGATACCCCATCTGTGTTTGAAAGTGTTTTCTAGGGTAGGGATGGCAAAATATCAACTTCACCCACCCTGGGTCTTCACTGACAGCAAGGGCTTCCTGTTTGAGCTGAGATTTGGCCTGCTCCATGACAACATTCCTAATTTATTGTGTCCCTTTGACTGTGTTTCCTGGCTTTGCCCCTCCAGGCTGCATCCAAACTACGAGCCCTGGGCTCCCTTTTGCAGATACAGTAGTACCTCGAGTTAAATACGCTTCAGGTTAAATACGCTTCAGGTTACAGACTCCGCTAACCCAGAAATAGTGCTTCAGGTTAAGAACTTTGCTTCAGAATGAGAACAGAAATCGTGCTGCGACGGTGCGGCAGCAGCGGGAGGCCACATTAGCTAAAGTGGTGCTTCAGGTTAAGAACAGTTTCAGGTTAAGAACAGACCTCCGGAACGAATTAAGTACTTAACCCAAGGTACCACTGCATATTCTTTTGTAGATATGTTATTGCAGAGGAATGCTATATCTTTCACTTGGCGTTGGGCACTCCTGTCTCAGAGGTCAGCATCCAGTGTATATTTAGCTCTCAGTGTGCACGCCCAAGTAGACGTGGGCGTTATCAGCCGGTGCTGTAATCCTGTCTTGCAAGGTAATCAACCCTGGGTTGGGCCGGGCTTGGGGGATAAGGTATCTTGCAAAGCCAGGCACCAAAGAGAGCGATGCTTATCAGTCACTGTCTCTGCGTGGCGTTGGTGTGTCACCCAGGGCTTGAAGGTTGGAAGGTTCAGGACCATCAGAAAAGCAAGTACTCCCTCTTCTTCGTCGATCACTCGTAGCCGAGTAAGATTGTCTTCCATAAACATGGTTTTAACAATGAGTCCGTAAGTGACTGTGGAGGCCAATTCTGGATCCACACGTCCTTCCACAGTGGGGACATAGGTTTCCGGGTGGGAGTTGATCACGGTGAGGAACCTTGCCAAGTGTGCCTTCCTCTTAGCTCGTTTCTCCCTTTTGTCCTGAGTTCGAGCATCTTCAAAGTCCACGACACCTTTGGTAAAGGCTGTTCTCCAACTGGAGCGCTCGCAGGCCAGTGTTTCCCAATTGTTGGTGTTTATACCACATTTTGAAAGATTTGTCTTGAGAGAGACTTTAAACTTCTTTTGTTGACCACCAGCATTACGCTTTCCATTTTTAAGTTCGGAATAGAGTAGTTGCTTTGGAAGACGATAATCAGGCATCCGAACAATGTGACCAGTCCAACAAAGTTGATGTTGAAGAATCATTGCTTCGACACTGGTGATCTTTGCTTCTTCCAGTGCACTGGTATTAGTTTGCCTGTCTTCCCAGGTGATGTGTAAAAATTTTCGGAGACATCACTAATGGCATCTCAGCCTGGATATCTCAATTGGTTAGAGCATGGGGCTGAGAATGCCAAGGTTGCAGGTTCGATCCCTGTGTGGGACAGCTGCATATTCGGGTTGGACTAGATGACCCTTGAGGTCTTTTCCAATGCTACACTTCTATGTGTCTATTTGATGTTCAATGGGGATGTTCTTATGTTCTGCTGGTTTTGTCCCTTGTAGAATTGCAGTGAAATGAAGCCCTCTCTCTGCATGACTGAGAGAGATCTGGGCATAGACCGAATGTATAATTGACCTCAGCATCTTCTTCCAAATCTGGTTGCTATGAGAAATAGCTGGCAGCAAGGAAGCCTCACTTCTCTATCGGAAGCCTCATAAATCAACCTGCCTGTGGGTGTCACCCATTTGTGTTCTTTTTCTTTTATTCAAAAGGGGTGTTCGCTTCTCTCTGGAAAACTGTTTTGCAGTCCCAATTGGAATGTTGTATACACCCCCACCTTGAAAAAAACCTTTAAAAAGGATGATGCAATGCTGGAAAAGGTGCGGAAAAAAGCAACCAAAATGATTGGCGAGGAGGGGAGGGTTGGAGTGCCACCTGAGCTCTGGAGAAAGAGCATAAGAACCTTGGAAGAGTCGTGCATATGGGTCAGGCCAAAGCGGAGCCCCCCTGACCCAGCATCCTGTCCTCACTGTGGCCAAGCAGATTTCCCTGGAGGGAAAACTCAAAGCAGGTCCTGAGTGCGAGAACAGCTTCTCTCCACTTGCAATCCTCAGCAACTGGTAGACACGCCTCCTAGTCATAGCTGTCAACTTACAGATTTGAAAATAAGGGACCAGCAGCCTCGAAAATAAGGGATCAGCAGCCAAAATAAGGGATTTTAGTCAACCAGCTGAAATACGAAGTTAAAAGGGACCAGATAATTTTGGAGAGAAGTCCCGGTTTTTGGCCCTTCATTTCCAGAGGTTGCTGCTCAAGACACCAGCCGATGAAACACTGCAATTAAATAACTACAACCAGCAACCACTTTTCGCGTAAAACGAAGTCCAAGCTACGAAGATGCTGCTGCAGTTCTGTATCTTTTCTCTTGTGGTCCATCTGCAGCTCTCAGTTCCATCAAGCGGGGTGAGAGGAAGAGAGGGGGGGAAAATAGCGCCCGAAGTAAAGCCGCAGATCAGACCATCTATGCTAGTCTACCACTACAAATCTATGGGAGAAGTGCTTGCCGTCCTTCTTCTGCTTTCCCCCTCTATGGTTAGCCCTTGGAACACCTGCCCGCACCTCCGCCTCCTCCTCCACTCTCTGAACTGCTTTCTCTATGGTTGTCCTCACTCTCCTCTCAAGGCTCCTGAGCAATTCATAGGCCATGCCAGGCTGCCCATCTCATCCGGGTCCTTCGGTGGCGCAGTCGCAGTATGGCCGAGCGGCAGTGGTGGCGATGGGCAGAGGGGAGGTCCCAGGCAGAGACACTCAGTTTGGGGGCCGCGAGGAGGATGGCGGCGGAAGGGCCTGAGGCTCCTGTCAGTCCCGGCGGGGAGAGGCTCCCGGGGGCTGAGGCTGGTGAGAGGAGGCCGGAGGGGGGCGGGCTGGGCAGCCAAGCAACACAGTTGGAGCCTCCCTCCTCCCTGGCCGGCAGGGAGGAAGGGAGAGGAGCTGCTTCCTTTGAAACCCAGGAAATTTAAGGGACATCATCAATAAGGGACAGCAGCGGGACACAGCGCTGGGATAAGGGAGTTTCCCGCCAAATAAGGGACGGTTGACAGCTATGCCCCCAGTCCCCATGCCATGCCCCTCACTGGCACTGGCCATAAGTGTGTGGCTGGAAAAGTCCTTGGAATTGTGTCTCAGAATTGTGCCTCTTTCTTCCCTGGATGGAAGATGGAGAGGGTGTGTGTGCAGAAGCTAGCCTGCTTTGCAAATATGACATTTGCATTCATCTCTCCACCCACTTTTGCGGCTGGCCCCGCCCACCCCAGCATGCGGCCCCTGGAAAGTTGCCTAGACTGAATGCGGCCCTCAGTCTGAAAAAGTTCCCCGTCTCTGATCGTTTCGCAGCGACATTGGTTATGAACGGGTTACTCTGCCTGCATTGCATTGGCGAGCTTATCCCATCTTTCTAACTTAATGAGTTCTAGGAACCACTCTCTTTTAAAGTTTGAGATTATGTTTTCCTTCTCTTTTTCTTCCGTTCCTCAGAGAACCTGGCCAAGGCAGTCTTTGCAGAGATTAGCAAACTCATTTAATAATCTGCAGCTGTTTGGAATCTCGCCTTCAATAAGATTAAATCGGATTAATAATGGGTTTCAATGCCCCCTTCAGGAATTACGTGTTCGATGTCAAGGAAATGCATCATCAGTGAGGCTGAGCATGCTAGTCCTTCTTTTGTTGATGTTCAGATGAACCTCCAGCTCCTGGGCATTGGGAACCTTGCGTTACAGATAGGCTTGACTGTGCTTAACCGTTCTGGGTATAAAATGAGACACAGGAAAGCTCTTTATACCAAGTTAGACCACTGGCCCATCTAGCTCCATATATTGTCTACACTGGTTGGCAGCAGCTTTCCAGGGTTTCAGCGAGGGGTCTCTCCTAGCCCTGCCTGGAGATGCTGGGGATTGAACCTCCTGCATGCAAAGCAGTTGCCCTTCCATTGAGCTCTTGTCCTTCACCTAAAAATAAGTTAAGATTCTAGTCCTCATGCCAGTCCGGAATCAAATAGGAAAGTAGGGGGCCACTGCCTTAGTTGGCCCATTAGCCCATTTAAGCCCTCCATTGTCTACACTATTGTCTAGTGATGTATGGAAGTGAGAACTGGACCATAAAGAAGGCTGATCACCGAAGAATTGATGCTTTTGAATTATGGTGCTGGAGGAGACTCTTGAGAGTCCCATGGACTGCAAGAAGATCAAACCTCTCCATTCTTAAGGAAATCAGCCCTGAGTGCTCACCGGAAGGACAGATCCTGAAGCTGAGGCTCCAATACTTTGGCCACCTCATGAGAAGAGAAGACTCCCTGGAAAAGACCCTGATGTTGGGAAAGATGGAGGGCACAAGGAGAAGGGGACGACAGAGGACGAGATGGCTGGAGAGTGTTCTCGAAGCTACCAGCATGAGTTTGACCAAACTGCGGGAGGCAGTGGAAGACAGGAGTGCCTGGCGCGCTCTGGTCCATGGGGTCACGAAGAGTCGGACACGACTAAACAACAACAACATTGTTTACACAAACTCGCAGGAGCTCTTCATGGTTTACTTGGAGATGGCTGGGATTGAACCCAGAACCTTCTGCATGCAAGGCAGATGGACTACCCACTGATAATAAGAATTAATTTATTTTTTTTATTCTCCACCCATCAGACTGGGTTGCCCCAACTACTCTGGGCAGCTTCAACAAAATACAGAGGGAAAGGTGGGGGGAAATCAAACATTAAAAGCTTCCTGAAACAGGGCTGCCTTTATATGTCTATGAAAAGTTATATAGTTGTTTAACTCTTTGACATCTGCTGGGAGGGCGTGCCACAGGGCGGGTGCCACTACCGAGAAGGCCCTCTGCCTGGTTCCCTGTAACTTTAATTCTCGCAGTGAAGGAACCGCCAGAAGGCCCTCAGCACTGGACCTCAGTATCTGGACTGACAGATTGGGGTGGAGACACTCCTTCAGGTATACTGGGCCAAGGCAGTTTAGGGCTTTAAAGGTCAGCACCAGCACACTGAATTGTGCTCAGAAACGTACTGGGAGCCAATGTAGATCCTTTAGGACCAGTGTTACATGGTCCCAGCGGCTGCTCCCAGTCACCAGTCTGGCAGCCGCGTTCTGGATTTTGTTGTAATTTCCAAGTCACCTTGAAAGGTAGACCCATGTTGAGTTCATTGCAGTACAGTGGTACCTCGGGTTAAGTACTTAATTCGTTCTGGAGGTCCGTTCTTAACCTGAAACTGTTCTAAACCTGAAGCACCACTTTAGCTAATGGGGCCTCCTGCTGCTGCCGTGCCGCCGGAGCACGATTTTTGTTCTCATCCTGAAGCAAAGTTCTTAACCTGAGGTACTATTTCTGGGTCAGCGGAGTCTGTAACCTGAAGCGTATGTAACCTGAAGCGTATGTAACCCGAGGTACCACTATAGTCCAAACAAGAGATAACCAAAGCATGCACCACTCTGGCAAGACAGTCTGCAGGCAGATAGGTGGGGCCTCATCCATACCTTTAGAGCCACAGTCCTTTTGCTGTTTGACCCACCACTAGGTTTCCATGCCACCGAAATGCCAATAGCGACATTGCTTTGTGCCATCGATTCCTGACCGCCAAAGTGGCATAGTAAAAACAACAAATTGCTTAGATCTGCTTCTTTATTTTTAGCATGCCAGCAGTCAAAAACCAGAGCCCATTTCCCAATCAAAGCAGTTTCTCATTGCTGAGGGGTTCTCTCTCCCCCCGCCCCCCGTGCAAGGTATAACCACCGTGTGAATAATTTTAAATTCTCCCCTTCCTTAAATGCAATTTGATCGCTACCCTTTGACATCCATCTTCCTTATTCAAATGATGCTCAGAAAAAAGAGAGAGGAAAGGCTCTGTCAGTTAGAGCTCAAACCTTCGCCTTACCTCGCCTGAGGATTGCGCTTCCCCCCCGCCTCTTCTGAAGAGCTTTGATGCTCACCGGAAGGGACACCCCGTCTCTGACCTGTCAGCCCGGGAGACGGTGACAAGCTTCAGGAGAGCGAGGAAACGTCATGTGATGTCTGGATTCCACAGCCTCCAGCTCTGAGGCACAGAATCCGGTCAACGTGGGACCTCAGAACCTCAGGGCTGATCCCCTCCCCTGTCCTGACGAAACAACAAAAATAACCCAGTGGTTGTTTTGCTGTTAACTGGGGTCAAGGACTTCTTTGAAATGTGGGAAGGATGTGTGCAATAATGCCCTGAAACGCTTGCCGGCTGGTTTCATTGAATGACCTTGAACTGCGATGAGAGAGGGACGAAAACAGACGTCCACTTTGTCATCGACATCGCCATCATCTGCACTCCATGCTCCGGTAACTTCCAGATTGGACTACTGCAATGTGATCCATGTGGGGCTGCCCTTGAAGGCGACTCGGAAACTTCAGTTGCTTCAAAATGCAGCAGCCAGATTGCTGCTTTCAGATCTCATAGAAAAGCTCTGCTTTAAAACAGCTGCACTGGTGGCCAGTTTGCTTCTGGGGCCAACACAAGGTGCTCACAGTGTTTCAAGCCCTAAATGACTCAGGCCCCAAATACCTGAAAGACTGCCTCCTTCCCTACAGACCTTCCTGGGAGCTAAGACTGGCAGGGGGTGCCCTCTTTGTTGTTCAACCACCCTCACAAGCTCAGGGGGTGGTGACCCAGGACAGGGTCTTCTCTGTGGCAGCCCCTAAATTGCGGAACTCCTTCCCCACAGAGTTGCGTCTTCATTGCACAGCTTCTGGCGAACACTGAAGACGCACCTCTTTATAACAGTGACACGAGGTGTATATTTTTAGGACGCCACCTTATTTCTGTAATTTTAAGTTGTGAAGCCCTCCTATAGCTAGTGCTCAAGGATGTGTTCCAAGACGGTGCACTAACCCAGAGGAAGCTTTCATGCGCCATCCATGAGGCACTTCCACCCTTCCCCTTGTCAGCTCTGGGCTGGAACTGAGGAGAGTCAAGGTCAAAGGCAGCCTGTCTGGGAGAAACTTTGATGTCTTCTGAGTTGTCACCTGAGGCAGTGATGGCTGCCTGGCTTGTGACTGAGCAAATTGTGTGTGTGTGTGTGTGTGTGTGTGTGTGTGAGAGAGAGAGAGAGAGAGAGAGAGAGAGGAGGGAAAGGTCAGCCAATTGCCCTTCTCTTTTTCATACATTGTTTTCATCCCAGAATCTCTCTTTCTGTCAACTCCTTTTCTTGCCTTTGCTTGTCTTGCTGCCATGGCCTTGTTCAATCACCATTAGTCAACCTGTGGCCCTCTGGATGTTCTTAGGCTCCCATCAAACCTTGCAGCAGACATGGGTAGTGGTCAGCCATGATGATACCTGTGGTCCAGGGTTTCCCAAGCTTGGGTCTTCAGCTGTTTTTGGACTACAATTCCCATCATCCCCTGACCACTGGACTACTAGCTAGGGATGATGGGAGCCATAGTCCAAAAACAGATGGAGACCCAAGTTTGGGAAACCTTGCATGGTCCATCAACATCTGGAGGGCCCTTGATCTTCCACCCCTGCCTTTATCAATTCCATTCTGAACTCTTCACCTATGTCTCTTCTAGAAATTGGCAGCTGAGTGTCAGAGTGCCGGCTACCCGGGCACCCTCATCCCGTACAAGTGTGACCTCTCCATTGAAGAAGAGATCCTCTCCATGTTCTCCGCCATCAAGACCCTCCACCAGGGAGTTGATGTCTGTATCAACAATGCTGGCTTGGCCCGGCCAGAGCCCTTGCTCTCTGGCAGGACTGAGGGTTGGAGGACGATGATTGACGTGAGTAGAGACCAATCCAATCTGTGGTTGTTGCTTTTTTTAAGTGGGTTTGTTGGGTGGAAACCCCTGTTGTCACTTTTCTCTCCCTGGCCTAGATCCGCACCCACTGTCCTGCGCCTTGAGAGGCAGAAATATAGAGAGTGCAAGCACATTGCTTTTCCAAGGCACCTGTGTGAGTGTCAATGCCAACAGAACTCACCTGAGCCTTCCAGAGCCCATAGAGTTGAAAGAGGAAGTGGGGAAAGAGTGTCATTCTTCCAACTTCCTCCACCAGCTCTATGTGCTTTTCAAGGGAGAGAAGGGTAGCCACCCGCAAGGGAGCAGGGCGTGATGGTGGGGAAAACTTTGCAAAGTGAAAATTTTGCAAAGATGCTGAGGTGTTATCTCCTGCTATGCAGGAGTTAAAGACCAAGCAGTCATTCAGATTCACTGTGCAGTTAACTTACAGTACAATATGTAACCCGCCTTGAGTCCCATCCAGGAAAAAGGTGGGGTATAAATAAATTAATAAATTAATTAATAGTAGTAGTAGTAGTAATAATAATAATAATAATAATAATAATACAATGGGATACATGTCTACTGTAAAATCTCTTTATGTTTAATGGAGCTTACTTCTAGGTAAGTGGATACAGGATTGCAGCCTAGACTTTGGCAGTGGGAGAAAGCAGGATCCTTGTGCCTTTAATGGCTCAGTGGCAGGCAGAAATTCACCAGCTTAGAAATACCTTTTCTAATAGGGAAATGCCGTTATGGGGGAAACTTCCCCTGTTCACATTCAGTCCGATATTTTATTATGCTGGTGACCACTGATTTATTTTGGTGACCTGCAAAAGACGGCACACATTCATATACGACACAGAGCACATGTGCAAATTCTGCAAATCTTTTGAGAGGGGTTGGAGGGCCCAATCCACACATGATGTACCAGGCCCAGAAGATCCTTTGGGCAACCGTGTTTGGGGAGTTAATTTTCATCAGGATCGAGGCATATGCCAAGGGAATGTTAAAAAGCCTTCATGCCTGCATCTCCCGGCGCTGATCTTTATCAACCACCCAAGCAATTACTTAAAACAATAAGGAAAAAAAAACACCTTGGTTCACAACTACAACCCTCAATTAACTTACACATCTAGTTTTCACTCTAAGGTATTCCAGCAAAACAGCTAAACCTTATCAGTTCCTAGGTTTGCAAATGTTAAAAAAACAAACCACCCCAGTATTAAAATGATAAAAGCTGGCAATGGAAAGGAATAGCATGGTGTTTCCCTAGCCTCAAGAACACTTACCAAAATGCAAAAGCCTTGACTAATTTCTAGATGGCGTTGGGCTTCCCCTGCCTTTCAGGTGAACGTGATGGCTGTGAGCATCTGCACCCGGGAGGCCTATCAGTCCATGAAGGAGCGAAGCATCGATGATGGCCATATTATTAACATTAACAGGTGGGCGAAAGCAAAGCGAAGGGATGGCGCAATAGCAATGCCCTTGAGTTAAGTTTTCACGCAAGACGTCTGAAGACGTTTAGACTAGCTTACCCAGATGCTGGTGTATTTATAGTTTATTGGTGGCTTTATTTTTTTAATGTCTTAAATAGTTGATTTAGCTGCTTTTGCCAATAATTTTATTGTTTTCTTCTTTTTGTCAAGTGTTTGATTTTTTGGGTTTTTTTTCTTTTTACACTTAAGCAGTACAGTGGTACCTTGTTTTGCAAACAGTCTGGCTTGCATATGTTTTGGATTATAAACACGTCAAACCCGGAAGTGCGTGTCCCGGTTTGCAAACTTTTCCAGGATTACAACCCTTTTTTTTTGGATTACAAACAAATTTTTTTTGGAGACCCCATTGGCAAAAGCGCGCCTTGGGTTACAACCTGTTTTGGTTTACAAACAGACCTCTGGAACAGATTATGGTTGTAAACCAAGTTACCACTGTATATAAATTGTAGGGGGGAAAGATAAATAAATGTGTGAATTACAGTGGCTAAGCTAAATGCTGTCAAGTTCAGGGCTAGTTTGCCAAACAGGGAGGCACAATGAGCCAGAGATTCTGCACACCAATTTATAAAGTCATAACTTTCTGTGGAGTTCGACTTTGTTGTTCTGCATCAGGGAATTTTATTTTCTCCCCCTTTCTGGGTTCCCTTCCAGCATGAATGGCCACAGCGTGGTCCCTCAGTCCGTTGTGCATTTTTACAGCGCCACAAAATACGCCGTCACGGCGCTGACTGAAGGGCTGAGGCAGGAGCTCAGGGAAGCGAAGACACACATACGAGCCACGGTGAGTTTAGCTTATGCCCGCTCTGGGTTCACCAACCTTTACTTAGCGCATCAGAGTCGGTGCCATGGGCATCAGCGGCGCTAACGGTGTGAGACAAAATGGCTGCTGTGGGCGAGGACATAGCACAAAATGGCATCTGGGCTGGAGGGCGCAATACAAAATGGCCGCCGCATCTGAAAGAGCAGGGGAAGGGCCACAAAACAGTGCAAGCACACTCCTTTCTCCCCAGAATCAGTGGCCCCATGAATGGTGAGGGGAAGACGCCCTCCAGTGGTGTGAATGGCCGCTCTCTTTGCCTGAGATCTTGGGAGAGCTGCTGCCCATCAGAGAAGGCAACACTGCACTAAATGGAGCCAATGGTCTGACCTGTAGCCCTCTAGATCTTCTTTTGTCTCTGACCATTGGCCACGGTGGCTGGGGCTGATGAGAATGGGCCTACATCTGAAGGCCACAGGCTCCCCATCTCCCTGCTCGACGTCACTTGAGAGGAGGTGGTCATATCAGAGCTCAGCAAAGTCAGGATGAATCCTTGCTGGACATTTCCTGACTCAGGAACACAAAAAAGATGCTTTATACTGAGTCAGACCATTGGTCAGGCATAGGCAAACTCAGCCCTCCAGCTGTTTTGGGACTACAACTCCCATCATCCCTAGCTAACAGGACCAGTGGTCAGGGATGATGGGAATTGTAGTCCCAAAACATCTGGAGGGCTGAGTTTGCCTATGCCTGCCATTGGTCCATCCAGTTCAGTAATGACCATGCCAGTGGACGGGAAAGCTTTGGCCCCTTCAGAGCTTGTTGGACTACAACTCCCATCATCCCTGACCAGCGGCCATGTTGGTTGCAGCTAATGGGAGAGAGGCCTACAGGTCCCCATCCTTGGACTACAGGGACTGGTAGTGGCTCTCTGGGGTTTCAGACAGGTCTCTCTGTGTCCAGCCTGGAGATGCTGGGGATTGAACCTTGGATCTCTACCACTCAGCTCTAAAAATAAAATAAGATGCTAGTCCTCATGCTGAATTAAACAGGAAAGCAGGAAGATGCTTTATCCCAAGGAAGACCACTGGTCCATCTTGCTTAGTATTGTCTACACTGACTGGCAGCAGCTCTCCAGGACTTCCGGCAGAGGACATTCCCTACCTGAAGATGCTTGTGGTAGAACCTGAGACCTTCTGCATGGAAAGCACACACTCTGCCCCTGAGCTCTTCCCCTAAAAATGGAGCAAGTTTCCAGTCCTCATGGTTCTGTTTAAAGAATATCCCTGGAAACTGCCTTCTACATCCGTCCACCTAGCTCAGTGTTGCCTACACTAACTGACAGGGGCTCAGACCAGCACTTTCTCTCCCAACCCTACCTGCAGATGCTGGAGATTGAATCTGGAACCTTTTGCATGCAAAGCAGATGCTGCACCACTGAGCCGTTCCTCCTTGACCTACAGCAGATTACAGAGCCTCAGCATCTGCCACGTTGCTGTTCGGCAGCCAGACTTAATCTGCAGTTATTTTTCTCATCAGTGCATCCGATCCGTTCCTTTGGATTGTGTATGGGGGAGCTCTATCCATTAGACTTCGAGTGATCATTAAGGGCTGTCTTCTTGGAAATGCTGCTACAAAACCGGCCAATCATTTCCCCCCATATCTTTTGCTCTGTCATGAAAAGACGAGTTAGCAAATCCCATTAGGGTGCTGTGTTTTTGTTTGTTTGTTCCTTCCCTTTCTCTTTCCTTAGTGTATCTCTCCGGGACTGGTAGAAACTGGATTCGCTTTTAAACTCCACGATAATGACCCCGAGAGAGCAGCAGCGACGTACGAGAGCATTAGGGTAGGTGGCTGAGTGCATGGATGCGACAGGCGCGGGAAGCAGATGAATTGCACATGTTCAAATAATTTCGGTCTATGTGAAGAGCCTGTTCTTTTCTGTGCACTGAGATGCCTCTTAGCACTTCTGGCGGGGGTGGGAGAAGCGATTTATTAATTTACTTACACTCCACCTTTCGTGCAAGGAGCGCAAGGTAGTTCTCCTCCTCCTCCTCCCTGTTATTTCCTCACAGCAACCCTGCAAAGTAGTTTAGGCTGAGAGCGAGCAACTGGTCCAAGTTCACCCAGTGAGAGCTAGTCTGGCACACTAACCACTACACCACACTGCCTCAATCTTTATCTGTTGTTACAAAAAAAAAAGGACCTGTCTGCTGGATCAGGCCAAACGTCCATCTTGATTCCTGCATTGCATGGGGTTGGACTAGATGACCCTTGGCGTCCCTTCCAACTCTACAATTATATGATTCTGTGATTCTAGCCCAGCATCCTGAAGGATAAAGGCTCTCGGGGGCAAGCAGGCCACCCTGTAAGAAGCAGGAGACACGGGGTAGGAGTCTTTCGAAAGCGAGGACCCCAAACCGTGAAGTGTATGAGCTCAGCAAGAAGTCTTTGAGGGTGCACGCACTCCGAGGCCTGCTGCAACCAAACTAATTCTCATTTCTTCATTTTCCTCTCTCCTTCCAGTGTCTAAAAGCAGAAGATATGGCCAACGCCGTCATATATGTGCTCAGTGCTCCACCTCACGTGCAGGTCAGTCGAAAAACCAGCACAACCCCTTAAATTCAAGGAGAAGAAGAAAGGAAGGCTCCTTTCCCGTCGACTAGGCCTCTGCATCTGTTGGTTGTGCTGGAAAGGACAGAGTTGCAGGGGTTATCTTTCCCTTCAGCTCGATGTGTTCCTCAGGCTGGCGGCTGGCTCCATGACAACCAGCCCTTGTCTCCTTTGCCCAGGGGATGGGGAAGAACCATAGAATTGTAGAGTTGCAAGGGAGGGTGATCTAGTCCAGCCCCTGCAATGCAGGGATCCTGCCCACAGTTTGCCAGCGGATTCTGTGTGTGGGCCTCAGGCAAGTGCAGGAAAACTTTGGCCCTCCACATGTTGCTGAGCTACAGCAAGAATGGGATCAAGGGAGCTGTGGTTCAGAGGGCCAAAGGTTCTTTACATCTGGTCTAAGGTAGGCAGTGCTCAAAACTGTGTCAAAACACACTCACTCACTCACACACTGATTGTGGCAACTGAGATTTCTTTCCTGTGTCAGAACCAGGGGATCTGTGGCTCTCTGGATGCCACTGGGCTCCAGTTCCCATGAACCTGGATTAATTGAGTGAAAAAACTTGTATGCCGCATAACCATAAACGCAACCCAAAGCGGTTTACAAAACACTCATGAAATATATCAACATGAGATTACCAATTCATGTCAACATTAAAAACATCAGCTGGAGCTGATGGAGATTGGAAACGAAAATGTTTGAAAGGCTGCAGCTTCCCGACCCCTGATCTGTAAAAAGGTCTTCATCGGTCAACAGAAGACCATTAGAAAGGGAGCAAAAGAAGGTTCCGGAACGTAGCCGCAGGCCTTGAGAAAGCCCTTTCTTGAGTTCCTGTCAAATGAGCCTCAGATATTAGCACAACAGAGAGAGGGGTTGTGGTATTCAGAGTCCTCTTGCCTGGTTCATGGTCCGGCAAGAGGTTATTTTTGGGTTCATTGGAAATTCCTTCCATCCTCTGGCAGAATCCATTTTCCTGGGACTATGAGACACTTCACAGAAAGCGTGGTGTGGTGCCATTTCTGGAAGGCGTCTAGAGAGAATGCAACATAACCCCCAGATAGATGTACCAGTGAACACACACACACTTGGAGCCTCCTTAAAATTCCTAAAGCGTTTTGTTCTGTTTCAGTTCCACAGCACTTTGGCTGACATGTGCCATTGTCTCTTCTAGATTGGTGACATTCAGATGCGGCCTACTGAGCAGGTCTCATAGCAAATGGAAGAGGATTCGCTGCTGGTGCAGCACAGCAGGGGGTACGGAGCACCATTGATCTGCTCAGGGTTTTCCTTCTGTGACGTTTTAAGTGCTGCAATAGGAAGAATTGATCCTCCCCCCCCCATTACTCTCCCGTTTTGAGCCGACGTCAGCTGAGCGGAAACTCAAAAAGGAAAGGCGCAGTTGATTGCGGAAGTCTTCTCCATCGTGCTCTACTTCATGCGGAAGTAACAGAGAAGCCGATCCCAGAATCCAACCTCAACTGACTTCAGGGGTGTGGGAGCTTAGGATGTCCAAGACGGCCTAGCTGGCTTTTGATGAATGACTTACCAGCTTCCCTCCATTGCTGAACTGCTGCCAACGTCACACTTCCCCGTAAATGCTACGTGGAGCATTCTTTCCTCATTTCTCTTTGCTACCACCCCAAACTCTCGAAATATCAAGCCTCGGTTTCTGCATCTCTCTCCAATCCGTCTCTGATGAGCACTGCAACAATTCCCCCTTTGGAACCACAGGTGCTGAGGATTCGCCTTAATATCCATTTGGCTAGAAAGATGCTTGAGCCAGGAGTCGCCATTTTCTGCCGCAGAATGACTCTGTTTCCCACCACCGCTTTAGCTGTTGCGACTTCCTTTCCAAAACAGAATCCTGGGAAGTGTAGTTTGGAGAAAGGGGGTAACAGTGCTGTTAGCGACCTCTTAACAATTCCCCGATCACAAAACTACGCTTCCCAGGGTTCCTAGGGAAGATGGGGGATAGCTATTAAACCAAATTGTCTGTGGTGAGGCTAAACCTCCTTCAAGGCCAGCCTTTGCCAACCTGGTGCCCTTCAGCTGCTTTGGACTACAACTCCCATCAGCCCCAGCAGTCATTCAAAGGAGCTGGAAAGGCACCCGGTTTGCGAAGGCTGCTCTGGCCACCACATTTTATGAACAGTAAAGTAATACAACAATTTGTTAATGATGTATTTGGTTCATGTAAAATGTTGGGTTGAACCACAGAGCCTAGGGCTTGCCGATCAGAAGGTCGGCGGTTCGAATCCCTGCGATGGGGTGAGCTCCCGTTGCTCGGTCCCTGCTCCTGCCAACCTAGCAGTTCGAAAGCACCCCTAAGTGCAAGTAGATAAATAGGTACCGCTCCGGCGGGAAGGTAAACTGCGTTTCTGTGCACTGCTCTGGTTTCGCCAGAAGAGGCTTAGTCATGCTGGCCACATGACCCGGAAGCTGTACGCCAGCTCCCTTGACCAGTAAAGCGAGATGAGTGCCGCAACCTCAGAGTCATCTGGGACTGGACCTAACGGTCAGGGGTCCCTTTACCTTTACCTAAAATGTTGGGGTGTGTATGTGTGGAGCAAATACATTTTTATAGAGAGAAGTGTGTATGTTTGTGTGTAGTGCAAGGGCACCTCATTGCAACTACCCACCTTTTTAAAACACAACAACCCTGCCTGGTTGTGCATTCCAGGAGAGGAATAGCGTACAACGAGACAGAGGAGACTTCCAGCTGCTTGATTCAGCCAATCTCAAAGAACAGTGATGGAGTTGGGCAGCTGGTAGCTGCCTGATGGGGCCACCAACTTAGATGACTTAGGCAATATTTGCAGAAGATGAACCTACACTCATGGAGCCTCCAGGTGTAGCGGTAGTCTACCTCTTAATTTCAGTTGCTGTGGGGCAAACAACAGGAGAAGGAGGTTGCCTTCAGACTCTGCTTGGAGTATCTGGCTGACCAGTGTCGGAAACAGGACGTTCAGCAAGACAGGCTTTTGATCTGATTTAGCAGAACTCGTCTTACATTTTGCCCACCTCTGTCTGATGCTTTAATCCCAAAGGCACACAATAGGGAGTAAACCCTGCTGAGCACAATAGGACTTCCTTTGGAGTAAAAACGCTGTTAATGCTCCACAGAACCACTTCTCCCCCTTGAATTACCAACCATATTTAGAACCATAGAATTGTAGAGTTAGAAGGGACCACAAGGATCATTTCACCCCACCCTTTCTCCAAAACACTCCAATGTGTTCTGCAGAGGAACTGTTTATTACGTGGGCTGCCTCACGCTGCCAGTTGCCTTGGTGCAAATTTTCTGAACAGGGGTTTTCCTAAGCCAGACTCTCGGCTATATTTCTGCCGCCTGTTCGAATCTCCCTTAGGGTGGGCTCATTTGGAATCAGCTGGACAGAACAGCTGGGATTCTAGCACTGCAATGGCAAAATTAAAAAATAAAGGAAGAATTCTGTGTGTGTGTTTTAAAAATCCCTCGAGTGATGACAGTGATGCAGAAAACGCTCTAACCTATCAGTATGTTCTTTAACTGTGAATTGTAAAATAAAAACAAAGGGGAAAACTGTGTTTCTGATCTGTACTTCTTTTAAAGAAAAATACGAATTTAACGATAAACATGAAAGATGGATGGGGAATCGCAAGCCCGCCCTTCCGAACCAGGGAGGCAGAAAGCCCCAGGTTCAATCCCTGGCATCTCGCGAGTAGGGATGGGAAAGACCCCTGTCTGAAACCCTAGCAAGCTGCTGCTGCTGCCGGTCAGTGTAGGCAACGCTGACACACACCTGCGGCTTGCTTCTACACAAGCCAGGCATCTTTCTACGCTCCTCGACGCAACTAAATGGCTTAGCCAGCAGGTGGCGCTGCGGGACAAGCGCGACGTTCTCTCGCCGTGGCCTCTATGGTTGGAGGCCACTTCCTCTTCAGGCGGAGAAAGCAGCAGCCCACGTGGGTGGCCAGGTAGGTTTGCGCGCTGCCAGGAGGGCATGCAATCCTGGACGGGGTTGCTGCAGTTTGGATAGAGAACAGCTTGGGCAGGGAGGCTGGGCTGCAGATCTCTCTCTCTCTCCCTCTCTCCCCCCCCCCCCCGTTTTCAGCTGAATTTCTTACTGGCTCCGCAGACCACAGGGACTAGCAACTTGAACTTTTCTATTTGCAAAATCAGGGAGGGAAGGAGGAGCAGAATTTGCCAAACCCAAACCCAACCTTTCGAGCCTTCATCCCTGGGGGCAACTGCAAGGGCCTCGCGGTGCTAATCCTGTGGCATTGTTGTTGTTTAGTCGTTTAGTCGTGTCCGACTCTTCGTGACCCCCTGGACCAGAGCACGCCAGGCACTCCTGTCTTCCATTGCCTCCCGCAGTTTCGTCAGACTCATGCTGGTAGCTTCGAGAACACTGTCCAGCCATCTCGTCCTCTGTCGTCCCCTTTTCCTTGTGCCCTCCATCTTTCCCAGTATCAGGGTCTTTTCCAGGGAGTCTTCTCTTCTCATGAGGTGGCCAAAGTACTGGAGCCTCAGCTTCACGATCTGTCCTTCTAGTGAGCACTCAGGGCTGATTTCCTTCAGAATGGATCGGTTTGATCTTCTTGCAGTCCATGGGACTCTCAAGAGTCTCCTCCAGCACCATAATTCAAAAGCATCAATTCTTCGGAGATCAGCCTTCTTTATGGTCCAGCTCTCACTTCCATACATCACTACTGGGATCTAGCTGAGGCTTTAGCTGCTGTTATCCAGGGTGCAGCAATGACCTTCAGACGTGGGTGGCTTTTAAAAGATGCTCAGGCAAACCTAGGCTGGATATGGATTGCCATTTATTATGCCACCACCTCAAGGTGGTGTGTGCATGGCTTTCTCTGCTCTTCCGCTCCCCTTTTTATCCTCACAACAACCTTGTGAGGTAGGTTAGGATGAGAGACAGTGAGGTCACTGAGTGGCTGACTGGGGATTCAAACCCTGGTCTTCTAGAGGCTAGCACTCTAACCATCACACTACACTGGTTAGCTAAAACAAGTTCTCATGGTTCTGAATTAAGGGCTGATTTAATATAGGAAGATGCTGTGTACGGAGTCAGACCCATGGCTTGTCTAATTCAGCCTTGCCTACATTAACTCACTGTGGTGTTTCAGATGGTACCCAGAGATGCCATGGACTGAATCTGGGCCCTTCTACATGGAAGCAGATGCTCTGCTTTACTAATACTCAGTGATGCTCCTACCATTGCTTTCGGAATTATTCAACCCCAATTGCAAATCAGGTTTATTATCAAAATTTACAGACTTTCAGCTGTTTGCAATGAGCACATAAAACAAAAGCAATTGAAGTAGCTCAACACAACGGATGCTTCAAGTGGTTCCCCCAAATTCAGCTGAAATTGCTTAGCAAACTGTAGATGATTTATGAGTGATAAATAACAATTCCTGCATGAACTGCTGGGTGGGGGAGTCAAGGCCAAGTGGAAAAGCCTAGAGCACATCAGATCAAAGTTGATTTGGGGATTTATTATTATAATTGTTATTTTATAATTATTATGCATGCTCAGGTAGGGCTTACAAAACATACCAACTAATTGCGCATTTCTCAAAATAGCTAAAATACAGAACAAAACTATGTCATCAGGCCGTTAAAATGTAAATGCCCATGATTCAAATATATGATAATATAGCACACCGTTTAAAAGTGGAAACTCTGGGCAGGAGATATTGGAAAAAGTTTCTGTTTCAAGATTTTCCAGAAAGACCACATAATCCATGTTGATTTAGCATCTTGGTCCCCCCCCCCCCTTTTAAGGTTGAGAGAAAGGCATATTGAACATCAGAGATGGCACTTCACCTGTCTTTTAAATCTGGCCTCTGGGACGCCGCAAGACTGCCCTGCGCCTTTGGAACCATCCGACGTCTCTCCATGCGGAGAAAACCTCAGGCGGGGGAGCGCGAGCTTCCTGGTGGGGTGAGCAGCCAAGTGATTCCTGATCGTGGGCTTGAAACAGCCAGGGACCAGAGCGAGGCCCAGCCACGTAAACCCTGGAAGGGTCGTGCCCTTCGGAACGAGTTCTGGCGGCAATTTCGTGCGCAGACCGTGCCGTCTGACAGGGAGGAGCTGAAGAACTTGAGTAACGACGATTTCCCCGAGAGGAAGAGGAGCCCCCCGCAGAAACCCCTCCCCGTCGAAAGGACCAAAGGCTCAGAGATCTTGTTTGGGGTTGCTCCCTGCTCCTTGGCTCTGGCCAGATCCAAGAGGAACTTTTTCCAACTCTTCCTCAAGGCTGGCAAGGGCACTCCATCGCCTACGCTGGAAGAATTCTCCCGGCGCGCCAAGGACAGGGGGATTCCAGTGAAGGTGGTTCAAAGGAAGGTTCTGGATGGCCTCTGCAAGGGCGGTGTCCATCAGGGCGTGTGTCTGGAAGCCACGCCCCTCCGTCCCATTGGTTGGCAGGAGGCACCGCCCCCTGAGGCAGAGGGAGTGGGGTCGCAGCTCCTTTGGCTGGCTTTGGAGGGGATACAGGACCCCATGAACCTAGGAGCCGTCTTGCGGTCTGCTCACTTCCTGGGTGTTGACAGGATTGTGATGAGTCAACGGAACAGGTAAAATAGCACCAGGTGAATTATTTCAGGCATGGGCCTGTAGCTCAGGGGCAGAGCATCTGAATGCGGGGAGCCAGATCCTTACCTGCCTATGTGATTCAGCACTGGCATGAGGACTAGAATCTTAATTTGTTTTTAGCTGAGCAACCAGAACTCCGGGATAAAGCATCTGCTTCGGGGGCAGAAGGTTCAGTCCCCGCCATCCTGCCTGCCTGCAATTCCTTAGGAGCAAGTGCCATTGACCTCGGTGGGGTTTACTTTGGAGCAATCCTGCGTCAGGCCAACTTGAGCACAGGCTGTGGGTTAGATGCAGTTTTTCCATTCTCTCTGCCCCTGCGGAGACAGGTGTTGCTAACAGAACCAGCTTGTGGAGATCTGCTGGGAAGCATTTAATAATTTTTGCCTCTACCCCGGGCTTCTCTCTTTGTAGCTGTCCCCTGACACCTGTGGTCAGCAAAGCCAGCTCGGGGGCCATGGAAGTTCTGGACGTATATAACACAGATGATCTTCAGAGCCTTCTTAAGGTAACACCCCCCACAAACTTTTGCCTGTTTTTCTTTTAAATTAATGGTTACAGGCAACTTCCTGTACGCCCAAGGCATGCACAACCGCACTCATTGTTGCAAACCTGGACGTGGCGTGAAGAGGGGCAAAAATGGCGCAGAAATAGCGTCTGGCAGTCCCATGAGCCTTTGCACTGTTATTTGAGGCCTGTGGGAAGTTGGATTTTAAGCAAGGAAGTTTGGAGAAAGCGCGTGTGGTGGAGTTTGGTGGATTTTTGGTTTTTCCAGGGTTTCCGGAGGGTGTTTACAGGCCTTTTCGATGGTGTTCCCAGTATACGTGATTTTGCTTAAATGCACGGTGTCTCAGAATGTAACCCCCATGTCAATGGGGAGTTGCCTCTACATTTTTATCTTGCCTTTCCTCCAAGGAGTCAAAGGGGTGAACGTCGTTCTCTCTCCTTCCCCAATGTATTCTCACAACAACCCTGTGAGGCAGGGTAGGATCAGAGACAGAGAAAGGGTCAGTTGGGGAGTTTCATGAATCGGTGGGGCTTTGAGGCCTGGTCTCTCAGGTCCAACACTCAGACCCCAGGAGTGACTCTCCTGTAGCGCTCCAGATGTTGCTGGACGCCAGCTCCCACAATCCCCGAGCATTGGCGGTGCTGGGGGGCGGGGGCATTAATGGGAGTTGGTGTCCAATGATCTCCAGAGAGCTACAGCTTCCCTGACTCTGCTCTGACCACCTTTGCTCTGATTCAGCAGCAGCACTCCTCTTAAATTCACACGGTGAGATTGCTTGCAAGCAAAGCACTGGGAAGGACGCTGGCTTGTCTGCTTTGTATGCCAAAGGTGCTGGGTTCAATTCCACATGGGGCTGGGGGAAAGCCTCAAACCCTGGAGAGCTGCTGCCAGTCAGAGTTGACAACCCTGAGCTAGATGGACCGATGGCTTGGCTCGGCTTAAGGCAGCTTTCTGCGATCCCATTTTAAACTGCCTTTCATCCAGAACCAAGGGGACTAGAATCTTTGTTTCCAAGTTAGAATGATCGTAACTCAGTGCTTTGCATGCAGACGATCCCAGATTTAATTCCTGATGTTTCTGGGTAGGGCTGAGCAAGGCTCCCTGTCTGAATCCCTGGGGGGTTGCTGCCGTTCAGAGCATACTGCGTTGACCCGGATAGACAAATGGCCTGACTCTGTAGCAGACAGCTGGTCTCTTATTCCTTTTGCTCTGATGCATTCTAGCGTCTCTTCTGCCTTGCTTGGAATGGCTGCTGTGCCCCGTTCAGCCACCCAGTGGCAGCATTGTACAAGCTTTTAAAAATAAGTTGGATTTTGCTAGGTTGCCAGCCTGAGGTCCATACGAAGTGGGGTGTGCACATAAGATTGAAAGCTGGGTTTACAATAGGGTCACCAGACGTCCCCGTTTCCCGGGGGCAGTCCCCGGATTTGCGAATAAGTCCCCGGACAAATGCCATCCCCGGAATGTCCCCGGATTTCATCTAATGTCCCCGGGAAATGCAGCAGCGGCAGTCTCAGCAGCCCGGAGCAGTTGGCTCTGGCTGGCTTCAGGAGCTGCTCAGAAGTCCCCATATGATGTGGTGGTGCAGGGGCTCTCAGATGCAGCTTCCGGGCTGCCTCCACCTTCCCTGACCCCAGCAACTCAGCTGTGAAGGGAGGCTTCATGCTGCCGATCAGAGCTTGTGTGCAAGCAGGAGGGGGCAGGGATCTCTCAGCTAGGCAAATGGAAGCCTCCCTTCGCAGCTGAGGGATCCCTGCCCCCCTCCTGCTTGCACGCAAGTAGGAATTGGAATGGGGCTGCTCTGAAAGGCAGTGTGAAGTCTCCCTTCCCAGCTGAGGGATCTCCCTCTCTCCTGCTTGCACGCAAGTAGGAATGGGATTGGGGCTGCTCCGATGTCAAGGGAGACATTGCTCTGCCTGACAGATCCCCGCCCCCTCCTGCTTGCATGCAAGTAGGAATGGGGCTGCTCCGAAAGGCAGTGTGAAGTCTACCTTCCTGGCTGAGGGATCCCCGCTCCCTCCTGCTTGCACGCAAGTAGGAATGGGATTGGGGCTGCTCCGATGGGAAGGGAGACCTCACGCTGCCTGAGCCTCGCTGCCGCCACCACTCTCGGCCCTCCTTCTCCGCCTTCCATGCCTGACCCACTGCACACCGCTTCCCCACCACCACAGAAGAACCAACAACTCAGGGGCTGCCCAGGCTCATGGAGAAAGGAGATAGAAGTCTTGGAGGAAGGCGGTTGAGGTCAGGCGGCTGCTGCCCCTCTGCCACCGCCATCGCTGCAGCATCAACGTCCAAGTGTCCCCGGATTCATTGGAAAAAATCTGGTAACCTTAACAAGCTGGGAAAAGGATGGAATTTACCTGATGAGCACCTGCCAGGTGTATCTGGGCGCAAGGACACACATGACACAAGCCCGGGACCCGTCTTCCCACCAGTTGGGCATTGAGTCGGCCAAGAGACGATTTAATGCTGGCTGGCCTTTCAGACAATGAAAGGCAAATGGCCTAATTTTTCAGCCGCCTTTTCTCTGCCCCTTTCCTGTGGGTCTGGGGAGCCTCCCCCTCCGATCTCTGCCAGCTGCCCCGCTCTGGAACGACCCCATAAAGAGGCCATTAAGAAGGTGTTGCAACTTAATTGAAACATCTGTGTGGACCGCTTCCCTCTACTATAAATGTGCAATTTATGAACATTTGGGCCGTTGAGGCGCTCTGTTTAATTGGGTCCACGTTGGCCGGCTTCACCTTTGCTGCGGAGTGGGCATAAATCCCAGCGTCGTTACGGCCTGGAAATGGCAGGTTTTTCCAGAAAACGAGGCAGATTTTTCTCCCCCCCCCCAAAAAAAGGGATTTTGTAGCTGGTTGTGTTGAAAGGATGAGCTGGGAGCATGTATGCAATAGCAACTTGTTTTCCTGGATCAGAGCAAAGTCTGTCTGGGAGGGGCTGGACCTGCTTTCCTCTTGATGTCATTAGATTCCACCTCCAGTCAGCCCCAGCCAGCAGGACCAGTGGTTAGAGATGATGGGAGTTGTAGTCCGGAAGCACTTGTGCTAAGCTGTTTCTATGCCCCCCTCTCACAGTAGCTAGAGGCAAGACCTTTCCTAATTCCCTCCAAGGAGCTCAAGGAGGAGTACAGTGGTACCTTGGGTTAAGAACTTAATTTGTTCTGGAGGTCCGTTCTTAACCTGAAACTGTTCTTAACCTGAAGCACCACTTTAGCTAATGGGGCCTCCCGCTGCCACCGCACGATTTCTGTTCTCATCCTGAAGCAAAGTTCTTAACCTGAGGTACTATTTCTGGGTTAGCGGAGTCTGTAACCTGAAGCGTATGTAACCTGAAGCGTCTGTAACCCGAGGTACCACTGTACGTGGCTCTCCCCCTCCTTGCTTAGTCCCCACAACAACCCTGTGAGGTTGGTTAGGCTGAGAAGCAGTGACTGGTCCTGCCTGTCCCTGCAAGCTTCATGGCCGAGTGAGGATTTGAAAATAATAAGAATAATAATTAATATTAATATTAATGTCTCTGGACAGCTTCCAACAGAATATTAAAAACACAATAAAACATTAAAAACTTCCCCAAACAGGGCTGTCTTCAGATGTCTTCTAAAAGTCAGATTGTTGTTTATTTCCTTGACATCTGATGTGAGGGTGTTCCACAGGGCGGGTGTCACTACCGAGAAGGCCCTCTGCCTGGTTCCCCGTAACCTCGCAGTGAGGGAAACGCCAGAAGGCCCCCGGCGCTGGACCTCAGTGTCTGGGCTGAACGACGCTCCTTCAGGTCTACAGGACCGAGGCTGTTTAGGGCTTTCAAGGTCAGCACCAACACTTTCAATTGTGCTCGGAAACGTACTGGGATTTGAACCCTGGCCCTTGCCTGGCACTCTAACCCCAGCTCCACACTGGTGCTCAGTTTGATGGGTCCTCCACTCCAGCGGCTGGAGAGAGACTCCCAGCTATCAAGGGATACTTGGACTTCCTCTGGGTTTGAATTCCTGGCTGCAATGGAGGTTGGGCCGCCTCGCACCAGGGAATAGTTTGTCAGATGCTTTTGGTTCCGTGTTGAGGTTTCATTTATTGTTTTTAACCCGTAGTGCTTCCTGGGAACCCATGAAGTTTGAGTTTCTGATTTAAACAGTGAACAAACAGCAAACCAGCACAGATGTATCTTTTTTTCCATATCATGGAAGTCAGAATTTATACGAAGTAATCCTCAAGTTTGCCTTTTTCTCTTGCTCCTAACTCACCCCCCTTTTCTTCTGGAAGGCAAAATCAGAGCAAGGATGGGAAGTCCTTGGAACAGCTGCCCACACCAAGGACCTGGATTCTGTCCCCACCGTGAGTTGCTTAGATTTCCGCTGGAAGGGACCCGCCATACTGCTGCTAGGTATGTAACACTGCGGCACTTAAATTTTCAGGAAGCCCTGTGCAGTGGTACCTCAGAAGTCAAACGTAATCCGTTCCGGAAGGACGTTCGACTTCCGAAACGGTCGATATCCAAAGTGCAGCTTCTTATTGGCTCTTGCAATCGGAAGAGCCAACCGGAAGCCGCTTGTCCTCCGCGTCAGAGGTTTGGCTTCCGAAAAATGTTCGCAAACCGGAACACTTACTTCCAGGTTCATGGTGTTCGGGAGCAAAGCCGTTTGAGTACCAAGGTACCACTGTATTGGGAAGTTTTTAATGTTTCATGTTTTATTATGTTTATATTGGTGCTGGAGCAACCCAGCCAGATGGGTGGGGTATAAATAATAAAGTTGTTGTTGTTTTGGAGGGCCAAACTTTTGCAGAGAAGCTGGCCGTAGCTCAGGGATAGAACAGGTGCCAGGTTCAATCCCCAAGTAGGGTTGGGAATGATTCCAGGCAGAAAACCCTGGAGAGAGGCTGCCGGTCAGTGTAGACCATATGTGTGTGTGGGGATGGGGAAGGGTTTGCCAACATGGAATCTACAGCCGCTAGTGTCTTATGGCTATTTCCCTGAGCAACAGCCCTGTGAGGTAAGCTAGGCCAAGAAACAACAAAGCGGTTAAAGATTCCACCCCCCGCCCTTGTTAGCCGGGTAGCTGGGAGAGGATTTGAACTCGCCTCCCCCCCCCGCCCCACATTTACCACGATACCACATTGCCTCCAAGACCACATAGCTTGGAGGTCTTGCGACACCCCTGACAAATGAAGGAAGGCAGCTAGGAGACTGCAAGGACTTGGGTCCGGGGTGTGCTCCAGTTTTTATTTTATTTTATTTTATTTGTTTGATTGATGTAACCGCCCTTTGTCACAAGATCTCACGGCCGTCCGCAAGATAAAATACGAAGTAAAAGCACAAATAAGTACAGTGGTACCTCGGGTTAAGAACTTAATTCGTTCCGGAGGTCCGTTCTTAACCTGAAACTGTTCTTAAGCTGAGGTACCACTTTAGCTAATGGGACCTCCCGCTGCTGCCACACCGCCGCTGCACAATTTCTGTTCTCATCCTGAAGCAAAGTTCTTAACCCGAGGTACTATTTCTGGGTTAGCGGAGTCTGTAACCTGAAGCAACTGTAACCTGAGGTACCACTGTAGTTGAAACAAAAACAACAATATGATAGCCCCCTTTTCCACAAACGCCATTTAAAAGTCTGTAAAATATTAGTCAACCAAAGGGTTATTGTGGGATATCGTACCATAGACAGCCCTCCAGACCTTTCTAGACTCTCAACGTCCCTGGCCATTGGCTGGCCTGGCAGAGGATGCTGGGAGTTGTAGTTGCACAACCTCTAGAGTCTCACAGACGCGCCACCTCGCCCTGGCTTTACCTGTGCCATACCAAAGTATTGTGCACCAACCGTCTGCCAGCCCATCAATTTTCGGAAAGCTGAAAGAGAACAGGGAAGATATCTTCCCCGCTGTTGTTTATCTTCAGCACCTGGTTTTTAAGAGAGTGTCTGCATCCGAGCATGGAGGGTCCCTCTCAACCCCTAGGGAGGGCCGCCGGTTCCCCTGTGTTACAGGACAGAAATGCACTTTTTCGCTTCCACCGCCAAGGAGTCTCTCCTGAGTTATGCGCTGGGGGCTGTTTGCCCGTGGCTGGGAGCATGAGAGATGCTTTGGGTTATTTCTCTGCGGCGGGAAAGGCGGCGGTGCCCCAATGGTCCCCTTTCCTTTCCTTGCCAGGCTCATCTTTAACCGAAACGCTGATTGAAGCCGGGGAGCTGACAGGACGCCGCGGCGTCGCTCCCGGGGCTCGGATACCTTTTCGATTACAGGGAGGAAAGAGATACTGGCAAGTCGGGGGCGGGAATGATGAGCTGCGGGGAAATCCATCTCCACAACGGGTGGCGGGATGACGAGCCGGGGACTGCGGTGACAGTCGGGGGCTGTTACTTTGAAGGACGGCTCGGCTCGTCCCTGCGAGGGAACGGAATCTCTTTCGGCGGAGCGGAGGGGCTCCCGAGAGCGGGCCGGCCTCTTCTCGCCGGCGATGATTTCCACTCTCTGTTGAGCGCTTGGCAGAAAAGAGAAAATTGGACAGGGCAGGGAGCCTGGGAGATTTGGGGGAGAGGAAGGGGCCTGCGGTTTGCAGAAGTGCGAGGAGAAAGGAGAATCTGAAAATTTGGGGCAGTTGGATGAGGACAGAGCAGGCCCATCTGCCTGTTAACTGCCCTGAGATCTTGTGATGAAGGGCAGCAGAGAAAACTAATAAATAATACTAATACTAATACTACAGTGGTACCTTGGGTTACAGACGCTTCAGGTTACAGACGCTTCAGGTTACAGACTCCACTAACCCAGAACTTCGGGTTAAGAACTTTGCTTCAGGATGAGAACAGAAATCGTGCTCCGGCGGTGTGGTGGCAGCGGGAGGCCCCATTAGCTAAAGTGGTGCTTCAGGTTAAGAACAGTTTCAGGTTAAGAACGGACCTCCGGAACGAATTAAGTACTTAACCCGAGGTACCAATGTAGTAATAATAAAAATAATAAAAATAATAAATTTTATTTATATCCTGCCCTCCCCAGCCAAGACCGGGCTCAGGGCGGCTAACACCCAATATAAAAACAATGGATTGAAATACAACTTAAAAACAAGATTAAAATACAACATTTAAACATTAAAATACAGCCTCATTTCAAATCAAAAACTTTTTGGGGGATGAAAACATCAAGTCTTCACCAAGGCTAACTATCCAGACTGGTCCTACATGGGCCAGGAAAAAGCCAGGGAAGTCCCCAAATTGGAGTTCCATCACAGAGGGAGAAAGGAAAAAAGAAAGAGGGGGAGGGAATCAAGTTAATTCCAAGACAAAGGCCATGCGGAACAACTGTGTCTTACAGGCCGTGCGAAAAGAAATCAGATCTAGTCTAGCATACTGATCTCACAGAGGCAAACTAGAAGCCAACTGTCCCTAATTGGGATTCCCCTTGACTGTTTTTCAGAGACATACTGCCTCTGAGGCGGTGCATAGCCATTGTGGATAGTAGCCATCGATAACCCTTTCCTCCATGAATTTGTCCCACCCTCTTTTAAAGTCCTCCAAGTTGTTGGCCATGCCTGCTTCCTGTGGGAGGGAGTTCCGTAGTTGAACTGTGTGAAGAAGTCCCTAATGTCTGTCCTGGGTAATTGTATACACGGGTGGCGCTGTGGGTTAAACCACAGAGCCTAGGACTTGCCGATCAGAAGGTCGGTGGTTTGAATCCCTGCTTGGTCCCTGCTCCTGCCAAACTAGCAGTTTTAAAGCACGTCAAAGTGCAGGTAGATAAATAGGTACCATTTACAGAATGGTAAATGGCGTTTCCGTGCGCTGCTCTGTTTCGCCAGAAGCGGCTTAGTCATGCTGGCCACATGACCTGGAAGCTGTATGCCAGCTCCCCCAGCCAATAAAGTGAGATGAGTGCCGCAACCCCAGAGTCGGCCATGCCTGGACCTAATGGTCAGGGGTCCCTTATCATGGAGGTGGTGTTGCTATCTCATGCTCTGGGACATTGGCATGGATCATGCCCCCCCCCCCCACATCTTTTTAAAAAAGCATCTCAAGTGTTTCTGGTTGGGTGGTCAATTTGAGGGAGATTAAATTGGACGGGAGTGATCTTGTGTAGGATATTGTTGGAGGGGGGGAGAATAAATTAATTTAAGATGGATGTTAATAGAGAGGATTTGGGGGACGTAACAAATAAGTGTAATTGACCTGATCTGGAGAAGAGGATCTGTTGGGGAATTAATTAGGGGATAAATGAATTGGAAGAAAAAGTGATCTGGGGTGGCTGTGGCAGGGGGGAACAGGACAAAGTAATTGAAAAAATATTTGAGAGAATTGCATATCGGCTGCCTTGCCTTCTGTGGTGGTTGAAGTTTGGATCTCATATAAATTCTTTGCAAAGTTGTGTTCTCTGGATCTAGGCCCCAGAAGCTGTACCCAGAAGCTGTCCATTCATTTCAGTGGGTCTGTTCTGAGTATGAGTTATGTTGAACTGCAATCCTAGATCATTTTAAAGGATCTGGCAGCACTTCGGCCAAACTCCATTGGTCATTTGTCTCGGGACAAGCGCCCAGAGAAGCAGTTTCTCGTCAGCTGTTTTCCAGTTACCAAAGAGCCTGATCTTAATTATCGCCAACAGCTTCCTGAAACAAATTCAGCCTCATCCCAAGTTTATTTACCTGGGTATTTCTGCCCTGCCTTTCAGCCCCAAGGGGTTAGCGGTCTTTTTAACAAGAAAACACAAGCCCTGTCTGATAAAATCCATAATCTAAAATACAAACACACCCTACTTTAAAAAGAGCCATGGGGAGTTGAAAAAGGCAACTGAACCAAACTCATTGCCTGTTAATCAAACATGTTGAGATCAGGTTCAGGGGATGAAGATGGTGATGTTAGGGGAAGAGGACCTATGAGGGAAGCATGATCCATTTCGTCTGGAGAACACAGAATCGTAGAGTTGGAAGGAACCCCAGGGGTCATCTAGTCCAACCCCCTGGAATGCAGGAATCACAGCTTGCACGATAGCCCTTTTTCAAATATCTGAAGGGCTGTGGCATAGAACAAACATTTATTTATTCAGTTTACATACAGCCCTTCATTGGTGCCTCTCTCTTTTATTTCAATATCTTTTTGGTTCTGATTTGCTTTCAGATATTTTAAAAAAGAAAAGGCACCAATGCTAAGCGACAACATATCCTCGCACTAATGAAATAAAAGCAGCTTTAATGCAAGAGTCGCCAACTTTTTCAGTCCATAGGCTTATTTGGATTTTTGAGCGAGAGTTTTGGGCTCCCACCTCCTCTGGTCCATTTCTCCCCTTCCCCTCCTGCGAGTCAGCCCCCACCTTGAAAGAGAGAATCTTACACACACACACACTGCTTTTCCCAAGAGATCTGAATAAAAGTCAGAGCTTGAGGAAGTGGGAAAGAGTGCCACTCTTCCTACTTCTTTCTCCAGCTCTATGTTTTCTTAAAGGGATGGAAACAACGTTATTTATGTCCAAGGGTGTGGTTTTTGTATGTGCCCCTCAGAGGCTCCACGAGCACTTAGGGCAAGACCATGAAATTAAAATCCTGGCGTTTTATTGCCTTGTGTTTTGCCCGTGTGCAGGAAATGAAGGTTACGGCCTTTCTCCGGGGACTAGAAGCTTGTGCCAAAGGATGTTGACCATTTTCCCAGGGCGAGAGCTGCCGCCTGGGATCGAGTCCTTAAATGTGTCTGTTGCAGCTGGTAAGCGATTCCACCTTTGAACTCATCTCTCCTTGAAGCTTCTTCCTTCCTGAGCAGGAAAGTAAAATCTTGCCGACTGTTGAAACTCTTCTAACACTTTTTTTGTTGTTCTTTTTCTTTTGATAAAATTCTTCTGCAGGAATCCTCTTGCACTCGATCTGCAGCCAAAGAGAGAGAGACCCGTGATGCTTCTATAAGAAAAACAAAACAAAAACACTGTGCCTTTGAGGAACTCGCCCAGAAGTTCTGAGATTAGGGGAAGCTGCGTCCGGAAATTTTCTGGGCCAGAAGGAAAGGATTGGAACACAGTCCTCTCTTCTACTCTCTTCCACCAGACAGGGTTGGTGGAGCAGCAGGGCCACAAGGCATCCACAGCTGTTGTGTGACAGAAGGTGTGTAGGTTTGTGTGTGTGTGTGTGTGTGTGAGAGAGAGAGAGAGAGAGAGAGAGAAAGAGAGAGAATGTGCTCTGCAAGAATTTTAGTCCTGATGATGACTTTAAACTCTAGTGCATCTCAGTGCGTAGAGTCCAGGCATGTCCAAAGTCTGTCTCAGGGGCCCAATCCGGCCCCTGTAGCAGTATATTTCCTGGGGTAAAATCCTAAAAAGCGCACAACTTCAATCCTAAAAAAGAGCTCAACAACTTTGGGGTACAATCCTAAAAAAGGTCAACAACTTTGGTTGGCCCTTTGGTCGGTCCTCACGGCCCTTCACTTCATCAAATCTGGCCCTATTTGAAAAAAGTTTGGACACCACTGGACCAAGCATTGCACACACCTCATGTATCTCAGTGGGTAGACCAGGTATCTCTAAAACCCCCCACGTTACAATGGCTGCCCAAATCTCTGGAGTATTTTGATCTGTTTGTGCGTTGGCCAGTGGTAGGTGAGCTCAAGCTGGGCAGAGGAATGACCCCGTCTGATCCAACCTGCCTCTTTTAGCCTGGCGAAGGTGGTTTTGGATTCCTCTCCTCTGTAATCTCAAAGGTGGAGGGGTTCTGGGGTTGAGCAAGGGGTTAAGACTCCATTGAGTGCAGTGCAAAATTGCGAGAACACTTTACAGATATAGGAAGATGAGCTACTGAGTCTGGCTAGTGGTCTGCCTAGGCCAGCTTTTCCTTTGCCTCTGGAGTCTTCCCTATGTATGGTATATCAGAAAAAATAGATTCCGTTCTTGGCAACGAGGATCCATTTCAGTCATGTGTACCTTGGCCTGTAGCAAAACTATTAAAAGAACACAAGCGAAATGTTTCATTTGCTTTGCTTTCCCTGTTCTGCAGAAGTCTGGGTTTTTTAAAAAAAATAATAATAAAAAATATGTAATAATACAGCATTATAAAAACCCGGGAATTGGTTTGAAATTTCAGTTTCTTAGGAAGGAGGAAGTATATTCTTCCCACTAGGTGGTGGTAAAGATACAGATTGCGGTTTGCTTCACTATGGGCAGAAAACAGTTTTATAGCAAGATATCATTTCATCCTTTCTTGTTTGCTGGAAGGAAATGGGAATAAAAGCCATTTCTTTATCCTTGATACCGAGCTCTGATTCTCTGTATTTGTGTATGTGCGTATTTTGTATCTCTCTGCATGAGAAACCATTTTTTTATTAAAAAAAATGGAATGTCATTTTGAGGGCAACGATTTTATATTACTAATGATTATTTGAGAGATTTCTAAATGCTTTTCAAGAACCCCCCCCCCAAAAAAAAGTGGTGTAGGAAATAAACATGAAAGTATAGCAAACTCTGAAACTTTTTTTTTTTAAAAAAGCCTACTCTGTGGTAGAAAATAACGACAGATGGCGGCAACAAAATACCTCATTGTACAAGACTGGGTTGTATCTGAGTTAAGCCGTGCTTGGAGCAGACCAATTGAAACCACTGGACTAAGGTTAGGCCCTGTACTGCGCTATACTTTAAAAGTGGGATTGTACTACTTTAAACAATCTTGGCTCTCCGCAAAGAATCCTGGGAACTGTAGTTTGTTAAGGGTGCTGAGAGTTAAAATTTCTAGTTTGCCGTTTCATAAGAACAGAAGACGAGCTCTACTGGGTCAGCCCAAACTATTCAGAACAATGAGGACTGGAATCTTAAATCTTAATAATAAAGGGCAGGGCTTCCACTGAATGATAGAAAACTTGCTTTTTATGCAGAAAGCCCCAGGTTCCGATTTCCAACTAGGTCAGGGGATGTGTCTTGCCTGAAACCTTGGCGGGCTGCTGCCGGTGAGTGTCTAGACAGACTGACGCTATGGTCGAGTACAAGTTTGCATACTGATCTCCTATGTTTCTAAATGCAATCATTGCCTCCTCCTGCTCCTCCATTTAATTTCCTGGGTATTTTTAAATGTCAAAAACGTCATTTTTTATAATCTTCCTTTTTCTTTCTTTTGCCTTAAGCCTGAATATAATTGTCCTTGTGATATAACTGTAGAAAAGCACACCCCAGTGTGTGTGTGTTTTTTAATGAAAAAGAAAAACACCCTCCCAGCTCCATATCATAAAGGAGAATTTTAATTGTCACTTTTTGCACACATCAGCACGATCGGAAACAAGCTCCCTGATTACTTTTGCGGTTTTGTACACAGCCGATCTTTTGATACCTGGAGAAGGAGGAAGAATTGTTGTGATGGTAATTTGAAAGTGACTTTTCTCATCCCGGTTGTCTTGTCAGGGATTTGTTTCAGGGATGTCTTTTCCAGAAAGCAGATAATAATTTTTATGCCATCGGTGGTGGTGGTGGGAGGCTTTCCCCCCCCGGCAACTGCACCACTGAAATGCGGGTTCAATAATCAAAGCGTCTCTGAAGACCAAAAATAAGAGCTCTGTTAAAATGTTTGTCTGCATATGGTATTAGATTTTTGCCAGACTCACCTGATAAATGGAGAGATCTCAGGAATCTTTCATGTCCGGTTTCATTTGGAAACACAGGACTCTTCCGATAGTGGAGATTCTTCAGCTTTTGAGGTTTTCATGGTCAATTATCAGCTTTCCTCTCTCTGAAGAAATTTCAAGACAGGTGGGGAACCTCAGGCCTGTGATGCACTGAGCGTGCGGCCCTTCATCATCTCCATCTGGCCCCCGAGATTCACTCCCAAGCCACACCCCCTTACCCCAGGCCACACCCCTCCCTGGCCCTGTGCCACACCCTCCTTGAGTGTTTGTATCTGTGTCCTTTTGCTCTGAGAACACCTCTTTCTTGCCTGGAGAAGGATCTGTGCAGGTGTTTGCAGGAGCTAGCCTGACCGCATGAAGGTAAAATTGACACCAGTTGTTCCACCTACATTTGCCTCTGGCTCCGCCTACCTCCTTGCATGTGGGGAAGGACCGTGGCTCACTGGTAGAGCTCTGCCTTGCATGCAGAAGGCCCTAGGTTCAATCCCTGGCGTCTCCAGGTTCAGTCTGTAGAGCAGGAGAGGCTCGATCTCACGGTTGTGGGTTCGAGCCCCACGTTGGGCAAAACATTCCTGCATTTCAGGGGGTTGGACCAGACGACTGCTGTGGTCCGTCCAAACTACAATTCTGTGACTGGGACGCTGACACACTGGGGAGCCGCTGCCAGTCAGTGTAAAAAGGTAAAGGCAAAGGACCCCTGGACAGTTAAGTCCAGTCAAAGGTGACTATAGGGTTGTGGCACTCATCTTGCTTTCAGGCTGAGGGAGCCGGCGTTTGTCCATAGACAGCTTCCCGGGTCATGTGGCCAACAGGACTAAACCACTTCTGGCACAATGGAACACTGTGACGGAAACCAGACTGCACGGAAACGCTGTTTACCTTCCCGCCGCAGCGGTACCTATTTATCTACTTGTGCTGGTGTGCTTTCGAACTGCTAGGTTGGCAGGAGCTGGGACCGAGCAACAGGAGGTCACTCCGTCACGGGGATTCGAACCGCCAAGCTTCTGATCGGCAAGCCCAAGAAGATGCCCAGTGGTTTAGTCCACAGCGCCACCCGTGTTCCGCCAGGCATTGTGGACAATACTGAGCAAGAGGGACCCAATGGTCTCACTTGGGATCAGTGTTCCCATGTGCTCTCCCCGAAACTAGCCCATAGTGCAATGTGGCCCTCAGGCTGGGAAAAAGTGGCTTCCCACCCCTGCTGTAGCTTGCCCCCCACTCGCTCTCCCCAAGGAGGTCCAAGATGCCTCCAAGGAACCCCAGAAAACCAACAACGCAAAGGAGATCATTGCATTTCTACGGCGTGACACATGCCTTGTGTGTGTACGTCACATCAACGGGATTCAGAACATAAGAAATCCCGGACGCCGAGGGCCCTCTGGCGGTTCCCTCACTGCGAGAAGCAAAGCTGCAGGGAGCCAGGCAGAGGGCCTTCTCGGTAGTGGTGCCCGCCCTGTGGAATACTCTCCCACCAGATGTCAAAGAGAAGAACAACTACCAGACTTTTAGAAGACATCCGAAGGCAGCCCTGTTTAGGGAAGCTCTTAATGTTTGAGGCATTACTGTATTTTAATATTTTGTTGGAAGCCGCCCAGAGTGGCTGGGGAAGCCCAGCCAGATGGGTGGGGTATAAGTAATAAATTATTATTATTATTATTATTATTATTATTATTATTATTATTATCACCTGCAGGATCAGGCCAGTGGCCTGTCTAGTCCTGCATCCTGTCCTCACAGCGGCCCAGTAGATGCCTGTGGGAACCCAGGAAGCAGGATCCGGGTGCGAGAGCCCTATCTTCAGCTGTGGCTTCCAGCGACTGGGACTCAGATCCATTACGACCTCCAACCGCGGAGGCAGAGCATAGTTACCGTGGATACCAGCCACTGGTACCCTCTCCTCCATCAATTAAAGAGCTCCAGGTGTGCTCCATCCAGCATCCATCACCAGCCTCGCCCTCCTTGGGAGACTTCTGTCAAAGGCCTGTTTCCCCACCTCCCTCCCTCCTACCCCACCAACCCAAAATAAACAAGTGCTGCGGCCTATTATTATATCTTGTTTCCACCCCCCTCCTTTTCAGCCGCGTCTACCTGAGTCAACGATACCTCTGGGTGCCTTGCAGAACCCTCCAGCCGCGCCAAAGCGATAATCGGCGTTTGTAAATGTAATCAACCTTGAGGTCTTGTCACTTGCGCAGGTGCAATTAACATTACCATCTGCTAATCCGTGATTAACGATGTTTACAAATATGCTACAACATGTTGAAAAAATACGTTGGCACTTATTTTGAAGCACACACCCCCCTTCCAGGCCCACACCCCCCCTCCCAGCTTCCCAACCCGCCTCCTGATTTCCTTTGGCAAATGCAAGCAGGCGCCTGCCCATTAAAGGAAAGGAAGGTGCCGGTATACTTTTCCTGACGGAAGTTAGCCTGTGCCCCTGCTGTTAATTTGCAGAACATTTTGATTTTGATTTTTTTTAAACTTTCATTTTCGTCGTTTAAAAGCGCTGTTAAACTTCGGAACCAGCTGTAGCAATGACAGGTTTGGGAGCCGGTGGGGAAGGGGTCACCCGCTGCTAAACGGGATCTAATTGCAAAGGAACCAAGGTGCCAACTGAAAATCGCAAGGGGGGGGGCAAGGAAATCTTGGTTGCGGAATGACATATGGTGAGCTTCGAAAAGTTTTGTTTAGAAAATCGCCTTTAAGCCCGACGTTAAGCGACGTGTTAATGAACTGGCAAGGTGTTGCTGTTTTTATTTTTTACGGTGGAGTCGTAATGAGATGTTCACAGAATTCTAGCCTCGCAAGGGATCATCTAGCCCTCTGCAGTGCAGGAATCGCAGCTAAGACTTACTGACCTGGCAAAATGGTATTATGAGGTTTATGATGACAATTAATAAATTTATATTTTCATGTTATCTGTTTACCACTTGACTTGTAATAAAAAAAAACTCTTTAAGTGGTTTGCAAAAGCTTACGGGTAGAACATTCTTATTATATATAAGCATCGATTAAAAGCAGGCATTTAAAAACATTAACAAGGAAAAAAGCTCAAAACATGTTGGCATTTTACATGTCTAGAGAGGCTTGCCTGAATAAAAATCTTCTAAGCAGACACTGAATGTCAAGTGGCAGGGAGTTCCAAAGTGTAGTTGCTGCCACACTAAAAGTTGGTTTGTTTGTTTTTTAACAGGGACTGCACAAATAATTTGTTTTTTTTCTCATTGCGTGAAGAGGGTTGTAACCAATAAAAGATCTGCTTGGACAGTAAACGCATTGAAATTAATGGTCCTAAGTGATGCATGTCCATTAATTTCAAGGAATGGACTCTGAGTATGACTCATATTAGGTGCCCGGCACCCAAAGGCTGTTAATGGAAGCACCTTGCTTGGGAAAACATTCAACAAATTGGGGACCGCTGCTGGAAAGACCCTCTCCCTTGTCAGAAGAGGAAGCCAGAGAAGGTCCTCAGCTGATGAAAACAGGGTCCAAATGTACTCAACTCAAGAGAAGTGTTTTGTTAGATATTGGGGTTCAGAGCCTTATAGGGCTTTGCAGGTTACAACCATCACTTATAAAGCACCTATGTTTTTCTAAGGGCTGTGCAGAGTTTATAAGTCAGGCCTTGCTGGCACAAAAGGAAGTAGGCATGGGGAGGGCAAAGGAAAAGCATGCAAAGTCAGAGGCTAGTTACTGAAGTTATGTGAAACCAAAAGCACAATCTAATCTGGACAGGTGATCCTTCAAAGCAGGCTTCCTCAAACTCGGCCCTCCAGATGTTTTGAGACTACAATTCCCATCATTCCTGACCATTGGTCCTGTTAGCTAGGGATCATGGGAGTTGTAGGCCAAAAACATCTGGAGGGCCGAGTTTGAGGAAGCCTGCTTCAAAGGGTCATCTGGTCCAAACCCTGGCAATCACAGAATCCCTGAGGTGGCCATCCAACCTCTGTTTAACCTGCAGTGAAGGATAGCCCGCCTGTTTCCTAGATGGTCGTTACATCAGAAGGTGTCGTCGGAATCTCATTCCTTGTCATTTGAGCCCATCGGTTCGGGTCCGACCCTCCAGAGCAGCAGAAAACAAGCTTGTCCTTCAGAGACTGAAGATGGCTATTATGCCACCTCACAGAAACTAGCCTGCAAAAGGTAAAGGTAAAGGGACCCCTGACCATTAGGTCCAGTCATGGCCGACTCGGGTTGCGGCGCTCATCTCGCTTTACTGGCCGAGGGAGCCGGCGTACAGCTTCCAGGTCATGTGGCCAGCATGACTAAGCCACTTCTGGAGAACCAGAGCAGCGCACGGAAACGCCGCTTACCTTCCCGCCGGAGCGGTACCTATTTATCTACTTGCACTTTGACGTGTTTTCAAACTGCTAGGTGGGCAGGAGCTGGGCCCAAGCAACGGGAGCTCACCCCGTTGCGGGGATTTGAACCGCTGACCTTCTGATCGGCAAGCCCTAGGCTCTGTGGTTTAACCCACAGCTATTATGCCACCTCACAGAAACTAGCCTGCTGCACAAAGATAAAATTTTCGTGTCTTCCCCCTTCCCACTTTTGCATCTGGGCCCACCCACCGCTGAGCGTGCGGCCTCCAGAAACTTGCTCAGAAAGGAATGTGGCCCCTGGGTTGGGAAAAATAAAAGCCCTCCCTCCCTCCCTGCCTGGTTGACACTGGCAACTTTTAACAGTGCGATGATGTTGGCAATCTAATGGGGAGTCAAATAGGATGCGCCAGGGTTCCCATTACCCACCAGAATAAATTAGGCGCTTGTTTCTGTCAATATGTTCGCGGCTTCACCTAGGCTCATTAGTGGCTGCCTTGAATAAGAGGTGCTCATTGGAGGGGCTGCGTTTTCTCTCCATTAGCATTGCCGGCTAATACACATTTTAATATAAACACCAGTTCTAAATGGCTGCCTGGCTCCTCTTTCTAATGTTGCTTTTAAATGGAAGGTTCTGAACGGAGGAAGGAGGGGGCTTTGACAAATTTCCTAACCAATATTGGAGAGGGAGGTGAGCAAACACCTCTAGCCAAATATACTCCTGCGAGCAGAATTATTTCCACGAGGTTCTGACTTTTTTCTCCCAGCGTTATTTCACTTTGTTTAATCCTCCGGAGTGTGCTTTTAAAAACAAAATAAATTTGGTCGTCTCATTTTCGACACAGCTCATCTTAACGTTGTGTGTGTGTGCGCGCACGCATGCGCAAAACATTCTGCATTATAAAATGAACAGAATAGAACTGGGCTGGAGTGAAAATGTTATTGGAATAAACCCAGAATGCTTTGGGGCTGCTTTATAACATCTCCAGAAAGAATAACTGTTTGTGTGTGTTCGTTATGTTGCGGTTTAATGAGGCTTGTAGCTGAAAGATAAAGCGGGGTGTGTGTGTTTAGGTGGAGGGTAGAAATAGAAAACCATGCAAGCAGTGGGGTGGTTTTTGTTCTTTATATTACCTCTCTTTCTCTGTGTGTATGTACCGTATTTTTTGATCTATAAGACGCACCCGACCATAAGACGCACCTACTTTTAGAGGAGGAGAACAAGAAAGAAAATGTTCTCTCCCTCTCTGCTCAGCGCCTCCCCAGCAAAGCGGGAGGAGAAATGGAAGGGGCTCAGTTTCTCCTCCCGCTTCGCTGAAGGGGCGCTGCGCAGAGAGGGAATGCTGTGCAGCAGCTCTCCAGCAAAGCGAAACCAGGAGAGCAAGAGGGATCGGTGCGCACCGATCCCTCTTGCTCTCCTGGCTTCAGCGAAAGCTGCATTCGCTCCATAAGACACACACACACATTTCCCCTTACTTTTTAGGAGGGGAAAAGTGCATCTTATAGAGCGAAAAATACGGTATATCTATCCCTCTATGTCTCTATCTCAGCAGGCAGAGCATGAGACTCTTAAACTCAGAATTGTGGGTTTGAGCCCCACGTTGGGCAAAAGTTTCCTGCATTGCAGGGGGTTGGACTAGATGACCCTCGTGGTCCCTTCCAACTCGACGATCCCCCACTTTGGATTACGGAACTGGTGCCATAATACACCGGATACTGGTACTCACCTAATGTTAGGATGAGATGTCTGAGAAGGGTGTGGGAACGGTAGACTGTCTTATCTCTTCCGTCTGAGCGTGTTATTGTAACTGTACTTTCACTTTTTCAGTACAGTAGTACCTTGGGTTACAGACGCTTCAGGTTACAGATGCTTCAGGTTACAGACTCCGCTAACCTGGAAGTAGTACCTTGGGTTAAGAACTTTGCTTCAGGATGAGAACAGAAATTGCGTGGCGGCGGCAGCGGGAGGCCCCATTAGCTAAAGTGGTACCTCAGGTTAAGAACAGTTTCAGGTTAAGAATGGACCTCCAGAACAAATTAAGTTCATAACCCAAGGTACCACTGTATGCAACAGTTGTTCTGCCAGAGCTTGGAGAACACAGACATGATTATGGATTGTCTGTATAGAATCTAAATAAAATGTAATTTAGATATACGGAATTTTCTTTCTTTTTGCTGTGTGATGCTAAAAGACTTGTGTGCACTTTTCATATGAAAGGTGTCTCAGAGAGGCACTCTGGAGATGAAGGGACATGCCATTCCAGAGACGTGCCTACCGGGAGATGCTCAGAGGTCCTGGGGGGTCGCTGTCTCCCCAAGAGCGTTTTTCCAACACCAAATACTCTTCCTAATCCGGGAAGAGTGGGTGAGCAGCCGCCTCTCTGACATTTCCCTGCTACTGCCACAGCACCAGCTCTCGCTTACTTAGCATATTAACCCGTGTACGTCGACCCTCAATTTATCAGAAAAAAAATATCAGAAAAAAGGTTGTCTTATACATGGAAAAATGCGGTATATCTCATGTATATCTCACAAGCAGAAGATTCTGAGGGTAAAGCAGTTGAAAACAATAAAGCCAGAAGTTCTTGCCTTCAGAAGCCGGCGGAATGCCAACACTGATGGGGGCCTTTCATATTTCAGCAGGAAGGACATTTCACAACATCCTGTGGAAAAGGCCCATGATCCAACATCACTAGGGGTTCTGAAAAGGACAGGGCTGGAACAAGTCCCTCTTATGAGAAATATTTGGAGCTTTTTAGTTAAGAGAATAGTTAAGGGGTGGAGGTATAATAAAACTGCCTGGCAAGGACAACACAACCAGCTAACAGAACCCTGATGATTATTGGCTTGCGGCAACACGGAGGTGGGCTTTTTCACTGGTAACACCGGCGCTCCTTGTGCCTCTCCTCTGTTCAGAATGGATGGGAGAGCTCACGTCCAATCCTTGCATCCAATGAAATGTGGGTGTGTTTAAGCGGTGTGTGTTCGATGTAGGAGGGGCCAATAGTTGCCAGATCTGGAGTATTCCATATCCTGAGATTTCAGGCTTCAAACCTGAGACCTAGGTGTGGTCCCTGGTGATGTCACAGGAGGAGGCCTCAGAGGAAGTCTCTGGAGATGGAAGAAGAGGAAGAAGAAGAGTTTGGGTTTGATATCCCGCCTTTCACTCCCTTTAAGGAGTCTCAAAGCGGCTAACATTCTCCTTTCCCTTCCTCCCCCACAACAAACACTCTGTGAGGTGAGTGGGGCTGAGAGACTTCAGAGAAGTGTGACTGGCCCAAGGTCACCCAGCAGCTGCATGTGGAGGAGCGGCGACGCGAAACCTGTTCCCCAGATTATGAGACTACCGCTCTTAAGCACTACACCACACTGGCTCCCAAGATGGAGGTTAATTGTGAGAGGGGAGCAGAGGAGGGCAGAAAACACACACACACCTACCTGCCAGCATGTCTATGATATAATTTGCAGCCAGCTCCTACTAGACTGAAGCTTGCAAAGTGCATGCAGGGTCTTAATAATTCTTTATTATGATTAAGGGCACTCTTCCCCACCTGCCACCTGGAGGCCTCAGGTTGGATGTGGATACCTGGCAGCCTTAGGAACTGAGCCAATGCAAGCAGGAACTAAGCAGGAAGAATGAACAGTGCTTTGTTCATTGTGGGGTGGCTATTTTTAAAATATGAGACATTTCATGGGTGCTATAGGAGCTACTGCTCGGCAAACTGGTGCCTGAGAGTGCCATGTGGATGACCCCCTGCATTACACAGAGGTGTGTTTGTGTGTTTGTGTGTGTGTATGCAACATACAGGGACGGGGGTGGCGCTGTGGGTTAAACCACAGAGTCTAGGACTTGTCGATCAGAAGGTTGGCGGTTCGAATCCCCGCGACGGGGTGAGCTCCCATTGCTCGGTCCCAGCTCCTGCCAACCTAGCAGTTCGAAAGCACGTCAAAGTGCAAGTAGATAAACAGGTACCGCTCCGGTGGGAAGGTAAATGGCATATCTGTGCGCTGCTCTGGTTCGCCAGAAGCGGCTTAGTCATGCTGGCCACATGACCCGGAAGCTGTACGCCGGCTCCCTTGGTCAATAAAGCGAGATGAGCGCCGCAACCCCAGAGTCGGACACGCCTGGACCTAATGGTCAGGGGTCCCTTTACCTTTACCTATGTAACATACAAGTTGCAAACGCATGTGCTGCTTCTGTCTAGATGAATGGGGTCAGTAGATTTTGACCCCAATTGAGCCAAATGAAGAATGGAACCCCCTTACAAGACTGCTGTAAAAGCTTGTGGGAAACCCTTCTATGAATGCAACATTTTCTTGTTTCACTGCTTCTTAGAGAAGGGGGACAACGGCAGCAGCTCTTGGGTTCTGTGTAAAAGATAAATAAATCCCTGCAAGGAAAAAGCTAGCAGAGACGGGAGCACTCCCTGCCACGCTTGCTTTTTATTTATATTCCAAATATATTCCAAAATGATATTTCTCGCTTGTATCCTGAAGTCATACAATGCATTCAGAGCAGAAGAGCCCTGCTGGATCAGACCAAAGTCCTTTCCACTGCTTTTTGCAGTTCTGCAAATGTTGTGATGTGATTCTCAGCTGAAAACAGTGTTATTAAAATGCAAAATGAGAGGGGGGGAAATGCCTTTTGAGAGGAAATGTATTTGGAAGTTTTGAGAAGGAGACTGAAAACAGCCCCCAAACACATCTACAAATGTGGGTTTTTGCACGGCTTTGACAAATCCACAGATCTGAGAAGAAATGGGACAGAAAGGAGTCATGAGTGAACACATCACTGTTGTTAATTTAACATTAATAATTTCATTTATGAACCGCTTCCTGTAAAGTACCTCGAAGCGATGGATCCGCACTGTTGTGCGTATGGAAAATTAGAACAGCGACACCTGTAAAGCACAATTGCATGTATGAAACCATTTCAGATAAATTCCACTTGGAAGGCTTGTGGAAAGAAGAGGCGACGTGAGAAAAATGACACAGACCTAAGGCCACGAATCAAAATGCAGACAATTTTATTTTTTGGGGGGTGTCAATATTGGTTCAGTCAACAAGTTGGGGCTGGCCAGGCCGCCTGCTGGCCACACTCTCAGTGCAAATCCCCCCCTAGAACGAAAATCACTGACGGAGTCATCAATAGCAACCACAGCTGCCTATTGATCCCCGGCCCAGCCTGGGCAGTGATGCTCCGAGCGACAAAACAGGCTCCTTCTCCCTAGTGACTGGGCTGACTATTGACAGATTGAATTGGCTATCGGGGTCCTATTATGGGAGCAGACGGCTGCTGGATGGGGAATCGAGTTCGAGGTGGGTGGGGAGGCGAGAGGGGCCGTATGGGGGGCTTGCGTGAGGACCAAGGAGCGGTGCTATTGGGGCCGGGAAGAGAGCGAGCGGTTTCAAAGATTATTGCAAAACTGCCAAACCTAATACCTCCATCCTCGGGCTTCTTGACCCCGGACCTTACATAGGAACTCAGGAAGTCCATGTAGATCATCAGTATTGTCTTCACTGACCGGCAGAGGCTCTCTGGGGTGTCAGTGGGGAGGGGGATACTCCCAGCCCAACCTGGAGACGCCATTGCGGTTTGAATCTACCTGGGGCCTTCTGTATGCAGAGCAGGTGCTCTCCTCCTGAGATCTCTTCATCTGGAAACAGGTTAAGATTCTAGTCCTCATGCCAGTGCTGAATCCCATAGGAAAGTAGGGAGCTGATGTAGTCACTGTTCTATCTAGCTCAGTATTGTCTACACTGACCGCCAGTGGCTCTCCAGGGTTTCAGACAGGGGACATTCCCAAAGGAAATGCCAGAGAATGAATCTGGGGCAAAACTGTTGCTTTGTCCACTTAGCTGTGGCCTTCCCTTGGTCTCCTGGAGCATTTTCTGCTTCAAAATGGCAGCCTAGAGTGATAGGTTGGCAGGTACATAGACCCCACTCAGTGCGCGTCTGTGCCACATTGCCGCTGGTTGTGGACTTAGGTCCCTGAGCTTTTGCATTATGGATATCTGTCAGCCAGATGTGTGTGTGTGTCTGTGTATATATATCCCCTGCATTCCCTCTGTGATTGATCCTAAATGCCGGCCATATTTTTTTGGTAGTAAACAATCTCCCAGGCTCATTTCTTAGAGGAGAAGCAGCTGGTCAAGAGCTTTCCCTGAAATTGAATATTATAATGATTTTCAGATAGGAAGGGGTGGCGGTGGAATGATTTACATAATAATCTTTTTAGAGGCCAGTAGCTGAAATACCTACTGAGAAAATGCTCATTCGCCCATCTATTTGGAACGGACACACACACACACACACACACACACACACACACACTTACTTTCAAGTGGTTTAACTATAAACAAACTCTCCACTAGTTCAGAATCATGGAAAGGAAATGGGAAGTATCCACTTGCTGGGCAAAAGATACTAAGCCATATGTGCAGGGCTCAGTTCGTCTGCAGGGGCAGGTTGTAACCTTCAGAGTGGGACTGTGGTACCCTCTGAAAGAGAGGGTGCAGGAAGGTTCAGCCCAATGATATCCAGGGGACCCATCGGGATCAGTGGCGTAGCAAGGTCAAGTGGTACCCGGTGCAGAATATTTCTTGTCACGCACCCCACATTGATTTTTTTTTTTTTGCCTGCAAATATGGTTTGACTTTATTTCATTTTTTTTTTTTGTGGAGCCATTTTTTTTTGGTGGAGCTTTTTTTGGGAGTTGTTGAGCTTTTTTCACCCCCCTCGGAGGTGTCACCCGGGGCGGACCACACCCGCCGCATTCACCTTGCAACGCCTCTGACTGGGATGCAACCATTTGCCCTCTTCTGTTGACACATTGTGGCCTTTTGCTCCAAGTTGGAGGAGGAGGAGTGAACCAAGTCTGGGGCTGCTGTGTGGCCAACGGGGGGTACTGGATCAGACCCTTGATGCAGGATGCCTCTGAATCAAGTTGCTTGGAAGACCAGTCATGCTTGTGGCCATTTGATTGGCCACTGCAAGAACAGGATGGTGAACTAGATGCAGGAAGGAAGTGAGAAGGCCAAGGGGGGGGGCATCTACTCCAACATCCTGGTCTCTCAGTGGCCAACTTGATGCCTCAATAGGAAGCTCAAAAAGCAGGATGTGAGTGCTACAGCATCTTCCCCCACTTGCGATTCCCAGCAACTGGCATTCAGAGACGCATTGCCTCTAACAGGGGAGGCAGAATGTCACCATCATGGCTCAAAGCCACCCTCTTTGAATTGGTCCAATCCAGGTGGGTGGCCATCTCTGCTACCTCTTGTGGGTGTGAATGCCATAGTTTTAGCTGTGGGAAGAGGTCCTCTTTTTTTGCCTATCCCGAATCACCCAACATTCAGCTTCATTTGATGGTCTCAGGTTGTAGTACAGGCAGCTCCCCGTTTACGCAGGGGTTACGTTCCGAGGCACAGCGCCCATTGGTGAAACCACATATAATTGAAACCCATAGGAAAAGCCGGCAAACATCACATTCCACTCCTGTTCTGCCCTTTTAATGACGTTTCAGTGACATCTTTATGACATTTCCGGGTTTGGTGTAATACATGGCCACACACATATTGAACGCGCGTAAACGGTGGGCTGGCTGCATTATGAGAGAAGGAGATGATCCTTTTGCCTAATCTTTATGTCCTTATGCCGCTGTTTCAGAGCCAACAGAGCTCAAGGGCTGACGATCTGGAGCCCATCAAACTTCATAATCCAGGACTTGGAGGGCCTGGGCTTAGACTCTATCCCCTGAGCCTTGCTCGTCAGAGGTGCAGCAGCCACTGTGGTGATGGACTACAACTCCCTTCATCCCCGGCCATTGGCCATGTTGCCCAGGGCTGATGGGAGTTTGAGTCCAGCCACATGCGGGGACTCCTCAGAATGACTGCCACAGAAAAATCTGGTGCTTCTGGTGCATCTGCCCAGTGGCATAGGGGAGCTGTGGAAAGCAAAAGTGATTGTCTGAAGGCCAGGATGTTGTCTTTCTAAGAGCTTTGTCTAAAGTGCACCAGTGGAGAGCGACTTAAAAGGCTTCCATCCACCTCTGGCCTATGTTGGAGCCAGAGGCCCCATGGGAGCTCTCCATGGTGCTGAAACCACCAGCCTGCCTTGCTGCAGATCCTCAGGTGAGTTAGGCATATTCCAAATAATAACCATGCAAACCTAACAGGTCAACATAGAAGTAAGTGCCACTGAGTTTAACAGGGCTTGCTTCTGTTTGGTGTAGGATTGCACTTCAACCGTTCAAAAAAGGCCTACAGCAATTTTACTGTTGTTAGCTGCTCTGAGCCCGGCTTCGGCTGGGGAGGGCGGGATATAAATAAAAATTATTATTATTATTATTATTATTATTATTATTATTATTATTTGTAACCCTGTGCTGAATGGGTCTTTGACAGCCTGGTTTATGAGGAGTCTCCTTGCAACCTTTTCTTCCAGAATGGCTCCTGTGCCAGTCTCCCCAGGAAGTGTGCCTGATTATTCCAAAAAGATGGGAAACGTCCCCCCAATTTAATGTTATCTTAATAATAAAAAGGGGACGGGCCATAACTTCAGTGGTAAAGCATCTGTTTTGGATGCTTGAGTCCCAGGTTCAATCCCTGGCATCTCTAAGTAGGACTGGGATCGACTATCTATCTGACACCCTGGGGCTAAGATAAAAAGAACACAGAAGAGCCCACTGGATCAGGCCAATGGCCTATCTAGTCCTGCAGCCTAGCCTCACAGTGGCCAACCAGGTGCTTGCGGGAAACACCAGGACCCAAACACCAGGGCACTCTCTCCTTCTGCAGTTTCCATCGGCTGGTATTCTCCTGCAGCAGTGAGTTCCATAGTTTAACAGGCAATACTGAACTACATGGGCCAAGGGTCAGACTCACTATATGTTTTTGAAATATTGGGCTGTATCCAACGGAGTTGCACTCCAGGTACACCCATCAAAACTAGCGGGCCTACGTTAGCTGTACCTATTTAATTTGAATGGGTCTACTTTGAGTAGGGGACGCAGGTGGCACTCTGGGTTAAACTACAGAGCCTAGGACTTGCCGATCAGAAGGTCGGCGGTTTGAATCCCCGCGACAGGGTGAGCTCCTGTTGCTTGGTCCCAGCTCCTGCCAACCTAGCAGTTCGAAAGCACATCAAAGTGCAAGTAGATAAATAGGTACCGCTCCGGCGGGAAGGTAAACGTCGTTTCCGTGTGCTGCTCTGGTTTGCCTGAAGTGGCTTAGTCATGCTGGCCACATGACCTGGAAGCTGTACACCGGCTCCCTCGGCCAGTAAAGCGAGATGAGTGCTGCAACCCCAGAATTGGCCACGACTGGACCTAATGGTCAGGGGTCCCTTTACCTTTACTTACTTTGAGCAGGGCTAACATTGGCTACGCCCCAGAGGGCCTTCTGTGCCCATTTCATGCCCTTGTCTACATGGGTTCCCTAATGTACTGCATCCTAATGTCTTTGAGACTCTGGAGGCTTGGCACATTTGTACACAAAAGGTTACAGGCTTATTAAAAATGGGGTGTTTTGTTCTGTTTTCGTGGTGGGGGAATGGGTGTCAAAACAGATGTGAAAAAAACCTTGCTTCGATTTCCAAAGGCTGCCCGGGGAATATTGTTAACTAATTATTGAAAACAGAAGATGGGGGGGGGGGGGCGTGAGGCTCTCCCTTCCTTTTTTTTTTTTTTTTTTTGCATTTTTGAGGAACGTGGTCTTCCCCCTCAACAGCTGAGTATTTAATTAGGGCTGATTGTCGTTAGTATGTTCAATAACTACTCATTAGATAGGGGGAGGTATCCACTGATCCAACGTAGCCCGGAGCGCAGGAGAACGGAGGGTGTTCGTAATTAAGGACGCAATTTATTTTAGCAACTCATGTGTACAGAGGCAAAACACTTTAGCTTAATTTTTTTCCTCAAGGTTAAAGGGTAGAGCGATTTTGTTTGCTTCCCCTTTAATAAAAGGTCACAAGAGCTTTGCTTGAGGTCTGTCTTAACTGCCTGATGGCACAAGAGATCTTCACTTTCCTGATCTGGGATGGAGAAGGTTTGCAATGATGCGCTTAAGTCGTTTTAGACTGTAGAAGGCTGCGGGGAGCCAGTGTGGTGTAGTGGTTAGTGTGTGGAGGCTAAGGCCTGGGAGACCAGGGTTCAAATCCCCACTTGGCCATGAAGCGTCTCTCTGCCTAGCCTACCACACAGGATTGTTGTGAGGATAAAAATGGAGTGGGGAAGAATGTCAATCAAGTACTGGTTCTCTCCCGCTAGGTAAGGTAAAGGTAAAGAGACCCCTGACCATTAGGTCCAGTCGTGACCGACTCTGGGGTTGCGGCGCTCATCTCGCTCTATAGGCCGAGGGAGCCGGCGTTCAGCTTCCGGGTCATGTGGCCAGCATGACTAAGCCGCTTCTGGCGAACCAGAGCAGCGCACTGAAATGCTGTTTACCTTCCTGCCAGAGTGGTACCTATTTATCTACTTGCACTTTGACATGCTTTTGAACTGCTAGGTTGGCAGAAACAGGGACCGAGGAACAGGAGCTCACCCCGTCGCGGGGATTCGAACCACCAACCTTCTGATCGGCAAGTCCTAGGCTCTGTGGTTTAATCCACAGCGCCACCCATCTCTCCCCCTAGGAGACGTTAACTCTTTCCTGCATGCACCGCTCCGCCGCCGACCAAGAAAGAGATAAACTTGCACACCTGAAGATTACTTTGTATAAATTTGCACAAAGCTTAACTCCGTGATATAGTGTCATGGGCTTTGAAGACACTTGAACTCAGGACGCAAGGGAGAAACGTGCTAAGAGGAAGGCACGCTTGGCAAAACCACACCATGATCAACTCCCGCCCAGAAACCAATGTCCCCACTGTGGAAGGATGTGTGGATCCAGAATTGGCCTCCACAGTCACTTACGGACTCATTGTTAAAACCGTATTTATGGAAGACAATCTTACTCGGCTACGAGTGATCGCCAAAGAGAAAGAGAGATAGAGGGGGAAAGATAAGTCTGTGCTGCTTGCTGTTTCTTCACTGTTTATATCGGAAACCCAATTTCCACGGGTGCCTAAACAGCATTGCGAGTCAAGAGCAATAAATGAAACCTCGACATGGAACAAAAACAATCCGAGAAAGAAAGAAAAGCTCTGGTGCTAGGTGGGCCCACCTTGATTGCTGTGAATGAGCAAGCAGAAGTTTAATAAAGGGTGTGAGAATGTCTCTTGATAGCTGGGAGCCTCTCTCCAGCTGCTGGAGTGAAGGACCCATCCCATCGAGAGCCAGTGTGGTGCATTGGTTAGAGTGTTGGACTAGGACCAGGGTTCAAATCCTCACTCGGCTATGAAGCTCACTGGGTGACCCTGAGACAGTCACTGCCTCTCAGCCTAACCTACCTCACAGGGTTGTTGTGAGGATTAAATGAGGAGGGGGAGAACCATGTACACCACCTTGGTGAAAAAGGTGAGATACGGATGCAACAAACAAACAAACAAACAAACATGCACCACCACCCTTACATGGTAATGGGTTGTCGTCAACGTTAGTCTTGCTCAGAGCAGGCACATTGAAATGAATGGAGCTGACCAACATAGGTTCATGAATTTCAACCAGTCTGCTCTAAGGAGAACTATGGCTTTGTTCACACCATACATTTAAAGCACCTCCATATCACTTTAAACGGGCATGGCTGCTCTGGGATCTGTAGTCTGCTAACAGTGATCAAAGTTATTAGGAGGAGGCCCCCTAGTCCCCTCACAGAGCCAAAATTCCCACATTTTGACTGTTTCTGGGTTTTCTCCGTATGTGGTACAGATTGCCCAGGAGATATGCACATGAGAAAACATGAGAAATGCACCTTGATGTAAGTTCATAATCTTTTGCACTAAATAAACAACATGTGTTATTTTAAGAATGTGTTTTATGCTTTAACATAAAATTGGCTACCAGGCCAGGTTCAAGGTGTTCCTTCCTGTTAGTATACAAAGCTGTTAACAACTTGGGACCAGTTTACCCGCAAGATCGCCTTACCCCAAATATGCCCACTTGGCAGCTTCAATCTGCCGAACTAGCACTGCCTACGGGTACTGCTTAATACTCGCCCAGCATTGTAAGGAACTGATATTTTATTGTGGCAGCATCTAGACTGTGGAACTCCCTCCCTATTGATATCAGGTGGGTACCTTCACGCTACTCTTTCCCATGCATGCTAAAAACATTTTTGTTTATAAAAGCATGTAGAATGTTGATGTATGTCGATGTGAACTGTCCTGAAACCTATGCTGAGTGTACAAATTTAACAAACAAACAAATCTATTTTTAGTTTATTGCCTTTTTATCTTCTTTTTTAAAAATACTCATTTTTATTAAATTTTTAAAAATTCATTTTATTTTTTGAATGCTTTGCAGAGTTGCTTCTATTGTTTTTACTGATAATTTTGTTGTTTTTCCTCTCTCTCTGAACAGCTTTGAGGATTTTTTAAAAAAATCAATCGAGCGGTGTATAAATGTTATGAAAAAAACAGAAACAAACATGTTTTTTATTTTATCAATCCTCCATGACTAATTTTACTAACTGCAAATTGTAAATAGTGAGTAGTGGGTTGTTTTTCCCCCAATGTAAGTTTTTGTAAATTTGCGTTATCTGGTTTATAATTTTTGTTATCTCACTCTGTAGTGCTGCTGTAGTCTAAGGGCTAATGAAATAAAAGTTCTTCTGTTCCACTTTGAATTGTACCCAGAAATGGACTGGATGCCAGTGGACCCATTTTAAGAAGGGAGTTTTCGTTCTCCCTGTAACCAGCTCTGGTCAGCAATCTGACCAGATTAGAAACATCTCTGCATTTTAAAGGAGGATATCCTCTTGCAATTGGCTCGATACCTTTTGGAGTGAGAGAAAACAGGGCCTCCAATTGTTCTGCAAATATAGCTTGAGTTAAGAACTGGTTATCTCTCTGTTTCTCGCCCTAGGCGATGTCTGCGGTGGATTTATATACGGGTGCCTGTGTGTCTGTGTACACAATTTGCCTCTGCTCCAGACCCTCGACAGAGCGCGAAGGAAAACCTTGTACGCGTTGATTTCTGAATAGCTCCTGACAAGAACTTTGCATTTCCGTGAAATTATCTTGGCGTGCATAATTTCTTTATTTATCCCCACCGCAAAGTTACGGGTGTGTTAAAAACTGCTCCTGCGCCTGGAAATAATGCTGTTTATCATTCACTGCCTTTGGATACTCCTCCCCACTTTCACCCCCCCCCCCCAAGCAAATTGAGCTAAACATTTACACAAAAGCACCTTTATCTCCGTAGATGGAGCTCTGTCTGTACGCAACGGCGCGAAACTGTGGCAAAGGATTTCCGTTTTCCCCATCGCTAGGTGATATGCACTGATTTCCGGATCCTTTGTTAGCAGAAAACGTTGCCTTCTGAATTAGAGTCATCTCCTACATAACATAACCTTTCCACAGAACGTGGCTGGAATTTGGGGTGCCCTCTTCTGGGTCCACAGCCTCCCTGGAAGTGCTTTTTTTTGGGGGGGGGAGTAGCGAACTTGCGTGGCTCCCCAAAACACACAGTTTGGGTGCCATGCCCTAAAAAAAGTGCAACTGGAAATCACACAAGATCCCA